GCCAGGATTTGCCAAGGGGGGGGGGGGGGGGGGGGGGGGGGGGGTTCAGTTTTCAAAAATTTCCAGGGAGGATTCACATTTGACAATTTTGGCCCAAATATGGCTAAAATCACTTGAGAAGTGCTCAAAATGGTGAAAAACTGCATGATTTTGAAAGAATTTTTGGCCAGGGGGGGATCATTCGAACCCTGCGAACTCCTTGGCTACGGGCCTGAGACTTTTGTACGTTTAGATTTTATACTTACAAGATTAAATCAGATAAAACCTTTCACATTGAATGACAAATGGCATGTTAAGTTGTTAACCTTTCTAATCTACTTCCTTAGTAACCAAGGTTTGTTTACATCTAATCATGACAACTATAATATATTTGAAGTTTTAAATAACTGACTAACTGACTAACCAAATTTTTTCATTACTTGTAATTTACATTATTTCAGTGCAGGAAACGACGACGGCCAATAATACCCAGCAACTCTTAAGAGTCCAAGAACACACCAAAACTACAATTATTTATGTGGGTACTGGTATCAGTTTTGTATTAGTGCTTGTGATAACACACATTATTCACTGTAAGATCATCAGGCACAAACAAGAAATAAGACAAGCAAATGAAGCTGAGACTCAGAGATTAAACATGGAACAAGGTAACCAGGACCATACAGAAGAAGCATGATACACATCCACTTGCATATCCAATTCATTTGAGTAAGAACTATTGTTTTATTGTTTGATTATAAACTATCTATCATAAACACTGTACATTTTTAATTTTCATGTAAATAGAGTTTTGATGTAACTATTTTTATACTTTTATATGTCACTGATATGTAAAGAACATGTTTATATTTTTATATTCTGTACAAAACACACCTAAAACATGATTATACAGGTATTCTTAAATACTTTAAATACCATTATATACTGATTTATAAAAATGGCGTACAGAACAGTTACTTAAAGAGAAATAAATTTATTTTATCTACATTTTTAGACACTAATAAATAATTGATATGGGTAAAAACTTCTTTGTAAACTTCCTTATTGGCTTGTCCAACTTGTTTGCACCCCCCCCCTCCAAAAAGTAACTCTATCAGATTCATTGTATTGTATTCATAGCCTTTTCAGACTGAGCAATTATCCTCCTAATTTAAAATGGCAGAAAATTTCAGTTTTGCGCCAATCTGAAGGCTTAAAATCAAGAATAAATCAAATATTTTAGAAAAGTTTTGAAAGAACTATTCTTGGTTTGGAGAATGAAATTCATTGGCTTATTTCGACGTTATCAATGTCACCAATACTTTTGATTTTTTACATGGTGTAGATTGAAATGTGATCTTTTGAATATTTAAGATTTAATTATGGTTCGGTAATATTTGTTTTATGAAAGAAGTAAAAATATTACCATCATCAAATTACCTGTTTGGATTTTGTACAGCTGTATTCGCTACTTTTGTTGAACAAATACAAACCAATAGTAAAACCATGCCTTTTCCTTCATCAATTAGGTGATTCAATGGGTCATCTCTGGACATTCTACGTCTTCATGTTGAAAATTTCATCAGAATGAGCTGTATTCTCATTGGCTTTTACATATGCAGGTATTTTTTCGATACCAGCCTGTATATGTAGAAAAAAGCAATTTTATGGATTTTATTTGGACCTTAGAGAAATTATTTATTGTTTTATTACATTTTATATTAAACTCAATGAAAGGCACTTAAGCTACTAGATAAATGCTACTTTTGTACTCGGCACAAATCGACGCAAATTAAAGATGCATGCAGATTGAACATGTTTCACATAACATTTGTACATTGTAATTACCAAAAGTATGCATGGTAAGCATCATGAGGCTTGGACTCGCATGCACTGTTTTATGTTCAATACTTGAACTACATGTAGATGTTCACCATCTCATTTAAATGTCATACTAACTTAGCTGATAAGGAATAATTTCAACATTATATTATCAATACATGTATCACCAAAAAGTCATTTACTTGACAAAATGTCACCACCTGGTTACAATTAAAATGTGAGAAGTAATCTATTTCCATGGTAACATGCATTCATTAAAAATGATATGATTTTATTGAAAAGACCAAGATTTTGAAATACATTAAACTAGTTTAACAAAAATCTGTACCTACACTCAAAACAACAAGGTGAGGCATGACACATGTCTTGGGTAGGCTCCAGTACCTAAGATATGTGCATAATGGTCATGCCATCTTTTTATGTAAAATAAAATTTTGAAGCTTTAAATAAAAGTTAATGTCAGTGAACCTTAGCACCAACAGAAATGATTTTTCTTTTGTTTCATTCCTTTATACTAGTTCCTGATATATAAAGGTATGTTATGGTTCTTGTCTGCAAGTATCGTAACAGTTTTTATGTGAACCAATAGGATTCCTTGGACAATTGGGGTTGGAAGCTATAGCTAGGAACTTTCCCTGGCACCTCACTTTGGACCAGTACATTAAAGACACAAGAGTACATTAAAGACATAAGTTCTGTTAGACAATTTTTCAAATAAAAAATTCAAAATTTAAAACCCTCCTCCAACCCCTATCCATCATGCCAACTCTCATCACAAGTTGTAATGTAATGGCTGTCGTGCCATCTATTGTACTAGTGTCAAATAATAGTTTCAGCTGGCCATCATGCCATCTATTTTACGTAAATAAACCTCTGGTACCTAACTGAGATTGTGCATATGGCTGTCAAGTTGGACAGTTGGTTGTTCTTTTGGTTGTCCTGTTGATATCCTCAATATATTATCGATATCGTGCTTATGATTTGGTCTCAAGATATATCTAAGGTATACATGATGTTTTATGAGCAATTATATTGGGACATTACTGATTGTCCAGAATAGAAATCTGGACGACTCGATCTCTTTAACCTGTGAGCGCCTTATAGCTATTTTATGTAAAATAAACCTATATAAAATATATACATGTACATATTTTCAGTCCCAAGAAAAATTAATTCTCCAACACAAGACATTAACATGACAAAGCTTCACCAATTGTGTGCAATAACAAAAGTGTAATAACTATTTGTTCGATTTTAGATTTCTTAGAAACACGTATGATTTAATCTTGAAAACATTTATGTAAATACATGTATAGCACAGACAAACTAGAGTGCTCTTAAGAGTTGAAGTGAGGCGATATCAAATATCTATTGATCTATTGATTTATGACTCAATGATAATAAAAAACAATTTGTAATACTTTCGTTTTACTACACTTACATGCAGAGACAGAGTGATAAATTTCATCACAAATCCACAAAATCACCTTGTAAATTCTTGTAAACATCAGCACAAGTGATACTTGTTAATATATATAAGAGCAACTTATCTAGAGGGTAAAGCACTGTGACCATCTTTACATCAAACCTTGAGTTTAGAATGGGGTGAGATCAGTCAGTCCTTAGAACAATAAAATAAAGTCACCTTCGAGATTGAGTAACATGATTTGACTTTTGACTTTTTCAAAGAAACATACCGTATTCTCTGTAATTACCGCCCACTCTCTAATAAGCGCCCACCCCGCTTCACAAAGTTCAAGGAACATCGAGGAATCAACAAGAATTGAAGAATATATCAGGAAAAAAAGATTTCTCAAAATCCAGGAGCGGGCGATAATAGAGTACTTACCCTAAAACTGCTGTAAACACGACGCGTTTTGTAATTCTATGCATCCTCTCGATACATATCTATCGATGGGTGCTTCCCACACCATACCATGCTAATATTGTCTCCAAATAGTCCATAATGTATGAAGGAATTGTTCTTTATCGGCATTCAGAAATTTCAAAAGCTACTGCGCTGATGTTCTGCGCATGTCAAGGTCGTGAACTTTCTGGTTTCTTTTTAATGTTTCTCGACTTTTACACGACTTTTGCACGAATAATGATGATCTCTCATCAAATTAGAAATAATGTATAACTTTAGATCGATATCCAGCAGTCTCTAGTGGAAATATTGAAGTTAATCGGCGATAATGACAAAGTGGGCGTGCCGGAAATAAATTAGACATAGACGGGTCTTCAACCACTGTCAATATTGTCTAAGCGATCTTTACCGTATTCTCTCCAATAACAGCACTTGTCATATTATTATAAAAATATGTTGAAGAAAATGCATTCTTGTCAAGAAAAATTGCCATACATGAAATTCCTCGGGATTTCTGATTTCTTTCATACATGGGCGCTTATTAGAATGGTCTAAATAATGTATTTTCAATTTTCTAAACGCCCTGGGCGCTAATTACAGAGAATACGGTATGTGTAATTGCTTCAAAATTTTAAATTTTCATATAATTTGATCCATTGTCAATCACAACTTGAATGGAATAAACCTCCCACAGACTGATTTTGACATGATCTCATTATTGAATAAATAAAAAAAACATTGAGACCTGCTAGGAGGTGTTCACATTTAAACTTTGGTTAACATGGGAGTCAAGGGGAGGAAAAAACAGGACCAAAAAGGGTTCAGATTGGGAGATGTTTGGATAACAAGTGTTAGACTATACAGGTTTTACTGTACTTCAATGATATTCCATTAATAGATTATTAAGTAATCAGTTCTCAATTGAAAATAGATTCATAATGTCAATGTCTTCAAAAGATAAATATGTCCAAAAGCAAGTTGACAGTTTGAAGCATTCAAAAACTTGAACTTACCTGAAAATTAACAATGAAGGTCAAATCTCGAATCTGAATTCAGATTAGAACTTCCGAGAGCTTGTAGATGGTATATTGAAACATATGAGTTAAAAAATAACTTGTGAAGTTTTCTTAGTGTTTTTATGAAAAATAGCTTGCAGACAATTTTATCTTTGTACTGATCACAATTGATGATGTCAGCGATAGGTCTTAAAAAGGATGATGTCAAATATCATTAAATGTGTTTGCAAGGACACTACAGATATATAAATGAATTGAAAAGAAAGCTGAATTATTCTAACAACAAGTCAACATAACAACAACCCAAGATGAATTGGAAACTAATACGCACTTGGATGTATGTCATATTCCTGATGCATGGTCAAGCTGGATGTTATTCATCAGGTTTGTTATCAGGTTTAAAATATCACTTAATAAAAATGGATTAGGTTACTTAACTTTGCACAAGCATATTATGTTCATGCAACATAAAAAGAAAATTACTTGAGCAGGGCTGTTTTTAAAAAGGGGCCATGGCATATCATCAGTGTGTTAATTTCAATCAATACTATGATTTTCTAACTAAGTTTTCATAAGTTCATTGCAAAGATCTGCATCAAATTAATTATATTACTTTCTATGATATTTTTTATAAATAAAACCTTCTAAATATTTTTCAAAGAAATATAAATTGTAACTCAATATTATTTATTATTATATCACTATCTAGCTAGCGACAGTATGATTGGTCAAAACCGGGTCACATGTCGTGGGATATCTGGCGATATTCAATGGCAATGCTAATCAGATAAGACAACCATGAGATATCTAGCGATATCCCACGCTCCCGGGAATTTTCAAAGAATTTGTTTTCGTTCAGTGTAAATAATTTAATTCAGTGTAAGTCAAAATGGCAGACGAACCGAGTAGATTCGTAAAAATATCTGAAGACGAAAAGTTGATGTTATTAGAGAGTGTACATGCAGACAATACAAAAAGGTCGACTAAAAGATCTATTAAAGTGTTTCATGATTGGATGAAGGCATCTGATATTCATATGGACTTAGAAAACGTGCCAAAATCTGAACTCAATTCAAAATTGGAACAATTTTTTTGTGAAATTCGGACTCAAGATGGTATGTATTTCAATGTTAACCTATGACTTAATAATATTAGGGATGTTTAGCTAGACAGTGATAATAAAACAAATATTTCACTCTATTTTCGGTGAATACCTGTAGCACTTTCACAAGGTGATATTCCACTTGCCCTTCGGGCTTCGTGGAATATCACTTGTGAAAGATGTACAGGTATTCACCTCAATAGAGTGAAATATTTGTTCAGTATTTCTAAAACATAAACTAGTCAAATTAACATAAACTGCAATATGCAGGAGGATGGACAACCATTATTCAAACTTGATACTCTGTTGCCTGGAGTAGAACAATTTAGTTTGGGCCAAGTATTTCGTTAAATGTTATGGTAATATTCATGTTTCATTGGCAGTTCTAGTCTTCAAAATATGGATAATTCTGTCACCAAATTGGTCCACGCCGGGCAACAGAGTATCGAGTTTGAATAACAGCTTCCTATCCTCCTTGAACTGTAAAGTTTAAAACTAGGTCAACACTAAAAGAATTTCATCACCATGACATCCATTTAACACAAACCTAAAACCGATGATAAACTTGTGAGACTGACACACTTGGTATATTTGATTCAGTGACATATCATACATAATCTCAACAAATGTTTTTGAATGTTTTACTTCATCAGGGTCGTGTTTGAATTGCAATAAAGAATCCTGCATTATTCTACATTAGATATACAAGAACACAAATGTGTACAATATTCCCCACCAATGGGTGATCCCGTCAAATGGTTATCCTAAAAATGAGTAGACAAGACTTTACCGTTACAATTTTGGGACGGAAAATGCAAAATAGCCACCTTAAATTTACCCAGAATGCTAAAAAATTAGTCAGCTCTAGATTTTCATACTAAGAACCAACCCTGAAAATTTGAAATTGATCCGTGAAACAGTAAACCAGAAAACGCGTAAACAAGACTTCACAGACATGATTTTAGGAAAAATCCAAAATGGCTGCCTTGACATTTGCCTAGAATGCCAAAAAACTAATCAGTTCTAGATTTTCATACTAAGAATCATCCCTGAAAATTTGAAATTGATCTACCAAACAGTTCACCTGAAAACACATAGACAAGACTTTACAGGCAAGATTTTAGGACGGAAAATCCAAAATGGCTGCCTTGACATTTACCCAGAATGCCAAAAAACTAATCAGATCTAGATTTTCATACTAAAGAATCATCCCTAAAAAGTTGAAATTGATCTACCAAATGGTTCACCCGAAAACGCATAGACAAGACTTTACAGACAAGATTTTAGGACGGAAAATCCAAAATGGCTGCCTTGACATTTACCCAGAATGCCAAAAAACTAATCAGATCTAGATTTTTATACTAAGAATCATCCCTGAAAAATTGAAATTGATCTACCAAACAGTATACCTGAAATCGCGTAGACAAGACTTCACAGACAAGATTTTAGGATGGAAAAATCCAAAATGGCCGACAATAAAAAAGTGATTATTAGTTTTTGCCGATTTCTTTTTACAAAATTATCACATATAACTACTGTTAACAATAACATAGGCTTCTACAACAAAGTACACCTGAAATTATTTATAAAGCTACTAAATACTTAAAGTATGAAAACTCAAAAACACCGTTCAATATGGTACAAAGTATTATCGCGAGCTAACTATTCTTAAAACATTCAAAATGGCTGCCATGACTGAGCTAACAGGTCCAAAACCTAATCAGATGTAGAATGAAGTAAGCTGAACAAGATGTTAAAGTTTTAAAAGCAACTGTGTAGCCGTTTTTCTTAAAGTTTGCAGACAAGGATTTTAGCATTTGACTTCAAAATGGCCGACAGGAAGTAGGTATCAAGATAAAAAAATTTTCGTCCACATCTGTATACACTCATTAGTTATCCCTGAAAATTTGAAGGTGATATCTGTAGCGGTTTTGGAGAAAACTGCCGGACGTACGTATGGACGGACGGACGGACAGACAGACAGACGGACGGACGCGCCTAGGCCGACAATATGGCCCCACACTATGTGGTGGGGACATAAAAAAGCATTCGTGCATGTACTAACCCATTCTGATAATGTAATTATGTTATGATTATGTGCATGGGGTGCATTGCCTCATGCTTTACTTTTATATTCTCAATATAGAATGATACAGAATTCTTTATTCTTTAATTATTATCAGATTAACTTAGTCTATAAAATGTTGCTCATTTTATTTGTTTCAAAACACTCCATATTTCAGTATGTCAAATGTCTGCCTGTGGAGGAAACAAAGCAATAACAACTCTGGAATGCCCAGAGAATTACATGATTCAGATTATAAGAGTAAAGAATATTGCTGAACGAGGATGCTTCCATTACAAGATATGTGACAGTCACATCCAACATCCAAATAACACGAAAAGATTATGTAATGATCGCACCAAGTGTACATTCCAAAATATGATTTATGAAGATGGCCAAGGTGAATTATGTGAGGAATATAATGAAGAAGATGGAAGTATAATTTGGCATAATACAACAACACAAGAGGTCTGCTTTAGATGTTATCCAATTCCTGTACCTAGTAAGTTATATTAATCTCTGTACTGAAAATCATTGTAATTAGATTAAACTATAATATGTTGTTGATTTTAATTGTTTCTTAACATTCATTTTTCAGTATGTCAAAGATTGGCCTGTGAAGGAAACAATCCAACAACTCTTAAATGTCCTGACAATTTCATGATTCGAATTTCAAGAGTAAAGAATATTGCTGAACGAAGATGCTTTGATTTCAAGATATGTGAAAGTCAGATCCAATATCCAAATAACACTAAAAGATTATGCAATGATCACACCAAGTGTACACTCCATGAGATGATTCATGAAGATGGCCAGGGTGAACTCTGCAAGACGGACAACGAAGATTGAAATACCATCTGGCATGAAACAACATCTCGAGAGATCTGCTTTAGATGTTATCCTAAGCCCATGGGAATGTTTCCTAGTAAGTTATTCAAGAGAGTCCAAAAAATCTGGTAAGATTGCACTGAATCTACAGTGACAGATTAAAAGTGTTGATTTTTATATAGGGTCTATAATTTCTATTAACATCATTTTATCATTGTTTAATTCAGTACTGTTACCATATTGGTTAGAATATTTATTATTTGGGAGAATTCAAACATTTTTTCCCTGTGAAACTTAACAACTGATTACATATTGTATTGTCTTATAGGAGAAATTATATTTGAGATTGTAAGCAAAACATTGGTAGGTCAAAGAACATGTTGCTTACAATTTCATCACTCCCTATATATCTGATTTTGCCTTTAATAAGGGGACAAAAGTGATAACCTTAAAAACATAATAAGATATAATATTCATCCAATAAATTGATGAGTCTGATAGATCAATTTTAAAAATCTTAATGCAAAATATTTTCAGATACAATTTCTAAACCATATACACTGAACATGTGAAACAAATATCTCGATATGAAATTTTCTACATAATATATCATTTAATTTTCAGTTGAAACCACAACTACCAATTCCAAACAAACTACCATTGTAGAATCTAAAATGTGTCAAGGAAACAATGTAGGCATAATTATTGGTGCTTGGGTTGGTGCAGCAATTGCAACAGCAATTGTAACAATCCGCTATTTCAAAAACAGGCGCAAATGGCATGCAAATTGCAGATACAGAAAAAACCTGGTAGAAGTTACCTTAGAAAGCTAACCATACATTATTAGAAATTGTTATTTATATTGTATAAATTGATTTTTATTCCGAATGATGCATATATCTTACTTATCTAACTTATCAGTTACATGTACATACATTTGAACAGACCTGACATCTTTTATGTAAAACTTCATGTGCTACATGTTTGTGATTTCCGTTATGCGCAAAGCGTAGTTAGAAAATTTTGGATAAGAACTTTTGTTTTGTTGCCACTATTGTCATCTAGGACAGAATGATATAATACTCAATGACATTCAAAACAAATGATCATGGTGTTACAATCATGGATTTGTTTTTAGTTTGCATGACAAAATATTTAGCCAACTTTTATATTATATATTCTATCAAGTCTAGTCAGCTGAAACCATTTAGTATAACACATGTACATAGAGTATAGAATAAACTACCATAATACTTTTGAAAATACTATTATTTGATTCGGTAGTTTACTCAAATTTAAGTTTAGTTTTATATATTGTAAATAAGATACCGCAAATAAACTATATCATTGTTAGTAAATCAGTCAATGAAAACATAGACTTAGACAATTATCTTTTTTAAGTGATAAGAAGCATATATGTATATTAAAATAATAATATATATCAGTTAACATGGGTTTAGAATGAAAAGTATAAGCTGAAATAATAGAAACATTACAAGAGATGAATGGGTAGATACTCAAAACACTTCATGAGAGTATAGTAACACTAACTTGAGGTATTTAGTACCAAGACATGTAAAACAAAAAACATAAATATGAAAGATTATGCCTTTGTGGAGAAATAGACATTGTAATTCATTTCATGATTAATTGCCTAATGCACCAAGAAAATAGAAAAATCACAAGCAAAATTATGTTTTAATGTCTTCAAAAGACAAGTATGTCCAAAAACAAGCATTCAAAAACATGAACTTGCCTGAAGAAGATTCTTATATCTAATATGTAAATGTAATATGTCTTTGCACATACTGTATTTGTAGTGTAGTTTAGTGTAGTGCAGTTTTATTTTTGTAATGACTAATATGTCATGCGATGACATCTAAAGAGTCAACAAAAGAAATACATATTAAAGATATGTATTGTATATATATACCCCCATGGTACAATTATTGGTGTACAGACAAAATTTTTGATCAATTTATTATTTATCACCTTATTTTAATCATCGTTTAATTGGTATATCATAGGTCAAGAATACTTGAAGGAATTTAGCTTAAACTTTAAGGTGCCCTCTAGGCCACTCATTCTGTATAATCATAAAATATGATGACATTAATGAAATAACAATAGCTCATCATATGAACTAAAAATACATGTACCTTGTACAGTCATGTAAACGCTTGCAATATTTTGCAATTGCATTTTGTAATCAGACCTTTTAGTTGTGCATACTGAGTAATGAAACATTTTGTGCAAAATAAAAATATTATTACCGTTTTCAAATCATTCTTGAAGTTCTTCAGTCCATAGCCACGAGACATTTTTGGTGTAAAAAGCTCCATCTGGTGCATGTGGGAGACAACACTGACTGCTGTCCGTCGTCCAATACCACTCCTCCCCGCCATCAGTAAGGAGCCCCCTGGCATTGTTAGGGCACGGTCAACCCTGGCCATGTTATTCAGAACCTCTTTGAAGATCAAGATGTCAAGGTCCATGTTTTCACGACCTATAAATGAAATAACTAGAATGTAAAATCAGGTTTCAAATTTCTTCATTTTTCAAAACTGAATGGATTTGGATAAAGTTTGCATCCTAATTGATTGATTTATGTTGATTTTCAATAAGTATGTTAAATAAATTTAAAAGGGATTATATTGAGATTGACCTAGAGGTGTATCAATACAAGAGAGGGTTTATTTCTCCCTCTCAGAGATCAAACAACAAGCCATTGAACTAAGGCCCACATTAAAGAAAAAGATCAAGAAATAAGCAACTCAAGAATGTAATATAAAGGTGCATTTTATGTTCTTACTGTATTGTTTGAGTCCTTTTTCAATGACAGCCTTGAGATCTTTAGAGTCCAGTTTGCCAAGAGGTTTGCCAAAAGGTGGCAGTGGTGCTCCAGGGGCTGCAACATTGTCTCCTCTTGCTCCCCATGTAACAAAATAGGCACCTGGAATAACATATTTGTGAAGAATAATATACAGTATAAACAACAAACATCAATATATGTAAAAGTCCAACCATAATTTGGCATAGGCATTAAGTTTTGGACATTTGTGATCAAACACTGCATGCCTACCGGAATATCAAATTTGACATTTTTATAGGACGAAGGTGGGGGGGGGGTTGTATCCACATACATTTGTCATGTTGTCCCTTTTAATACTACTCACCATCTAGATTGTCCATTATGTTGATTGACCAATCACCTCTTACAACACCAGACACTATGTTGTCAAACTTTCCCAGACCGTCAGTGCCGACTATCCTGTCCCGGAAGAGTCTAAAACACATATATTACATTAAAAAATAACCACAATGGTGAATGGACAAAGTTGAAAATCCAAAGTTAGATTGACAAGAGTTGGTAAAGTACTAATTGAGGAAAATTTACACAAGGAACACTGCAATGATTGCTTGCTCCTGATTGGTTCAATTCATTTTGTTTGAAACATACCTAAATGCCTCATAAGTCCAGACTTCTAGTAATGGCTCAGTGCTGCCACCTTGTGAGCTTGCGAGATCATAGCGCATTAAATTCATGACCCATTGTGTCAAATCTCTCGGTGTAAACAAATAATGGCTATAATCGTCAACTGTGAATCTCTGACGGAGCTGATCATATATTTGAACCATGGATCCAGCGAGACCATGAATTTTCCCAGGGTTCCCCCAAACAGGATGTGACCTAAGGTCACTGAGAATAGCCTTGAGGTATGCTGCGTAGATGGTCTGTAGCTGGTCTCCATCAGGGTAGCTGAAATACAAATAAGTTCTGTTAACATTTTTCTTCAATCATTTGACCTTCAGCTTTTACACAATTCATCATGTGACATACAACCTTATGTTCATGTATGTGTTTTAAATGCTATCTTTGCTTCAAACAAGTAACACACCATCTCAAACAATCAACTTATATAGTCTCAAACATATTTTACCTCTGAGTCAGTATTTAATGCTTCAACCAAGCATCCCCCCATTTTCAACATTAAATATTGAACACAACACATTGCCAGAGTATTACCAATCTAAACATCATTGTGTTCAGTTTATGATAGCTAAAGCTCTCTTCTCAAGCAATCAACACTTCCCCATCTCCAAAACTGGCATAAAAATAATTATTTTCTTCACTCAATTTCAACTCATTTTCTTACCCTATAGAGCAAATTCTGACAACTGATGTGAAACGTGTTGTCAGTTTGTGTCGGCCTAAGGTGCTACCTCCATTCATACTCGCAACAATCTGAACTCCCTCCAGTCCGACCCACTCTAAGTTGTTGTCATAGAAACCATTGTATGTCAGTACCTAGAAGCAAAAAATCAGTCATCAAAATGAAAATAATCCACCTTTTACCTTATTATTGTACTTAAAGTGCCCGATAAAGTATAAAATGCGCATGCGTCCAGGTGTTGATAAACTATAAATAGCGAAAATCCAGGGTTTGTCACCACAAGGTAAGCCAGGACGTGTTGAGAGAACAGCTAGTGCTGATATTGAATTTATATGTAGCCAGATAAGTTTCCTTATTGAAATTACATATGGTTATTAGCAATACTTTGTAGGTGCTAAATAATAAAATATTTAGAGTATATATGAGAGAAATTGGTCATTTCGAACCTGTTGAAAAGTTTGTGGCTCTCGGCTACACCGGGGAATTTACTTCCATGAGTACACACATAAATGTGGGGTTCCCCAAGAGGTACGCGACAAGGTTACCTGGCATCAAATGTGCGACTAAATGCTACTATCGAGAAGATAAAATAACGAATACGACAATAAGTTATTGCATGTGACAATTCCGAGCCTTCATCTCACTGAAGTATTTTGAAGTGAAAATAGGATTTTTGTTTTGATACATGGATTCAGATGAACGTAACTTTATTCTGACAACTAATCAAAACTGAACAAAATTGATTGTACGTAACAGACAATTTATTGTTTTACAATGTTTTGATTGGCTAAACGAATGAAACCAACAAATTATGACATGTGAGATGACAATTTTGAAATGTAAAATTTAAAAGTGACAAACACAACCTCCCTATCCACTCTTTGGGAGCCCTAGTAAATTAGTAATATGTACATGCAGCAGTGGTAGTGTGCAGCTTATTATCACACTACGCTTTGTATTCTGAAGCCTGTTGTTTGTAATAACACTGTTCACTCAACGTATGTTGTGTGTGTGGGCAGTCAACGATAATTATTGTTTTATCCCGGTTATATGACCTCGGCAATTTTAACAAAACCGTACTAAACGAAAAAACGCAAATAAGAGAAAGCTTTCACACACATATAAAAAATGAACTAGTCTAATCCGCCAGTATAAACTCTGTGCTATACGTAGCCGGGTCAGGCGCACACTTTAATTGAATTCTAAAGTTTTGTAGCTGAATTTCCAAAGATTACTTACTACACAGATGACCAAAATGGCAAAATCTTTCAAAATTGAAAAATTCTCTATTTTCCCCGAGATTAACTCCTCTCACCTGTTGCAAGAAGGCAATCAGCATGCTTGTTCCCCACTTGTCCGGTTTAGGGAGGTTCAAATCCTTCAGATACAACACAAGTCTCTCACAGTCCTTTGGCCTGTATACTCTCCCGGTGTTGGTGCTGATTACCATACATGTCTGGTTTAACTTCTGTAGGACGTGTGTCGGACTGGTCTGTGCGTTACAATGAACTGTTGCAACTTGGGTAGATCGTAGTTGGTCAAAGTAGTGTCTTAGAAGGAGTCTGAAATATGAAATTAATTGACAATGAAAAATCTGTAGGACATGAGTTTGGCTGCTGAAACTTGTGAAAATATAAAGTTGTCTGCTTCTCTTGAAATGCATTATGGGTAAGATAGATAAGGGGACAGAGACAGTCCATTATCTATTCATCAAACAGTTTGTGACACCTTTTACATTTTATCTAAATATCTTACCCTTTTCCACAGCCTTCAGGACCAACTAAAATAAAAGGTTGCTTGTTCTCATTCTGGAGCCATGGACCAAAATAATCCAATTCTCTCTGAATCGCAGCTGTTCGAATAACAGGCAGGCTGCCACTCTTAAAGCTATCAGAGTTCAGTTCGTCTGTGACATCATCATTGTATGACATCAGACGACCAGAGTTGACATCATAATAGCAGTTCAAGGGGTCTCTAGCATCTGGTGGTTGTTCCCTCGTCCATGAAAATATCTATATGGAAAGATATTAATGCATATTTAAGAGTTAAGCTAATTTCCATGATAGATATTGATATTCATAAAACGGAATAAAATTCATAAAACGTTCTGAGATCAGTAGAAGATTTATCAACTATTTCAATAAAAATCCTTATTTCATTTAATAAATACTTTTCAATTAAAATAATTTGTCAAATTCACAAGTTCCAAAATGTACTCATTTGAAAGCACTGAAATATACAATTTTATGTTACCTTCTTTTGTCAAATGACGACACACATACATACCTCTTTCGCAAAGTTCTCTCTGGACGCCTCATTGAGGTTTCCTCCAAGGCCTTTGATAATGGCAACTGCAAACTGGGCCTTATCCTGCACCCCCTTCAAATGGGAGAGTCCATTCATGACCACCCCTATGAGACTGGACTCTATCACAAGGTCATTCTGAAAGGTAAAATTTAAATATTGAATGGTATACAGTATATGGTGTGCAATAATTCATACTAGGGCTCTACTATCTGAACAGCCTTCAATGTAAACACTTGTTTCCATTCTATTTTTAAAGTTGCCGTAGACTTCCATGTTAAAAACACTCAAAATGAGAACACCTGGCAATCTGAACACTCCAAAGTGGCCCACAGATTCATCAGGTTTTACTGTACTACTACTATACCTGTTTAAGGACCCACTCAAGAGCTCTGTAGAAGTGATCCTCTATCCATCCACCTAACTGTTGTTGATCAGCCTCAGTCTGTCCTGTCAGCCATGATGTCACAAGGGCCTTCACATCTGTATCTTCATCACTATAAAGGAACACAATATGGGGGTGTTGTTAACTGGTTTTAACTGTGTATTTCAACTTAAAACCATACATGTATCCTATTTTCAATTGGTTTGTTCAAATGCTCTGCTTTGCATCAGTTCATAACTGAAAAGCTTCAGTCACCTTTGCTGTACAGCCGTCCTACGGCGGCCATAGCTTCACAAAATTGATATAGAAAATCTACATCGTACTGCTTATCCCTATAGTTTATGCTGCATATTTCTCAGATTTTGGGAAGCTACGGTTGCTATAGATCAAATGAGATTGATGTATTAGGACTGAGGCTTTCAGCAATAAACTGATAACAATAACATAGGCATGATTGGTAATATTCAAAGGATTGGTATCGATATGGCAAACTGAATTGAACACATGTTTCTCTTAAACCAGTCATCAACAAAAAATTTATTTTTACACATGGTCAATTTAATGATCATCTTTTGAGTGGTAACAATTTGATTTGAATTTAATTGGTTTGAGAGAAAAACAATATTGAATTCAGTTTGCCATATCGATACCAATCCTTTAGGGCTTTAGCTCTTTAAAATGTATATTTATGCTCTACAAAATCACTTAATGTTTTTTAATTGATTGTTTGACTTAATAAACTGATGATGGCATTGAAATTGTTGACTTACCTCAAGAAAATCATCCCCATTCTGGAAATAGTAGCAGGTGAGGCACAACTTAAGTCATGTGTTTCAAACAGGAAGTTCACATTTGGCGCAAATTGAATTCTCTCACCAGATGGCATTGTCAACAATCTGTTGTCGTCAAGGACGGAATTCAAAGATTCGATCCATTCAGGGTCAATATCACCGTCACAGATAATCCAAGATTGGATCTCTGAAATGTTTCACCATGTTATTAGTTATGACTTTTTTTTTTAAATGTTATAATTAGGATTTTTATATGTTATCACTGGCTTTTTACATGTTATTTCTGTAATGGAATAACTTTTTACATTTTTACCTGTCATTACTGGCTTACTTATTTGCTGATCCAAAGTTTTAGGATGCTGCAGGAGTCAGATAATTTGATACATACAAGTACATCAACGAGTGAGCGAAGCAAACAAACTTTGAGGGAGGTTTGGGGGCTTTTCCCCCAAGAACATTTGAAGTGCTCTAGGGCATTTTAAAATATACATATATGATTCTATGCAATTGTACATTTTTGATATATGCATATGTACCTTGTGGTTCTTTGACAACCTGCCTAGCACTGTATGTGAGCACACCATCCGTCCACTCTCTTGTGTCCATGTCAATTTGACCCAGTAACTGAAAATACAGTGAAAATATGATGCTGCATTTTAAATACAGTGAAAATATATAGTTACATTTTAAATACAATGAAAAAATGATGAAGTTGCATTTTAAAATACAGTGAAAATATAATGAAGTTGCATTTTAAAAAACAGTGAAAATATGATGAAGTTGCATTTTAAAATAAAGGTGAAATTATGATGAAGTTGCATTTTAAAATACAGTATAGGATAATCGTTTTAGTAAATAATAAATAAAAATGATTATACTTTCAACACAATCTGCCACTATCACTACATTTAATCCAAAAATACTCCATACTCCTCCAATCAAAAAAAGTTAATTTCTTTGGCAGGGGTAGGGGTGGAGCAAATTGAAAAATGTTGATTTTCAGTTGTATTCAAATCAAATTTTTATTTTTTCATATTACGGGAAGGGAGGATTTTTCTCAACAAATAGAATTTTCCTCAACTCAATGGTATGATTGCAAAGATTCTGAAAAGTATTTTTTCTGTAAAATGTTTGGTGAGGAAGTTGCCTCGACTGCCACATATCTTGCTACACAAATGCAACAATAGGCCAAGGAACATGTATAATAACTGTTAAATCAACCATTTTTAGTGGCATCAGACTCGATTTTTATACATGTTCCTGGGCTCATGAATGCAACTGTCATGGCTACCATCCCTTACCTGTGTTCTTGGCATGGCTTTAGGGTTCATAGTATAGGTCTTTACCACCTGGTTTGTCTTAGCCAAGGCCTGTCTGAGCACTCTCCATAGTGTAGACTTGCCTGAACCACTGGGTCCTACAACCACCACTCCCATACGCTGGCGTAACTGTTCATAAAGCTCTAGTGCTTTCTTAACCTAATGTAAAACAAAATATAGTAGTGTTATTTCATATGTCAATCTTATAATTATAGTTTATGTAACTATGACGTGAACTATGCATTCTGTCTGGCCAATCTTGGACAATATATGGGCCAGAGCATATTTCACTCATAGTAACATACCTTTTATTTCCATAGCTATCTTGTATCAATGATGTCACATATGTGGGTGCAATTAGACTTTATGATGTATATTAAGTCTATTAAGTAATGAAACGTGATAATGTTGCCATGGTAATAAATAAAAGTGGTGTATATGGGACCATTTCAACTAGAAGTTGAAAGCCCATGATAGGACTGTATAGCCAACCTGCTTTTTCATTGACTTCAAAAGAAATGAGCAACTAAGTATGTAATAGAAGGATATACCCAGCTTTTGAATGAAAGGTTCTTGATACTAATGTGATACCAGGGAGATATACAGAACTTCTGCGTGAAAAAGTTGAATTCTGCCCAAAATTCTGCATGAAAGGGAAATTCAGATTTCGTGACAAATTATTTGTGATATTTTAATACAAAAGCCGGAAGTTGGAGAATTTTAAACAGATTTCACATTTCCCCTTCGAAATCTTAATAACACCAGTTTCTGATGACAAAAAATGACTGTCTCAGGTGTCAAGGTGAGTGACAAATATGAGATGAGGTGGTTGACTGAAAAAATCATGTTTTCCACAAAATTCTGTACAAAAAAGAAATTCTGCAAAAATTGTGACAACCAAGATGCATTCAAGCACCTTAAGATAATTTGAGTGCACTCAAGCACTCTAAGATAATTTGAGTGCACTCAAGCACCCTAAGATAATTAGAGTGCACTCACACACCCTTAAGAATTTAATAGAAAGAATGATAAGCTGATGTTAAAATGAAGTCAATTAACTTGATAAAATGATCTCGAAAATGCTTAAATTATCATTTCAATTCCTAGCTTTAGATATAAATTTTGGAAAAAAATGAAGATCAAACTAATTGAAAGAGAGGGGTAGTATGTTACACATTATTTTATTAAAAATGATTAAAAGATTTAATGCATCTAACTTTAATTAATCAAAATATTGTTGGTCAGTTCAAAGTTAGAAATGCTTAAGAAATGTTTAATAAATTGATTTAGGCTGCACTCAAGCATCCTTCAAAATTAAGTGAAGTAAACGAATGTAAAAGTATACCACTTAACCAATAAACTCTATACAGTGATTTCAAAAATCTTTCACACTGAAAATGTTTAAAATATTATTTTAATTCCTAGCTTTAGAATTATATTTGGGAAACATTGAAGATCATACTTATTGGATAAGAGAGGTAGTATATAACACAGTATATTGTTAAAAATGAATAAAAGTTTTAAAGCATTGAATTTTAATTACTCAATAAAATGTTTAACAAGGCAAAGATCAGAAAATTGGTATGATTTGCCAAGATTGTGAAATTTTTATAAATCATTATACTATAAAAAATATTGAAATTATCATTTCAATAAAAACCTTTTGAATTGTATTTTGAAAGAAATTGAAAACCAAACTTAATCAACTCATTAAAAATTAGTGACACCTTTGTTTTCCCGAAAAGTTGCGCGAGGGGTTTATAGGGTAATGGGCTTTAAGCTAGAATCGAAAGGCCATGATAGGACTGTATAGCCAACCTGCTTTTTCATTGACTTCAAAAGAAATGCTTAACTAAGTATGTTATTGAAATATATACTGAGTTCTTGGTTGAAAGGATTTTGATATACATGTGGGACTCCAGGGAGATATATATATATTCTTTAATGGATATACCGTATTCTCTGTAATTACCGCCCACTCTCTAATAAGCGCCCACCCCGCTTCACAAAGTTCAAGAAACATCGAGGAATCATAATAATCCATAATGAATGAAGGAATTGTTCTTTATCGGCATTCAGAAATTTCAAAAGCTACTGCGCAGATGTTCTGCGCATGTCAAGGTCGTGAACTTTCTGGTTTCTTTTTAATGTTTCTCGACTTTTACACGACTTTTGCACGAATAATGATGATCTCTCATCAAATTAGAAATAATGTACAACTTTAGATCGATATCCAGCAGTCTCTAGTGGAAATATTGAAGGTAATCGACGATAATGACAAAGTGGGCGTGCCGGAAATAAATTAGACATAGACGGGTCTTCAACCACTGTCAATATTGTCTAAGCGATCTTTACCGTATTCTCTCCAATAACAGCACTTGTTATATTATTATAAAAATATGTTGAAGAAAATGCATTCTTGTCAAGAAAAATTGCCATACATGAAATTCCTCGGGATTTCTGATTTCTTTCATACATGGGCGCTTATAAGAATGGTCTAAATAATGTATTTTCAATTTTCTAAATGCCCTGGGCGCTAATTACAGAGAATACGGTATCCTTTATCCAGACCACATTTATATATATATTATATTATTTTGAAATTCTTCCTTATCATGAAATCTCCAATGGCAGGAAATATGGGGAGTAAATAAAATGTCTAGGGATTAGATACATCATGGGGGAAATACTAGACATCAAACAAGGGAAAATAGTGGATAAGGGGAGATAATGTGGCCTAGATCAGTATTACCAATGAAAACAAGGTAACATGGGACCTAGCTGTTGATCAGTTTAGAGTTAATTGGGAGCACTCAAGCACCCTTCAAAATTCTATGAAAATATAAATATGTGCCCAATTAGTCACCAACAATTAAGTAAATACAATGATTTAAGAAATCTTAACATGTTGAAAACGTTTAAATTATCATTTTAATTCCTAGCTTTAGAATTATATTCAGTAGACATTGGAGATCATACTTATTGGATAAGAGAGGTAGTATATAACACAATATTTTGGTAAAAATAAATAAAAGTTTTAAAGCATTGAATTTTAATTACTCATTAATTTGTTGATAAGGCAAGGCTCACAAAATTGGTATGAATTGCCAGGATTGTATTGGAAACATCAAAATATATTTTTGAAATTTTTAAAAGCAATGACTTTATTGAACCAAATCAATTAATACAATGGTTTCACAAATCTTTATACTTTAAAATATTAAAATTATCATTTCAATAAAAACCTTTTGAATTATATTTTGAAAGAAATTGAAAACTAAACTTAATGAATAAGAGAGACTATACATATAATCCATTTCAAAACAGGGTATTCCAGTATTGCCGCAAAGTGGCACTGTCTACTGCATCAAACAAATACATATATTCTTTAATGGATATATCTTTTATCCAGACCATGTTTTTTTATATATATATAGTACTATATTATTTTGAAATTCTTCTTTAACTCATTGAATGAAATCTCCAATAGCAGGAAATATGGGGAGTACATAAAATGTCCAGGGATAAGATACATCATGGGGGAAATGCTACACATCGAACGAGGGAAAATAGTGGATAAAGGGAGATAACAAGGCCTAGATCAGTATTACCAATGATTTCAAGGAAACATTGGGTCTAGCTGTTGATCAGTTCATAGTAATAGGAGAATTCCACTAATTTTTATTAATTAAATTGGGAGCACTTAAGCACCCTTCAAAATTCAATGAAAGTATAAATGATTTTTGTACCCACAAATTCACGAGCAATAAAGTTAATACAATGATTTAAGAAATTTTTACATGTTAAAAATGTTTAAATTATCATTTTAATTCCTAGCTTTAGGATTATATTCAGTAGACATTGGAGATCATACTTATTAAATAAGAGAGGTAACACAATATTTTGGTAAAAATGAATAAAAGTTTTAAAGCATCAAATTTCAATTACTCATTAATTTGTTGATAAGGCAAGGCTCACAAAATTGGTATGAATTGCCAAGATTGTATTGGAAACATCAAAATATATTTTTGAAATTTTTAAAAGCAATGACTTTATTGAACCAAATCAATTAATACAATGGTTTCATAAATCTTTATACTTTAAAATATTAAATTATCATTTCAATAAAAACCTTTTGAATTATATTTTGAAAGAAATTGAAAACTAAACTTAATGACTATACATAAAATCCATTTCGAAACAGGGTATTCCAGTATTGCCGCAAAGTGGCACTGTCTACTGCATCAAACAAATACATATATTCTTTAATGGATATATCTTTTGTCCAGACCATGTTTTTATATATATATATATATATTATTTTGAAATTCTTCTTTAACTCATTGAATGAAATCTCCAATAGCAGGAAATATGGGGAGTACATAAAATGTCCAGGGATAAGATACATCATGGGGGAAATGCTAGACATCTAAAGAGGGAAAATAGTGGATAAAGGGAAATAACAAGGCCTAGATCAGTATTACCAATGATTGCAAGGAAACATTGGGTCTAGCTGTTGATCAGTTCATAGTAATAGGAGAATTTCACTAATTTGTATTAATTAAATTGGGAGCACTTAAGCACCCTTCAAAATTCAATGAAAGTATAAACGATTTTTGTATACACATATTCACGAACAATAAGGTTAATACAATGATTTAAGAAATTTTTACATATTAAAAATGTTTAAATTATCATTTTAATTCCTAGCTTTAGAATTATATTCAGTAGACACTGGAGATCATACTTATTAAATAAGAGAGGTAGTATATAACACAATATTTTGGTAAAAATGAATAAAAGTTTTAAAGCATCAAATTTTAATTACTCATTAATTTGTTGATACGGCAAAGATCAGAAAAGTGGCATGAATTGCCAGAATTGTATTGGAAGCTTCAAAATATATTCTTGAAATTTTTAAAAGCAATGACTTCATTGAACCAAATCAATTAATACAATGGTTTTATAAATCTTTATACTTTAAAAAATATAAAAATTATCATTTCAATAAAAACCTTTTGAATTATATTTTGAAAGAAATTGAAAACTTAACTTAATGAATAAGAGAGACTATACATATAATCCATTTCAAAACAGGGTATTCCAGTATTGCCGCAAAGTGGCACTGTCTACTGCATCAAACAAATCAACTCATTTATAATTACTGACACAAGAGAAAGTTGCAATTTGTCTTCCCAAAAGTTGCAAAAAGGGTATGCTCATGCTGAATTTGTGATGCAAAAAGAACATAACCCTGTGATCAGGGTCTCTCTCATTAATAGTCATCAAAAATCACTTCATATTCATGTCTATAAACTAGAATGTTGTAACATGTAGACAGTAAGGTTGGTGACTTTGTGATTTTTCAACATTGCCTGATAACTTAAATATATACGTGATATGTACTAAAAGTTTTCGCGCGCCTAACAAAGCAACCCCATCCAGTGTCAGTAATTGTGCAATTTGAGCTGTTTATTTAATTTTGAAGTATATAAATAAGTGTGAAATCTGATTGGTGATTGTTGTACATTGCTCCAGAGATTTTCCAAAAGTACAGACCCCTAGCCAGGATTTGCCAAGGGGGGTTCAGTTTTCCAAAACTTCCAGGGGGGTTCACATTTGACAATTTTAGCCCAAATATGACTAGAATCACTCGAGAAGTGCTCAAAATGGTGAAAAACTGCATGATTTTGAAAAAAATTTTGGCAAGGGGGGGGGGGGTTTCAACCGAACCCTGCGAACCCCCCCCCCCCCTGGCTACGGGCCTGAAGTATAACATGTATTTAGAGAAGTTAATCAATAAAGTGTCCAACATTGTAGTGTTCTAAAACAGATATCATCATGCAAAAACATCATTAGTATAATAGGAGCACTTTGGCTCCCTACAAAAGATATGTATTGTATTGTATTTTTTTTAATATGTATTGTATTGGAAATACTGTTGGGCTGATTCCATTCATATAATGATGTCAAAACTCTTTACATTTGAAAATGTCTGAATTAAAATTTTTGTTCCTAGGATTAGAATTGTATTTTGGAGAAAATTGAACACCAAACTTATTGGATTAGAGAGGTACTATATAACACAATATTTTGTTGCGCATAAAAAAAAGTTTTCAAACACTTAATTTTATTCAGTCAAAAAATGCTCATCATGGTGAACCTCTGTTAATTGATATAAATTGCCAGGATTATTAATCAGTTCTAGTGATTAATCAATTTTCGTATTACCTTTGTGTATATGATAGTTATACAAATGAAAGAATGTTCAATCTAACAAACTATTATCTGTCCAATAAAAGAAAAGATATTTCACTCAATCTTTATTAATTAAAATTAAATATGCAGCATACGTTATTGTCAAGTATCAATACTAAGCATATGAGACTAAGCTAATAAGCCATTCTAAACAAATGAACACTCTAAAGCAGGTGCCTGCGATGCTCCATAGTGGTACAAGGGTGGCATTGACGTCAAATGAATTTCCCCTTTCGTGGTTCGCTCTTTAAACAAGAAGGTAAGAAAATAGGTACTTAAAAAGCCCTCAAAAAGGATAAATTTGATAGGTCAATATTTTCCCACAATATATTTTGCGTAGCTATTTGCGTGACCTGAAAGTTCTTAATCAAACTAATTACTCAATTTTTTCCAATATGGCGACTAGTCAACTGATCACGTGACCTTCTCTTCCGGAATATCTTCTCACTTTTCAATCATAGTTTTCACCACGCTATGAATCAATACAATGAAAAAAATATATCTGTTATGTCAAGATTAACAAGAGATCAATCGTTTCTGATATTTTTTTCTGTATTACCGTATGGGATATAGTGAACTAATATATCGATTGAAAATTAGGTGTGAAAATCCCCATGTTAAACCTATGGAGGAAAACAAGAAAGTATGAATTTGTTCCTCTGCGAACTGCATCATGGGAAATATTTTGACCTTATAAGGAAAATCTTTCACATCTCCTCTTTAGAAGAGGGAACCATGAAAACGAATTGTGATGTCATATGAATGCAATACTGGGTATTGTGATGTCATATGAATGCTGGACTGGGTATTGTGATGTCATATGTATGCTGCACTTGGTGTTGTGGTGTCATATGAATGCAAATGAGCCGGTACTGTCACATTCACATTTCATTAATCTTTCAATTTAAACTGGATGAAAACATAGAAAGGGGTGTGGCATGCTTCCTTGGTTTTCAATTTAATTTAATTTGATTAGCTTTAAAGTTATCAAACATTTTCAAGATTAGTAAAATCATGCCTTTATTTATTTTTGATCATAAACATATTTCTAAATCATCCACAAATGATTTTGAGAAAAATTTTCAAAGCATTTCATGCAGAACTTCTAAGAGGTGGGTCGGCTCCTGGTGTTTTGAAGCAATGATACATGTAATTGCTGAAATTTTGCTTAATGTTTTTTGCCTTGTCATTCTTTTGCTTTGTCTTATTTGTCAAATTGTCATGATAAGTTAACAGGGTTTCACTAGAATTTCTCACAACAGGCTAAATAAATGAAAACAACAGGCACATTAATGGAAATCATGAATTTAACATGGAAGAGTTGAAAAGTCCCTAAAACAACAACAGGCGATTTTGTGAAAACAACAACCAGTGAAAATTGCCTGCTGCTAATGAAACCCCTGAGTTAAGCGCTCGCCTAACCCACCTCTTATACAATAATTTGCATGCTTTCATGCTTGATTTACCAGGCCACTGCCAACCGATTCCTAGAAAGGTAGCACATTGGTATGATCAGAGACAAGTTGAAATGAGAATTGAAGCTACAGGATGGGCCAAAAAATATGGACATTTTTTGACCCACCCTGTAATTATTCAGGGAATATCTTTCCTAAAAGGAGAGTACATGTACATGGATATGATGTGAACAAGTTGAAATGAGAATTAAACCTACAGGATGAGCCAAAAAATATGGACATTTTTTGACCCACCCTGTAATTATTCAGGGAATATCTTTCCTAAAAGGAGAGTACATGTACATGGATATGATGTGAACAAGTTGAAATGAGACAAAAATATGGACATATTTTGGCTTGTCCTGTACATTTATTGGTAATATGACATACATCAGGGACATGTACAAATAATAAAAAAAATGGTGAGACATTTAAAATTAAGTAATAAATCTAAATAAGAATGTCTAAATAAGTAACAAATCTTTGATTATCGTCAAAATAGGAAATAATGAAAACACAGAATAGATGTAAAAAGAAATTATGAAATAAAATGTAAAAATAACAAATATGAAATCACATATCAAATTAAAAATAATTCAAATAGAAATATATCGTGGACAATGTCATTAATGATACAAGGTGAACAGATTGTATGCATTTGTAATGATGTTTGCAAAATAGCACCTAATGATATAATTTTGTAACTTTCAGGGAGCATTTCAAAAGATCAATGTTAGAAAATTAACTGTATTTGAACAGTTAGGGGGAATGGGGGTTAATAACCTTCAAGTTAGCTTACCAACGTTGAATAATTATAATATAGTGTGATCAACAAAATATGAGAGGGAGGGAGGGGGTCACAGATTATCTGTTCAAATACGGTTAGTAATCCTACATTGAACTTTTGAGATGCTTCCTTATACAATGATAATTACACATGAAGAGAGAGAACACTTAAATTAAACTATGAATTGCAAATCTAAATTATAACTAGTTCAGTTTATAGTTTGTACTACTGTAAGTTACATTTAGGGAAAATGAAATGCATGCTTTTGGGTTAAATCAATTATGTTCCTAAAAAAAGACCATCTGAAAGCCAATTTAAAATCTATCTATCAATTGAAAGCAAAATCACAAAAGATCACATATTTTGAGAAGAGTCAAAAAGATGATCTGAGAACACAGGTTCTTAGTCTATGGTCGAATCTACCAAGAGTTTGCCAATGGTATCACTAGCAGCTCAATGGGGCCTCACATGCTAACATATGTAGTCCCTCAAATTAGCTATGATACAGTGAGCAAGTTTACAGTATATAGGACTGAATTGTACCCTTGCAAAAGACATTAAGAAAATAAAGACTTTTGAAATATTCAAGAGTAAAGTAACGTTACATACCTGTGTCTCGTTAATGACAAGGTTGGACTCCTTACAGACTTCCCTAATAGCTGCTGCAAGATCTTCATATTCAATGTCTTTGAACTCCACCCCTGGGAAGACATCCTTTAAGAGAGCGTCAAATCGTATACCATCCGAGAAGGTCAGTTTGGACAAGGTGTTGATCCTCAGTGCCTGTACAACAAGCTTGGCTTCTGTTGCTACATCCACTTTGACTGAAATAATGGATACATCAAGTCATCAACCTAAGATTAAATTGGTGTAGAGTACAATACAAACATGTTAAAAAACTCAAAATAAAGTTAAAAAGTATTTTGTTTTCAGAAACATAATATTCCAAAATATCAAAATCCTCACAATCGTTCCGCCGCCAAGTCATTGAAATACTGTATTATCGCATAATTTCTGCAAAGGAGACATTCATTTTACTAATATATAGCTAATGATGCTTCTACAAGATCTGCCTGGAAAGCAAGGTGTCGTGGGTTCAATCCCCAGGAGGGTGGACTGACCTTTTCACATCAGCCCTTAGCACAGTATTTCATTCTATATTTTCATAAAATTAGTCAATAAGTCAATACAATACCTCCTTCTGCAAGGTTTTTCTTTGCAGTTTGTAGTAGATTACCACATCCTCTGAGGATTGTCTTCAGTGCTCTCAGGCCCCAGTCATAATGCTGCTGTGGGGTCAAAAGCTCCCTGGAATGATGTTATGTTAAATAATATTTCTCTGTCAAGATCTTGTATTACACTATATCAGTAAATAGATCCCTGGAGCAGGGGCAGATCTGGAAATTGGCGAGAGGGAGGAGTCCCAAAAAGTAAAGTAAATGTTGAATAATCTTTTTAGGAAAAAATTGGTAACCTTTATGAAATTTGGTTCAGAGTTCTCCGAGAGTTCAGAGTTCTCCGAGATATTCTATAAATATACTGTATCAGACATTTTGTATACTTTTATCACAGGATTGGACACACGAGAAAATGACTTACTTAGACAAATTGAAGATGGCGACCAATTTCCTGCCGAGACTCTTAGCTTGTTTGAAACCCTCTGAGAAGAGAATCACCTCTCCAATCAATTCATTATCGGGTTTAGACATAGCAACAGGGCGGAACAATTGTTTCAGATTGTCAGGCAGTTTCTGTCGTCCTCCATATCCTTTTCCTGCGGGGTTCATGGTGATGAAAATTCCAGAGTTTGGGTCGATGTTCACCTTTAAAATAGAGAATTTTGTAATGTTTTGTGCATGTTATTTTGTAACAACTGGTTCTCATTTGTTATTACGTTATATCATGGTTAATGGCTCTAAATAGCTCAATGTGAAAGAATATAAACACTAAAAATTAATTGTTATGAAATTCAAATAACTAAATATACACAAGTTTTATCAACGAATTTCAACCTATTTACATCTCTGGCCAAATAATGATTGGGTATTTGGTGCACACAAACACTTTTACATAGACATAATAATTCCATATTATCCTGGCCCTTGGTCAATATCAATCTTGCCCTTGGCATATGTACGCTGTACTTACTGTTCGTCCCAGTAGCTCTGCAGTTGGTGCCCTTTGTTTAATAGCATCCTGGATGACCTGAATCTGCATAGAGACAGCAGAAAGCACAGCTTCCTCAAGACGATTGAACTCATCAAAACAGCCCCAGGCGCCACACTTGACCAGACCAATGAATATCCTCCCCATAGACTTAACATCTATGCCCTGAAATAAATATATACGAGGGCTGGTCAAAAACTTTTATGAGTTATCAAATGGTGACAATTAAAACAGATTTCTGAAATGAAAATAATGTGGCTTCTTGATTCAAATTTATTTTTTGTTACATAATGAACATTTCAACAAATAAATCAATGGGCCATGAAAAAAAAAGATGGGAATATTAAGGGGGTTCCTCTCTCTCTAACCCCAACCCTTTTCCCATTTCCCATTTCCAGTTCTTACCTCGTCACAATTAAACACAAGGACTTGTCTTCCAAAGAGTCCTCCTAGTGCCTTCACAGACTCAGTCTTCCCTGTACCGGCTGGACCATATGGGTTGCCACCAAATCCCATGTGCATACCTGCAGAACAAATCATATTTGCATGTGTGCCAAAACGCTAATGTATCAGGAGGATAATATAAAATATAAATGTTTTAAAAATACCTTGTAGCTGTCATGAGAAAATAGTTTATTAAAAGTGACAAGATAATAGCTTCAAATGTGTCCTGGGAATTGAAAACACAGAATAATATCCTGCCCAATGGTCTGATGTGAAGAAGTCAGTCAGTTTTGAAATAATATCAGAAGAAGTGTATAGCTTTGAAACTTGCAGGACTTATCTAAATCTTCATGTTACATCACTGTTACTCTCACTGTTCTTGTTCCAAGTAAATGTATGGTACACTATTTTATGTTGAAATTTTTTTTTTAAAAAACAGATATTAAAAGAATGAATAAAAATATTGACATTACAAACCTTGCGTCAAAGTGAGGTAGCATTTATCCGTCAATGGGGTGTGTACCAATTTCCCAGCATTCCCTTGGTACTCATAAGTGTAGTCAAATTCAGAGTCCACCATTCTCATTATGCAGGTCTTCTTTGAGCCCAGATAAAACCTGAAATACATTTACAGCCCCGATCACAACATGGTGGTCACACTTTCAGTTTAATATGCAAGCAAAATAGAGGAAAAATAGCGAGATGTCTTGGTTTAAGGGATTATGCCCCCCTTGACACCTCCAGTGAAGAAGATAGGGCAGGTTTCAGGGACTTGACTATGACATGATTTTTTTGATTTTTTGAGATTTTCAAGAAAGAGAATTTGAGAGACATAAGCAGTAGTTTCTGCCAAAAAGCAGTTATTTCTGTAAAGATTCTTCAAATAAGCTAAGAAATAATTGCATACTGTTGAATTCATGGCTATTCATTGTGATGAAAAAATTCAATTATTCATCTGAAAATGCACAACTTGTGATATTTTGAGCATTTGATTCTCACCTGAGTTGTTTCTGCCAAGACCAATCCTCGATGTTCCTACACTTGGTCTCTTGTAACTGTGAGATGACATCTATAGCATGAATGGTATCTAGGATCAATGACTTCAACTTTAGGTCCAGTACATGGGCATCTGCATCTCCTGTAAATGACATGAGAAATAAAGAAGATAAATAGAGGGCAGCACTTTTAATGGGATTCTGGGTATTTAATCCATGTATTTTTCATTGTAATACAACTCCATGCATTGTAATAACGTTAACTTATGAATTGAGAAATGAAGGTAAATAGAGGGATTATTAGTACAACCAGAACAACGGCAACGCCAAAGCGTAGCGAATCCCATCGAACAGAAATGGCTGGCATTTTTACAAACGAAGCGCAAATACCATAAAACAACACACCAGAAAGGCCACCATTTTCAAAATGGTTGCTCACTAGCCAAGTTGTCATCAGAAGAAATAATATGCTTTTAAGTAGCCACCTCTAAAAATTTTTGAAAAATCGCACACATAAAAATGGTGGCCATTTTTCAAAATGGCCGACTACTCCCCAAAGTTTTATTAGACAATGTGCCATGCTTAAAGTATTCACATACCAAATATGAACAAAATCGCTCCACTTCTTTTCGAGTTATAGTAAAATACGTTAAAATGGCGGCCATTTTTCAAAATTGTTTTCAAAATGGCCGCCTTCTACCAAAAGTGTCATAGGACAGTGTGCCATGCTTAAAGTATTCACATACCAAATATGAACAAAATCGCTCCACTACTTTTCGAGTTATAGTAAAATACATTAAAATGGTGGCCATTTTTCAAAATTGTTTTCAAAATGGCCGCCTTCTACCAAAAGTGTCATAGGACAGTGTGCCATGCTTATAGTATTCACATACCAAATATGAACAAAATCGCTCCACTTCTTTTCGAGTTATAGTAAAATACGTTAAAATGGCGGCCATTTTTCAAAATGGCTGCCTTCTACCAAAAGTGTCTTTAGACAGTGTGCAATGCTTATAGTATTCACACACCAAATATGAACAAAATCGCTCCACTATTTTTTGAGTTACAGCAAAAATCGTAAAATGACGAGTAAAGGCCGCCATTTTTCAAGATGGCTGCCATGTGCTTTTTAATATCTACATTTGTAGCATTATTAATGTCCTTTATACTTTTTTTACATTTAAAACATATTGCTATTACAGTTTTACATATTGCACCTAAATTACTGTAAAATCGTCACTAAAATGGCCGCCATTTTGAAATGAGCGGCCATTTTGAAAATCGGCTTTCGAGCAGAACTTCTACCCCCATAGGGTATATGTGTACGAAATATGAACAAAATCGGGCCAACGGTATTTGAGTTATTGCCCGGACGGACAGACGGACGGACGGACGGACGGAGGCGTTCCCTATATCCCTCCGAACTTCGTTCGATGGGATAATAATTAGTACTGGGAGGTTTTGGATACAGGTTTTATCCCAAGGGAAATATGTGTATATCCCGAGGGACCACAGGGACCGAGGGATATACACATATTTCCCGAGGGATAAACCCTGTATCCAAAACCGACCGTACATAACAGATGTATTTCATACCTACTGATGTTCTAGGTACGTCATATACCTTTACTTATAAAGTTCCAAAATTCAAAAATATACTTAAGATACGCATTTTCTTGGTGTTATAAAGTGGTTTTTTAAGTTTCTGAGATTTTCAAACTCATATAACTCATATTTTGAAAAATAAAAATTGAAAAAAAATTTTGAAAAAATGTGAAAAAAAAATTTGAAAAAGAATGTGAAAAAAAATTTTGGAAAAAATGGGAAAAAATTTTTTTGAAAGAAAATTTGAAAAGAATTTAAATAAAAAAAGGTTTGAAAAAAAAATTTTGAAAAAAAAATTCAGGAGCGGGACCAGGATGGATACAGCGTGTATCCATCCTGCCCCGGGCCTTGGCTAGATACAGTATATATTCCCGCTCGTTATGTACCTAGAACCTCAGTAGGTATGAAATACAGTGAATTATAACATACCTATGATGATGTATAGTGCAAAGTGTACACAAGACAGCGGGCCAATATAAGTTTTGAAAAGCCCGCGCCCGCTAACTTTCTGATTGGTCAAGGCGCTGACGTCATAACCAATCAATCGAAGATAAAACTGGGCGAGCAATTTTTCTAAACTCATTTCAATCATTTTCAAATCATTTGTTTGTCAATTCTATAAGAAAACGGTACTCTCTGACCAGTCTACATCATCATAGGTATGTTATAAATTGTTTATGTCACTATCGTGGCACATATGCCCTCGGTTCTCAGAGATCAATGTCCCTCCCAAGGTCGGGCCATATACCACTGAGGTAGTGACATAACCTCTAAATATTGGACCCATAGCCGAAGGCATAACATAACTACAACTCAAATTGCATTTCAATTACTTAAGCTTCTAGTTAAGTGCAGATCATATGTATTTCTTAATAATGAGGATTTATGGATGACTGACATAAACCCCAACCCCCTCTAATGTAGACACGCCCCATACCTGCTCCATTGATATCCACATTAGTATAGGACTCTAGCTGTTGTCCCATCTCGGAGTTGAACCCAAGGAGATTATTCGATCGTATCGCATCCTCGCAGCGCTCGGTGAATTGAATCTGCTCACAAAGGCATAGGATCTGGGAGGGGTACTTGTTGGGGTCCATCCCTCCCTGACCCCCAGACTTAGCGTCTCTCAGGCATTCTACCAGCAGCTGAGTAAGAGTGTCTTTCATTTCTTCAGCCAATCTTGCTAACCATACCTGAATAATCAAAAGCATCGGTTTTATGTTTGTTTTATATTTGCTAACGTTATTTTTTATTTTCTATAGTATGATAATGGGACATCATTTGTCCTCTGGCCTTTATAAATATGAATATGTTTTTTGAAAATGAAATTCATGCATGAAATCTCTTTTTTTATTCTATTGGAGAGGATAAAACTAATTTTTACTATTCTACTATGTTGCCCTTTGCGCTTTCTAATATCTCATTAATATGTAATAAAAAACCTTTGAGGCCTGAAATAGGCCTGAGATTGAAACAGACATAACATTGAAAGAAACATTCTCAAAATTCATTTCGTTCATTGCAAACCTTCAAAGGCACAAGAGGCATGGATTGCACTGAATGGAGGCTAGGAAATTGTGAAAAGAAGTGATGGGATTGAATTACCTCAACTTCTGGAGTGATCTGTACTTGCTTCTTGAGAGGAACAACTTCCCCATCCAGGGACTTCATTGCAATTATATGTTTGCAGCCATCATCAAAATCCACACTGTGAATGCCTGCAACATAATATATTACATATAGGTGAATTATAATACATGTACAACTTCCCCATCCAGGGACTTCATTGCAACCATTGCAGCCATCCTCAAACTCAAGTTAAGTGTTTGAATTAGGAGTAACATGGGGATAAATGGGAGAATAAAAAGTGGGACATATACTGACTTTCCTTGTACAGGAATCAGCCTAGCTAAGAGGCAAAATACAATGCGAGTGTAAATTGTGTGTAATTGAATTGAATGTACATGTTATTGAATATTTACCTGCAAACAGCTTCTTAAGATGTGTTTGAATAACTGCTGGGTTCTGAGATTGTCCAAGAATCTCAAGCAAATCATCGTCACCAATGAAGTAAAATCTGGGGAATGATGACCTTTTTTCCTGCAAAGACATTTACATAAAATATATTGGAAATCATTTTCATGGTTTTATGAGCAAATTATGGGTAAATATACTTGTATTTTACACTGGAGGGTGAAAATTAAGGTTTTGATATAAAACACATTGAATATTTAGTCGCAAAACATTTCAAATCCCCTCACGGGCCTATATGAGCACATACCTCTAAGAATTCATTCAGGGATTTCTGGCAACGTTGGAGCTGGTCTAGCATAGTCACTAGCAGGTTTCTTAGGCCTGTCTTTGCTACGAATGACAAAACACGATTGTCTCTGTTCACATCATTCATTATGGCCCTAAAAGTACAACACAAACAATGCAATACATGTGCAATGCCAATTTTGGTGACCCTAGAAATGGCCAAACCTGAGTCTCAAACCAAGCGATTGGTGAAATTTAAAAAAGACCAAAAAGAATTACAAAATGATATCATGAAAGATGAAACATATAACAGGTAAGACCAGAATCAGTCATCAGGAAAAACAACCCCTAATTTTCAAAAATATGATCTAAAGAAACAATGTCTAACATCCCCTCCCCAACCACTCAGAAATTCATACATGCATATCAAGTTGAAACAAATCTTACCTAAAATCATCATCAACTCGCTTGAACCTTCCTTGTTCCTTTGGAAGGGCCCCTCGGCCAAATATGGGCTCCAAGTAGACCCATTTGCGTTGAATTTGATTGAGATTGTGCAAGAACTCATCCAGATCTGCCAATCGCTGTTCCCATATACTGGCCTTGTCCTCAAAGCTTTTGTAATATGGAGAATCTTTCAAGGATTGAAGCAGACACTGGTTATCTCCAACCTTAATTATAAGTAAGAATTGTATTTAATTTACAGCACCTGAATGATGAGTGGTGTACTTTAATTGGGCACGGTCTAAAGTATGAAAGGCTGAGTGCACTTAGTTTAAAAAAAATTCATTAAAAGAAGCAAGACTATGGGTTCAAGTTCAATAAAATGGTTCCTAATGCTTATTGAAAATTGAGAAAAACAAAAGGATCAAAACATGTTTTTGTTCATTTAATTAGCTCAAATATAGATACACTTATAAATGGTTCAAAGTTACATGCAGCTCTTGCTGTTTAGAGAATCATATCTGCATGTTCAGTAGTTCAATGCAAGGTTTATTTTTAATTCAAAATAAAACCACAAATCCCTACTTGGTTGACGAGATCTTTCCAATCTTTGATGAGCCTTAGGCTTGACTTCTTGCTGTCCTCGTATTCTGTGAGGGCAAACACAGCAGCAGCTCCCCACAGTTCCAGCTCTCTTATAGCTTCACGTATTGTCACCTCACCCTGGGCACGCTGGTTCAGTTCCTAAGAAATATAAATGGTTAACTCATAACAGTCTACATTTGCGTATACTCATAAAACACAGCAGCAGCTCCCCACAGTTCCAGCTCTCTTATAGCTTCACGTATTGTCACCTCACCCTGGGCACGCTGGTTCAGTTCCTAAGAAATATAAATGGTTAACTCATAACAGTCTACATTTGCGTATACTCATAAAACACAGCAGCAGCTCCCCACAGTTCCAGCTCTCTTATAGCTTCACGTATTGTCACCTCACCCTGGGCACGCTGGTTCAGTTCCTAAGAAATATAAATGGTTAACTCATAACAGTCTACATTTGCGTATACTCATAAAACACAGCTGCAGCTCCCCACAGTTCCAGCTCTCTTATAGCTTCACGTATTGTCACTTCTCCCTGGGCACGCTGGTTCAGTTCCTAAGAAATATAAATGGTTAACTCATAACAGTCTACATTTGCGTATACTCATAAAACACAGCAGCAGCTCCCCACAGTTCCAGCTCTCTTATAGCTTCACGTATTGTCACCTCACCCTGGGCACGCTGGTTCAGTTCCTGTTAAATATAAATGGTTAACTCTTATCAGTCTACATTTGCGTATACTCATAAAACATGGCAGTTCAGTTCTTAAGAAATATAAATGGTTAACTCCTCAGTGATACGGGAAGACTGCTAAGATTTGAGCTTCTTTATTTTGTATAAGGCTCAGTTACAAGCTTGACAAAATCTTCATGGTTATTCTGGATTGTATAAGGGACTATTCTATCAGTCTTCTGTTATTATACTTTCAAAACTGGCATTTTTTGTTGTCCACTTAAGAGCAAGTTCATTTTAGTTAGGCTGAATCACTTGAAAAACCCTCCCAATAATTCTTTTTATGATAGAAGCACCAAAATTGGTACAAGTGTAGCTGATTGTAATTGCAAAAAAAATGGCTCGAGGCAGCAAGTGATCCGGAGCCTCATTTTGGAAAAAATTCAAAATGGCCGCCAGTCTGTTTGTGATTTTGTCGATTTCTATTAAAATCTCAAGATCCTCTACCATATTAATAAAAATTGCATAGAAACCTCAAGAAGTGGCTTTGAAATTAATCTTTTTTGATGAACTGACATTTAACTTGAGTTTCAAATGTAAAACGGCGTGAAACAAGGTTCAGTATTATGACCTGTACTATTAAGTTCATAAATGACATATATTGTTATTCATCAAAAATTGTTAACCAAAGACTGAGTACTTACATAATATTGGATAATAAGATCTCTCACTTCTACTGAACAACTTGTATAAGAGAATATATTCAGCCACATATCCAAAATAAGGGGGTTATTGTTACAGTACCAGTTAGATGGTGCTACAATGCGAAAATGTCAATGCTGGGGCAATTTATGTTTGATAAATTGTCACAATTTATGTTTGATAAATTGTCTATGTTTTACATTTTTGATCACCATCTTTCTCAAATCTCAAATATTCTGTCCTTTATTGTTACTCTCACTAATCAGTGCAAAGCCTACTGCACTTACAAAGGTCTGTGCATTTTGCCCAGCCAGCTTTTTTACATAAACAATACTAAGGACGACACCCCTTGCTGCATTGACACTTTATGAGTTCTCTGCATGCTATTGACGTTTGCTGAAGAGTAAACCAAAAAGTGGAATCACGTGATCACCATCATCCTCCTCCAAGCCAAACTTCAAATAATCCTGGACACCACTTGGGCGAGGATCCAGTATTTGGCCTCAAACAATCCCTCCTAACAATCTCTCCTAACAATCTCTCCTAATATGCTGCTCAAAAGCTGCTTTAGTCGGAGGTATCTTGTCAATCTGTCTTCCCTTCTTGGTGAAAAGATATTTTCTGGTTGAGTTAATATCAGTTGTTGAACTTGTCCTGTCATAGAGAACAATGGCAAATATCTAAGCACAAGTGCCAAAGGGAAAGGACCAAAAGTTGAAATGGAACTCGGCAAGAAAAAGCAATCTCTAAGTGCATACCAGTCAAGAAAAGCAAACCCCATATATCCCAAAACCATGATCTAACGTGAAAAGAAACAATGTATAATACCCCCCTTCCCCCCACCATTCAAGAACCGATATCACAATCCAAGACCAGAACACCAAGGGACATTTCATACTTAAGTCATTACAATAAGAAAAAATTAGAAATTGATAGCCAATACTCATAACATTAAAAATAGTTGTAGATACAAGTACTCATACAAGATAGAGCATTCAGTCTCAAATGATGTGGGATAGATAAAATCCAGTCTCCAAGTCCATAGGCATTTCAAAGGGTCAACATCCATTCAAAAAAGCCGTCGCCATAATCCATAAAACACAATAATTCACAATGGTTGTGAAACGTTCCAATAGAAATAGAACTTCTTTTGCTATGTGATGTGGGTTTTGTTTTAAAGCGAGGAATGCTTCTGTTACTTCTGGATATTTATTCCATACTGCAGTACTGTCCAACATTATTTTTTCCATGGCCAAAGAATGACGATGTGCTATCACACCCAGTAAACAGTTACAAATGCAACCCATATGCTAATACCTAGTTGGGCAGAGGCAGCTACAGCAAGGACAACTATATCAGTATCATTGCTTCTGATAAGTATTCTGGCAAACCCTCTTCTAGCCATAAGGGCAATGTGGACAAACATTTTGGTATCTGCTTCTTCATGAGAACATGGCTCCAAGTCATTTGTATCACTAATTGCAGGATTGCAAATCACCTTCTCACCAATGGTGGTCACAATCTGTTTATATGCATCTAATGGAAGACTTGATAGTTTGTAGGCTAAAATACCAAACAACTCTTGCTTGTTGGAGTCATCTCTCAAGTAAGACTGCCAGTTTCTGGGCACAGTCTTACCAAGATAGGCCATCCTTCTGTCACCCTTCCCACACTTGTCTCGTTATCGTCTTCAGGCTCCTTGTCAGGTACTCATCCCAAAAATATATCGAGGCGATCAACATGTTGCAGCTGACCTTGGATGTAGGGAAGGAAAACATCAGTGGCATAATCCTCAAAGGTCTTTGCTGTAGTTAGTTTTAGAAGGTGTACTGAACATGCACCATCTATTATTTCAGGAACAACAACAGGCCTATCTTTTCCCCTAGGGACAATATCCTCCATGCAGTCAAGAAGCTCTGATTTGTCACCATTTCTGAGGACACCATACTTTGCCAGTAAAGGTGGATACTCCTGGTTCTCATGCATGAAAAAGTCATCAAGATCAATGTTTCTTGTCTGGCATGTGATGTATAATTTGGAGAATAAATCACAGTCATTTCTCATTTTCTTGATTTGAGATTTCTGATTTGTTCTTTTGGTTATTTTTTGCTAAACATTGCGATCTTGTGGCGTTTTATGGGTGTATCCAATGGTTCAGTTCTCTCCACAAGACGTTCAGTTGTATACTTAGTGAAGCTTTGGTTGCCAATGTCTTCTATACTTCTGATGGTGTCACTTACTGATACATATAACATCCCTTGTGTCAATAGTAAATACATCTTCACCTGACACAAGGAATGGATTGCCTAGTTTATCAATAGTAGTCACAACAGCAAATACATCATCTCTAAATTTCTGTTGGATGCTTGCTGTTTGCTCGTGGTGGCTAAAGTCTTCGTTGGCTTTCATGTCTCCTATACTTGAGACTTCTTCAAACTCTTTGATGATCTGGGATATTGCAGGACCAGCTATCATCCATCGTTTCAGTGCAGTAGGATTCTCTGTTATTCCTATAGCCCCACCAGAACCCTTAATCAGAGCATTATTTGCTCATGGGCCTGGTCTATAGGGATGGTTGAGAATGACCTAGGTGTCTTCTGAACTGTAAAGAGACCTTCATTGAAACGCTGATACAGGTCAGGGTGAGTTGTCTCCAATTGGACCATGTCCCTTAGGTGTATTGGGAGCCATCTGGAATAGTGTGTATGATCTAATGCAAAAAACCAGGGCATCATCTTGGTCAAAACAGAAATGTAGAGTTTAAAGTCTGCCTCTCTCAGGGATCTAACAAAGATCATAAGCAGCATTTCAAGGCGCTGTGTTATAGCCCAGTATTTGAAATGGGGGAATTGTCTTCCCCTTCCCTTTTCCATTCTTCAAAGGATAGGGGGCACAGTACTGCAAATCCTGTAAAATTGGCCAACATTAATGTCAAACTCAAAAGCCATTAATCACAACATCTGGCTCTGCTGCTGCTAGCAGAAGCCAGCTCTGGCATTAAACCTGGCTCTAAGAATATTCTACTCCCCAACTTTCTCTCTATTTCTCTGAACATTCTAGTCTTATCTGTCAACAAATTAATTAACAGGCCATTACTTTGATATGTTCCACACTTCCTAGAATTACAAAACTCTAAGTAGGTGCTTTAGTTTTAAAGATATAGGTTGTTCAAATTAGGAGGTTTACTTTATATCAGCTGATCACAAGCATGATATTAAAAGTGAAATTTCACATAAAGATCAAAATTTTATTTCAATAAAAGTTACATCATTTTAAAGTGCAAAGAACATGGATTAAAACTTTAACAGGAATATTTCTGACTCAGATCTTAATCAACAGTGAAAGAGCGAGAATCAAAGGAATGTACTTACAGTATACAATAAGCTGGATCTAAACTGTTATAATTAATAGCTATGTATGCTTAAAGTACTTTACAGGACAATGTAATATTTCTTCAAAGCTTTCAAGATTGCATCAATTAACTATTGATTACAAATTATCACAATGGAAAACCATAAAATGTATTTAGATAATACATGTCGAATCTGTGGAGAAAGGGCACAAAAAGGATCGGATATACGCTATAAGAAAAAGCCATTCTATTGTGAACGATTCCAAATAATGATGTTAGAATATTATGAAATTGATATAAGTAAAGATGTTGGTGACATACACCCCAAAAAAATATGTCAAACATGTTATAAGAGAATGTGCAATGCCCATAGATCAAAAAACAAAAAGTCATTTAAACTCTTTAACTTCAAAGAACATACTCGAAGAAGTTGTAGCCTTTGTATTAAGTATGAGGATAGGAAAATTGCAGGAAGACCAAAAAAGAGTAAAGGTCTTGATACTCAAACAGATGAAATTCAGCATAATGATGGCAGTTCAATAACATCAATGGATACCACACCTGAGATTGTACTCCATACAAGTAAACATAATGATGACAGTTCAATAACATCAATGGATACCACACCTGAGATTGTACTCCATACAAGTAAACATAATGATGACAGCTCAATAACATCAATTGATACCACACCTGAGATTGTAATCCATACAAGTAAACATAATGATGACAGTTCAATAACATCAAGGGTTACCACACCTGAGACTGTACTACGTATGAGTAAACATAATGATGACAGTTCAATAACATCAATGGATACCACACCTGAAATTGTACTCCATACAAGTAAACATAATGATGACAGTTCAATAACATCAATGGATACCACACCTGAGATTGTACCCCATACAAGTAAACATAATGATGACAGTTCAATAACATCAATGGATACCACACCTGAGATTGTACCCCATACAAGTAAACATAATGATGACAGTTCAATAACATCAATGGATACCACACCTGAGATTGTACTCCATACAAGTACACCTAAGGAACAAAATCAAGTTCAAATGAAGGACTGTGCTACTTCTCCAATTACACTAACTACACCTCACAAGACATCTGCTGCCGATATCATTTCTAGAAAAGTTACATCTCCAACATCGCGGATCGATGAACAGGTGGGATTAAATGTTATCAGGAGGAAGCTTAATATGTCGTCGTCTGATACAATTTCATTTCAAAACACAAAAGGTCGACCCGTGGTTCTAAAAAAACTTGTAATGCCCACAAAAGAAAGTTGTGTAGCAGGACCTTCATCTTTAAAGAAAAGAAATAAAGCAATTAATGATGTATCTTCTAAGATGTCAGGTACCTCATCATTCCTCAAACAAAGAAAAAGCTCTACATCAGAGAAAATAGTGATTGACAGCGAACCCTCATTAGCCATGAAAACACTTTTAAATATGTCTTGGACAAAATATGATGAAGGTAGAGACATGTTGAAAGATCGAGGGGTGCACCTTAAGTCTCAATCCACATTGAGGAAAGAACGAAAAAAACTCTTAACTCCCAATATAAAAAATACCACAATAAATGCGAGTGTCAAAGCTGAGGGATCAGCATCAAGCATAAAGGGTTACAAAAATCAGGAGGAAGTTGTATCGCATATTGACGATCTACCATCATTTGTATCTAATCTATTAGATGAGTATGACGCAACTGACAAATTGACAAGGTCTTTTCAAGATGATGAGCAATGGCTAAAAATTGGTAAGTACAATAGTTGAATAATTGAGTTTTTTTGAAAATATTAATCAACTGAATAATTGATTATTAATTATTGTTACAGTGATACAAAATTAGTTCGAATTTCCACCATAATAGATTATTTGATAAATGGTTTTAAATCCTTCCTCTTCAGGCGGGGATCATGGACGGGGAACATTTAAACTGTGCTTGCAGTCATGCAATGTTGAAAAACCGAACGCCAAACAAAACACAATAATATTTGCCATTACAGAAGCTAAGGACAGTATTCACTCAAACATTGTAAAATTGAATGACATAATTAGTGAAGACATCTTCAACCTTCAGCTTTTGACTTGGAGAGACAGGCCCGTTAGAGTATATGTTTATGGAGATTATGCTTTTTTGGCAACGATATATGGTATTTCTGGAGCACAAGGGAAATACCCGTGTTTGTGGTGCACGATCCGAAAAGATGATCTTGATATTCCCAGTCACCTGAGATCATCACGTGAAAGGACATTAAAATCGCTATGTGATGATCATACAAAGTTCAAAAACGAAGGTAAAGGAGTCCTGTCAAATGCGTCAAGTTACAACAATGTGATTCATAAACCTTTGTGGCCTATAGAAATATCTCATGTCTGTCCTCCCTACCTCCATATATTACTCGGCATTGTAAAGGTACATCACGATATGCTTGAACGTGAATTGCATAAGATAGATCTACGTATTGCTAAACTGATGGCCAGAAAGAGTAGCCCATTAGGAGAGACACTTTATGATCAATATGTTAAATCCCTCAGAAATAGAATGATCATACTGAGCAAAACAGGACATCTTGAAAATGAGATTCAATTCATGGAAACTGAAAATGAAAAATTGAAGGCAGGTGCAACATTAGCAAGTTTCCACAAGAAACTGAGGAAACTGGAGACCAAACTCGATGTAAAATCTGGACCCATGGTAGAGCACCTAAATCAAGTTATTCTCAAGAAACAAAACATAATTCAGACAGATTACCACAGCAGGCAATTCACTGGTAATCATTGCCACAGATACATCAAAAAGAAAGTGAGGAAGGAAATTAGACACGGCCTGAATCAAAAAGTTAAAGAGTTAACAAAAAATCCCAAAATTCATGAAACCGTGAACACTATTGGACATACATTTGGAACCCTCAATCGGCTGTACTTCAACATTCACAAAGCTGTTAGCCATATGCTACCTATACCTGTAACAGAAATACCAGGAATAGAGACAAATATTGAGTTGTACATGCAATTCTTCCGAGATAACTGCAATAGAAAAACTACTCCAAAAATGCACTTTCTGGAAGACCATGTAGTCCCTTGGATTCAGAAGTGGGGCTATGGACTTGGTCTTCATGGAGAAAGTGGGTGCGAGAGTATCCATCATGAAATCAACAAGATGACAAATTTCAAGTCTGTCATTGACAAAAAAGTGAAATACATGGGGATTATGAAAGAGCATCACCTGTCTGTTAAGCCAAACTTGCAAAAATATTGCAAAGCAAAAACAAAAAAATCAAAATTATCAAAACTACTCAACAAGTAGTTATTAAAAACGCAATAGTGACAGAGCATGGAAAAGAAATATTTAGAGATACAATGCTACAAATATACACTATAGTGACAAAATAATTCAAGAACAATAATCATGCATATACCATATATCTGATAGTATGTCTCTGAGTGTATGGACTCTTGATTGAATGCATAGCTAAACAGACTGTAAGTACAGCTTTTGACTTTTTAGTGACTTTTTACTTGTTTTTGGAAATTAATTAAAATAGTTATAGGGGTTAGTAAGACATGAGATGAATTGTAAATGGTAGATTTCTCTATTCCGAATAATTCTGTATTTTTTCATAATATATAAATTCTGATCAAGATATGATTTTTTACTTTAAAAAACATAAGCATACTTCTGAATTGGCCTATATTCACAAACACTGTGCATTTGACCATCAATGGAATGTTCCTATTTATTCACATATTACAAAAGGGTTCTCTGTGAATTTTATACCATTGTGAAGAGAATTAATTTTATGTTAAATATATATAACTTTTAAAATGATTTGTTGTTCAAGCACATCAAAATAAGGTAAAGTTGTGAGGCGGTTTAATTCCAAAAGTCAGCTCCTAGCATAACTGATTTTAATGCTATGGTATCAAGTTAAGCCAGTGTTAGCAGTTAAATCTAAGCGCGCTATCCTGATATGTGGTAATTAATCATTGTAGCAAGCCTGAGATCATGACATTAATGTTAACATAGGCTACAGTACTGTGGGGGGCTACATCACTGAGTTCGGCAACAGCTAGGTATATGTTGAAAGCTTTCTTCATTAGGATGTGGAGTGCTGCCAACGTAATTTGACGTGCTCTTCGAGTCTTGGTTATATGGCTTCCTTTTAGGAAGGACTCTGCAGTACCAACTGATGCTGTATTTGACTGAGCAATTACATTTACCCAACCGCTGTCTGTCAGCCAATCACCAATCACCTTCTGGAATGCCATTTCTATATGGAGACCTCCAAACATGATCAAGTATTTATCTTCCCCATGTGTATCAGGGTATATCTATTGAATGGTTTTCAGGGAAGCAAACAATGGTTGGTCAGCCGCAAGAACTGGTATTTGACCAGGATTTACTATATGTATGTCATGTTTGACTATGTACATACCATGTTTTAACATGGCTAGAGATTTTTTCCAAAAGAAAATATATTTAAAATCCCTTCAGTGCAGAGTCTATCTTGCATTTATTCTCAATCATATGTGTGACTCTCATATTGATATGTATAATTATGAGTAATTCAATAAAAGCTTATAAAATAGTACAAGGCTTAATACTGAGCCTTGCTGAACACCCGTTTTAATGGTTAAATATATTGTAAAGTAGTTCCTATATCACAAGCAACTGTCTGGAATTCACTTAAACAAATACAATTGGTTTAGAGCTAAAATACAACACTAATTCAAATTTCTTAAAAATCTATATGTATTGGCGGCCATCTTGGATTTTTCTAGAACGAGGCTCCGGATCTCTTGCTGCCTCGAGCCAATTTTTTTCAATTGCCTTCAATTACACTTGTACCAATTTTGGTGCTTCTATCATAAAAAGAATTATCGTAAGGTGATTAGGCTTAGCTATTTGAAATGCATGTTATTTAAAAACAGCAGACAGCAGGTCCTGTCAAGTGAAATAGTCTTAAACATTGGAAAATATTTATATATAATCCAAAATATCTTTACAATTTGAGGAATTATGGTAAATGAAAACACAGAAAGAAATCCTGTGCTAATCGCTGATGTGAAGTCAGTCCACCCCAGTGGGGATCAGACCCGTGGAGACCCTTGTGGGTTTAATCATATTAACTCACCTTTAATGCATCTGCATTTTTTATGATCTCATCCGAGCATCCCAAAATGTCACCAAAAGTCAGTTTCTCAAGTGTAGTGCCTCGAGGCAGACGGACCAATCGGAACAGCTCTAGCCAGTGATCCTGGGAGAGAGGCTCTCCACGTACCCATTTCAACACTGGCAAGACATGCTACAAAAGAAATCGAAACAATTCAAGAAAATGGTTTCCATAGAACGACAATATCTAATTTTCTTGCGTGATTCTATTAATCAATATGAAACTGTTTTTTTTCCATTTAATTCTCTCATAAAGGTTCTATGAAAATGCAATAGCTAATTTTCTTCAATGATTTCTATTCAATATAGTGTTACACACTTTTGTTTATTCCTTTTTAAAACCTCTCTTTCCAACTCCATTTTATAACAAGACCCCTTGTATCAACAAAACCTCCCTTTAAAACTCCAATTTAAAACAAGACCCCTTCCCCTTGTATCAACAAAACTGTTTCTCATTATTTACTGTATTCATATGAAAATAGTCCAATCTCTTCATATAGGGTGACATGGTGAGCAGCATTTCTGGAATGTTTTGAGAAAAGAACATGCAGTGAGATATAACTGACTTACCTTGTAAGTATCAATGTCTTTCTGCAGCCTCACTGTCATTGTAGTTGTGTCTCCAGTCTTCAACTTCTCGTACCACTGACCAAGAAACTCTTCAAACATGTAGGACTTACCCCTGTAAATATGAGAGCCATTGTAAAATACATGCATTATCATAAACTATATTGGAGATCATTTTGAGAACATGGAAAGTAATGGAAAACTATGTACTCAGAAAAGAGATATCTTAAGACATTTTGATTTTTGAATTCTTACAAATACAGGGGCAAGAAATTAAAAAAGAGCCAAATTGAAGATAATGATGCACTTCTATCAGGCAGCATACATTTGAACAGTTTTAGCGTAAAATTAAGTCTAAATATATTTTCTGTAAATGTTTGTCAAGACAAGGCAACTTAGTGACTGCCTAATAACTGCTAAATCTGTATATAGCACGTATATAGCAGGTTCATAAATTCACATTTTAAATGGAAAAGTAAAGTCTTAAATATTTTCACCTGAATGAGATCCAGTCCTCTTTGGCCAGCTCCTGTAGACCATTGTTAAACTCTTCGAACAGTCCCCACATAGACTCATACTTCGTAAGGTCTTCACGCACCTCATCTGCTACGGGGAACTCTGGGACGTCAAGCTCAAAATGTGCGCAATCAGATCTACAATGAAATCAAATGGTTGCTTTACAACAATTTGGTTGTGTAATTTGTGTTCAACCCCTGATAGGTAGGCAAAATTGGAAGGGAATAGAAAATGCAGCCTGATTGGTAAAAATGATAAACTTTGCGAACCCATCTTTATGACAATAGACAAAATGAGTGAAATCAACAGACAGGAATATTGTAAATTATAATTCTATTGTAGAAACTTCAGGAAGTTTGGTTTTAACAATTGGGGAAAATGGCCTGTCATCTATTGCTAGCAAAATCCCTGGATTATCAAATACCCATGTAATTTATTATGATTTTAACAAATATTAACATGATCCAAAATCATCAGCATAATCCAAAACAGCCTTACACAAGTTTCTCACGATTAGCGTCAATTTCTTCAAACTCTTGTTTCCGTTCACGAATAGATGTCACTGCCTTCATTGCAGTTTCTCTATCGCCATCTAGTGAATCATTTCCTGGTTTCAACTGGTGCCATCTGGCCGCAAACTTCTCAATTTCTTGCTCAAAGGCTTTCACTCGTGACTGGACATTACTTTTCATAACATCAACCTACAAAGGAAATACATTGGATTACATTAAAATTGGTTTTATATGTTATATATCAATTACTAAACTTATAACAAATCTTCAGGAATCAAGTATTAAAAACACAAAAGAGTGATTTGCAAACATTAAGAATTATTATTGGACTTAGCTTGTGTGTTTTCAGATAAACATGCATCATACTATGAATCTATGATTTCAGATATATTTAGGCAAAATTAATCTGATATTCGAAATGTAAAGTGTCTCCGTTTATTTGACTTTTAAGACCTTGCATCATACAGAAAGAAATTTGGGTATTTTTGATATAAAAATTGTCAACATAGGTTATCAATGGATGGGCCAAACTATAATAATGTTGGGGATTCTAATTGAAAATACCTGTTCTTTGACCATCAGTTGATGGCTCTCCATCATAAGTTCAAACTTATCCCAGCGTCCCCGGAGTGTTGTCAAAGTATCAACACCACCTCCTGCCACGGATCTTAGAAGCTTGTTCTTCGTCTCGGCTTTTTCAAAAAGAGGCTGTACCTGAAAGAATCAAGGCACAATCGGTTGTAATTTTTGGCTGTGGGATGGGAATTTCCTTTTCACATTTTTCAGATTTTCGTTTCAAACTTCTAAATACTTCTTTAATATTTGGCTCAAACTTCAAATTTTACATAAAAACACTTGTGTATTGACCCTACCTCTGATTTGGTTTTGCCAAACTCTTGGTGTTTAGCATTAGCCTCCCCAATCTCCTCAACAGTCTGAGGCCTTGCACTAAGAGTCTCCATGGCACCATTTAGGAAGGTGTCTATTGCCCCAAGGTCAGTTGTGATGGACTTGCGTAAAGCATTCAGGAGTGAGTCAAACAGTCTCTGGATATGGTCATCTACAACTGCTTTAACAGGGTTGCAACTCACTGTGATACAGTCAACCTTGATTTGGCTGGAAATGAGATAAGATTGCATAAATATACAATTAGGCATTGAGGAGTGAGTCAAACAGTCTCTGGATGTGGTCATCTACAGTCAACCTTGATTTGGCTGGAAATGAGATAACATTAGAGATGAGATGCAAAATGCAATATAATCTAAAGATTTACCTTCCAGTTATCTAAAAATCTGTTTAAAACTATACCATTGGATTTCTATGGGAATTCCGAAGAGAATATTCTAAGGATTAATGTAGGTGTGAGCATTACATAATTTGAGAAATTATTAGCATAAATGAAATCTATTTAAAACAGAATTCATCTTATTGAAAAGATGATTCCAAGCCCTCTGAAGTTTGAAAAATGAGAAATATTTTTGGATTATATGGTGTAATCTTATAGTCAATAAAAGTTTTAAAAGTGTATTCATGTTTTTTTAGATGAAAACCATAAGCGAAATGCATGAAAAAACTGCCCCGATTCATTCTTCATACAACTAGCGGTCCTCTGAACAAAATCCATGGACTGGTATTTCAGTTATTATCTGGACACACTAATGAAAAGACGGATGGCTTCACTGTATCACAAAAATGTTCATTCATGGGAATTCTAATAATTGCTACTGAATAATATTCTGGTTTGAAAAAGTCACTATACCCCAGTGGGACTAATTGTACTGCTGAATGGAAAGATTAAGCGAATACTAATTGTATAATGATGTTGATTTTGCATCGACACAATATCCTTTCTCTTTCAATAATTAATCACTTAAAAAGAGTCCAATAATATTTGTTCAACATTCATTATTTACAAAGCGGCTATTCAGGAAAAGCATTAAAAAGATCACATAAATTCACATAATATAGTGGATTAGTGGAAGCAATAGTCTGAAACTGAATTTTCAAATTTTATTGTAAATACAGTGTGCTGATATGTCTAATCAACTTTTGTTGTGATTGTTCGTTAGTTGAAGTTTGTTAGCAAAAACAGTACAAATATAAGAGAAACACAGCATTCACTCTCACAATGTGGATGGTTGTCTTAGTAACCATTGGCAGATACATTCACAAAGTTTTAGGATAAACTCCGAGATGGAAAATGTAACATTTAACCTCAGCATGGACAAAATTAACAATTTTGGAAATGATAGAGATATAAGTTTCACAAATATTTCAGTCACACTCTTTAACAGCAATTTTCTGAAGATGACAAATGCTGTTCTTTATTCCGTTTTTCAACTGTTGTTGCCTAATATTGTGGCAGGACTTGGACTAATAGGGAACCTACTGTCATTCTTGGTGCTTTCAAAGGAGAAAGTTTCAAACACAAGAATATTTCTTCTAAAGACGCTAACTATAACAGACTCAACTTTTCTCCTACTGACCATTCCTTTTTCTGTGAATGGCAGGCACCAAATTGGGGATATAACCTTTAACGTGGACATATCTGATTTTATTTATTTATTACTACCGAGTTTATCTGCAGCATCTACTCTCACAACTTGGATGGTTGTCTTAGTAACCATTGACAGATACATGCACATAACAAAGCCAATCCGTGTAAAGACACTGTTAACTGTGAAACGAATGAAATGGACTGTAGGGTGCCTCGTAGTAGGAGCATGCCTCTACAATGTACCTAGATATTTTGAATGGCATCATGGTGATGGTACTTGCTTATTAAGTTGTAATCCAAGCTATAACCTTATATATAATGTGATTTTAAATGCAACCTTAAGGTACTTTGGACCAGTTTTCATAGTTTCTATTCTTAATGTGAGATTAGTTAAGGCCATCCAAAACTCCCAATCAAAACTTAAGCAGATGACATGTAAAGAAATTGAGGAAAGAAATCATGGCATTACAATGATTGCAATTGTGTCAGTATTTATGATATGTTCAATATCAAGTTTGGTGACTGAAGTCACAAACATGCTATCGATGTATAATATTATTTCACTGCCAATTTTCAAACAAATTATGATGGACACTGTCTCCAATTTTTTTCTTGTATGCAATTCATCGTTTAATTTTGTAATATACTTCATGATAGGAAAATCGTTTAGGAAGAAGTTAAAACAATTATTTAAGGGAAAGAATAACAATACACCAATTCACTAATGAGTTAGCAATTCATGATTACACTAATTTAAATAATAGTAATTCACAAATGGAAAAACAATTCACAGATGGGATACCAATTCACAAATGGAGTAACAATTCATGATTGGAATAACAATTCACAGATGGAATACCAATTCACAAATGGAATAACAATTTACAAATGGAATAACAATGCACAGTTGAATAACAATTCACAAATGGAATAACAATTCACAAATGGAATAACAATTCACAGATGGAATACCAATTCACAAATGGAATAACAATTCACAAATGGAATACCAATTCACAGATGGAATACCAATTCACAAATGGAATAACAATTCACGATTGGAATAACAATTCACAGATGAAATACCAATTCACAAATGGAATAACAATTCACGATTGGAATGACAATTCACAGATGGAATACCAATTCACAAATGGAAATAACAATTCACGATTGGAATAACAATTCACAAATGGAAATAACAATTAGCAAATGGAATAACAATTCACAAATGGAATAACAATTCACAGACGGAATACCAATTCACAAATGGAATAACAATTCACGATTGGAATAACAATTCACAGATGGAATACCAATTCACAAATGGAATAACAATTCATGATTGGAATAATAATTCACAGATGAAATACCAATTCACAAATGGAATAACAATTCACGATTGGAATAACAATTCACAAATGGAAATAACAATTAACAAATGGAATAACAATTCACAAATGGAATAAAAATGCACAATTGGAATAACAATTTACAAATGGAATAACAATGCACAATTGGAAAAACAATTCATAAATGGAATAACAATTCACGATTGGAATAACAATTCACAAATGGAATAACAATTCACGATTGGAATAACAATTTTCAAATGGAATAACAATGCACAATTGAAATTACAATTTACAAATGGAATAACAATTCACAAATGGAATAAAAATGCACAATTGGAATAACAATTTACAAATGGAATAACAATGCACAATTGGAAAAACAATTCATAAATGGAATAACAATTCACGATTGGAATAACAATTCACAAATGGAATAACAATTCACGATTGGAATAACAATTTTCAAATGGAATAACAATGCACAATTGGAATAACAATTCACAAATGGAATAACAATTCACAAATGGAATAACAATGCACAATTGAATAACAATTTACAGATGGAATAACAATTTACAAATGGAATAACAATTCACAAATAGAATAACAATTTACAAATGGAATAACAATGCACAATTGAATAACAATTCACAAATGGAATAACAATTCACGATTGGAATAACAAATTACGAATGGAATAACAATTCACAATTGACCTGCGATCAGAATTCAAGTATTTTGTTTGTGGATACTGTTGTCATGTATTTCGTCTTATTGGTATGACGTCATATAAAAATGATATTAGACATGATGGAGGGACAAAATGGAGGACACATGGCAGTTTTGAGCTGAAAATATTATCGTTTCTTTTATGAAAGCAATGGGTCGGATATTTACCAGGTATGCCGATTTGACTAGATCGTGAGTTTATCTTTATATGTGTGAAGTTTCGGTGAAATTCAAACTAAACATTGATGCCTATAAGTGCCCCCCATTTTTATCAAAATCGGGGGGCGCTTAACTGCTATCTAAATCATGTCAGTAGGATCTAAGACTTGGCATGTGCCTAGAATGAATGTTGATCTAGTCAAATCGAACACTTTTGTGAAAAATAAATCAATAAAGCACGAAATATAGAAGATAATCTCTCAAAATCAAACATCTAAAGATGAGTGGCCTAATTGTGATGTCACTACAAGATAGAATCCATCCAGTGATCGCAAATCATCAATTGAATAACAATTCACAAATGGAATAACAACTGATGAATATCATTGTATAATATATTCCAAATGGAGCAATAAGGTATTAATAATATAATAAACATAATAAATTGCTTAAAATACAAGTTTTTTCATTCCCCTTAAATGTGGCCCAAAGCACAGCCACTTACACATGTACTGTTGTAATCTTTGTACAATGAATCAATAACTGAATAAAAAAATCCACTTAATATTATACATGTACAAGGTTTCAAAAACAATGGTGCTCTCTAATGTAGAAAAAGATCTTAATGATGTAGAATGAATTTTGAATGATGTCCCTAAGATTATTTGCATTCAACAATAAGTGTTTTACAGTGATAACACATAACTGCTCCAAATTAGAAAACAGCAACTCCATGGAGTAGTAGATCTCACTGAACAAAACATATAACTCTTTGTCATGCAGTACTCAGTTGCCAGGCATTAGCATATAAAATTGGAACCAAATCCATCAACTATAGTATTTGAGTTATCAAAGGTTGATTTTTATGAAAAATGGTGACTGTGCAGTGAGTATTTTAAATTAAGTAGCCATATTCCTACTCCAGCAGAGATCCTACAGTCAATATGGTACAACGAAAATGGGACTTCTGCGCATGTTAAGATTTTTCGTCAAAACTCAACTTTTGTTCAAGTTGATACGATTGTCTTTCGAACTAGAGACTTACCTCATTCAAAAGATCATAAAAGACTTTATCTATACTGAAAATCTTAGATCCAAACATAGTAGAATACGCCGTCAGTCCGCATTTGATTTTTTGAAGTGAGTTTCGTAGATCGTCAGATTTCTCCGACTGATATCGGGTTATCTCAAACTGGTTCGTTTATAAATACGAATTTCTTTACCGTTGTAAGGCGCATGCGCAAAATTGATTTATAAACCTTATTGGTTGATGGTTTTTCTCCTGCGCATGCGTGAAGTCTGATGAACACTTATGACGAAGACCGGAGCAAACATTACTAGCTCTCAAACGAAATTCCAAGATTCAGGTCATTTCGCCGTGTTTGCTAAGCGTGTATACGTGAATGACAAGCTGTTTTGAGTAGATCGGGTACCTGTTTTAGACACAACATTGATTTAGCTTGACATTGATGTGCACATTGGTACTTTTGAGCATGTTAATACAAGTTTTTACACGCTTAGCACGAGACGGGTTTTCGAAAAATCTGTTATCTGATTCACTCGATTATCGTATGGATATGTATTTCTGCTGACATTTCAACACCACATCACATAGAATTACGATGCAGAATGATAATAAAACACAAAACAACTACTAAATTCCACTTGTTATTTCACAGGAGCTAAAAATGCAAACTGCCTAGATTCTTTGTAAGGGTCGTCAGACATCGGATTGGCCGCCATATTTGAAATGAAAATATCACTAAATAGAGGTCTGCGCATGCCTCAACATTTCGACTGCCTAGCAAATGCCATAAGGTCAAACAGAGGTCACATGATTCATGATGATGTCAGAGGTCAAGAAGTAACAACTGAGTAATTCATTTACCAAAATTTTCACAATGAGGATCTCCCAACCAGATCAAAATCTCCTCAGGGCCCATCAATAAATCACTAAAAACATCTTACCTTGGTAGTTTCTCAGCATCTCTACCCCTGGCTTTGAGTGCCTTGAAATTCCTCTCCCAGTCTTGCAGTGAGTGTAGTTGACTCTCAACATATTCATCTAAGTCCAGTGCCCCTAACACAACCCAGTCCTGTAGTGTTAAAGCATATACTTATAACATGTGGAACCTAGTCTTAAAGATTCAGATTTACTCCCTGGTAAGAATGGAATTTAGGATTAATTGTCATCAGTTTTCCAAAATAATCAAGGAACATCCACAGGAATTTGTCCAAAACCTTATCTTTATGACACATCCACCCAAATACAAGCAAGTTGATCCAATCAAGTAAGGGATGAGACATGTAAAATATGGGGTTTATACTTTCCTAGTTATATTTGATAAAGCATTTACACTTTTTGTGAGCGTAACGAATATCTAACAAATTTCCTGACTCATCTTTTCAGTTTAATTCCTAATGATTTACCTTGAACTTTTCTTGGACTGCGGACAGTCTACTAAACAGGAAGTCAGCCTTCTTGTAACATGTGATGAATCCTGCTGAATTGCGATCGATGATAGCGGGAAATATGAGATTTTCTGTGGAGTCACTCACACCTTTGAAATGGTTTGGAATACTGATGAATTTCTTCATCTCTCTGAAGTACTTGGCTTTGACTTCTTCCAGTGCAGGCCTGAACTGAAGTCTCTGCTGCCTGAAGATGAAATAGATTTCATGTATATTTGTACAAGGATTTTCATTGGTTGATACACATGCAAGGTACTGTAGATTGGGTTAATCTGGCGCCTGCTTTAATTTGGCGAAATTGAAAAATTAAATAGCCGCCAATATACCAAAAATTACAAAATCGCCAAATTAAGTAGCGCCAAATTAACCCAATCTACAGTAATACTGTGACAATAAACACCTACCGATGCTTACAAAACTGTAACAACTTGTTACAGATGTGTCAGTTCTTGATAGTGACATAAAATACCATTTCATTATTTTATCACGAAAAGAATTCACTCTTATTTTTCAAACTGAGTGTCACTGTTTCCAAAAATTATATGACAAAATAAGGAAATAAATACACATGGACCATTTCATTTTTCTTTAATACTCACAATTAATGCCAACAGTTCAAAATAGTATTAAATTCTTTTTTCAATAATTGCAGGGAGAAGAAAAAAGAAAAAAAATTAAATATGGACTCAAGAGTGAAGTGAGTGGTGGCAGGGAAACCTACACATTTGCACATTTTTCTAAAAATGATGCAGTGAGCTTGAGAATTTTCAAATTAGTGGATTTAGTTAAGTTTGAATATCCATAAAGAAATAATTCTACTTTGTCCCTCTTGTGTTTGAATTGAGAATAACCAAAATTAAGAAAAGCTAAATTGTTTTCCAACTCTTCTATTGTATTAAATTGGACTGAATATATATACAACATACCCTCACCCTCTCTTATTAAAAATTCATGAAAAATTTATTGTTCAATATACATGTACCTTATTATAAGAAAGAAGGACTTGGCCTAACTTGAAACAAGGTCTACAGAAAACACCTATACCTGTAAGTTAGTTCAACCTTGATTTCAGGTAAATTCTCATTAAGGGCCTCTAGTCCCATCTGGTACTGGTGCTCTAATGCCTTATACAGCTGTCTGTCCCAGTGAGCCTTCCAAGGTTTCATATTACTTGCAGAGAACCCCTGCAAGAGAGATAAAATCTTAAAGCAACATTTCATCATCATCTGAATGTCTATTAAAAAAACATTCAAAAAGTGGCTGTCGGGGTCTTTTTACAAAATTACACATATTCACACGTTTGTTGCCTAAGCTTTCCACAAGCCTGAATATCAACTCTTAACAACATTAAATCTGAAAAAAAATATTTTCATTTTAATGTTCTCTCTGTAAACCACATACCTGAGTGACAAGGTTCGCCATGAGCTGTCTTATCTCCATCAAGATGTCCTTCCAGCGAGACTGTTGCCGCAAAAGATCTATTCCTATTAGACTTGAAACCTGAAATTGTTGACAACACTTTTTGAGTCATGTATCTTATTTTCAGTAGTTGTAGGTGTTGGTAGAGTTCAAGAAATTACAAAACATTTCTGTCACTTGGGTAAGATAATTTCTGAATTTCAAGAATTCACAAAACTTTTTCTAAATTACATAATATCTGGAATTTAAGTTGAGTTAAGGTCTCATGGAAGTTAACAAGAAATGACAAAACAAAAAATGACAAAGCCATGCTGGATTTTGAAAATTTTTTGAACCAAGATAACAGAGTTCTGTTTGGACCTCCAGTCAGTTTAACTAGTTCCACATATCATTTACATGACTGGCAACACAATTGAAATGGTCAGAATGACCATAAACATGATAAAATAACCTTTTCAGCCCTTTGAAAATGTGACTGAAAAATAGCTAAAAGTAGGTGCTCAGGAAAGGTCAATCAACAGAATCTTTTGATTTTTTCAGAAAATGTGTCCAATATATTGCTCTAAATGACACAATCTTTGAAATTTAAAAAAATTGTCTGAAACAATAATGGCTGTTGTAAAAAGGAAAATAGATCGATTTTCAATTCAGTTTTTTTAAATTTTTTCTTTTTCTAAGAATGATATCAAATTTGTTTAAATTGTATCATTTAGAGCAATATATTGGGCACATTTTCTGAAAAAGTCAAAAGATTCTGTTCAGTGACCTTTCCTGAGCACAGACTCTTAGCTATTTTTTAGTCACATTTTCAGAGGGCTGAAAAGGTTATTCTATCATGTTTATGGTCATTCTGACCATTTCAATTGTGTTCCCGGTCATGTAAATGATATGTGGAACTAGTTAAACTGACTGGAGGTCCAAACAGAACTCTGTTATCTTGGTTCAAAAAATTTTCAAAATCCAGCATGGCTTTGTCATTTTTTGTTTTGTCATTTCCTGTTAACTTCCATGAGACCTTAAATTAATTTTCAGGCTCATCATATCGAGTTTGATTTAGGTGTTAGCATGTACTTCAGTGCTTTCAGTAGGTTTGTCCAAGGGTGTGTCCCTGGGACGGATTGATTTTCAAAAAGCACTGAGTCTGTACCATGTTTCGACGCTATTGTTAATGAAACAAATGTTGTTCACATAATCGATGCTTTACCTTGTCTGCCACTATGTGGTGGCTCTTCCTTAGTCGTCTATTCTCTGATGTCAGCCTGTCTGCAGCTGCTTGGAGCTTCTGGATGTAGTTTTCCAACTCATCTGGGTTATCCCATGTCACCTGTACACCATCCCCTTTAGCTTTTGTACCTAACATAGAGCACAATGTGTTCAAACCTGCTTTGTTCTTAATTTAGTTAAACACTTCAGGCCCGTAGCCAGGATTTGCCAAGTTGGGGTTCACTTTTTGAAAAATTCCAGGGGGGTTCACTTGTGACAATTTTGGTCCAAAAATGGCCAAAATCACTTCAAAAGTGCTCAGAATGGTGAAAAACTGCATGATTTTGAAAGATTTTTGTCCAGGGGGGTTTTGCTCCAACCAATCGAACCCCCCATGGCTATGGGCCTGCTCTGAGTGGAAATAATCGGTTGATCTGTTGAATAATTTGAGGGGACTTAGGGAGGCGGACAAAAATATAATTTCAGCCCCAATTTTACCAAAACAGACAAAATGCATTATAATTATATTCATACAATCATTTAAATGTGTGGATAAGTTGTTATTAGATACCTGATTTTGGATTCTTGATTAGTTTCTCAAAGGCCAGTGCAGAGTCTAACATCATTGCTTGTTGACTTGGGATCATCTGCTGGTCTATGGTGTTGTAGAAGTGGGCAACCTAATGAGTACAATGTAAGGAAGTGGTTTGGGTTTGTTTACAACTGTACAACACAGCGTGAACAAAGTAGAGTTTTTACCAAGAAAAAAAACAAGAAATTAATATGGCAGAACATCACCACCTGGAAAGTTATTGCAAATGCTTGCAAAAATGTAACAATATGTTATAGATTGCTGAATGCTGAACACTTGTTACAAAAATGTTGGCTATAAGAATATGTTACTGCTACAGAAAATGTGTGTTAAATGTAGCTAAGTGTACCAAAAAAACCTGCTGGACAAAAAATCTAGAGTATACAATTTTAAATATCAATGCAATTTATATTATACTAATTCATTTATTTAAGTGTTACAAAATTTCCAACAAACCTGTTTCAAAATAACGCCATGGCGATAGAACTTCTGACCAATGGCAGCAGTGTGCTGTACTTTGGCCGGAATAGGGAATCCCATGGCTGTCAACTGTCGAACCTCTCTCAGCAAAGTAACGAGCCTTTCTCCATAATTTACACGCAGTTTCCCATCTGTATGGCTCAGTTCCATCAGACGTCCATTGGTCTCCAGACTGAAAATTAATATTCAATCTAGTTTAAATCTGTTTTATCTTCTTAAATTTGAAACAAGAGCAGTTCATAATCTTTGTCAGTTTCTGTCATTATATGACAATCAAAACACATAAAGCTAGACCCATTCCACCTGTTAAAACCTTAATTGTATACAGTAGGAATGAAAAGTAAAAGTTAGAGCCAGTTTTGATGAAAGATCTAACAGCTAGTTTTATTGTTTGACTAGAATTCAAGTGAAAATCAACACATTTCAGAACATATATTGCAATATTTTTGAAAAATTAAAAATTAACAAAATGAGGATGTCCCATTTGCCCACCAGCTGCATGGGAGATAGACACCCTCAAGTGAATGACAAGTACAGATGACCACCCAACAAATCACAAGTACTAGTCAGACAATCTTCATAAAATCCATTCTCTCATATATATACAACACAATATCTAATCTTATTATCTGGTGTCTGTTGTTTATACAGACTGAATATCATTTTCATGAAATGTTAGCATTATTTCAAGTAATAAGATTACGAAGGGAGATGTACTTGAATGAAATAAAAGATTCCAGTAATGTTGAGAATTCTGTATAACAAATAGGGAAAAAGAACTTCCAACATTTATTAAATATCAAAAATCAAACTATATGGACTTCATAAAACACATTAAAATATGTCAGGAGTCTGTATGTGTTTAAAATATATAACGATGACTGGAATATTATAAGTACAATTCAAGAGATCCTCGAGATTACGGTATTTTATACACTTCATCAACTGATCAAGGTGATATCTTTTAAATGAATAATGCTCTATGTATATTGATTGGATGGTGAGTGTTTGTATTAAATCAATTTTTATATTTTATGCAGGCCCGTTACCGCATGATTTTGAAAGAATTTTTGGCCAGGGGGGGGCTCGCCCGAACCCTGCGAACCCCCCCCTGGCCAAAAATTCTTTCAAAATCATGCGGTTTTTCAACATTTTGAGCACTTCTCAAGTGATTTTAGCCATATTTGAGCCACATTTGTCAAATGTGAACCCCCCCTGGAAATTTTTGAAAAACGAACCCCCCCTTGGCAAATCCTGGCTACGGGCCTGTTATGTCAAACATTTGTAGCACTAGACAGTTTATCAGGGGTGAAAAATGCATATCTTAAATTTTGTGTATTTTCGAACACTAGGATGAGATGGGGAAGTGGAGGGAGGATATATTTATTGTTTGAAGGAAGATGATGCCAGTGTAAGATCGACATGTATTAAGAATCAGATTAAAACAAGACATTAACATGCAAAATGTCACCACTGCCATTTGTTACAAACACTGTACGCAGCCTACCGCACACCATCCTTAAAAAAGTGGGAGACTATAACAATATGTCACCACTTGTGGTTTCAGTTAAAATAATTTTTACCTGAGAGAAGCATCCGAGTCCTCTATTTGAGCCACCATATCTCGGGACCAATCATCAAACTGGTCACGTCGCCAATTTTGCAGCTCTTCTAACAGATCTGAGGAATCGCGACGGAATTTTCCAAATCCAGAGAGGTCACCTAGCAACGCTTCTGCAGTGTTGGATGTTTCTTCAACCTTTCGAATCACAATTATTTACCTTTTAATACCATTTAGTGCATAATTCTTAAGTCAGTTAAGCCATTGTCATTCTTTCAAATATCACATACTGATTAATTGAATTCAGGGATAAAGCACTGAAATGGACAAATCCACAATACTTAGTGTGTTAAAAGTTTTACATTATTTTACTTTCAAATACATTGTTGGCCAAGTGATCTAGAGCACTGAACTAGTCAAGCTAGGTGATGTGTCTTAACCATGAGGTCGAGAGTTCGAGAAGTGTAAGCTCCTTGTGTTTATCAGTTTATGATACAAAAATGATATTCTTAGAAACAGAATCTGGTCTGTTTATGATGCACACTTTTTCTGTTTCGTGTTTCATTGAATCCCACATCTACCTTAAATTATTTACATACAATGAAAACATGATTTAACTGAGATAGGATTGAGTGTTGAAGGTTGCTTCTAGTTTGTCCATGTGAGGTTTCATGGTGATTCGGTGGGGGGGATGTTTGGAGCAAGTTTTGAGTTTGTGACTGGTTGGTGTGTGTGTGTTGTAAAATATGTTTGGAACAAAAAATAAAATAAAAATGATTTAACCGAGATGAATCCCATACCTTAGCCTCTAGCTGCCTAACCCATACAATGTTGTTGACAACCTCTGGGAGGTTCTTTCCCTTAGGGGGTTTCTTCCCACCAGATGTACGCTGAACAAAGTCATCACGTAACTGCTTGATGTACACCTGAAGCTGACCTAAGAGGGTCTCACTGGAAATATAGGATTATACATGTAATTTTAATAAACCTTTATTTGATTACACTCACTAAAATGACTTGAAATTTAAATGCAATAAGATACAGTTCTGTTGAATTTCATTGGCTTAATTTTTTAACTTGAGGTGGGCATCACGAGCACATGATTTTTGCAACTACATTTGTGCATGATTTCAGTATGAATTTGGACTTTACAGTTTTTATTCCTTACCGTTCAGAGACCATATCTTTACTAATACTCGGTCTCTTAATCAGTTCTTTATACTTCTGAAACTCTCGTAAAAGCTGCTGGGAATTAGCCTCCATTCCTCTAAACTGCGATCTTAACTTTCCTGCGATTTTTTGCTCAGCTGGCGACATGGCACGCTCGTACTGGGCCACAGCAGCTTTCCATAGGGGTTGAGTGTATGGGTTGTACTGCAGGGGGTTAAGACCAGAGAAGGGGGAGAATGCATCTGCTGTACCCAGGTTCTGTTGGTCTTGTTGAGAAAGTAGACGAACAAGTTGTTCATGCACTGATCTCAGCGTTAGAATCTGAAACAAATGATAAAATTTCAAAAAGGCATTAACATGCAAAATGTCACTACCTGCCATTTTATACGGACACTGACTGCCACTGACACTGACACTGAATGCCCAACTCCAACAGCTGAACACAAGTCCAAAGTTGGAGAATATTTGGCACCTGCACCACTTCTGGTGGTGAAATCAAAACTATTTTAAGTGGTAAATGTTTCATACTGGAAATAAAGTAGGCTGATGCTACATTTGAATGAAATAAGTTAATCAACATGGAGCTACCTCTATTATATTATACAGAAATTATAAAAATACATGTAATTCTTTCAAATTTTAAGAGAAAATGACTTCATTTTATAAACACAAGGAGTGGCATTTACAGTTCAAAATCCTAAATTGTACAGAAATTATACTTTTCTCTTTAGAGAAATTTAATTTAATCATTTTGCAAATATGAAAAATGTATTACCTCTTGTAGACGCTGACCAAGATTGCTTAAATTCTCAGGAACAAACTTCTCTCCCTTCCATGGATGTAGACTGTAGCGCTTCCAGAACTGAACCGTCAATGTCTCACATGCTTGTACCCATCGGTCACAAATTGCAAGTCCTTGGCGTAAAGCTTCCTTTACTTTACTGAAGGTTCCCTTCCAAAGATCCTGTTCTCCAAGCTTTCTTTGTACATATCTGCCTAGGGAACCACCTTAATGAAAGATTAAAGTATTTGATATTTGAAATCCCTAAATTCATCCTAATAACAATTACAGGATGGGCCAAAAATGCAAGAATGCAATTCTTTAGCAATATTTGGATGAGAAAGGTTAATGGACAATGGGGGTGTGAAACAAATTCTCAGTTTCACAGTGATTATAGTTATGTTCCATTATATGTTGATATCAGATGGACCTTTTGTAAAGATTATTCATAAGGCCTATAGCCAGCTTTTGACGCATGGTGTTTATAATATTGTAACTAGATTTCTGCTAAAAATGGAACATTCAGGATACTCTACGATGCCTGGCAATTATTGATTTGAAAGGGCACTGTAAGTTAGATGGGACAATTTTGTGAGTTAGAGGGGACAACTTTGATAGGTAGAGGGGACAATATTGGTATCTAAATCAAATTTGTGTATTCAATATGTGTTGACATTTAACAGAGCTACATGTATATCCTTATTTCATGATCATTAGTGTACCTATTACGTCCATCAGATGTCGCATACGATCTTCAGGATACAGTGGGGAATATTCAGCCTGCTTCCAGACATCGTCCAAACTGTCCTGTGCCGTATCTACCAGCTCCACCACTTCAGCCAAAGAGAGTTGTTCTAGGCTATTGAACTCCTTAGCTATGGGCTAGAAAATTGTCCAATCTCTGAACATTAGAGCATGCACTGCTTATCTGCAGTGATGGCTATCATTTGTTTTAAACTACATGTATTCACTCTGGCCATTTTAGCTGTGATTGGCGCCTGGGCGCTTAAAGTAAGTCAAAACAGTTTAAAAAGTTGTCCTTTAAGCGCCCATATGAGTCCCGTCTGAGAAAAATGCTGGAGTTTCACTTTCAGTTTGGAAAAAAATTGGAAAAAACTTTTACTCTAGCCTAAATAATATAAGCCATTGTAAGGGACGAATAATGTAAGAAAATAACATGATAGCCAATATCAGGTTTGTTTATCAGGGGTTTCATTAGCAGCAGGCAATTTTCAGTTTGTTTTCACAAAATCGCCTGTTGTTTTTAGGGATTTTTTCAACTTTTCCATGTCTTTATGATTTCCATTAATTTGGCCTGTTTTTTTCATTTATTTAGCCTGCTGTGAGAAATTCTGGTGAAACCACTGTTTATTGACTGTTTATGTATTTTAAAATTAATTCGAATGAATCTTACCTGAAACAGTTCCTGAATATACTGGGCTCTTTCTTTATCATCTCTGTTACGTCCTGACATTGCCATTTCAGCCCAGTACTGGAATTCCTCAGATGGTGTAAGAATCCCTGTAATGATAAATTATTGCGCATGAATATAAAACCAACATACAAAACCATCTTGATTCACAAGGTTTCATTTGTGCAAACCTCTTAAGCATCTATGTTCACTCAGCTCCCCTCAGTATGAACATAGTGAAGACTATATGAGTGTGCAAAGATGCCTCTATAGACCAAATGGGAAGGAAAGATGTCATTAACAAAAATGTAAAATATTTTGGACAATTGTAAGAAAATCCAATTGAATATGTTATCTATAGTAATTACCATTCTATTTGATAATGCTTTAACATATTTAAATGAATTTATTTCAAATGATTAAAAATTATGTACAATTATATTACTATGAGTTTTCTGGATGCACAAATCAACTCAAGTCATAATTATTTCTCACCTCCCAATGAATCGCCTACACCTGCATCACCTCGGAACGATGGATCAGTCTTACGTATCACACTCCCTAGCCCCGCCTCTAGCTCACTCAACAAGCTCTGCAGTTTCGGGTCAAAAGTCTTACTGAACTTTTCATCCTTTAATAACAGTGGTGCATAGATTTTCTGCACAGCGTGGAAGAGGGCAGAGATAGGAGAATCCAACATGGTGGACACAAATACATTTTTGTGGACATTCTCCGGTGTGATGACATCTGGTTTGGTTTTAAAAAACACAATGACTTTGTCATTTGAGTCACCATGGTTTACCTGAAACATACAGCATTGAAATTATTTGAAATAGACTAGGAATAAATCTGTTGGCTCTGGATCTGATCATATTACAATTTTCTGTAACTGCATGTACAGTGATCTACCCAGGATTTTTTCTCAGGAGGGTGCAAAATTCTCATCTTCAAAATCATCGACCAAAATTGGTCAAATTATGCCAATTTTTCATGATTTTCCTCATTTTCGAGTGAGTGCAAATGTATTTTAAGGTGGGTGAAAGCCCATTTTCAAAATTTCAGGTGGGTGCTGCACCCACTTGCTTTAATGCTGGAGATATCACTGAAATATGAATGGGATAAAACAGAATTACTTTGGAACATGATACTGTAGTATCATACTAATAACTTATCATAATGACTGATCAGTTTGTATAATTTCTTGTACGAGTAAAGTATATTTCAGGATTTTTCTTATCTTCAGTACTTATTTTGATTCAAAATACCTGTACACATACAATTGGATTACATTTTCTATTTAAAACAGAGCATTTACATCTGAAATTTACCTTGTTTGAGAACTGGACTTGTTTATCAACTGTATGAGCTGATAAGATGCCACAGTTTCCATCATCAAGAAATGTATTAATAGATGTAGCATCATGCTGTCCACTTAGACCTGGATCATTGGTTGATATTCCAAAATAATTGCCTGTTGTTGCAAGGATGAATTCCTTCCTCACATCACCGGCAGGCATCTTGAATGTTGGCTCCCTGCAAATACACATTAGAATTTATGACAACAGGCAAAATACTGTAAGTGGTAATTTTGCCTAATCATTTGATTTTCGTTCTTGAGGTTCTATCCAAGATTACTTGGTTAGATGTCATGGCATTTGGAGTATTGTGCACTTATGCAAAAGTGTGTCCTGGAGAAATAAATTTAAATGCTATTTGAAAAATCATGATGAGAATATGTCATCAATTAGAATTGAAACAAACAATGTCCTCTGTGAGATATTGCATGCCTTTGTCCAGCTTTCGTCTAAAATTGAAATCAACAGGTCTGCTATTTCTAAAACAGTTCTGATATGTTGTTAATGTCAGACGTTAATAACTGACTGTAATTCCAAAATAGCAATCCAAAGATTTGAACTATAATACATGTATATTGATCACTTGTATGCTAATAAGGCCAAAACTTGCAATTTAAATTCTGAAGTGAAAAAGTGGCAGCTGTAATTTTGTAATCATGACATGACTCCATGACAGCAGAATATGGCAGTGGTAAAATGCGGTGATGAAAATCCTCTAAACTCTAAATAAGATTGAATGAATTAAAACCAATGCAGACGGACATATGAACTAACACTATATACAACGATCAATAAAGGTATGTTGATTATATTTCAGTTCATCTATAAAAGATAGTGTAAAAAATGTATAAAAAACACAGGGTTTCATGATCAGCGTAAGGCCAGAACACAGTGGAGGTCTTAGAATAAGGAGGCAAACACATCTTTGACACAGCATAAGTGCTAGGATATATTGATAAACAGTATTATGTCAGTCAAAACACCGATAGTCTAATTTATCAGAGCTGGGGCGTCCCCGTTTTAGTTGTGTGCTGATGATGATGGAAAACTCTGATTATGAGATAAGTCCGAGAGCTGGAACTTTGTCTTACGTAAGAATGCTTCAAAATCTCAGATGTACGAATAAAGGACTTGTAAGCCGGCTGGACTGTTCTGCTGGTAAGCCTAAAAACTCAGAGTCAGAGTCACTCAGTGAAAAAGTCAAGTGTGACTGAATATCTAAATTTTCAATTTTGAACAAGATTGAAATTATGAATTTGTAGCAAATAGTGCGTAAATACCTTAAACACTTACCCTGTTTGAAGCTAAATATATATACCAACGATTTATTTATGTTTGCTAGTAAAGTAATATCTCCAATTATTCAATATCTGCAAAATAAAGTGAAAGTTTACATGTTGCTACTCTCGGTCAAATATTTTACTCTGGAATTTCGGAAGATATAACGAGTTCTATGATTTGTTGATTTTGGTCATGTGACTTTTGTGACCAATCAAAATTAGTGTGACAAATCCTTGTTGGGACGTCTCGCGCATGCGGAAGTTGTCTTCCGGCTCAAAAAATTTAGCGATCGACGCAAAATTTTCATTTTATCCGTAATATTTGCCCATCAGTTATGCTTTACCATCTAAATTGTAAGTATACAATATGTTAATATATTTTCTCAATATCTACTCTGTTTCTTAAATTCTATTTACCACTTTGGCTAATTTGTAGGCTGTTAATTTTTTTTTAAATTTTGAGGGGACACTCCTTTCTTTCAGTTTCACTTTCACACTGCCACTTCAGTCAAGGTGACTTGTAGTTTAACAAGTTAAACCTAGTCTGAGCCTTGCGACTTGTAAACCTGGTTCTATAATGAGTTTTTAAATCCATGTCTTCTAAAGCATCTTCTCTGTCAATTTCTGCTATGACTCGCTCCTGGGGACAGGCTATGAAATTGGTTGGCAGTTGGCATGACACCCCGGGGTTTCCATCAGAGCAAATACACTGACTTGAGGTTGAAGTCTTTCAAAAATTACTGCCATATAATTTTACCAGGATTGGAAACAAGAATTCATAAAATGAAGTTACCTGTTTATTTTCCTGAATCTCACTTAATTAGCTCATCTTGGTGACTTGAACTTGCATGTAGCTATATTAACAAGAGTTTAATACTATCATATAACTCAAAATTATAACTGTAATTGAATCTATTAGAGCCTCATTTGACTGTTTCTTGTCAACAGGTAAGATCCAGTCAGAGTTTTGGCAATTGCATACATTTGTCTGACATTTTCAGAAATATGTACATAACTCTATACGATGACCAATCAAATAGCACGATATGATCATGTGATCAATCACAAGCACACATTTTCCAAGAGTTAACCAATGATACCTGTATAAATGTAGAGTTGATAGAAAATTCAGTGAAAATATTTTCTGAATTTTTTCACTGAATTTTCTTGTTTTCAATACATTTTATCAAAACATTCTTTTCTACATTCTTTTCTAGGTACATTAGCGCACTCATTGTGCAAAAGTGAGAGATGTAGACATTGTGGGGAAGGAGTGATTCAAATTTGAAAAATAACATGTGACCCTGTTGAGGGTTGCAGCATAATTCTGAACATGCACCCTGACCTTAATAATAACAGACAAATGGCTGCAATAAATTATCAATGGGTTTTCAAACTAAATAGAGTGTTCCTCCCGAAATTGATTTGCATATTGACACCAAAGAATCTTATAAGGGTTGGATGCACAAACGGAGCAAAGGTTTTGCCATAGGCCGATTTTACTTATTAATTCTGCATTCAGTCCGCCATTTTTATTGGAACTATTCTCGTTCCATGGAAACACAAATTCTATAGAATGAAAAAAAGAAAAAAGGACTAGAAAAAACATATCACACATATGCATGTGTGACTCTTAAGTTTATATCAATCAGATTGTTTGATTTTCTCGCATGTGAATTATTTCCTTCTGAGCACTTACCATAAAAATCAAAACACGAAAAACAAATAAACGAACCTGGTGGACATCACCCCTTCCTTTATCGAAATGTGAACTCAAACTCGTGAGAAATTATCATATCATGAAGCCTTGGATATTATGGATTATTTCTTGATTCAACTGTACATGAACATCACCCCATTCATCCTCTTGTCAGAATTCTTTCTCATTTTATTTTGCTGTGAAAGGTTTCATGTGATTACGAATCTGCATATAAGATTTTTATACCTGTATCAGGGCTTGCATTAGGTTTGGAAATTTGTGAGTCCCAAGGAAGTATTTTTTTTAAAAAGCGTGTCTTTTCAAAAAAAGTGTGTCCCCCAAGCCTGTTTTGAGGTATAACTTTATTTTAAAAGTATTTTCACCAAAACGCTACCTCTAGGTTAATTTTGTCAGCTGATTTTCGTTGTTTCATTTGACTTCAGATTGATGGTAAGCGTATTGGTTCACGCTGGAGTATACAGACGTGACAGATAGTTCTTCCCTCTATACTGGGTTAACATCATTGGTAAGTTTTCATAGAGCTGTCATTGATATAATTTTTTGATTAATAATAGAAAGTGGTCATCATGCTATAAAAACAAGTAGAATTACGAGTATCACTATCAGTTCCACATAAATGACCAATTCCTCAGTTATACAACTGCTAGTAAGAGATTGCTGTTAAAAACATACTTGTTCAGTACAATTTGATTTTTTTATTGAGATGTATGTGATGACAAAACAATTAAATATTTTTAGAGCTTGGAGGAGGTGCAGGGAGCGGCACACACACCTCATCGTCGAAGTCACGACAGTAGGATGCCACCTAGACGTAAGAGACGCTCACCAGCCTTGGAGGACCAGAAAACTAAACGCCCTAGAACAAGGTAAAATTAATTTTTGATCTTACAATATTTCATGTTCGTGATTAAGCATTAAGTCTAACTGCCAGCTGCCAGATAAAGCCCCTGCAACTATGCTTTATTTAGAAGAAAAAAAGAAAAAACAATCATTGAAACATGTTACTCACACACTCGCTCAAATATGAAACAAAGCTTGATTTGCTTTAATATTGAACCTACGGCGAATATGGTATTTAGATTTTTTGCTTCAGGATTTTTGAAAATTTGGCTAAGAACTAATTTGGCTGATTTCAAAATGATAAAAGAAAAACAAAAACAGATTTAATTTGGCTAATTTTGGCAATAAAAACCAAGAGGAGTTTTATTTGGCTAAACTTAAAAAAAATTTTCGGCAATTTTGACAGGATTAATCGATATGTTTGCAAAGGAGTGGTATCGATATGGAGAACTGAATTCAACAATGTTTTCTCTTAAACCAATCATTGAAAACATTCTGTAAAAAAACACGGTATTTTATGTAATGTTGACTGATTGACAACAATTCAATGCAAAAATTATTTAGAAATATTTCATATAACTGTTTTTGTTAACATTTTTTGTTTTTTTTAGTGCAATTGTTTTTGCTTCTTTCTACCAACTTTTGAGAATGAAATAAAATGTCTTTCCGAACCTTGTTGGAACAAAATAGCATATACAACATGTTTTTAGACTTCTCAATATTTTAGTTATATTAAAGAATTTTTGGTTGATTTTAAAAAAGTATTCAAAGAATTAAAACAAAATCCCCCCAAAATAGATAAAAATCAAGATAAACCTTTTATTTCATTAACAAGATACTTATTTAAAATCAACCAAATTTCCTTGTACAATTACAATATTGAGAGACCTAAACATGTTGTGTTTATGTCGTTTTGTTCCAATGAGGTTCTGCAGTGATCTCCCCAGGATTTTTTCATAGCAGGGGGGGGGATTTTTTAACAAGTTTCGCCGCTCGCTTTCGCTCGCATGATTTTTGGGCCAATTTTTATAAAATGTATATAAACACCAAATCTCATTTAGAAAACCTTTTATTTAACAATACATGATAATATGCTTGTAGTGCTTTTTTTTGAGTTTCCCGCATAAAGAACCGGAAGTCGAACTTCTTTATCATGACAACCATCAAAAGCAAGATTTGAACATTAATTCGTGCGCAATTATAATAACTATTTATAAAAAAGAATACTTCATTGTCAAATTGTAGTTTTAGTCGTTTTTTATGTTTGTTTTATTCCAAATTGGCGATTTTGATGATCGGTGATCATATCACTCCGCGTTGCAGTATAGGGGTAATCTGTGCCAGGTTCAACTGTTAATTTCTAATTTTCTGAACGCACGCATCAAATGAACGATTTTGATAGGTTAGAATGTTTTGGGCGCATGCGCATACCTAGTCAAATCAAGTGATTGAACCGAACCTGGGGCAGATTATGTCGATGACGCACGATTAGTAATAGATAATTTGATTGATATTTCGTAACTAATCATGAGTTTTGAGCCAATCAGAAGACATTTAAGATTCGGCCTTCGCAATGTCAAATCAGGAAAAACTTTTTGAAAAATTTTTGAATTTTATGTGAATTCGTCGAATATCCAGGAGAATAAAATAATGTACGTAAGTTTTGAAGTAGCGGGGCGCTAAGCAGGGCGGGTGAAGCAAGCAGGGGGGGAACAGGGCGGGGAAAACGAGTGAGCAGGGGGGAGCGCCATGCAATTAGATTCTGGGGAGAACCCAGTTCTGAAAGATATTTCATTTCACTCTGGAAACATGATACCAAGAACAAAACAAGTGTTTGATGTGTTTTCTAAAACAATATACACCTGTAGATGAAAGTATATATATATTTTTCAAATTATATTGTTACCATTCAAAAGATGACCATTAAATTGACAATGTGTTAAATTTTTAGATTTTTTTCCTTAAATTGCTGACAACCTTAATTGGTGAATTTTAGTAATGTCCTAGCCAAATTCCCCAAATTAAAATAGGTTTCAAATTAAGAAGAATAGACTAGAAGTACAGTAGGAATCAATCAAACATTGAATCAATGAACAGCAGGTAACAGTTGATTTTCACCGGTAGTTTTTACAAAATCTGCTGTTGTTTTTAGGGACTTTTCAACTTATCCATGTTAAATTCCATTTATTATGCCTGTTGTTTTTTATTTATTATGCCTGATGTGAGAAATTCTAGTGAAACCCCTGTAAATATATAAAGTAATGAACATATTTGGAACATATGCTCATGTATTGGTAGGATTTAATTGTGAGTGCTCAATTTCACTGGTATTTTGGATAAGAGTCCAGTGATCTCCCCAGCATTAAAGTAAGTAGTCGCAGCAACCACCTGAGATTTTGAAAATAGGCTTGCACCCACCTGAAAATCCATTTGCACCCACTTGAAAATGAGAAAAATCATGAAAATTTGGCATAATTTGACCAATTTTGATCTAAATTGTAAAAATGAGAATTTTGCGCCCACCTGAGAAAAAATACTGGGGAGATCACTGGAGTCAATTACTCTTCGTATTACCTGAGTATCTCTTTGAGCACTGAAGAATCATGTTTTACAGTATATGAGATAGTATAAGTTGTAAGGTCAAGGTTGCCCTTATCAAGATCATAAGTTCTATCTATAAAGGTATATTCTTCAATAGACTGATTAAGGACCACACTTGAATAATGTACTCACATGCAGTGCTGTCAATATATGTATAATACATGCTTTTCGTAAGTGCTTTCGCATATCACGTCATGAAATCATGAAACTTATATGGAGACTATACGAGAAAAATCATCAAGGGAATTCTAAATATATTTTGTTTAAATATGTAACTTTGCTCATCTCTGCTCAGCTAAGTAAAACAGCAAACATAAATAAACAACTGTTAGCCAACAAGAAGCAAGAATCCACCCTAAGCAGGTATATAAGAAACCTGGATTGTCTAATTAGATTTTGACAGTCAAGATTCTGATGAGATAATCCTCATTTGTATCTAGGGATATTATAGAATATGATGGAATATAAAGTTTAAGTTTATGGAGGAATTGTTCAGAACCTGCTATCATAAAGTAATGAGGTGAGTTCTAAGGAAGGAGGGGGGGGGGGAGTTAGGGAGTGGGGGATGATTGTGAGTTCTTAACTCTGCTCCAACTAAATAGTATTCAGGCAAGATAATATTCTTGTTGTATAAATAAAGAATTATGACATACAGGAGTTTAATTTCTTCATGTTGTAAACCAAGATTGATTGTATGATTTACCTTGATGTTGGTAACCAGTGCTAGGCTTTACTGTTTTAAGAAGATTCTGGTTGTGTTATATGACATATATTTACCGTGCATCATTTCTTCTTGTTATACGCCAAGGTTGTGCTGTTCAAACTACAAGTTGCTATAAATTGAATTTTCTATTATTGTCCATTGAAAGTACAGTGGAACATGTGAAGTGGAACACCTCTAGAACTGGAACACCTCTGTAAGTGGAACACTTTCAGAGGCCCAAGACCAATTGACTTAATGTTAAATGAACATAAGTGGAACACTTTTTGGAGGTACCAGAGGTGTTCCACTTTACTGTACATACATATACCATTGAAAGTGTTTACTATTTTCAGTGCTGTAGGTTTAAAGTACCATTGAAAGTTTTTACTATTAAAATGTACATCATTGACAGATCATGTATATGCAGCAATCTCTCCTGCATCAATTGGGGGCTGCATCTACTACAGATTGTAATAATAGTTCAGCCACCTGAGAACCTATTTGAAATTTAGAAAAATCATGTAAAGTAGGCAAACTTTTATCAAAGGTCTGAATTGCGAAAATTACAATTTTGCATCCACTTGATAAGAAATCCTAGGGAAAACAGTGACATAGGTGTAGCCAGGGGGGTGCGATTTAAAATGCTTTTTATTTGAATCTAATCTTCTAGCTCAATTTTGAAGGAAATTGGGTCAATTTTTGTAAAATTCAAAATAAATCTTATTTTTTGGCTTTTTTATGGCACAATCGCAGCCCCTTGACTGAAAACCAAAAAAATTTGCTCATCACATCCCCATGACTGAAAGCTGGCTACGCCCCTGACTGATCTGCATTTACTATTGAAATTGAAAATGTTTATTATTGAAAGTGTTTACTTTTATGCTAGCTCATCTGTTACTGTTTGCCAGTATAGCATAAACTTATTCATATTTATCATGTACTTGCAGTACCAAGAGGGGCAGCAAGGCAGACACAGACACATCATTTAGCATACTTATTCATATTTATCATGTACTTGCAGTACCAAGAGGAGCAGCAAGGCAGACACGGACACATAATTTAGCATACTTATTCATATTTATCATGTACTTGCAGTACCAAGAGGGGCAGCAAGGCAGACACAGACACATCATTTAGCATACTTATTCATATTTATCATGTACTTGCAGTACCAAGAGGGGCAGTAAGGCAGACACAGACACATCATTTAGCATACTTATTCATATTTATCATGTACTTGCAGTACCAAGAGGGGCAGCAAGGCAGACACAGACACATCATTTAGCATACTTATTCATATTTATCATGTACTTGCAGTACCAAGAGGAGCAGCAAGGCAGACACGGACACATAATTTAGCATACTTATTCATATTTATCATGTACTTGCAGTACCAAGAGGGGCAGCAAGGCAGACACAGACACATCATTTAGCATACTTATTCATATTTATCATGTACTTGCAGTACCAAGAGGGGCAGTAAGGCAGACACAGACACATCATTTAGCATACTTATTCATATTTATCATGTACTTGCAGTACCAAGAGGGGCAGTAAGGCAGACACAGACACATCATTTAGCATACTTATTCATATTTATCATGTACTTGCAGTACCAAGAGGGGCAGCATTAGGCAGACACAGACACATCATTTAGCATACTTATTCATATTTATCATGTACTTGCAGTACCAAGAGGGGCAGCAAGGCAGACACAGACACATCATTTAGCATACTTATTCATATTTATCATGTACTTGCAGTACCAAGAGGGGCAGCAAGGCAGACACAGACACATCATTTAGCATACTTATTCATATTTATCATGTACTTGCAGTACCAAGAGGGGCAGCAAGGCAGACACAGACACATCATTTAGTATACTTATTCATATTTATCATGTACTTGCAGTACCAAAAGGGGCAGCAAGGCAGACACAGACACATCATTTAGCATACTTATTCATATTTATCATGTACTTGCAGTACCAAGAGGGGCAGCAAGGCAGACACAGACACATCATTTAGCATACTTATTCATATTTATCATGTACTTGCAGTACCAAGAAGGGCAGCAAGGCAGACACAGACACATCATTTAGCACACTTATTCATATTTATCATGTACTTGCAGTACCAAGAGGGGCACCAAGGCAGACACAGACACATCATTTAGCATACTTATTCATATTTATCATGTACTTGCAGTACCAAGAGGGGCAGCAAGGCAGACACAGACACGTCATTTAGCATACTTATTCATATTTATCATGTACTTACAGTACCAAGAGGGGCAGCAAGGCAGACACAGACACATCATTTAGCATACTTATTCATATTTATCATGTACTTGCAGTACCAAGAGGGGCAGCAAGGCAGACACAGACACATCATTTAGCATACTTATTCATATTTATCATGTACTTGCAGTACCAAGAGGGGCAGCAAGGCAGACACAGACACATCATTTAGCATACTTATTCATATTTATCATGTACTTGCAGTACCAAGAGGGGCAGCAAGGCAGACACAGACACATCATTTAGCATACTTATTCATATTTATCATGTACTTGCAGTACCAAGAGGGGCAGCAAGGCAGACACAGACACATCATTTAGCATACTTATTCATATTTATCATGTACTTGCAGTACCAAGAGGGGCAGCAAGGCAGACACAGACACATCATTTAGCATACTTATTCATATTTATCATGTACTTGCAGCACCAAGAGGGGCAGCAAGGCAGACACAGATACATCATTTAGCATACTTATTCAAATTTATCATGTACTTGCAGTACCAAGAGGGGCAGCAAGGCAGACACAGACACATCATTTAGCTCAAAACGCTGCATAGCTTGGTACCATGAATATTCAGGTAATTTTGTGTTAACATTGTATCTTCTTTAATCATTAAATATTTGGATTTAATCTTCACCAATCACCTTTTGTTTATATAAGCTGATCAGCAATCTTTATTTGTTTGCTAAATGGATTTTTAACTGCGCATACAGTTATTAATTGTCTACCTTTGATATTCTATGATCACTAGTAGTTAACTAATCTTTTGCAATCACCAATTTCCATAGATCTTGTTCAATCAAATTGATATCCTTAAATAGTTGGTTGTTTACTTCAGATCCTAACGATGACATTATCGGACCTGAGGGAATGGAAAAGTTCTGTGAGGATATTGGAGTTGAACCAGAAAATGTAAGTTATATGGCTTATTACATGTATGTTGCTGGAAAGCAAATGTCTCTGGAAAACCCCCCTCCACTTAACCGTAGTCAGGGAGGGGGTCAATTGGGCTTGTAGCTAGACTAGAAATCAAGTGCATATTGTCGTTTCCAACCTAAAACATGATATAGGATATATTACTTACTGATTGAGTGTGCTTTGATTACAAGTACATAACATGATTTTGATGGTATCCTTTAATTAAAGGGGTTCACCCTCCAGATGAACAAGTTTATTTTCTATAAGGCAATAGAGATGGACTTGATGAACATAAATACAAATAAGGAACATACAGATCTACCACATATTGTTACGTCTCAATTAGTGTGACACCTCTGTAAGAATTGTTACACTTGTGTAACCATTTTATTTGCAATAACTAACAGATTGTTGTGCTAATATCTTGTTATGTCACCACCAAAAATTGGTGACATATTGTTATGGTCTCTGTTTTTTTTACTACAGTTGGTGTTTGGCGATCAGCGGGTGGCAGTTGGCGGTTGGTGTCTGTAACAAATTCTTAAAACTTCCAATAACTTAACAAATACTGTTCAGGCTGACTTCAGTTTTTTTACAAAATCATCAACAAGTTTTCAGAAGTTCAAATCTCACTTTATATTTAAGAATTGACCTTCAGTGACCTTTTCAAGGTCAAAAAAGGTCATAAAGGTATTTTTTCAACTTGCTTCAAATTGACCAAATTTATTTTTCAAACTCACCTACAAGTTATCAGAAGTTCAAATTTGACTTTAGATTGGAGATTTGACCTTCATTGACCTTCTCAAGGAAAAAAAGGTCAAAAAGGTATTTTTTCAACTTGTTTCAAATTGCCCAATTTTTTTTCAAAATCATCTACAAGTTATCAGAAGTTCAAATCTGATTTTAGTTTTTATATATGACCTTTATTGACCTTTTCAAGGTCAAAAAGGTCTTTTTCAACTTGCTTCAAATTGACAAAGCTTTTTTCAAAGTCATTTACAAGTTCTCAAAAGTTCAAATCTGACTATAGATTTTACTTTCAATGACATTCTCAAGGTCAAAAGAAATATGTGACCTTCAATGACCTTCTCAATGTCAAAAAGGTCTTTTTCAACTTGCTTCAAATTGATCAATTTTTTCAAAATTATCTACAAGTTCTCAGAAGTTCAAATCTGATTTTAGACTTGAGGTTTCACCTTCAATGACCTTCGCAGGGTCAAAAAAGGTATTTTTCAACTTGCTTCAAATTGACCATTTTTCAAAATGATCTACAAGTTCTCAATAATATTGTGAGCAACTAGGTGGTGACATTTTTTCATGTTAATATCTTGTTTCAGATTGTAATGCTAAGTCTAGCATGGAAACTAGAAGCCAAACAGATGGGATTCTTCACTCTGGCTGAATGGTTAAAGGGAATGACTGAGTTACAGTAAGTACAAGTAAAACATGGTTAAAATAATGCTTAATGGAAACTAGAAGCAAAACAGATGGGATTCTTCACTCTGGCTGAATGGTTAAAGGGAATGACTGAGTTACAGTAAGTACAAGTAAAACATGGTTAAAATAATGCTTAATGGAAACTAGAAGCCAAACAGATGGGATTCTTCACTCTGGCTGAATGGTTAAAGGGAATGACTGAGTTACAGTAAGTATAAGCAAAACATGGTTAAAATAATGCTCAATTTAAAAATTGATCTTGAAAACAGTTTGAAAAACAGCTTTTTTTTAAAACTCATTTCATAATTGGGGCAATTCTTAGAGAAAAGTTGATTTCAATTTTCCAGAAGTAAACTTTGTCACTCAAAGCATGTTGATTATATCAAATTATATTTATCAATTAACAATCACATACAATTACATCAAACATATACAACTATACAGTACATGGATATTTCAAAATCTAATCCTATATACTGGTACCTATTGCACAGCAGGGTTTAATTGCTTCGTTATGATAAAAAAAACTAAACAAAGGATTTAATGCTTGTTTAACACTTTTTGGTCAGAATGTATCGAAGCAATTAAACCCACTGTTCAACTGTCTAGTAGAACACATTTGGAACCTCTAAAAGGTGTTCTACTTGGGAGATGTTCCACTTATAGAGGTTCATTTAACATCAATTCAATTGGACTTGAAACTCTGAAAAGTGTTCTACCAGCTGCAGTGTTCAAGTTATAGAGGTCTTCCACCTACATGTTTCACTGTTTGTACTTAGATATAGCGTTTTGTTTGGTCACATGGGCATCCTAATAAATGTGAAATTTCATGTTTCAGAGTAGACAGTATAGGAAAAATGCAGGGTAGACTGGAGTACCTACGTTCACTTATAGATGAGCCTACAGCCTTTAAAAATATATACAGATATGCCTTTGACTTTGCTAGGGTAGGTACAACCTTTAAAAATATCATCTAAGTCAATGGAAGATAACAAATATGGGACCCAGAAAATGTGTTCACATTGAGAGGTGTTTGGATTGGAGTGGTATACAATGTTTCACTGTACTTAATACTGACATTATTTCTACGATTTCCAGGACAAAGACCAGCGAAGCATGGATATAGACACTGCCAAAGCTATGTTAGCTCTAGTACTAGGCCGTCATTGGCCACTCTTTCCTAGCTTCCACCAGTATCTAGAACAATCAAAGTACAAGGTGATCAATAAAGATCAGTGGAGTAATGTGTTGGAGTTTAGTAGGACCATACTACCAGATATGTCTAATTATGATGAAGATGGAGCTTGTGAGTATATTCCCCCATCCCCCATTCCCAAATGTTAAACTGTCAAGTAGAGACGGGAAATTTAATTAGGGATTCATTTAAAATGGATTGGTACTCTATTCCAGCCTAATCTAGGTCTCTTCTTAAAAATATTGGAAAAAGTTTTTTTGTAAAAAATCAAGAAGTAATATCTTGGATTTAAACAATGGGCCTTTAATTCTGAATATTTTCTTGTTCTAGAAAGCTGTTTTGGAACATTCACCTCCTTTGCAAGAATTTGGCTAATATTGTTGAACTTGTGTGCATTTTGCACATATGGATTTTTCTCAATATTCAAGATACTATAATAAAAGATGCTGAATAACTTTACATATATTATTTCAGGGCCAGTTATGTTAGACGAATATGTAGAATGGTATAAAGACCAACAAGCTAAGGCATGACAACAGCTCAATGTTGGGACTGCTCAACTATCTCTGCAACTTAAGAGTGTTACTCTATGATGTCATATGACATTGTGATGTCATGCACTGAGACAATGTTACCATTTGGTGTCATGATCAACCAGACAATGTAACCATGTGATGCCATTTATGAGAGAGTGTTACTTTTTTGATGTCATGCAATAAGACAGTGTTACTGTACGATGTCATGCAATAAGACAGTGTTACTGTACGATGTCATGCAATAAAACAGTGTTACTGTACGATGTCATGATGCAAATAGACAATGTAGATTAGTAACTGGGCAGTGTGACTTTATCAGGCCACAATGTAACTAGCGAGTGACTTTGTGATGTCACAATGTAAATAGACAATGTGACTGTGATGTCATGAAGCAACTGGCCTATGTGATCTTATGAGGTCATATCAAACTTGACTATGTGACTGCGTGAATCAGAAAGCAACTCAATGAGGATTGGCTCCCAGGATCAAAACTCGATATTTTCCCTTAATGAAAACGTCGGAATGTCATTATTTTCTGGAATTATAACCAACTATGAATTCAAAATAAACAGTTCAAAAGATTCGAACTAATATCTCGATCATTTCTTGTGAGTTTTGGAATTTTTTGTTAGGAAATAAGACCAAATTCATAATTCAAATATTGAAGTGAACAAAATGGCAGCTATTTGAATTCGAATTTTGTATCATGACATGCCCATATATGGGACAGAATATCATTGTTGCATTCTAGGAGCCAATTATCCTTGAAAGCAACTAGATAATATGACTTATGATGTCCAACACTGGTACTTTCTGGTGGCTCGTAACAGGATATGTTATTTTGTTATGTCAACATGCAATAATAGATAATATTATATCCTTGTTATTATGTCAACACTAGAAGTGGTGACATTGTTATAGTCTCCAATTTTTATGGACTGTGTTTGGCGGTTGGTGTTCGATGTTTGTAACTAATGACAGGTGGTGACATTTTGCATTTTAATGCCTTCTTTCTCATGAATTGCAGTTGCCCATGTGTTCTGTTGTTTGCATCTAGACAATATTAAAGTTACTGAAATGCTTTCTAACAAGATGCTCCATTTTACAGCTCTTATAACTGCCAAACATGCCAAATACTTAATCTTACAGAGAACTTTGTCCAGTTAACTTACGAGGGGTGTTTCAAAAATTCCTATAAAATTTTGTCCATTACTTTTGAATCACCCCTCGTATATTTTAACCTACATGGTATATCAAAAACTGCAATAACCTCTGAACCATTGAAACTGGCAAAGCATCCTCAAAAAACAGGGTTATCCTTGCTGGATTGACATATGATTTAGCGGAATGATAGATTGTGGAATGACTTACAACCTTGGAATGACTATTTGGGGGTATTATGAGTCTACAAATGTGATCAAGTTTTTAACAGGGGTCATTAACTGAAACTATGAGGGGACATTAACAAAAGTAATAGATTCTGATGTTCAGTCACTATGACGTTTTTTTTTTATTATTTATTATATTCATGGTTACAATTGATTTAAAAATTTAAATTTAAAAAAACTGTTTTAACTTCTAGAGTAACTTACCATTAAGGCAGATATATTTTTCACACAATGAAATAATGAAGATATCTTGGTACCTGTTAAACAGTAGGGTTATGGAATGCTTTGTAACGAAGCAGTTAAACCTACTGTGTTTCTACAGTGTGTCAATTAACTTTGTTGTCCCCCTGTAACTTTAACATCCACATAATGTTGCACAACTTTTTTCTGTAAGATATCTGAATTGTTCGTTAGCACTTAAAATTTAGGCTTCGTGGAGCAACTCTACAAGAAGTTTCAGATGCCTAGCTAGCTCAAGTAGATGGAATTTTATGCATAAAGTTCATACTCTTAAAATTAAGTAGTCTGGGATATGAAGAGATTATCCCATATGAGGTTCAGGATACTGCGATTAACCAAAGGCAGGGGCAAGAGGAACTTAAAGCTAGGTGATATCCTGAAGTTTTTTTTTTTATTTTAGATTAGTTGAGATGGGTTGCATTTGTGCAAAAAAATGTGCACATATTACTGAGATTATGTTCAATTTTAATAGGTGATATGGCCTATTCACTCCTTCAAAAGGCAAGGGGTTTAGTGCACATGTAGTGATTAAACCATCATAGGGGTTTGTGGTTCTCAAAACGTATAAATTTTAAATGCTTTTTAACACATTGCTGGATGTGATTAACTTTGACTTGCTCAGGTGTTAAAATTCTTTGTCAAAATCTCATACTGTAGCCTACTTTTGCATTTTTGTCGATAATTAACTTTTCCTTAATTACAAGATATATGTTAATCATCTGAAAATCGGTGAAGGCAAATGACCAGCCAAAGCAGACTCCAAATTAAGTAGAAGTACAGTATATGTGATATTAGGGAGTTTAAGCTTGCAATGTTTTTCACAACCTAAACGTGAACAGTAAATATTTAAGCGATACATTTGTATGGGCGATTGGTCATACGTATAGGTTGGTGTTTGGAGTTTATATGCAAGCTTAAACTCCCTATTATTTCTCCTTTGTAAGTTAATAGTAGTAACTTTCCCATATCTACTGTTATACAGTAACAATTAGGCACTTCCCAGCCTTTTTTGTATTGCATTGTACAATATAGAATTATTGTACATGTATTGTCCTATATAGAATAATTGTACAATACATTTGCCTCTTCAACTTGACAAGTTACATGTAGATGTACAGTTATAAATACAAATAAATACTATTTTAAAACTGCCACTCTTATTTTATGATGTTCTTACGTATTGGGAATAAAAGAAAATATTGATAAAAGTTTCTCATTTAATGCGTCCTTTCGGTGGCAAAATATATGATTCTACCCTGAGATAGCGAAAATGTGGAAGTGAACTTAAAACTCAAGCAGAGTGTAATAGCATATTTATTACTGATTTTTTCAAGGATTGACACACAGCAATAATCATTCTGATTAAGCATTAACACAGTGATTCCTCATTTCAAGTGGTATGTATATGCATGGCAATTAGTGCAGGTGTAAAAGGGTAGGAGGTCCCATCAAATTATGGTCCTACTCTCCATTGATTTATATGGTGACCTAAATACAACTCTTTTCCTAATTATCTTATACGCAATCAGGGCCAGTAAGGGCCGTTAAGAAAGGGGACCATAATCCCTGGGGGACCATCATTTCTTTCACACCATGACATCTGTCATGGTTTTATTTACAGTAAAAACTTGTCTTATCCGAACGCCAGTGGGATCAGAAAAAAGTGTTCAAATTGAAAGGTGGTCATATTAGAGAGGTGTTCGGATATACAATGCGTCCCATAAAAAACGCAACAAACAAAGACATTGTAAAATCACAAAACCAGTGATGATAACATCAATTTGATTTAGTATACCAGGAAGCCACACGTCTCCACTTTCCAATGGTATGTCAATTATTCATATAATACCACAGGTCACTGTGGCCACACGGCCAATACCCATACATGTAGTTTATACCTAACATAATCACGGTTGCCATTTTGATTATTTGAGAGAATTATAACATTTTCATTTGACTTTTGCACTTTGAATCCTTAATAACTTCACCAATTTAAAACATATTGCAGATCTTTTAGGAGGTATTGTATTTGAGATCGTAAGGAATAGATTGATAGGTCAGTTGTACATATTGCTTGCATTTTTGACACGAAATATAAATCTGTTTATGACGTCCACTATAAAATTGAAAATGTAAATAAAAGATTGATACAGGCAATGTTGTTACATTTGCCCTTTCGTGTCTAAATAAAAATACTGCAAATCTCAAACGAAGCATTGTGGTAAATTTTAAATTTAAGATTTCCTATTTTTGAAATAACAATTGTCGTAAATTGGGCCTTGTGCCATTTGGGAAACAAATGCTATATCATTCTTTTGTCTACATGTACACTGCAAATATATATTTTTGAAATGCACTATTAACGAAAAGCCATGCCCGAACATATATTATGCTCTACTTACTATGCCATATACACACTAATTGGTCGGAAAGCATCAAAATCCAATGTTAACAGGCCCGTAGCCAGGGGGGGGGTTCGCAGGATTCGGGCGAACCCCCCCCCCGGCCAAAAATTCTTTCAAAATCATGCAGTTTTTCACCATTTTGAGCATTTCTCAAGTGATTTTAGTCATATTTGGGCCAAAATTGTCAAATGTGAACCCCCCCCTGGAAATTTTTGAAAACTGAACCCCCCCTTGGCAAATCCTGGCTACGGGCCTGGTTAATATCACATTTGATTCATTCTTTATATTTGAAATTATGTTTAAAACATCAAACAAGAAAAATGTATATACCTCAAAATCTTTTAAAAACAGCAAATAGGAAAAAAATCAAAGCAAGTGTTGATAACTTCAAGTAAGAAAAACACATCAAACTATTTTTTGTATAAACTCTTGTGCATTTTTCTTGCTTGAACTTTTCAGTTTTATATTCGAGTTCAAACCTACATTTCCCGTATTCGATCTTTCTTTTTTCTATTCAAACAGTTATCACATTCCTTGTCCATTAATTGTTATATATACTTATTGTTCACAAATAAAACCAACTTTATAGGTAGAGCATGGGATATCGGCCCATTTATAATTCCGATAGGAAGATAAAGCAATACAGTGTGAATCATCGTCTGGGTTCGGTTCATCTGTGCCCCAAGCATAATATGTAGCACTTTTCCTCGATCCTGTCCAGATGTAGTCATTCGCAACAGCTCGGTCATTAAGGCCAATGTGAAAGAATAGATTATCTAAATAAATAAAACCATGAGACCAGTCATTAAGGCAAGTATGGGAAGATGAAGCTTATTTTTTTTTTAAACATTTTCAAACAAAACTACATCTATGCGGTTTATGCCTACTCGGATTTTATTACTTGTCTGCCTTCAAAAATGTTAGTATTGTTGTAAACTTTATACGATTACCTCTTTAGAAAAGTATTGTTTTTTCAGAATTTTTTTTGAGATATTTGTATGCTTTAATTACAAGTCATATCAATCAATTAAATTATTTATGAACATTAATATGCCTTCATGTTTATATCAGACTCTGGGAGGTTAGTATATGGAAGCAATTCTAACATAAATCGTGTCTTACTTTGGCCATATGTAAATGCATGAGTCTCTAGGGCTATTTCTTCACTTTCGGTCTCTATGGTTACCAAATGCGCTCCATACTCAAGGCATTTGATCTCTGCGTCAGTCCAATTCAAGGGCCCTTGGTGAAAGCAATACGCTGACCCGTTGTAAATGTTTGTTAGAAAACCGCCCTTGCATTCTTAAAAATCAAGAGACGTTATGCCAGATGCAAGCAGATCTAATATTGATTAAAGTCCCCGTCTAAAGTTTGAAAATATTTTTTTATCATTCATTTACTATTTGTAAGGACTTAAAAAGTGATTTTAGAGATTTTTGAACAAAAAAAAATTTTTGAACAAAAAGTTGTGAGCATTTCATTTCTCAAATATTCAAATTTCTCGCCATTTTTCAAAAAAAGTTGAAATTTCTTAATCATCAAATATTTCTTAATGCATTTCAAAAAAGATTATCTTTTTAACACCAATGCAAAGATTGAACAAAAGAGACACTATTTCAATAATAAAATTTCATATTTAATGGGCCACTTCAATGTTTTAGCTCATCAAAAATATTTTGAAACATTAGTGATGTCACTAAGGTAACAAAAACTTTTTGAAAAAAATTGAATTTTTTTTTCGGTGTCAATCTTTTCTAAATATGCTTGACTTTCATAAAAAACCAATGTTGATTGTCTAACCAGGTTAAAAGGAAGAATAAATTATGTTTTAGATATCATTGTACCATTGGTTTCTATGAGAACTAAAATTTTGAAATGCATTTTTCTCAGAACCATTTTCATGCACTGATAAGTTCATTTCTCGCTTGTTTATCAACCAATTTTCTTAATTTTTTTGGCAAAAAACATGGGAGGATGAATGCTATGCATTGGTATAAATTGTGGCTAATTAGAAGACATGAGTGACCTCTTAAAGTTGGTTTTAAATAAATTCACAAATTTTGGAACAAAAAGTCTATCAAAAACCACTTTTTGAAATTTAAAAAAAATATCACACTTTGATAACATTGGGAAAGACTACAATATAAGCCAAAGTGGTTTAAACTTTACATGGGGCCTTTAAGTAATTAAATATCCAAAATTCTGTCAAAGTGATATCATATTTGAAATCTACATGACAATTGCATTAAGGAATTTGGTTTTAAAAATTGTTTATCAACTTTGAAAATCGAATTTCTTTTAAAATGTATCCTCTAGGTCGGGGAGATATCCATAGACCCCGTGAAATAAAATCAAAAAGAGTGAAATATCTTCTTTTATTAGACAGATATTTTCGTAATGTTAAGTGTCTGTATTATTTATATTCTTTGGATTTAGAATATTCTATATTTCAAACAGAACTCACCACTAAACATCATAGTGTAATGTTGATGACCCGGACTGCTTACTTTTGAGCCAGTGCCCCATCCAAATAAATCGCAATTCCATGTTCTCTCTGTCACTTTTTCAACGTTAATCTGGGCGCATTTTTTTGTTTTTACACATTGGAGACTGCATTCCACAATAGAACGGGTTATCATATTCTTTATGTGTCCAACCCCAGGAATCATGTTGTCAGGTATAAACTTCATATCACCTACTTTGTGAAATAGTTTTCCAATTTGAGTAGGATGATTCGAACTCTCGATCAGCGATAACAGCGTATGAAGTGACCAAGTAGAATATTCCTGCTAAGATCTGAGTCGCCATCATTTTGACTTTTAATTTATTAACTAATATGTAGCTTTCAAGCGAATATTTCAATATTTCTTTACCATGAATAACATGTTCAATAGAAATTAGGCAAAGCACATATATCTTATGTACAAGGCTCAAGTTCTCACTTTATTTACATGTACCTTAGAGGATGGTAGAAGCCTGTATCCATATGCTTCATCGTAGTTGTTTTGGTCAATTTTTGATCGAAATATCAAATAGAATATATGATATAGTACAAACTAGAAACTCTATTATGCCATTAGAGCTCATTAGATCATTCGATAGTGATATTAAAATACAATTACCATGAAATATTAATGCGTTACAGTTATACTGATAAAAAACAGAGCGTTCTGACGAAGAATATGTTACAATTATGGAGTCCATTGAATAGCATACAAAGCTTGTTTTGTGTAAATATTACTCGGTGAAGAATACAAATAAAAATGGCAAATTTTTTATTTAGATAGAAAATAAAAAGATTAAAGAATGTTTATTTGATTTGTAATTGCAAGCTGCGAAGTGGTCATTTGCTATTCTGGTATCAAATGCCAAGTGCGAACCAATTCATTTCAAATAGGCTTTGTATAAAAAACCTCCTACCTCATACCCACGTACGTGGGACATGATACAGTCTTTGAAAGGTTTTATCATAATTAGAAAGTTAAAACCATTTCTAAGAGAATGCTGTTTTTATTTCACATGAAATCGTATTTGTTTTCATCAAATTAATTTTTTTAAAACCCTAGTCATAGTTTTTGCGTCACCGTACAGAAAATTGTACTCCGCTATTATTTGACGCTGATGGTTAGGCGTGATTAACCCATCGATGCAGTATGTTGCGATAATGGTATTAAAATACATATTCCATGAAATATTAATGCGTTACTGTGTCTAATATATGATATAAAAGCATTAGAGAGTTGAAATAAGAGATAAGTAGGAAAATGAAAGCCATTATACAAGATATATGTGGGCGTGTAGGCAAAACATCGACACCTGATGCGTTCAAGTTTGACTCCAGAGGCGAGACCGGCATCATTTTGAACATGTTTTGTAAAATGACCATTATAAAATCGTGACCATTTAAAAAAACAACAATAAAAATTGGTAGAATTAAAGAACAAATATTCAATTGAATTCAGCACTATGTGCAGGGTCCTCAAAACGGACATAGCATTTAATGACTTTTGAGATCTAGGAGTAGAGAAATCATTGCCGCCTGGCGCCTACGCGTCACACACTCTCATACAAAATATCCATATTTCTTAAAAGTTGTTAATGCTGTAATAGACCTTTCGAGAAAGTAAACAAGAAAATTCATAATATTGAGAAAATTTCACCAAAATGGAATAGTAAATTTTTCGTGTCATGTTGTACAATGTCACATTATTGATTATACAGCTACAGATATCAGGTTATAAGCCTATGGCAGACATTTTACACTTTAATTTTGAATTGCAAATTATTTATTTTAATGTTATGCTGATGGTGCTTAAAGTTAACTTATATTAACTGTAAAGAATAAATCATATTTTGTATCTAAGTAATCAGACGCAAATGATAATAAAATTTTAAGCGGGATTTCTGATCCAATCAACCTTTTATCTGAAACCAATCCAATCATGCAATGATAAATACTGTCTAGTATTTAAAAATTCTTTCTCCAGTGTGAGTTCTTACGTACATGTTTAAATAAGTTAGTGACAACATGAACAAACCATTTTTACAATACTTATTCACTTTAAATTAAATTATCAGATGCCATAAAACATTTTTACAGTGTTCACATTCAAAAGGTATTTCTCCGATGTAAGTAAACGATTTTTCACAAAATTCACATTTTAAAAGTCGTTCTCATGAGTGAATTCTCACATGTTTCTTTAAAGTACTTGAGTGACCAAAACATTTTTCACAATGTTCACAATTAAAAGGTTTTTCTCCAGTGTGAGTTCTTATGTGTTCCTTTTATTTCCAATTTTCACCAAAACATTTCTCACAATGTTCGTTCACATTTGAATGGTCTTTCTCCAGTGTAAGTTCGTAAGTGTTTTCATAAACTACCAGATTCATTGTAACATTTTTCACAATATTCACATTTAAAAGGTTTTTCTCCAGTGTGAGTTCTTATGTGTTCCTTTTATTTCCAATTTTCACCAAAACATTTCTCACAATGTTCGTTCACATTTGAATGGTCTTTCTCCAGTGTAAGTTCGTAAGTGTTTTCATAAACTACCAGATTCATTGTAACATTTTTCACAATATTCACATTTAAAAGGTTTTTCTCCAGTGTGAGTTCTTATGTGTTCCTTTTATTTCCAATTTTCACCAAAACATTTCTCACAATGTTCACATTTGAATGGTCTTTCTCCAGTGTAAGTTCGTGTTTTCATAAACTACCAGATTCATTGTAACATTTTTCACAATATTCACATTTAAAAGGTCTTTCTCCCGTGTGAGTTCGCATGTGTATCTTAAACTACCAGATTCAATGAAACTTTTTCACAGTGTTCACATTTAAAGGGTCTTTCTCCCGTGTGAGTTCTTATGTGTCTCCTTTATATAACAGATTCTACAAAACATTTTTCACAATGTTCACATTTAAAAGCTTTTTCTCCTGTATGAGTTCGGACATGACCCTTTAAAGTACTTAAATGACCAAAACATTTCCCACAGTGTTCACATTTAAGAGGTTTTTCTCCTGTGTAGCTTTAAACACTTTTCACATTTAAAAGGCCTTTCCCCTGTATGAGTTCTTATGTGTTTGTTTAAATCATAGGACCTAGAAAAGCATTCCTCACAATGTTGACATTTGAATGATTTTTCTTTTGTTATCACATTATTGTCACTTTGGACATATGACTGATCAGTATTCCCAGTGAATTCCAAATTTCCAAATTCATTCTTAGCTTGATTGATCAAAATCTTCTTGTTTAATTACGACTTTGATGCTATCATATCATTGTTACTTTCTTTAGCTGATTGTTCAGAATTAGTTGCAAATACAGAATTAAAGAATTGATGGTCAACTTCACCAAAATTTTCTTGTTTGACAACTGAGTAATTCACCATAATGATATATTCTACACTTTCTTTAGAGGTGTTACACTCAGAATTACTTGTGGCACTTTGTGTAGAAATGTCGTGGTCTAGTTAAATAAGACCAAAATTCACGTACATATATTTTGCATATTAGTGTCTTGTATTTTTCTGAAAGACTGAGATTTACGGCAAAATGTCATAATACAGTACATTGCAAAAATTCCAATCCCATGGTAATACATAATAGATAAATTGTACCGAAATCATCCATTGACTATTCAAGCTATTGAATCAAGATGTAATAAGCAGGAAGATTGCCCAGAGAAGAAATTCTGTAATGCTTATCACAAGTGTGTACCAAGAGGAGCCTGTCGTTTTCGTAATATGTATATTTTTTATTATTTTATTTTCATCATCTTTAAGTAAAATACATATCTTTCGAAATTTATGATTACACAGTACACTTCTTTTTTTCTTTGATTGTATTGACATCAAAAATGGGGATTTCAAACTTGCTAGCAAAACCCATTGAAAAATCAGGCTACATCCAAGGCCCATAGCCGGTTTTTTCCAAGGGGAGATTTTTAAAATATTCCAGGGAGTTCCCATTTGATAATTTGGGCGCAAAATCACTGAAAACTTATCAAAATAGTGGAAAACTGCATGATTTTGAAATTTTTTAACTGCAGATTATGAACATCAAAACATCGATCAAATGATACACATAGCAAAATTGGAAGCAATATCTCAATCAATTTGAAATTTGTGACCTACTTTGTGAAAATTCAAAAGATTCTGTTATTTTTGCTGTTCCATTAATCTGTCTTCTATTCATACATTAATAAATCTCTGATTTAGCTGATTGTGCCCCTGGATGCATGAAAGACATTGAATGTGATGTCAATACCTACTGCCATTTTAATTCGACGATTGGAGTTGTGAGAAATAACATTACGTATGGCGACTGTCTTCCTGTGAAAATCACTGGGGAACCCTGTATTAGCCAACGGGAGTGTACTTAAAAAAATGAATGTTATAAATATAAATGTTCTAAGCTTACAAAGAGATTGAAATTAAAATCCATCGACAGACAAATGAAACGTAAGTATCTAATTATAGCAAGGACAGCACTGGACATATAGGGAGGTTAAGCTGCGCGTTTCTAATCTTGTACGTGAACGTGTGGAAATATTTCCTTTGTGGATTAATTCTCCACTTTATAGTAATTGCTATCCCAGTTCAAGTATAAAAGTATTCAGAAACTTGTAGTAATTCATGTAATTAGTCACTGGAAAAAACAATTGAGAGACGGACAGTAACACCTGGGGTCATAAAATTACACTAAATACGTACAAGTTCTCTTAAAACGTGTAGCTTAATCTCCCTCACGTTAGCACTGTTGAACGTGAAAATGAATCTAGTTTTAGTACATAGAATATGATCTCTTTCTAGTCAAACTGATCGTGTGTGCTTTTCAAATAACCCAGATGCCACACAATATGGCCACCAAAATGTAACGTTATACACGCATCTTTGCGACGGGGTATCATTATAGTTTTACAAGGCAACATTCAACATAAATAATGTTGAAAAATTTCATAAGGTTAGGTTTGATATGATAGCGTAATAGTTCATCTATAAGTCCCTGTGCCCCCCCCCCCTTACTACCTGTCAACGCAGTAATGAAAACTTGTTAAACAGACTGTGGAGAGGTATGTAGTGGGGTGGGCACAAAGGCTTGTAGCTAGACTCTGAGACTAATTATCATCATGTTCATTCAAATCAGGAAAGTGGGATTATTATACAATATCCAGGACCGTAGTAGCCAGCTTTTGCCAAGGAGGGTCACTTTGAAAGAAATTCCAGGGGAAGGTCCACATTTGACCATTTTGACTACATTTGACCATTTTGATGGACTTGATACCCACTTGTCCCTTATCACTTCTAAGAACTGTCGACACCAAAACTGATTACTGTTATAGCATGTTCAAAAGACAGTGACTGTAACAGTAGTGAATTATACTGCCCAATGGGAGAGTCTGAGACACGCTATAAGGGGGAGGACCTTGGAAACTGTCGAAGGCGTCTCATTCATGAGTTGGCTTGCACCAGAGACGGGGAATGCTGAATAGATAACATGTGCCATAGGAACCAATGTTACAAGAACACGACAAATTACATGCGTGGTAGGATGCTTAATTATTTGGGACTGTTTGTAAGAAAATGATAACATGAAATGTGCTCGTGTATATAAGTAAATAGATACTTAATATGGTCTTAAAATATCGCCTTATATTAGAAAAACATGTGTAGCAAACATTATTCAAGTGCACTAAAACATGTTTTCAGGTAAGCAATGAACCAGCAACAAAGATTGCTTTTATGAAGATTTAATGTACTGCCATTCTCAAATTTCCACATCATACCCCAGAAGAGTTATTAAAGGTTGTAAGCTCCGAGTTAAAGATTGGAAGAAATGTTCTAATGATGGCCAATGCCTGAAAGACCGGAAATGTCACTGGAATCACAACCGATTTAAGCAGTGTATACCCCCACCTCATGGGCCTAACTGGAAATCCGTGTGGCGAGAACCACCTCCTAAAGCGCCGCGGGCATGTACACAAAATAGTACATGCCGGACTGGACAAATCTGTTACCATAATGTGTGTAGGAAAACGTCTGATGTTTTGTATGCACATGCAAAGGCTGCGCTTTTGTATAGTTAGTTTTACTTATAAATAATTTATTGAATTCTAATTCAGAATCTGTATTAGATCGTGTGATACGAAGAATGGAATTATACGATAGAAAAGGGGTGCATAATTTTCACTGAAAATGGACTCTAAATATATATTGCGGGCTACTTGTTGGGTGTATACTAGTATAACCTTTTGAGTCATTTTCAAATCCTTTAAAATTATTTTATATTTACCGAAGCAATACTCAAAACACATAAACTCTTTAATCATCTTCTATGTAAAATACCACTTGGTGTAAAGGAAAACCCCTTCAAGATCTTAAATAAATCTAAAAATGACTTTTTCATAACTAGAAATAATTAGTAAACAGCCCCAAGGAGGGGCAAGTCTCACCGAAGAAAACATATTTTAAAGATGAAATGAACACAGAATTCTATAACTGGTATTAAGTTATCAAAAATACTTCACATATTATATATGAAAAGTGGTAGCCATTTTGAATGAACAGCCATCTTGAGTAGAGCTTGTATGTCACCAGGCATTATTCAGTATAAGAATTTGAAACAACTCAGTCGACTGGTATTGGAGTCATCAAATTTACGAAAGATGGCAGTCATTTTGATTCAAATATTCATATCAGTCATTTTGAATTGAGCAGCCATCTTGGAAATTTCCCCTCGAGCAGATGTATGTTCCAAAAGTACCAGTATATAAAATTTTAACAAATTCTTCAACTGGTATTTGAGTTATCAAACAATACATTTTTCATTATGAAAATGGCGTCCATTTTGAAATGAGCGGCCATATTGAAAAAACTCATTAAGCAGAGGTCCTTACAATATTAGCCTATACAATTTTGACCAAATTATATAAATTGGTCCATATAGCTTTTGAAATCCAATGGTCATCTTGAAAATTTCTTCTTGAGCAGAGCCCTGTTCCTAGCCATAAGCACTAGACTTTGAACCAAATCCGTCAAATGGTATTTGAGTTATCAAAGATTACGTTTTACAAAAAATGGCAGTCATTTTGAATTGAGTGGCCACATTGAAAATCTCTTGTCAAGCAGAGGTCCTATACTTCAGCCTATAGAATTTGAAAAAAGCAGTCTACTGGCAATTTTAGTTATCGTCCGGACAAACGAACAGACGGACAGCTTCTCTATATCCCAACGAACATTATACGAATAGTTTAGTAGGCCTAATAATTATGTTATTTCTGGAAAAGAGAGCTTAGAGGGTACCTCTTTCTTATATTAGCTTACATTACTTGCGATCTGAAATGCAACGTTCCCAACACAACGGTGGACTATATAAGTTTGAACCAACTTGAATCGGTAATACACAGATACATGTGAGCTACGAATGTTCTACTAAAAATAAAATACGACAAGAAGACGTTCGATATCTCAGTGATACCATTAAAGAAGCTGTTTATGACATTAATGATATGATTGGCAAGTGGCGAGATCATCACCTTGGGACTTTGACTTATACTGTTGGAGAAAGTATTATTTACATTAAGTTTGGAGCTTATATAAACTATGATTTTGGTGAAAGGGGATGGTTAGATTGTGATAAAGTCCCAATGTAGTAGGATGGCGATTTCTTAGAATAACTAATGAGGATCCGGAGGACTGATATAGAACATTTAGAATTTTCACACTGACAACTTTCGACTCAAACATTGTCAGCCGTGGTAGAGCAACATATTATCCAAAAACAACATATTAGCCAGAATGGTCAGCTTTACTTGTATATACCCAGAGCATGTTTTATATCTCTGATATACCCAACTTGTGAATGATAGAAATAAATATAAAATATAATTTATATCCAACACGGAACAATTTTTTTTATTTTGTTTAATTCACAGTAAGCAATTCAAGGGAGTATCACAAAAAACAAACCTACAAACAGGTACTGTTTGGGCAATAAATAAATGACTACTTGATTTTCTATTACCATTTCCACACCATTTTGTTTGAAAGCACATTGTTGTCAATATTGTCTAGATACATGTTCCCAAAAATTCGTATATTTTATATACAGTTTGTATACTCTACGCCTAAAAACCTAAATTTCGCGGGAGTTTTCGGGTCATTGCGGCACCCGCGAATAACCCCAATTTTGATCAAGTTCGCTTGATAATTCCGCGAGTCGCGGTTCACTTAACGGCCCTGCATGTCCCTTTTCCCACTAACAAAGACTTTATATACATTACAAGAACATTTAGATTTATGGTCGCAATAAAGAAATATACACCAAAAGACAATAACGTTTGCTTCCTTGAATCAAACAGTGCCCAATTAGTTATAGTATGATTGTGATCGTGTTACAGTAAGCCTATGATTTGAATATAAGCCTATGTGTTTTCAGAATATTGCCGTCTGTGTCCTATGATTGAAACATGTTCTTCATAATCAATCATGTAAGGCCCGGTACGCTGGGTTCGCACAGGCGTACCAGATGATTTCAAATTCGCTCCAAATACTACAAAATTTCGAAGTGGGAGAACCCCACAGACCCCCTGAACGCTGCTTCTCTCAAAGTCTTGCCTCCCGTGCGGGCTCCCGAGGTGGCGTACTACTTAGAAAAATAGCGCAACGCCCTTTTAAGCTCCAGGCAGTTTATTAATTATAAATATTATTTTTAGTGAATAATCTTTATTCCTTTTATTTTAGTTTTGTTCTAATTATTTACAACAGGAAAGAGTATGAACATTTTTAGTATGAATTTTTCTAGCGTTCAGAATTTTGGTGCATCACGTCGGCCCCGCATCACTTTCACAAATTCAACATTTTCTGATTTACATCATAATTAGACGTTTTGACGTAACCACAATCAAACAGACAACATGTACCCGGTAAATTAGTAGGCCTAGGCTATACTTTATTTTTACAATTGAATTTATTTTGAAGGAATAGATCGGCCGTATAGATCGGTATTGAGAAGCGGCGCAAACCTATTATCGCCCAGCCATCAAAATAAAGCTGTAAAAGTTTTTCATACGATTTTCAAACATGCAGTCAACTCTAATAGTTGTGCATGAACTCAAAATGAAAGACAGGGAAACATCAAATTAAGGGTGTGAAAAACGTCATCAAATTTCCCTCTCAATAATTGATGACATCATCACTTTAGACTCATATTTCTAGGCGGGAATTTTGACGAAGAAACGTCTGCCATTCTGCGGATTTTCATTACATTTCCAGAGGTTTGTAAGCTTCATTGTAGGCTGGACTTAGATTTGATGTATTGAATTGAATCATCTTAAGTAAAAGCTGAGAAAATTTAGATTTATTTTAATGAGGCAATCAGTAAGTTTGTTAAATTCATAGGTAGCCTAGATCCCGGCCAGATTCTTTTGTAGCTAGCCTAGCTAGAGTAGAAGGATCAGTAGCTCAATAAAATATAAGTAATCTAGATCTAGCCTATGCTCCGGCTTTCGCCAGAAACGTACTTGACGTCCGTGGAGAAATCAGCATTTCTAGAAAATTGTGGTTTCTAAAAAATCAAGAGAAAAGGCAGGGTAACAAAAACCTAGCAAAAACCACAGGGGTTTGTTTGGAGGATCAGGCAGAGCCCTCTTGTAGGCTATTTCAAACCTACAATAATTAGAAATCTAAAAGACAAGGGACTTCTATGGCGGATCCGGGGGGGGGGGGGCATGGGGCCAGGGCCCTAAGTTGGGCCCAGAAAAAACAAAAATTGGGCCCAAAAAATTTTGGGGCAAAAAGGCCTTCAGGCACCAAAAAGTGGGCCTTTTTGGTCATTACTAGGCCTTCTAAGGCCTTATTTTTTAATTTCAGGCCCAAAATTTTTTTTCGCGCAAGCACGGAAGCTATTTTCTATGACCGGCAATTTGGCCCCCCCGTGTTGGTTCCTGGATCCGCCACTGGACTTTGAAGTTATTTGAGGGTTCTGCCTTATCCTCCAGACAAATCCCTGAGGCAAAACCTAGGCTAGGCCTAAATCGACAATTCTAAAAAAATCAAGAGAACAAGAAAAGTGGGGGTCTAAAACAATTGCTAAAAATAATTGGGGAGAAAAATCAGGGTTACAGTAGATCTAAAACAATTATCTGATTAATCGAGTTCAGAAAAAAGTTGGGTAAAAAAATATGGAGCTTTTTCAAAAATAGGGGAGCATCTGAAAGATTTGGATTTTTTGAAAAATTGAGTTTTCACTAAAAAATTGGGTTAACTTAGGCGCTAAATATCAGGATTTCTCCCAATTCATATCAGGACTTGAAATGTGAGAGTCTGATCTTATAGGTTATGGCCATGAATATACTAGTATGTACAGGGTGGTCAAAAAATGGAAACCCTGTATCAGGCCTGTCAACTGTCCCGCAATTTGTGTATTTGTCACGCATTTGCTGAAGAACTTGAAATCACGCCAGTTTTCTTTGCAAGACAGAAAATGTCACACAAATACGCATTTTACTTGGTAATTGTCAAGCAAAAATATTTCTGTTGTAGAAAAATTTCTGAATAAGTTCGCCCATACAGCAAAATTACGGATGCCGAAAAAAAGTATGCATTCCGTTCGGACTTTACACGCGTATCAAGTATACGCATTCCGTTCGAAATTTTTCATACCTGTAATTTGGATCAATGTGTTCAGATTTGGACCAAGGTGTCCACATTTTGAGGGGAGGTGTTCAACATTTCCAAGTCATTCATGTTAGGTGTTCCAAAGTTGACAGGCCTGCTGTATTTTCCTCATATCTTTGACTTTTTAAGGAATTTCTCCCTGATATTTCACACATTTGTACAGTATCCCATTCCCTACCACTCCACCATATTTCATGACTATGATCAGACTGATAGTTTTGCAATCATCATGCTGTACGCAAACTTGCACAGTTGTCAATGACCCCAATGCATTTCTGAGCAGGTATGGCCTGAATGATACAAATGTTCTCACTTTTGAGGTTCTGTAATTGTCCTGAGGTCATTCTCTTACACTCATACATACATCTCTGCGGCGTGCCATACCTCACAGGTGAGGTAGGAACATTTTGGACGATGTGTGCCAGTTTCCCTACCACACAATAGTGGCCACTTGAGCATGTTCTTTAAAGTGCTATATTCATTGATTTGTGACTATTAATCGGATGAAATAAAGTAGGCTGGTAGGAAATTGAAAACTGTACAAATGTGCAAAATATCAGGGAGTTATTTCTCATAATGCCAAAGATATAAGGAAAATGGTGTAAGGGTTTCCAGTTTTTTTTACCACCCTGTATGCAATTTACATCAGCATTCCAATTCCAGACCCAACCTGAGTGGACAACACAGTTCATTTACCAATACCTTGGCTTGAGCTGTACCTACAAAAGATTAAGTGCAACAAGATCCAGTGTCATCATAATGGCCGTTTTCAAAGGTTTGGACATCCCCAGTATTGACATCAGCCAGATTGACTTTACAAAGTCATCTGATGACATCACAATAGAGGAATATTTCACCAAGGAGGAGCTTTCTAATATTTCTGCCTATGAAAGATTTAGGTTCAGAAATATTAAGCAGAACTATCTTATGATGATGAAAATAGGTGAGATTGTATAATTAGGGTTTAAGTCCATTTATTTAAAGCCATTTATTATTTTGCATTATTTTTATCAAACAAGGAATTAGGCGACCCAATCCTACCATGAAACATTTCTCCAAAATAGAGAGATTTAGATTTTTTATTCACAAAGATAATGCAGTTTAGAGAAGATTACAGATATTGTAACAATTCAAAATTGCCCCCTGTCCTTCAGACTGGTAACTGGAATTATCATTGATTTTGAAATCTATCAAAACTACTAGTATATACTTTAGTTGAGTTAAAGACAAATTTAGGCATTTTAGGGTAGATTTAAATACATGTTGCGTAGATTTAAATGCATGTTGCGTTTTCTATTTTTTTACTACTATCTTGTAAAATCCAGTTCAAAATGGCTACCAAAAGGAATTTCTGTTAATTTTGTGATTAAATTACATGTATGGCTTTATTCAAGTAAATCTAACTAAGGTACTAATAGATCACAAAACCTTTATCATCTTGTGAAAGATTTAGAGCTTAATATACTTAGAAGTTTTAGAAAGGGTATTTTTGGTGGGATTAATTATTTGTCACTCTGTAAAGTTGCTATTTTCTAGTTATAGTTAGAAATTTTTTATTTTCTATGCAGAAATGTACATTACTATTTCTATTCATGCTTAAATGGTTGTAGGTATACCCATTATCAAACCTGATTTTATGAAGAGCAAGCGTGGAAGAAAGAGACCTCCTCCTCCTCCCTCTGAAAGTAGTTCTGATGAAGAGTGGCTCCCTTCTAAAGAGAGACAAAGAGACAGGCCAAAGAGAGGTAAATCTCATTACTTGAAAAATATATTTCTTGCGTAAATCTAGTGAGAAGTAAAAACATTCAACATACCTGTTGCTTCAATTTTAAGACTCTTTCTCCAGGTTTCTTACTTTGGATTCTTTACAGTTCACATCAGTTTGCCAAAAACTAGATGCGATACAAGAATGCATTTCATAAAACTTCACATGTTTGAGTATTTTCCATTTTAATCTAGCTATCAAGCCATTCAGACCATTCGTTGCCCCTTTCAAAGTGACACAGAAACGTCAACAGCAAGTTCCAGCAGCAGAGAATGGAGCCATTCAGAAAAAGGTAAATACACACAAATGAATCATGATTAGTAAATGTAGCATCCTCAGACCTCAGTATCTATTTTAAAAATTGCCAAATTAAATTAAGTTATGTTGAAGTATTATGAAGTCATTTTACTTTGAGGAAAAGATCCTGAATAGTTATGAATAAATGAAAAATGATTTTTCTGCAGAAACCCAAACCTTCAGCAACAGTCACAAATGCTACCATAGCAACCAAAGATGACACAATGAAAGCCAGTACCACCAAGTCCACCAAGCCAGAACAGCCAAGTCAACCCGTAAAGCCTAAAAAATCCTCACCCCCTCTTGTGTTAGACTTTCTAGGATATGATGATGTCGAGATCAAAAAATGGAGGAAAGTCTGTATGCTGAAGACCAACAAGATTAAAGCTGAGATAGAACTCCTGGAAAATGATATGGATCAGGCTTTGTTGGAATTGGTTGAATTGGGTAGGTATGACATAAAGTTGCATGGAAAATCAAATACTTTGATACTTTTTACACCTTTTCAAATTTTGATTTTATTAATACCCGGGAGTACATTGTTATGATTAATTAAACATCAATAGTTTGTTATTCCATTATTGATTAATGTGTGTGAGGAATATAACTGAATAATAAAACAAATGTTTAATTCTATTTTCGGTGAATAGCCCTTCTGGCTTTGTGAAATATCACTTATGAAAGGTGCACAGGTATTCACTTCAATGGAATTAAATATTTGTATATTATTGTCAATAAGTCACCATTATTGTGACATTAAAAAGTTAAAAAGGAAAATGTTCCTGTGTATGATAACTTCTCTAGCAAAATATACAATACTCTAGCATTATCTTTAAACAGAAGTGAAGGTTACTCACAAATAATATACCCATTGCATGGCATAGCATTATCCCTTATAAGCAGACATATTTGTGGCTATTGACCCTTTTAATAAATTTGGAGCTGATTATTGATATTTACAGAGCTGCAGAAGGAGGAAGAAGCAGAACTGGCAAAGCGAGAGAGGGAAGCTCCCAGGTACCCAAAGAGGAACATAGAAAGGACAAACTACAAGCTCCTTGAGGTGCCAGATGATGATGAATTTTTGTGTAAGTAAAGAAAATGAATACTAAAGAAAAACTTTATATTGTATATCCATTTTAAAGTAGAATTAGCATAATGCTAATTTTGGCCAGAATTAAACATCATAAATGTGTAGCTATTGTTCATTGAAAGATGTCAGCCATTATTGAAAAGGTTTATCATTTGCCCTGTGAGATGTTGAGGTGATGTGAAGGTAGATGCAGTTAATAATGCATTGTTGATAATAGGAAATGAGTAATCTTTATTTGTAGGAGTGATAGCTAAATTGAGGGTGTTCTTTAATTTATGAAAATATTTTACACATGTATAAATACTTATGATCAATTATTTTAATTCAAAGTGACAATATGCAGTTTATTATTCAATTTTACTAATTATGAACTATAGTTGTACTGGGTCTGCTTCTTGTTGGCGCAATATTCACAATTGTCTAAAAGTATACATATATGCTATATTTTACCGGTACTTGGTTTTAGTTTGTGAGGACTGCAACTTAGAGCATAAAGGAGATTGCCCAATACATGGTCCCTTAATCATAGTGGAAGACAGAAAGGTATGAATTGATATTATTTAAAAATACCTACCTACCTGTAACTTAGTAACCTAGAGCATAAAAAGAAGCATTCTCATTTCTTACCTACAAATACTTATTTATTTTTGTCTCAAAACATATTTTTACATTTAACATTTTAAAATTATACTATCGCAGTAAGTGCAGTTTATGAGAGATATGACTGGTATAGAATAATATATAAATACATTTAATTTAGCAAATATACTGAAAATACATGATTATATGAAATTATTATATAAATTATATGAAATGCTATCATGTCTTGTTTTTTCTGAATTTATACATTAAAAAATAACAGAATTCAGAAGCCAAAAAGACATTTGAAAGTTAGTAAAATCCCAGATGTCAGATTTTGGCACTTCTATTCAGGGAAAATATGAAAACAACAATATGCCTGTATATCCATTATCCATGGTCATTTAACATGGTTGATTCAATCACATTGTCTCTCTCATCTCTCATTCAAGAAAATCTCAAATTACCAGGGGGTCATTAACAGAACATTCGCAAAGTTACGAATTCGTAATTCGTAACTTTATGAAATTCGTAAATATTTAAAAAGTTACGAATGATTTACGAATTCATAAAGTTACGAATCGGCCATTAACAGAACACTTTCGTAAGTCATTCATAAGTTTTATCGTTCGTAAACGAATTTCAAATTGTGACGTCATCTTATATCATTATTTAGCACAAATAAAAATATGATGGCATTTGATATCATTGCGCGCTGTGATCAAACCTGTCTCCGCGATTTCAAAGATTCTCAGCTCAGGAACATATTTGCTTATCATGTAAGAATAGGTAGATATTTTAGCTTGAAACTCAGCATGCATATAGAGAACAATTTATTTTTGCCAACCTGTATACCTTACATAAGAATTGGATGAGAAATGTGCCATTCGCAAAGTTATGAAAGGGTCTGAGGTGCTATTAAAGTTACGAATGAAAGCATACGTGACGTCATTTTTTCGTAACTTGGCGAATCGTTCGTAACTTTACGAAAGTTCTGTTAATGCACATTTACCAAATTCGTAAAATTAACAATTGATTTGCGAATTCGTAACTTTACGAAAGTTCTGTTAATGACCCCCAGACTAACAACTGACATGTACATAATGAATATCATTTCAGGTTGAAGGTGGAAAGTTCAGAGCTGAACTGACAGCCCCATATGACTTAGTAGTGAGGTTGTCTAAGATCCCTGGTGCTGGTCATGGAGTGTGGACCACAGCTGAGATACCCAAGGGGGTCAGGTTTGGCCCATATGCTGGTAGAATTGTAGAGATACACAGGGAACATGATGCACATGAGAGTGGTTATGCTTGGATGGTAATGGTAAGTACATATTGAGTTAGAAGATTTCAAGAAGTGGTTGATACCACTGGTGGATCTGGACCTGGCATTCCCAATTTTTAAGGGCCAATTAGGGCCTGGTTGAGCCTTTTGAGGCCTTATTTTTAAATTGAAGGCCTTAAATAACGGGCCTTAAATTTTCTAATTTTGGACTGATTTATGCTTTTCGGGGCTCAAACTCTTTTTCTGCCCAAGAGCAGAAATATTTTTTCTTAGACTTTCAGATCAGCCCCTGGATACTTACTAGATTTATTGAAATGTTTATTATCCCATCGAACGAAGTTCGGAGGGATATAGGGAACGCCTCCATTTGTCCGTCCGTCCGTACGTCCGTCCGTACATACGCGTCCGGGCAATAACTCAAATACCGTTGGCCCGATTTTGTTCATATTTTGTACACATATACCCTATGGGGGTAGAAGTTCTGCTCGAAAGCCGATTCTTAAAATGGCTGCTCATTTCAAAATGGCGGCCATTTTAGTGTCGATTTTACAGTAATTTAGGTGCAATATGTAAAACTGTAATAGTAATATGTTTTAAATGTAAAAAAATTATAAATGACATTAATAAAGCTACAATGTAGATATTAAAAAAGCACATGGCTGCCATCTTGAAAAATGGCGGCCTTTACTCGTTATTTTACGATTTTTGCTATAACTCGAAAAGTAGTGGAGCGATTTTGTTCATATTTGGTATGTGAATACTATAAACATTGCACACTGTCTAAAGGCACTTTTGGTAGAAGGCGGCCATTTTTCAAAATGGCCGCCATTTTAACGTATTTTACTATAACTCGAAAAGTAGTGGAGCGATTTTGTTCATATTTGGTATGTGAATACTATAAGCATGGCACACTGTCCTATGACACTTTTGGTAGAAGATGGCCATTTTGAAAAATGGCTGCCATTTTAACGTATTTTACTATAACTCGAAAAGTAATGGAGCGATTTTGTTCATATTTGATATGTGAATACTCTAAGCATGGCACATTGTCTCATAAAACTTTGGGGAGTAGTCGGCCATTTTGAAAATTTTTTTATGTGTGTTATTTTACAAGTACATGTGTGCGATTTTTCAAAAAATTTATAGGTGGCTACTTAAAAGCATATTATTTCTTCTGATGACAACTTGGCTAGTGAGCAACCATTTTGAAAATGGTGGCCTTTCTGGTGTGTTGTTTTATGATATTTGCTATATATTTCGTTTGTAAAAATGCCAGCCATTTCTGTTAGATGGGATTCGCTACGCTTTGGCGTTGCCGTTGTTCTGGTTCCCTTTGCATATGAATTAGCATATTTAAACGATCATATCATCGAGACCATTGCACTCAGACTTTTTGAAAAGTTGACACTCAGTTTGTGCTACCAAAGTCCCATCATAGCACTGTGTTTTTCTTGCAGATTTATAAAAATGAGAAACCAAGCCACTTTATTGATGCTGGTGATGTTGGGCAGGCCAACTGGATGCGTTATGTCAACTGTGCCAGGTTTGAAGGTGAACAGAATGTTACAGCATTCCAGTACCTGGGCCAGATATATTACAGAACATTCAGACCTATACCCCCAAATACTGAAGTACTAGTTTGGTAAGTGACCTTGAAGATAAGTTCCGAGATGAAAAGTGGGGCAGCCGTGGGAATTCCAGAGGGTTCAAATGAAAAAATTAAATTTTACATTTTGCATTGATACCGTATTCTCTCTAATGAAAGTACAATTCCAATGAGCCCACTTGCAATTTTTATGATTGGTTGGTTATATTAAATGCTCTAGAAAGATATACAGGAACTGTAGAGGATGTAAACCTTATTAGTGATAACAACTAAAAAGATAATCAGTGATATTTTTTCTATTTTTTTTTTTGTATGTGGGCTTATTGGAAATTTTTTATTTATTTTAAATTTCAATTTAGAAAGTGCACTTTGCTCTAATTAGAGAGAATATGGTATTGAAATTGCTAGAATTATTGAATTATGCTGAAGTGGAACAACTCATCTTTGCTCTATCAGTACAGTGTAAAATATGTCATGTCACTTTGATTCAGTCGAATGTCATATTCACCATGACCATCATGATTCTGGCCATGGATACCATGTGGAACACATTTTTAAAAGTCAAAATTCTCTTGTAAATAAAAATCAAATATATGTTTTGTCTGTATTGCACCAATGCACCCTGTGTTAACTGCACTTGTGCTTTACTGTCATCACTGCTGGGTGTGGCAGATAGTCTCCACATAAATCGTGTAATCAGAACTCCAGAAAACTGCCTCTCCGTTTAGGCCTAACCTGAAATTTTTAAAGATGTAAGAGCAGGATAGTACCAGATCTTATTATATTTTGGGCAAGTTGGATAAATTACAAAGCTGTCATTTTGCTCATCAAACTATATATAATGAAACCCAATTGATAAATTGTAATCAATTCAATTTTGTTCTATCATTGCATTAACAGGTATGGTGAATCCTATGCCGAAGAACTTGGAATAGATGTAGTGAAGTTTCGCAATCAAACAGCTCATGTCAATGGCATTGGGAATATGAATATGGAAAAACATACTAAACATAAAAGCATGACCTTAGCTGAGATGATCAGACTAAATATGGCAGAAGGTATGTACTTTTCAAGAACAAAAAATTTAACTTAAGTGGATAATGATACAGTACTGATACTAACTGATATATAATTCAACATTGATGTAACCCAAGTATTTCAATGTATTCTTCAAAATTGTTAATAATCCAAACACTACGGTTGTTAGTTTTCATGAAAAATTATTTTGAATCCTTTTACTAGGTTTTGTTGAAATGGAAGGTTTATCAATATCAAAGAATTTTGTCCACCATCTTGTATGGTACAAACTCCAGTTAGAATCATCATCCTGCTGTGGACATGAGAAATATAAAAAAATACAAATGAATTCAAATACAGAATATCGCCTTATTCCTTAATGATTAAACCTGCCTAGAATCTCCTTTAAAATGAGACTTTAACAAAGTCTCTATTACACATCTGCTTCTATTTTATTCTTCCAGTGATAAAATTCAAGTGTCCTCTATGTTGGAGGCAGTTCTTTAATGAGGCTAAGATGGAGGAACATAAGAGAACACATAGAATCTCTTGTTCAGATAACAATCTACCTGACTCTCAGACCCAGAATACAGCAGATGAAACTCTCAATCCTACAAAAACCACACATTGTGGATTGGATGATGAGGGAATGTTTAAATGTGATAAGTGTGACAAATGTTATACTTTGAAATGTCATCTTCTGCAGCATATGAATACTCACAACACCAATTTTAAATGTAGAGTGTGTGGTTATAGATTTCCAAGTAATGCAAATCTTCAGCTACACATGAGAACTCATACAGGTGAGAAGCCATATAAATGTACGATCTGTGACTATAGATGTAATGTACAATGGAACTTGACAAGACACATGAGAACTCATACAGATGAGAAGCCATACAAATGTACACTCTGTGACTATAGATGTAATCAACAAGGTGATTTGACAAACCACATGAGAACTCATACTGGTGAGAAACCATACAAATGCACACTCTGTGACTATAGATCTAAACAACAAAGTGATTTGACAAACCACATGAGAACTCATACTGATGAGAAGCCATACAAATGTACACTCTGTGACTATAGATGTAAACAACAAAGTGATTTGACAAAACACATGAGAACTCATACTGATGAGAAGCCATACAAATGTACGCTCTGTGACTATAGATGTAATGTACAATGCAGCTTGACAAGACACATGAGAACTCATACTGGTGAGAAACCATACAAATGCACACTCTGTGACTATAGATGTAATCAAAGAGGTGATTTGACAAAACACATGAGAACTCATACTGATGAGAAGCCATACAAATGTACACTCTGTGACTATAGATGTAATGTACAAATCAACTTGACAAACCACATGAGAACTCATACTGGAGAGAAGCCATACAAATGTACACTCTGTGACTATAGATGTAATGTACAAAACAGCTTGACAAGACACATGAGAACTCATACTGATGAGAAGCCATACAAATGTACTTTCTGTGACTATAGATGTAATCGACATGAACATTTGAAAAAACACATGAGAACTCATACTGATGAGAAGCCATATAAATGTACACTCTGTGACTATAGATGTAATGTACAAATCAACTTGACAAACCACATGAGAACTCATACTGGAGAGAAGCCATACAAATGTACACTCTGTGACTATAGATAGATGTAATGTACAAAACAGCTTGACAAGACACATGAGAACTCATACTGATGAGAAGCCATACAAATGTGCACTCTGTGACTATAGATGTAGTGTACAATGCAGCTTGACAAACCACATGAGAACTCATACTGATGAGAAGCCATTCAAATGTACACTCTGTGACTATAGATGTAATCAACAAGGTGATCTGACAAAACACATGAGAACTCATACTGGTGAGAAGCCATACAAATGTACACTATGTGACTATAAATGTAGTGATACTTCTTCATTAAGACAGCACACTAAGGCTTGTCATACACAGTGATAGATGAATCACAAAGTGCAATATATGTGATAGTAAATATGTTAAAGCCAATTTCAATTGAAACATTATATTGAATTTATATACCCTCAAAATTAATTATCTGTAAATGTATAGTGTGCCATTGTACTTTACTACTACATAACCAGACTGTTAAAATGTATATTGACTGATATGTTTGTATGTCATGCTATTAATTAAAATAATGAAATTTTTTTTATTTTGTGAATGTATTTTATTTAGGCATCTATGCATGATTTGCCACTTTGTTTATATACAAAAAAATATTCTATAAAATTTGATTTGACTTGATTCCTTTTAGGAATCTGGTTGAAGAAATCGAAGTTTTGTTCATCATTGCTCTGGAAGTAGTTTGAATATACCACGTTGTTTTGTGAATTCATTTTAAGAAAAGTGCAAATATCTTGCTTGATGCTAGTATTATAATGTATTGATGTAAAATATTCACTTAATTGTATAATTATGTCACCACCCAAAGTAGTGACATATTGTTATGATCTCCAACTTTTTGCATGGTGTCAGGTGATTGGTGATTGGTGGTTGCCATCTTTAACAAATCGCAGGTGGTGACATGCATTTTGCAAGTAAATGCCTTGTTGTTTTCATATTTGATGATTTGCAGCCCAATGCGTTTAGAGCACAGGCTCTAAAATGTATAATTGATGCCAAGATTTTGTATTTTTCAGTATTTTTTTCACATGTCAGGATTTTTGGGTTTTACAAATTGTAACTTTCATTATTCAAGACTGATTGTATTAAGTACAATCTTTCTCACAATTTCTTAGTATAATGATAAAATAAATGCTACACTTGGTAAAATCAAACATAAATCACTGACTGTACTGTAAGGCCAAAGTACAACATTAATATAGGCTAATTTCAGAAATAGTTTCTCATAATCGGATGTGATATCATGAATTCTAAAAATATTGTAAAAAACTTATTTGAAATGAGTTGATTTAAACCATTTCCCATTTGAATTGATTTCTAGGATTGTATGTAATCTTAGTATTTATGTGAGTTAATATGAGGAACATCTCTTTACTTTTCTTAAAATGATCGTATTTCTAATGCTACATAACACACAACGAAGCTAATGACTAGGATCATTACTAAAAAACATCTTCAACAAAAGTGTAAAATACCAAAAGGCCGAACATGTACACACTTCAATCAAAATCTAGGGTATTCATAAATGTCCATATGAGTTTGTTTAAATTGCATATTTAATTTGTACATTTATGTAATTAAAGTTATATAAAATCAGCACCATTACTATGATCAACTAACTAGCTATAGTATGCATACATATTGACTTGTAAATTAACACAATGGTGCTAATTTTATATTAAATGTACCAATGAAGGATACATACATGCATATCCTGTATGAAAACAGGCCAAGTTGTCTATTGCATAGATCAACTATACATGTAGACCAATTTTGGAAGAATTAATATCTTCCATTTCGGTTCTTTTTCCATTTGTGGATTCGAATTCAAATGTCAAGTTTTATCTTTCTCTGGCAGCCTATTCATTTGTGAAATTTTTCAGGGAACTGGTGACTGTGTAGATATGTTATTGCTTTTAATGAATCTGAAATAAACTGTTTGAACTGTTAAAAAAAGCATCTCTTACTGTGACTTACATTGTTTTAATATTTTTCTCTGTGTAAGTGGGCTTTCAATAGTTAAGAAGTGCAATCGGGAACAGGCATAGAAATGAAAAAAAGATTAGCAATTAACAAATGATAAACTACTAGTAAACGGGGCAGGCACAATGTGTTCGCCTGCTGTATTAAAATTACTTATAAAAGAATCCCCACGGCACAAGCACAATGTGTTCGCCTGCTGTATTAAAACTACTTATAAAAGAATCCCCACGGCACAAGGAAACAATGACACAACCTAGAATTAGCGTGTTTTATGTCACCACCAGACGGCAGTCTGGATCTCCCTTCTGGTGACATATTGTTATAGTCTCTAACTTTTTGAAGACGGTGTTTGGCGGTTGGTGCTAGGGGGGTCGACGTCTGTAACAAATGAGAGGTGGTAGCATTTTGCATGTCATGCCTTGTTATTTATTCCATTTATCAATATGCATGAAATAGTAAATGTACGTTGAAAATATTTTTATGTGTAGCCTAATTTTTTATATAAAATCCCACCCACGATCTGCATTATTCCATTTATTCAATATTGGTAGGATTATTGTTCATTTAATTTGGCATCTATAGCAAGGTGCTGAATTTGTATTTTAAAATTAAGTTTGATTGCAATTATTGTACCATTATTGTCCACTGTTGCCATTGATAGAGTACTTCACATGTAGGCTAACTGTGATTGCTCGATGATGCTTGTGGATATACTGTCAGCCCAGACACATGGGTCTGTCATTCACCTTTCTAGCACCAAATCTCCGGTTCCAAATGTCCTTGAAATTGTTTCAAAGATTTCCACTGAACAGGTACCACAATCAACCTCAGTTAACCAAATTGATCTCTTATTTCATCCTCCGTATCTATCCGTTTTTAGTATTTGTCTGACACAATTGAATCGAATACGTCTGGCGAAGAACACCCTCTGTCTTTCTGCATTGTCACTGCGACTGCGTGCTCCAGCTTCTTTTAACATGTCCGTAGCAATTTCGTTTTATACTTGAATTGTCAGTCCATTTTGTCATGAAATTAAAAGTGCCGACTACCTTGGTTCCTTCACCGTCGGCGTGTCTGCCTAACTCACCCGGCAGAATGAGACGGACGGCAGTCTGTATCTCCCTGCTCGTGATGGTGGATCGTTTGTTGTAGTGGGCGAGACGGGATGCTTCCCTAGCAATACGCTCGAAGATGTCGTTGACAAAGCTGTTCATGATGCTCATGGCCTTGCTGGAAATACCAGATTCAGGGTGCATTTGCTTCAAAACCTTGTATAGGTAAATACTATATGATTCCCTCCTCTTCCTTCGGCGTTTCTTGTCTCCTCCAACTAGTCTCCTAGATGTGACAATCTTTTTGCTTCCTTTACTTGTAGTTCTGGACCCGGTTTTGGGTTCCATTTCGATATTTTGAGATATTTGCAGTTACATGATAACCGAGTTACAGTGAAATGTATTGTATCCTATCGAGTTTTGCTGTTTGTAACTGCTGGATAAATGTTCTATATATAACCCTAGCTATATTATTGGAATATATAGGCCAAAAGCAATGTTTACAAAACCGATATAAGTTATTGATCAATCTCTTTAGGCTAAACACGAGATTAATATTAAACGTAGAATCAGATATTGCAGGCACCTTAGCCACACGATTCAATTTTATGGACTATGACATCGACTTGGCGAATGGATGTTGAATAGTTTTTTTTCTGTTCAAGCATACCAGGCCCGGATACCAAGCTTCTTACAATTAAACTTTAAATATCGAAAAACTATAAATATTGAAATGTCGATCCTTTAACACAGTAACGGACACCAAGACATGAACGATTCAATTTTATGGACTATGACATCGACTTGGCGAATGGATGTTGAATAGTTTTTTTTCTGTTCAAGCATACCAAGCCCGGATACTAAGCTTCTTACAATTAAACTTTAAATATCGAAAAACTATAAATATTGAAATGTCGATCCTTTAACATAGTAACGGACACCAAGACATGAACGATTCAATTTTATGGACTATGACATCGACTTGGCGAATGGATGTTCAATAGTTTTTTTTCTGTTCAAGCATACCAAGTCCGGATACCAAGCTTCTTACAATAAAACTTTAAATATCGAAAAACTATAAATATTGAAATGTCGATCCTTTAACACAGTAATGGACATCAAGACATGAACGATGAAGTTATTTTTCATCCTAAATAGTATCTATTTCATGTTAAAAATATCTCAAAATCTACATCATATGATATGTGCTTACAAAATAATCTCATTTACATGTACATGTATAGCCTATGTGTAAAGTGTCATGTTAAACATAGAAATAGTACATACATATCAGAATTATGGTCCCTTCTATCATTGTCCCTCTTTTAAGCCCCGATTGGGCTTAAATTAAACAAAATGTTCAACAGTTGCGATTAGGTCGCGAATCATTGGAAACTATGACACTTACTAGAGTATAGTATTCCATACACTCCCCTCCAAAAGTATGGTAACCTTGACTGGAACCACATGTTAAAGTCGATTTAGATCAATTACTCAGATGCGAGTAGGTAGTTACCAGTTTCGCCACCAGGTGGCTAATTCGGGGGGAAATAACATGGCAGGCTATTACAAAATTCCCATGAACTTGAATATTCATAAATTTTAGTGGTTCACTCTTCATATTACACTTATGTATCTGATAGTTATACGAATTAAAATATGTCCAGTAAAAGAAAATATTATCTGCCCAACACAAGAAAAGATATTTCACTTTTTGTGATTTTACCTAGAAGTCGAATTTTCAAAGAAAAATAAATTTTCAAAGTTGATAAACTCTTTTTAAAGCCACATTTCTAGATCTAATTTTACGTGTAGATTCCAAATATGACATCAGTTTGTCTTAATTTTGAATTTTTAATAACGTAAATCAAAATTATTTCTACTCGCATCTACGTAGTTTATTGAAACTACATGTATCATAAACAAACATAAATCCAAACTTTTCTTTTTGGGAGGTATAACATACTAAGGGGTCCTCTATTCCATCGTTCTTACTTTCCTTGATAATTTACACTTATCCCAAAACTATAAAACTGGTCATGAGTATTTTTATATTGATTATAAATGTATAAAAGGCCGTGTCATCTCACTATTCACAACTTGTCTTCGTCATCTACAAAAATCGGATTATCAACACCATTTGATGTCTCTATTCTCGGTGAGATTAGGTTCTCTGTTGAATATCTCTGCATTTCATTTGGTCTGTCATTAAATCTGGAATTTGCTGAATCTGCATTTCTATCTGGTGATTGGTCAGTTAGATCATGAACCACCACATCACTAGATTTAAGATATTTTCCATAATATGGGACGTCAGGGAAGTCCTGGACCTCAGACATTGGGATAATGTTAGGAATCTCGTGTATAACGGGCGACACCGACCCATCGTCGTTATAAATTGTAGGGGGGCGGTTCATTTTCTTCAATGAAAATTCATCAGTCGGTTTACACACAGCAGGTGTTTCACCGAGATCAAACGATTGGGATTTTCGTCGTGCGTGACACTCCCTGAAGCACATTACTGCTCCCATGATGCATAGCGACGCTATGATGATTGTGGTGGAGATGATAATGACACGATCGGTATGTGACAGACTATTGAATCCGGTTTCAACTTTCTCGACTGGAGCAGGTTCAAATGGTTTCTTCCCTCCGAGTGGAATCACAGTCATTTTTCCACACATGTAATGTCCAGTATTTATGTCAATGTATAATCTTTTGTCATCAATTATACTCCCGACATTTTTAATTATTCTCTCCGGGTCTTTTGTTTTTATTAAGACGGTGGCATCAACAGATCCGCATTTTAAATCAGGTACTGTGATTTGGTTGATGTCAATATCCAACATTTGTGATAGAAGTCCAACTAAGATTTTCTTAAAATGGTAACTTGTTTCGGTTGATTCTTGCAATGCAGTACAATTTCCACTAAATGTAAGTATCATTAGCAAATCCTTTAATGGGGGCACCGTTGTCATGGTAACTGACGCAGTTGTCATAGCACTTGATGAAATAATGTCACTGATTGGGTGAACAGATGCTGTTACCATAGTATCCAATAACTGAGTCCCGAGAATTTCAACAGTTGCAGAATAGTTGTTGAAGACGTCACTTGAGTTTCCACTGTCTAATTCACTTTCATTTGTCCCAATATCATAAGACGTTGCCATAGTAACTATTGTTGTCTTGGACACAGTTAAAGGGGGAGGCGAAGGTGGAATAACGGGAAACAGCCAAGATGGCGTCACGTTTCCAAACAGGGGCATATACTCCTCTGTCGATTTTATAAATCTCGACAATGCTGAACTTTTCAAGTATTCAGAATTGATAGATTGAGTATTAAGAACCATTGTTGCGGTTATCATTGAGTCCAACAGCTCAGATGTACTGTCAACCAGCAAAACAGGGGTAGATTGTAGTGCATATGTCTCACTTATATCAATAGAACCCTGCAGTGATGGTGTTGTGTTATCACTAATTACGGCACCAGTAATGTTTGTTAAATTACTAGTGTTTGTCATAGCACTAGTATTTGTTAAATAACTAGTATTTGTCATTTCACTTGCGGTGGCAATAGTGTTTGTTACATAAGTAGTGTTTGTTACATAGTCACTAGTGTTTGTTACTTCACTTATGTTTGTTATAGCACTTTCGCTTATCGTTACTTTACTAGTGTTTATTACGTCTGTAGTGCTTGTGACAATACCACTGGTGTTTGTTACTACAGTATAGTTAGTGCTGGTGTTTGTTTCTGCAGTATCATAATTAGTGCTAGTGTTTGTTACTACACCAGAGTTTGTCGTGTCCATCACTTCACTTGTATTTGTAAGATTATTTGAGTTTGTAAAATCATGTTCTACTTGGTTCATGGCAGTAGGAACAACTTCAAAATTAGTTGATACGGAAGTTGGGTCTATATCCCTATAAATAGACGTCAACTCAAATCTGACTTTATCAACCATTGTCATGGAAACCTCTTCAACTGAGTCGGTTGCCATGGAAACCTCTTCAACTGAGCTGGTTGCTATAGCTACAGGATCCACGACATCACTACGAGATTCACTAGTGTCGATTTGTATAGATGTCTCTACTGGTAGGCCAGTGTTATCTGAAAGCAGAAAAAATATATAGATGCATTACGCGTAACCACGGTAACATTTGAGAAAATATAAAATTAATGGAAATATGTATTACCACGGAAAAAATCATTGAATAACTTCACTGAACTAGAAAATTTAACAACTTCAAAAATGATTTAGTATGTATCGAATTGGTCAATGGAGTAAACCAGGGCGGTACCATTATTGAGATTACCATATCTTGCTTGATAGTCATACCGATACTTTTTCGTGACACGTTCGAAATCAACAATACCTCAGAGTGTAGGAGGGTTGTCCCAGAAGTAATGCATTATATACTCTAACTTTATCAATTATTGATATTTTTCCATGACATTTTCAGTAAATGTTCCATAGAGACATTTTGATTTTCTACTTTTCATGTTGACTGATAAAACTATATTGATGTAAAGCCCTTTTTACAGATTTTAAGACAAAGTAAAACGTTAAATACGTTTATCACTGCATGTACCAGTGGTGTTATGTTTCTTAACTTTATTAACTCAAAACACATACTAAATACCAGCAGAGGCATATTAACAGTCATTTGATTGCTATCATATACTGCAGCCGGGACGAAAGGCATTTACACTCACTCCAAAAGTTTGGTAAACCTCACTCATCATTATGGTCAACTAGCTCGTAAGATAGTCACATTAAAATATTTCTTTAACGATGCATTTTACTGTATAACGGTATAACTATTTCTTGTAATTGATTTTGTGAGGACGTCAATTGTTTTGGCTTGAAACAATAAAATCTTAAATCTTGAATCTCACTGAAAAGCTTGTTAAAGCCTGTTAACGTGTTTGAAATGTAATACATTTTAATCTTGCCCTTTATACTTATTCATTTGTATTACATCAAAACGGAGGTTTATATTTGATTATTTTTAAATCACTGAAAATAAACAGGCTAATCTTGTGTCTCAATAGCCAGTAGATGTTACCAAACTTTTCAGAGGGGGTGTACTTATTGTTTATACAGTAACTACATACTATTTCATGTTTATTTACGCCCAGTCTAATTTCCTAATTGGAATTCTAAACAAACCTTGACAAAGTACACTTTTTTATAATTGATGAACTAATTCTAGGTGCAGAGTATTTCTTCAAGTTTTGTGTTACAGTTCATTGTTTGAACATTACCCAGAATCTAAGGTGAGGCATATCTAAACAGGTGAGGCAAATCTAAACAGGTAAAGCAAATCTAAACAGTTGAGGCTATGAGATATAATTCTACACAGGATATCGTTTCCATGTAATTTATTTGTTGAAAACAAACGTCTAAACAAATGTAAACGTTTCTGAGGTGAGGACGTCAATTGTTTTGGCTTGAAACAATAAAATCTTAAATCTTGAATCTCACTGAAAAGCTTAAAAGTCTAATTCCTGACTACGTCCATGCATGGTAAAGGTCCATGGGGTTACTATAAAGACGGAATCGTTTTATCTAAACTTAAAAAATCATAAGATATACCGTAAGTAATTCTAATGATATACGATAGATAAGCACTCTTCGATTCATACAAAAAGACGTTAATCGGACGAAAATTTTCGGGGGGGGGGGGGGGTGTTTTAGCTTGGCTACAAGCCCTTGTGACCTCCCCACGGTACAATTGTGAGAACATGTGTATTAAGGGGGCGGGGGTGGTCACAGTGGCTTGTAGCTAGACTAGGGGTGTATGTGATATAAGAAATAGTGCATATTAGATTACATCTATCTAGAACATTGCTAGTTTCAAGGAAAACATAAAATTGTCTTGTTAAATTATTCAACGAAAAATATATCTCTGAGTTGGATGACGTCTTGAGGCCATGCTAACAAGTCATCAAGCTGATAATAGAAATTTTCCTCGTTAACATCTCTGCTATAGAATATATTGATAGGGCCTAGTAACATTGTAAAACACAGTTGAAAACTTAGAAATCGTTATCAAGGAATTTCTGTTGCAGCAGGTACTAAAATTTAAGGCTTTTAGATCTGTTTCTTTTTTCGGTCTCCAACAATGTATGCGTTTCACATGCTCAACATTTTAACACAAGAATTGTTAGTAAATATGATATCCCAGTTGCCATAAACTGAAAACATATGCTGTTTTGAAAGTAAATACATGGCATATAAACCCTCCAAAATGATTAGCCTCATTAATTTGTATGCACTTAAAATATTTCACTAAATAACACTTCTTATCTTCAAAAGTGCACTTTCTAGTACGTGTGTTACCATAGTTATCCCCAAGTGTTTTGTTTTTATGATAGCAACCTGTTACACAATGCAAACTGTAACGTGTTTTAGGTGAGGTCTTGTATAGTTAGCTAGAATATCAAGTGGGAAAGCTGATTTTATAGACAATGGAATGTGAAACTGGCAATTATTTTCAGGTGTTTATTGCACATATAATGTCGTACCCCCGGGGTCGGACCTTGGAAACTGAAAGTGGGACAGGGTCAAAAGTCGAGTTTTCCAAGAAACCAGCATGAACTCCTTTTTTTAGATAAGAGCTTACTTTAACCTATTTTTGAGCCAAGACATTTTTAGATATGAGAGGGAGTAGTCCGCCAGTTATCAATGGATCTTGAAAAAGGACTTCAAATACTTTCATTTTGCATCACATACACACAGATAGCACCAAGTCTAAAGACGATAAAATCACAAACTTGTAAACAACGATCTTTTCTTACACAGGAGAATGAGACTTAGCTAGGAATGGATACTATTGAAAATACCTGACTGAACTTTGATGCTTCTTGTTGCCCCCAGGGGGCTATCCGTTGCCAGGTAACTCTGTTCCTCTGGGGGAATTGCAGAAACTGGGTGGTAAGCTGGAGTGATGACGTCTTGTGATACGGGTGCTATGGAAACTTCATCAGGTTCATACACTAATATTTCTTCCTCTGTTTGATTTAGTTCTATAGTACGGAGAGAAACTGTTAAAAACAATATATGAAATATTTTACATTAATCAAACGATTTAAAAAATCGTATATAAAGAAAAAATAATTTAAAGGAAGAAGAAGGAGCAGAGATATCAGGTCAAGAGTATGTTACTTCTACAAAATGGACGCCAATTTTCAATTTAATTTCAATGAATTTGGACATTTTTGCACCTTATAGAATCAATTGTTTCAATATTTGACATCTTTTTTATTCAGAAAATAAAATTAGTATAGGATTGCAGTGATACAAAATTTTGCAAATCCCATCCCTTCTGCTCTCGACAATATGTTTATTTTAGGGATATAATAAAATACAGGGTGTTCAAAAAACGCAACCCGAAAAAATCGCTATATCTTGGAAAATATTGGTTCAATTATGTTCATATTTTCAGGAAATAGAGAAGAGACTGTGTATGTACAGCTCCTGTAAATGGTTAGTTGAAAAACATGATGCCTTGGACACCTGCTCAAAAGACAGTTGTACTAGGAAAATACGAAAAACGCAGTCAGTGGTGACTGCAACTGCAAAAAATTAAATAACTTCCTAACCATAGTGTTTTGGCTCGCCGAATTTGGCACAAATCATCTTCATTCACTGCATGGTAAATCTGCAGAGTGAAATCAAAATCACTTCAGGGACTTTACAGTCATGGTTGAAATGCTTTCAAATCGCAGTCAAACGCCCTGGTTCAGGCAGGCTTAAGAAGCCGTTTTGACCATGACTGTAAAGTCCCTAAAGTGATTTTGATGAAACTCCACAAATTCACCACACATTGAATGAGGATAATTTGTGCCAAATCTGAAGTGCCAAAACACCATTAGAAAGTTATTCCAGTTTTATTCCAGTATTCCTGTGGCAGTCACCTCTGACTGCGTTTTCCTATTTTCCTAGTACAACTGTCATTTAAGCAGGTGTCTAAGGCATCATGTTTTACAACTTACTGACAATAGGAGCTATGCATACAAAGTCTCGTCTTTCTTTTCCTGAAAAAATGAACATAATTGAATTAGTATTTTCCAAGATATAGTGATTTTCCATTCACATTTTTCGTATTTTGCTAGTACAACTGTCTTTTGGGCAAGTGTCCAAGATATCATGTTTTACAACTAACTAACAACAGGGGCTATACATACACAGTCTCTTCTTTCTTTCCTGAAAATATGAACATAATTGGAGTAGTATTTTCCAAGATATAGTGATTTCTTTGGGTTGCGTTTTTTTAACACCCTGTAAGAACCAAGCAATTTCTAAAAATGTCTCGACCGTACCACCAACATTAAACCTCCACATGATTTACATTATTCATGAATAACAGGGTTTTACAAATCATTTTGTTTAGCGTACCCCCCCCAGATATTTATATACACGTAGTAGCCATGGTTACATAAAAAGTTGGGCGCATGCATTCAACGAATATCTGCACCTTGTCAAAAGTTTAAGGTTGGAAGTTACAGATTTGTCTGGATCACTATTTGCAAGAATGTTAACAAGTAATTTTCTGTTCACCTAATAGGAAAGGGAATTTCACATCAAAATCTTTCTGAACGACCATAGATAGTTCTCAAATATTATGGTAATGCCTAAACTTACCCCTACTTTCGTAAGCGTCACCAAGCGCGTAATCCATTTCAACTTGTGCCACGATCATTGGTGTCATAACGCAGATGAGGAGGAGCATCTTTGTAATACTGCAATCCATCTTGATATGGTCTACAAGTTGGCTCATCCTTAATCCAAGCACAGAGATCCTTACTGGAAGCAAACAAAGCCAAACCTTATACTCATTAATCTTTAACAATATCTTCTATAATTGTTATTGTTTGTCTGTCATAAACAACGCATTTGTACTGCAATTGCAGGCGCGGTCGCCCCCATGGTCACAAATTCCACCGTTCTGAGTACTTTTCGCATGGTTTTACTTATGCCAAAACTGTCAAAAAGCCCCCATTCCCTTGGCAAAAACTCCCCCCTTGGTAAAATCGCTCCCCCTTGGTAAAAGCTAGCTACAGACCTGTATTGTGTGAGCAGTACACAGTCAACCTGATGCATCTAACCTTCTTACATGCGTAATGTTATTATGGCTTACGGTGAGATTCCATCGTGAGATATCACAGCCTTCTCTCAGTGTCCTTCTTGTGCATAGCAGAGATGGTCTGAGTACCAGAATGGTGAGATTCACTTATCAGTATCAGTGTGGATGTATATCTGTTTTGATTAGATACGATTTGCTTGATTTCCAGAACACTATATCAGTTATCAGCCTATCATTTGGGCCTAACATCACAACGGCAACGTCATTATCTTCCTTTGGAAAGTGATATACCTTAGGCCTATCATAGCAATATCCATATCATGTCAAGGATTAAAACGACCAATGTCAAATAAATATAACGTTCTTAATAACCATCGTAATAAAATTCAGAGCATCTCCGTTTCTGTCTGTTGTATCTCCAGAAACATCTCTATGTACCAGCAGTAAAACTGTGGTACCTGATAACTAGTGTCCCTCTTTGTTGCATGTCCAAAAGGAGCGAATTAACAGCTTTCTACTGAGTACCTGTAGTAGAACTGAAGAACTTACCAACGTGAATCTTATAGCGTCTCTCGTTGCTGCATTTAAAGAAGGACAGAGAGATTGAGAATCCGTGGCTTCCGCCGTGCGATGCTTGATAATGATAACACATTGATCATCGCGATAGCCGCACCCCCTTTTCTTGATCATGATCTTTTCAAAAATCAGAATGCACATTGATTGATTCCCGAATGGCACAATGTATGTGTTATCAAGCTGTCTACTGGGTAAGAGATACGAGCTGGTGAGGCACAGTAATTAGCAAGATAATTAGCTAACACCTGTCCCATCTGGCAACAAATTATTGATGAAACGCTTGTAATCGATAATAAGAAGCCGTTATATTGCAATATTGATTGGTGTTTTTGTTTTATTGCTGTTAGTTAATTGATCGATTGTTTGTTTGTTTGTTTGCTTTGGGTGTTGTTTGAAGTGATCGGATTTGTATTTAACTCGTAATACAAAATGAAGTAACAAATAAACGACGTGTCGTTGTCATCTCCTTGACAGTTTGTGACAACAGTGCCGGGAGAAACCTGTTTTACTATATCAATGACGAGCGTCGATTCATCAGTTTTGTTATGTTTCGGCGGTCGGCGTTGGGCGGTCAGCGTCTGTAACAAATGTCAGGTGGTGACATTTTGCATGTTAATGCCTTCTTATAATTTTGTTTTATGTCATTTGCTTTACTTGATTTCAAAGAAAAAGTTCTTTGTAGTTTTTTTTAGTTGTACTTGTAGTCTTTGTAGTTGTATGTCACATTGACCGAATGTTTAGCTATTTCTAAAGTATTACCCACTGCAGTGGCGTTAGCGGTAAATCACGAAATAATCATTTTTCTCTGAATAATTTATGTTCTATTGTCTGGGGAATTAAGCCTTGCGTTGCTTTCTGAAGTAAATTGCGCAGTTGGTTTGATGTGCTTGAGCATGTCTCTTATAAACGAGTGCCTTTTTCTACCAAATAAAATAATTTTTAAAAACTTTCTTTGAAATTATCTAGTAATACTTGATTGTCGGTTAACCGACTTAAACCGCCGAACCTTCGTTAATCAAACTATGGTTTTGGCAGTAAATTGACACCACTAAAAATAAATATACTTCAATTAATCATTATAATAGAAATTACTTGAATTCTTGAATTTCCAACTTTAATTTGGGATGTTTGGTGTTGCTTATTTGATTTTTCGATAGTCGTTTCACCTAAAAATATCGAATCACATTAAAACGTAACGCACATGAGCAGCTAGAAGTAAATGCAATCACCATGGCCCTTGTGGCTATGAAGAACTGATCATAATCTAAATATAATTGAGGTACAAGATGTTGCAAAATTAACATTAATTATATTTCTCAAATTGGAGATATAATCAGAAGTCCTCTAGGACACAAGAAATCAATCTTTCCAAAAATACCGTTAACTCCTCACCGCGCACGAAGGTTATCCACACCGAGCGTTTTTTGTGCCCCTTTGTATAACGTGTTGTGGCAGCTTTGTAAACATTGCGTATGCACTATGCATCATTTTTAATATTCGAATCGTGATCTACAATGGCCGTCATCGATGAGTCATTTTCAGTAGTTTAAAGCATGTAATATATTATATTACAGTCAATATGGTACAACGAAAATGAGACTTCTGCGCATGTTAAAATTTTTCGTCAAAACTCAACTTTTGTTCAAGTTGATACGATTGTCTTTCGAACTAGAGACTTACCTCATTCGAAAGATCATAAAAGACTTTATCTATACTGAAAATCTTAGATCCAAACATAGTAGAATACGCCGTCAGTCCGCATTTGATTTTTTGAAGTGAGTTTCGTAGATCGTCAGATTTCTCCAACTGATATCGGGTTATCTCAAACTGGTTCGTTTATAAATACGAATTTCTTTACCGTTGTAAGGCGCATGCGCAAAATTGATTTATAAACCTTATTGGTTGATGGTTTTTCTCCTGCGCATGCGTGAAGTCTGATGAACACTTATGACGAAGACCGGAGCAAACATTACTAGCTCTCAAACGAAATTCCAAGATTCAGGTCATTTCGCCGTGTTTGCTAAGCGTGTATACGTGAATGACAAGCTGTTTTGAGTAGATCGGGTACCTGTTTTAGACACAACATTGATTTAGCTTGACATTGATGTGCACATTGGCACTTTTGAGCATGTTAATACAAGTTTTTACACGCTTAGCACGAGACGGGTTTTCGAAAAATCTGTTATCTGATTCACTCGATTATCGTATGGATATGTATTTCTGCTGACATTTCAACACCACATCACATAGAACTACGATGCAGAATGATAATAAAACACAAAACAACTACTAAATTCCACTTGTTATTTCACAGGAGGTAAAAATGCACACTGCCTAGATTCTTTGTAAGGGTCGTCAGACATCGGATTGGCCGCCATATTTGAAATGAAAATATCACTAAATAGAGGTCTGCGCATGCCTCAACATTTCGACTGATTACACCGGCAGAGACCCAGTGGTAGAGATTGGAAGGCTAGTAGATGAAACTCTCTTTTAATTAAAGAAGTTAGAACAAAGTATTGAAAATAGTAGCACTATAGTTGGAATTATGATATCACATCGTCATCCTGATGAATGGTTCTCTGATTTGGTAAAGACTTAATCAAAGGACAATTCCTGGTTTAAAAAGTTGACATACAGTTTTGAATTTGTTACATGTAGTTCTCATATAATATGAAACCGATCTCTTTCATATTTGTACAACTTGCTAATAACTTTTTGGAACAGCCGATTTTACTGTCACAATAATGTTCAATAACTGCTGAGAAAATTGTTTCAATAATCTGATAAGATAAGGCCAAATCATATTTTTTTCATTTGAGAGTTTTAATTTTTTATTCAAGAGTGAAGATGAAACTCTCTTTAAAGAAGCTAAAACAAAATATCGAAAGGGTAATTGATAATTATATTCTAGATAGTAATTCCCGGAGTAATTCAAACTAGCTTCTAGGCGTCGTCAGGATATAACTTCCAAATTCGAGGTGAGAATTGCCCCCTTCAAGATAAATACGGATAATTTTGTATTTTTGTAATGTTTACATTCGTCCTAACAGGATAAAATAAATAAACACGGAGTTCAACGAAACCTGTTGGCAGGATTGCCTTTCATCCCCTCCAAGCAAAAAACACGATAATTATCTAATTTAATGCAAAATAGTGCAATAAAGAGATAAAGGTGTGTACGAGGTTATGAAGATGGTTTTGATGTTGGTTTTGTGTGTACGCTAGAAATATTATCCATTTCGTCCAAGTTTTATTGCAGTAACGAGTTCTACAGGTTCATTTGAACGATTTTTGAAGCACTGGTTCCTATGCTATTATAGTAAGCATCTTGTGTATGAAAATATTTTGTTGGCACCCAAGGTTGCTTTAAGACGGATGGAATTTCATACAAACGTACAATCTAATAAACATCAAAAGTTTGTCTGCTACGATGTGAACATCACGAGACCTTGAGACATATAGGAGGGTTAGAAAGTGAAGCTAGATGGGGAGGGGGAGGTAGGATACAGTAAAGCACTCCCAGATCTTGAACTTGAAACAAAAAGCAAGTGTGCACTTTTGAAAGTGGGTTTTCATATTGTGAGAGGCGCTAGAAATAGTGCTCTGTCTAATGTCATGTTTAAGCTGTTTTAAGTATCAGATTTGAAAATCTAGACATGGTAAGATTTTCAAATGTTCAAATCGAAGGCATATGCTAAACTTGATTCGCGTTTAAAAGGACACTGTGTCGAATTCTAAATAGGATCCTTCTCACCTAAACTCTTCGACATCATTCCATATCCGTTTTACTTTTTATGAATCTAAAATCAATATTTGTACTAATGAATGTCGACACTGTCTGTATAAATGACATTCCAAAAACTTTCCACGGTATTCAATAATCAAGATCAAAATCTTTATTTCTTCAGTAGTATTGATTAAGTATTTAAGTACTCAAAAATTGTCATCTCTGAAAATTTCAGATACTGTAGGCCTACATGTATGTATTTTCCGTTACTAGTGGTGTTATGACTTTAAAAAGGTGAATCATATTATGCCATTGCTATCTTCTATCTCTTTGTTATGTAATATCACGCCCGGTGATCGTGAAAATGGAACGGAGGGTGGGGGGGGGGAGCAAGCAATTTCTGGTAGAAAAATGAACAAATCTGCAAAAATTATTTTTTCAAGAAAAGGTTTATGATTTAATTGCTAAACGAATAGGCGCACGGTATGGTAAAATATGTCACGTATTCTACGAATTTTTTTTAGCCGATTCTCTTCTTAGGTATAAGGTCTATTAAAAAAGGCGCAACGCCACCAACGTGCAAAAGTCATTGACAAAAGTGTATTGAATCGTCATCGTAGCATCAGCCAGTTGGTAATCAATAACAAAACTCGTAAGTAAGTTTCTAATTACACCAGTTATGAATGAAAAGAGCCATTCAAGATTGAGACCTACTTTAGAAAACTATTTCTTGAAAATGCTTTATTTAAGATTGAATCGTCGAGGATGAACATTTAACAAGTTTACTATTTTTATTAGCTTACCTGATATGAATGAGATGCAGACGATATGCTACATCCAATGTCCGAACGTGGAACGTAGTACTATGTTACGCACAGCGCGATCTTGGCCTTTATCGAGTTCAGGTGGTTCTGCTAGCACTCACATCACAACTATTTTACATTCTCCAAAACCTCCATTACTGTAAACAGTTACTATGCACTGATCTTGTTATCTAAACGCCAATCTGTCTCTTAATTTTGAATTAAGTATTACACATTATCACATTTTTATAAACCTTTATGTGTAAGCTACACGTATGTTTTCTTAATTTCTCGTAATTTGCAATTTTTGAGCTGTATTTCAGGTTAAAAATCATCACCATCTCTTGGAATATGAATTATCGGAATCTGCGTGGAGATTGCTTGCTCTGTTTCTTTCTTTTGCTTCAACAGAGAATTTGATACACTCTAAAACAGGGGTGGATTTTATATTAGGGACTTAAACATAGTAAAACAATGAACAACTAGACTATATCCCATCGCTTCAAATAATATGAAATGGGTTTCTATCCGAATCGATAAACGATTTCGGGAAGGGATCCGGTATTTGATGTTTTATGTCCAAACTATACACTTCTAAAAGAATATTTTTAATAGCAACTCTAATTGGCTTATGCACAGATCCTCCAAATTCTTAGCCATTTCTCAAGAAATTTGACCCTTCAACACATGAGGTCAAGAACGCAAGCATTTATAGCTGTAAAAATCTTATCACGGTCTGGGTTTAGAATTACAAAACATAATCAGCAGGTAACTTAACAAAAAGAGAAAATGGTCGAGTAAAGCGAGTAAAGCAAACACTTATTGTTTTGGAATTACTAAAAAGTCACACACTTGAAAGTTTTGGTGTAAAATAGAGTGGAGTTAGCATGATTAGAAGTGACATTTTAAACAGAGGATAGGTATGTTTATTGAAACATAGAAACACCGAGTTTCTGGATTCTTGTACCATCACAAATCTTTCAAGGTTCCTCCAGAGTTCTGAGTCAATAAAACCAAAGATCGTGAAACCGTTCGTTTTGACTTTAGGCCTTGAAGCTGAGGTGCTAGTCATGGACTCTCTGAAGTAGCGAAATCAAACTATAAGTCAGAACCGAGACTAACATATTGTTAGTTTCAGGTCAGAAGTATTTTCACCCAAAAACAAACCATATGAGCATTAATTAAATACATTACAAACACAAAAGTACGGAAAACAATCCTCTATCAAAATTAAGGTTCACATATTCTTTTTATCATGTCTAAATCTATGTGCAATTTAGTAAGTCAGTTAAGAAAACACAACATTGTAAGACAAAATGTCTGATAAAACCCAGTATCGAAAATTAACTAGTCTTGAATCGAAGATATATAAAAAGATGTCCAAAAGTCATTATCCACTCTAAAGGTCAACGTTAAGATAATACTCTTACTGCAGGTTTTAATTGCACCTTGTTCGGTTAATTAGTCCCCCGGGGAAAGAGGCTAATTGTAACAAAAAGAGATACCCGACAACACCCTCATACAGTCTATAATAAAAACAATCTGTTCCTCTTATTTGGCCCTCCCCGCCCAATAGTCCATTTGTCACCCCTATACATACTATAGTGAACCTATGAATTGTTAAAAACACGATGTTTTATGGTTTATTTATGATAACAAGGGTTTTCCGAAGTGATTTAACTGGGTTGGACAAAAAGTTAGTTTGGGGAAAAAAGTATATCGGCTAATTAGGGAGGGGTGCATTGGCTTAACATGGCGTTGACTATTGACTTAGCGTCGGGATGCCACCATGTACCTGGTATGTTACCATGGTGATAGATACAAAAATTTTCCCCAACGTTAATTTTTGGGCAACCCAGCTAAATCACTCCAATAAACCCTAACGATAGTATTTGCACAGAAAAACATCATGTTTTTAAATATTCATACGTTAAGAAAATGTCAAATGGACTACAAGCCCTTGTCTTCAATGAAATATTGGAATTGTCCTAATAAGAACTAGTTTGGTATAAAGATGGAGTATACACAGGGTGGAGGTGTAAGGTTATGAAAACGTCGTAAATCAGTGTCCAAATGCTCCGAGTTTACTACCAACGTCGCTACGGAAGGGTTCAGTTTTTAAAGTTTAATTAAGAAGATTATTCAATCTTAGATAATGCTTACTTAGATGTTATGCACTCATAGTATTTATAGATGTGAAATTCGTCTAGTCAAAGATAGATATAAAGTCATAAAATAAAGCCAGAATTGTTGATTTGAGTTTTTTTTATTGATTGTCAAAATAGCGCCATTCAAAGGCTTGTTCAAAAAAGAAAACATCCCACAATGATAAAATAGCAAAGATAAACAATTTTGCAATTCTGGCTTATTTTATGACTAGACAAATGTTAGATCTATAAGACATACATGTAGGTCTACGAGTGCATTAATGCATCTACAATTCGGCACAGGAGATTGAGTAATCTTAATATTTGAAGAATTGAAACCCTTCAAAGACGGTATCATCCAGGGGGTATCATGCCCCACCTACGTGGGTACGCACGAGGTTTTTTATACAAAGTCCTTTTCTCTGACAACAGTTGGCATTCAGCGCATAGAGAACGTAGTCAAGCGTGTTAAAGTTGAAGTCGTTAATCTAAATCTCGATTTTCAGATATTTTGATCAATTTTTATCTAACAAACGTAAGTTTGCACAATTTGACACGTTATATGATATTTAACTATGCATTCATTATCAACATTTTAAATAAATCAATTGTATGTTACATCTTCAAAGGTTTGTGACTATTGTTTATGGTTCCAACATTCAGAGGATAAGGTAACGTATGGGTTTTGTTTTTGTTTCAACTGGGGTAACACAGATTTGAACTAAAGGCAAGAAGTCTATCTACTTGTTGAAATTCCAATTTAAAGTTTTATATAAAAACATACATTTTTGCATTTTCTTTCATCTTGACCATCGAGTTGTTCAAAACACGTTGAACAAACATAATTTCTACATTAATAATTTTTACCTTTTTAGAAATTACTAGAATTTAACCACAGTATAAATTTTAACCACACTACTTCAACAAACAATGAAAATGCTAATTTACTCTTTACATTAATGTTAGGAATTGTATTTCACCTGATCATTTTAATTGCACATAATACAATTCTCTAAAACCATTTGCTTTTTATTTGAATTTATTATCAACCAATATTATAATGAGTTCTATAGAGATGCGTGTAAAAATACGATACACTTACATTACACGCATCCTTTACATACGTGCGTACAATTCAACAATTGCAAACTACAAAACTTGTTCATAGTTGGTATGTATGTGCCCATATCTTATTCCCTTTACACTGTCAAAGTTTCATTGTAGTTATAAGAAGGCTTGATGTCTAATAGGTAGGATGGTTCAGATATTAACTAATGGACTGGACATAATGCTACAAGTGTGATGCATTACTGAAAAGGAAGACTACATGTTAAGACTGTACATTTAGATCAAATATAAATTAGTTAAAACATAACCTGATTAACAGCTGAAAGAACAAAGATTGACGGAACCATTTCAGCCTAACAAGGAATTCACAAAATCAATTCCATTTAATGACGTCATATGGGCCATGTACAGGGCGTTCAATAAGTATTGGGTTAAGGGTTTACATGATGAATTATTGTTATACATCAAATAAACACTTCGATGAAAAAAAATTGGTGACTATGCTGAAATCTTGATGTTGTCAGTTTGGATTATATGTATTATCTGACAGCGGTGAAAAGAGATCTGAGAGGGATATCGCACTAGAATTTCATTCAGCGGATGTCTGCAGTGAACACTGCAACATCCGCAGAGAGCAATATCGACCAATACGTTCCACCAAGATAACGCCCCTGCTCACAGATCCTCTATTCTCCTAAATACAATAACAGAGCTTGGCATGGAAGCATTGCCCTACGCGGCATATTTCCCAGATAAGGCCCCACTTGATTTTGTTGTATTCGCCCCAGTGAAAAGGGATCTGAGAGGAATATCGCACCAGAATCTCAATCAGCTGATGTCTGCAGTGAACACCTCCCTAGCCACACACTTTAAAGGTCGGGCTTCAAAAATGTGAACCACGAGCGGGTCGCCAGACAGCAACTGTGCATTGACGCTAAGGGTGCCTATTTTGAGCACCTCATGAAGTTAATATGGATCATGAAGTGACTCTGGAATGGATTATTTGTAACTGCACTGCATATTCCAAGAGTTAAACGGCATAAAATGATACTGCTTTCAACACTCAAAATGTCGTCCAAAGTGACATCAGAAAGCCCCGCATATCCATGATACTGGTTACCAATGAAATATCAATATTTTCGAGAAATTATAAATGCTTGACTTTTTTGTAGGACATCATACTACTTTTTCTCTGTGTGTGTGTGCGTGAGGGCGTACGCGTGTGCGTGCGCGTGCGCGTTGAGGTATTATCAAGATATGATGGTCTAAGCTCTAGAAGTCGATTCGAACCAGAAACCTAAATAAATCGATTTTTGCATTTTGCATCAACGAAATCTTCAGCTACAAATACTCTTAACCATCACACCATTGCTTCCAATTCGTGTTTTAAGGTCGGGTTTCAGAGGAAAATATTCTAACGAATTCTATGAAACTCATGAAGTAGGCTAATTTTGCCAATAATTCAAACCGCATGATTATAGACCAAATGATTCGATTAATTATTCGCTTATATTATCTCTTTTCCATTTATTTCTTTCATGAACGAAAACCAAAACATCCGTTTTAGATCGTGTGTCGGTTAATCATTTGAAGTAAACAATTTTTTGCAAATCATATATAAACCAGTGTCCATACACATATTTGCATCAAGTTGGGAAGAGAACTCCAGATATCTACAGACTCGCACTACTGTATTTGACTTCTGAAACGGGACAAGATGAGGGGTGCTATCACTTTTACATCATTTATACTAACACTAGGACTCGTGGCTTGTAATCAAAGTAAGTACATATATACCGATGGAAAATTGGGATAATGTCTTGACTTTTCGTGTAGGAATGTCTCTATTATGTACCAAAGCAATTTTTTGGCTGATTTTTCAATAAATCCATTGTTAACTTGGGTCTACATTTTGCTCAATTATACAGAGCTGTGTATAATTCATGATATTGTAATTGTTTAATTAGCATAAGGTATCGTAGTGTAAGATTGTTTAAATAAATAAATAATATGATTTTAATTATTGATCATACAATGACAAGTTGCCATTATATTTCTAATGGATTTCATAAAGTGAAGCACATATCTATAGTTATTTATTTGTCTTTGATTTGAGATACAAACAAATGTATAATGTAAACAATGTTGAGGATAACAAATACAGACATACTCCTCAAATATAAAAGGCATAGAGGGAAAAACAATTGAAATTCAAACAACATTTAGTGGAGAATGTTTAAATGAGAAATGAAAGTAAGATGGGCTATTCAAAAATTAAACCAATGATGAGATGACTGTTTTAAAACCTGTAAATCATATCTGTTTATTTATTATTTATTTGACAAAAACTTTTGTAGCAGTGGCTAAAGGACCATACAAATGTAAAATATATGCACCCTCCCCTATAACCAATGAAAATAGAAATATTAGATAGAAGGAAAGAGCTTTAAAATGCTTTTTATTCGAAGCTTCTAGCTCAGAATTGAAGGACGTTACATCAATTTTTATAATATCTTAGCTTTTTTTGGCTCGCTTATGCCACGATTGCACCCCCTGACTGAAAACTGATTTTTTGGCGATCGCACCCCCCTGACTGAAAGCTGACCACGCCCATGTCATATTTTCAGATCTTTTTCTTTATTACAGGTCTTTACAAGTACATCGGGTGTTACAAGGATGGTACACATAGCAACCCACGTGACCTATCGTATCCAGTGAATGGAGGCAGTGCCTTTATACGGTACATGACTCCTATCATGTGTAATGAAAGATGCCGTAATCTAGGTAAGTTTGAATTACTTCATGGACGTAGCCAGTCAAGAGGGAGGCTGAGCATTGCCATCATTTTATAGAAATATATATTTTACAACAACCGTGGTAATTAATTTCAAAATTAATGTAGTAATATACAAAAACGATTATACTCAATGAGAGATGGGAATACATTTTTCCTTTCATCGAAGGAAAAACATTTTTCAATTCGCAGTTACCGTCGATGCAGAAATAGATGCAATTTCAAACATTGCAAAATGGGTGATGGCACATTTACGAATACAAGCTTTACACTATAACTAAAACGAGTTACCCGAACCAAACTTTTCTCTAAAACTAGACAGGGTTACCCGGCAAGTCCTCCAGATATGTTTATGATAATTAGATTGTCTGTCAGATGATCCTCAAGAATATTCCTTCATCACACTTAGTTACTATTCCGTGTTTATGTCGGTATATCTTTGGCACATTCTGCCTCACCCATTGATTTTGCCTCGCCTTATTTTGGATCCAGGCCCGACTTCGTCTTGCTTCAAGACTGTGGACTCCCCTCATCTATTTCCTCAACGCAACACACCTGATGTAAAGTGGAAAGGGAGGGGGGGGGGGGTCCAGGATCTTGAAGCAAGACTAGGCCCAACCCTGTACTTACTTATAATATTCCAAGGTAACCTAATGGCTGTTTCTGGCAGGTTTTTTACGTTTATACTTGGATAGATATTTATGTATATATTTTTTTGTTTTTCGTTACAATGATGTCATTTTCTTCTCGTACAAACGTATTCGGATCCGGATGCAGCAAATCCGAGAAAATGTCACAACAATGGTTTCGTGTATGAGGGAGCAGAGAAAAGATAGTACATAAATGCATAGATACAGTACATAAATGCATGGACAGAGTACATAAATGCGTAGATACAGTTAATAAATTTATAAATACAGTAGGCCTACATAAATGTCCAATCCCTCGACTTTCGGGACTGCAATCTCTTGTGGATTGGGAAGGAGATTTTTGCATGCTTAGGATCTCAATTTGTTTATCGTAGGTTACAAGTTTGCAGGATCGCAACATAAAACTCAGTGTTTCTGCGGCAATAGTTTTGGAAGATATGGAAAGGCACCGGAATCCGAATGCAGCCAGCCATGTTCAGGCGATAGCACTCAGACATGTGGAGATGGACACAGGAATAGGGTTTATGACGTCAGCGGTTTGTATCTTGATTACATTATCTACGTACCGCTTCTTTCAGTGGCGTTCTGGTCATTATTTCAAAAGTTTTCCCAATTTAAACTAACAGTGCAAGGGTAATGTGTTATGGAATTTATTTTGTATCAAAATTGGACATTACATGATGTATGGGAAAAATCGAACCATATGATGCGATGCTCGAACTATATGATTCGAAACTCGCATCATACTATGCGAAATACGCATCATTATATGCGAAACTCGCATCATCGTATGCCATTTTCAATCCATGTTATACCTACAGTTAATTTTCTTACATAACTTATTTTCATTCACACACGCACTGGTTGTATCAAGTGTCACACAAAGAGTTAGCACTAACTCCAATCACTTTCCAAAAATCCAAAAGCAATGTTGAAATGTCACACGGATTGTGTTATAAGTTGCATAGAATACTGAAACAATTACACATGGATCAACGTAAATTTCGAACGAACGTGTCAATTTTCACACGCATTGAGTTCAAACTCGCATAGGATGGTTCCCGCTCGCATAGGCTGTCACAAACAAGTTGCACTTCACATAGGGTGCGAGATTTGAAGTCAAGTGATATTTACATCCTGGTTTCTACAATATGGCGCCCTCCGTTAAAATGTAAATTTTAAATTAAAAATATATAATTTAGCTTATATTGGGCACCTTGCTCGTAGTAATCGTTTATAAAAAGTATACAAATTATCTTTATATCTTTTTATCTTTTTGCCCGCTGATGTGTTATTTCGTTCAGTGCAAAAGTAACGCGAGACTTAGAACAAAATCTCGAACATCTCTAGAAAGCAATTTATGTTACATCAAGGTGTGTGATCGGTACATCAAGGTGTGTGATCGGCACATCATGGTTTGTGAAGGGAAAAACGTTTGTGCGAGCCGCACATGCATTTGTTCGACTTATGTACCCTGTTCGATGTCATTTTTAAACAATACATACACAAATACGCATGTACAAGTGTGAATTTACAAACATAAAGTGTGCAAACTCGAACAAACCGTGTATGAAATCACACGGATTGTGTATGTATTCTGCTAAACGCTATTCTATGTGCTAGAGATATCACATAAATATAAGATGTTCAATTTTGATACAGTTTAAACACCATAATGTGTTACGTCTTACAACGGATTTTGCGGTGTTGGGACCTTAAAAATATGGTAGATCGCATTACATTTTTCTAGGAAAAATAGTATATAGAACACATAGTTTGCTTTTTTGATGAGGCGGGGACAAACACTTAAAGGAGACAGTAGCCCGAATTTCTCGAATTGTCCCCAGGTCCGTGCACATCATACGTGTGTTTTTACGATATGCGGTACAGAATCATGAATACACTCTGACGTCATATTTTCACGTGATATGATGAGTAAAATATCACTTTACTTTTGATAGTTATTCCTCCAACCTGCAAACTCTGTCTTTTCCTCTCCCGGTACTTGAAATATCACATTACACGATCAATTTTCATTGATTTTTGATTTATTGTAGATATATACATCGGATGCTATAAAGATGGTATGCACAGTGACCCACGTGATTTGATGCGCCCAGTGAACGGAGTCAACGCACGTATCAATGACATCACGCCTGACATCTGTAACAATAGATGTCGCGACTTGGGTAATACAATCAACATTATTACATAATTAAGAAATAATTATCAAAAATAATTTTCTTTATTTTTCACTTTTTTCAAAACAGATCCTATCAATAGATTTGCTTTGAAAACTATTATAAATACATTTTACCCCAAGATGAATAGGAAGATAATTTTGAGTAAATTAATCACAAAAAACTTATTTGATGTCACCGTATCGTGCTAAGTCTTTCCTAGAATTTAGTCATCGACGTTTTTCAAACAAAAAATTATTTCCTATGTACAAATATAACAAAGTTTATTTATAATGTACAAATTTCATTAAACCACAGAATCCATTGTATTCGTTGCATTCTTTAATGTAGGTTACAAGTACGCAGGCTCGCAATTCGGAACTCAATGTTTCTGCGGTAACAAGTTTGGAACTTACGGACAGGCACCTGAATCCGAGTGTAATGTAAAATGTGAAGGTGATGCAAATCAATTCTGTGGAGCTGGGCACAGGAACAACGTCTATCGAGTAATTAATCCTTGAATTTTATGTTGAAACTTGAAAAACTAACGAAATAAAATTTCTGAAATGAGCCTATATTTGCTGTTTTGTTTGCTTGATTTTCCCCGGCATAAACATATCTATTTTACCTCTTTATAGAATATAGATTCCCCTCCATAACAGACCCTCCCTGAGTTCCACAAACGCGGTCGTCAGTTCTAACAGTTCCGACCTCACTGAGCTCATTCCTTCCATCCGAACCACGGTTCCCATTTCTAATATCGTTTCTTTTGTTGCAACCTCTCTCCCGAACCTATTTCTCCACTCGCGCATCGAGTTCCCATATCACAAACAATTTGTGCACAGTATATCCAAGTACTTGGAATTCAAAGAGCAAACCAATATGGGCGGACGATACGGCTGGCGGATCAGCTATGTGGTTCGAATTTCTTGCTGGTAGGTCTTATCTTTTTAACCAAAACCCTTCTTAGGCGGCTCTATTAAAAAAGGCGCAACACCACCAACATGCACAAATCAATGTTTTTTTTTGCTATAAACCAGGCAACAATGGTCTACACGACCTGTAATAAGTACTTGTAAGTGACATTATCATCACAAAATTAATGTAATTAATAATTGTTCAATTTTATAAAATTTGCTTGTATTCGCGAATGCAACTTTCGACTTCCGGATTAACCTCCTATTTTATGGGTAACTCATTTGAATATGAATGGTGCCTGCCACTATTCCCATTCATATGTAGATATGTAGAGTTGGTCTTAAAATACTAGTAAGTTAATCCTATAGTCGACAGCCGAAAGCTGCATTCGCGAATACAGGCGTTAGCAGTACAGGTAGCCATTACAATAAGAACAAATAGTTTATTATAATCAAACAGTATTATAATCTACATTGCCACCCAATGCCTATGCCTACCCAATAAAATTGCCAAAAGGTGTATAGATATTTCAATTAATCAAAAATTAAAATTATTGTTATTGCTCATGTTCATTTATGCCCTGTCTATTGCGCACTCCTAGCGTATGACGTAATGAGCCATAGGGTTCGTTTACTGTATGAACACAACACTAAACAGAGCATCATTTTGATTTAATCAAAACCAAATAGAGCAAACACGGTGAGTATAACAACGTTAACTTGTTTTTTTGGTAATCCACTTTTAATCTTAATGTAGGCCTATATGAACTGACATTCTAGAACATTAAGGGAAACATTTCTCTCAATAAACATTTATGAAGTTACGAATGGCATTTATTAAGATATCACTATTGACAAATAGCTCTAAGATTGGTAAAAAAAACTCGGGTTAAAACAAAGTTATAACAAAGTAAACACTTGAAATCCATTGTTCCCGTTTTCCAGCTTCATGTTGAGATTTGCCTGCTTCTTGGCGCTTGTTGCCGTGGCAATTAGTGCTCCGCAAAACTTCCACCACGCACACTCTCATAATCACCGTAAGTACATGTACGACTGTAACTACAATTTTTTCTGGTCTCTACTCCACAGAAGGTATTGCAACGGTAGATCATCTGTTGGACAACGCGCTCAACAAGCCTGTTTTATTGCGATATTTCTGACCTCATGAGTAAGATAGGATTATTGAGTTTGGCAAGTTTTTGAAGGAAATGTTAGAAAATAGCAGAATACATTTAAACCTGATTTAAACAGTTCAATGTGTTGTATTTTAGATGACGACCATTACCATGACGACGAGAACCGTGACGGAGTTCCCGATTCTCTTGACTTGAACCGTGATGGTAAGATTGATCATCACCATGGGCACGGACACCATGGACACAGTGGCCATCACGGACATTCTGCCCATCATGGACACTCTGCGCATCACGGACCCTCTGCTCATGGACACGGACACCACGATCACACTCCTTTTGGAAATGGATACCCCTTCCACAACGTTGGACCCAATGGTGCCATTATTAACTCTCCATCTGGTCTGATAATTGGTGACAACGGTGCTTACATCGACGCTCAGCACGGACTTGTGGTTGGACCAAGTGGGGAGATTGCACACCATGGACACTTTACTCATCACAGGCACTCCTCTCATCATGGACACTCTGTTCATCATGATCAGGGACACCATGGACATTCTGCCCAACATGGACACCATGGACACTCTTCCCATCATGGACACCATGGACACTCTGCCCATCATGGACACCATGGACACTCTGCCCATCATGGACACCATGGACACTCTGCCCATCATGGACACCATGGACACTCTGCCCATCATGGACACTCTGTCCATGATGGACACCATGGACACTCTGCCCATCATGGACACCATGGACACTCTGCCCATCATGGACACCATGGACACTCTGCCCATCATGGACACTCTGCCAATCATGAACACCATGGACACTCTGCCCATCATGGACACTCTGCCCATCATGGACACCATGGACACTCTGCCCATCACGGGCATCATGCCGTTTCCCACCATGACGATCATTGTGAGTAAAATCTTGTAAATGCCATCGTAATTTGGAGGTCATTATTCGAGATTAATTACATGTTCAATAATAGAGACCAGTAGAATACGTTATGGTTTAGAGATGACCCACATCTTTCATGGAAAATCATAAAGAGAAGACCCTCAATCGTTGATTGGTCAATTGAAAGGAAGTGACAAAAACAATTTTTTAATTCATTTTTTAAAAATCGCTATCATATATCATATATAGAACGTCAAGTAACGCCCTATTGTGGGGATGACTGTGTATCAATTACTCTTACAGATCATGATGATGAGAACCGTGACGGAGTCCCCGATTCTCTTGACTTGAACCGTGATGGCAAGATTGACCATCACCACGGTCACGGACACCATGGACACAGTGGCCATCACGGATATTCTGGCCATCATGGACACTCTGGCCATCGTGGACACTCTGGGCATCATGGTCACTCTGCCCATCATGGACACTCTGGCCATCATGGACACTCTGCCCATCATGGACATCATGCCGTTTCCCACCATGACGATCATTGTGAGTAAAATCTTGTAAATGCCATCGTAATTTGGAAGTCATTACACTAGATTCTGTAATTACATGCATGTTCAATAAGAGAGGCCAGGAGAATACGTTATGGTTCAGAGATGACCCACATTTTTATGGAAAGTCATTAAGATAAGACCCTCCGTCGTTGATTGGTCAATTGACAGGAAGTGACATAAACAATTTTTTAATTCACTTTTAAAAAATCGCTATGAATAATATTATGTTACATTCTGCCATGTCTACCAATGTCATTGTTTGTTATTTCATGAATTAACTAGATGAGTAACTAGATGGATGAAATTCGGACACCCAAAGGTGGTAAGAAAGGGAAGTTATTGTGAGTCATCTCGATCCAAGCTCTGGGATCTTCCTTCCTTTTATCTCCAATTTGATTATTCATTTTATTATGCCGTCACTTAATATAGAATAAACTATTCCCAATTTTGTGGATGACTGTGTATCAATTACTCTTACAGATCATGATGATGAGAACCGTGACGGAGTCCCCGATTCTCTTGACTTGAACCGTGATGGCAAGATTGACCACCATCACGGTCACGGACATCATGGACACTCTGGACATCATGATCACCATGGACACGCTGGCCATCATGGTCACCATGGACACAATGCCCATCATGGTCACCATGGACACTCTGGCAATCATGGTAGCCATGGACACTCTGCCCATCATGGACACTCTGCGCATCATGGACACGACGGCCACACTCCTTTCGGAGACGGATACCCCTACCACAACGTTGGACCCAATGGTGCCGTTATTAATTCTCCATCCGGTCTGATTGTTGGTGACAACGGTGCTTACATCGATGCTCAGCACGGACTTGTTGTTGGACCGAGTGGCGAGATTGCTCCCCACCACCACCATTTCGGTCATCATGGTCATCATTAGTCTTAAAAACGTAAGTTTGATTAGCTAACTGCATGCAAGGCAACTGCTCCATCCATTTTATGCCGTTAGGTAAGTGCACCTGAATTTTACTGTAAATAGATAGACAGGACAAAGAGTTCTTGGTTTGACATGCCCAATTCTAGAATTATCAAGCTTTTCGGTACCGATTTTATCAAAACCTATGTCTTTTGTATTTTCCTTGTTACCGTTTATATTAATTTACTTGCAAATTGCAACACGGTAGTATTAATTGTACTATTTCTTTATTTTCAGTTACACCATACAGTTTGTGATATATGGGAATCATCTAACAAAGAGACTCATTATTATCTACAGACATGTTAACATTTTAATGTAAATAAGAGATTTATGAAAATATTATTCAAATAAAGTATTTTTTGAAAAAAACATTATTTTCTATTACTTTCTCCCATGCCATGGTACTTGTAATTACAGTAAATCCTGTACATCTATCCAATTCCCAATGTGAGCGGGTTTTTGCTCGCCTTTTTCCTTCCATTGAATCCCATGTTAATAATTTGGAATTTGAACACTTTCCAATTTGAACATTGAACAGCCATATACATTTTTGTACAAAATTTCACAAATATTTTGTATCAATTACTATTTCTAGAGGCTCAGATCTTAACGGTCTCATGTTCATGACCTCACAAGTACATAATATTAATAAAATCCCATTCATTTAAATTACCTTCCCAGATCACTCGAAACACCGAGTGGTTCACAGATATCTCATACTAGTACATATCATGTACTAGTAAATAAATTCTGTAGATCACCATGCCACTCGTATATTTCTCAGATGATCTGATCTTATATAGATTCCTCAGATTACTGTGCCCCACACAGATAACTCATCATACCGCATGTATATCATTCTCCGGATCACTATGCCACTCGTATATTTCTCAGAAGATCTTATTGAATTCCTTAGATTACTGTGCCACTCACAGCTTGTGTCTCATAAAATCGTATGTTTATTAATTCTTCAGATCACCATATCAAGCACATATATCTCAAAAGATCTTCTGTATATACGTTTTCGGTTCACTGTGTCGCCCAAACATAAATACATTCTTCAGATCACAGTGTCACTCACAGATATATCAGAGGTCTTAATATATCATTCATTCTTCGGGTCACCGTGTCACTCATACATAAGCCTATATCATAAGATCTTATGAAAATACATTCTTCAGGTCATCCATCAATATATCATAAGATCTTCTTTAAATACAATTCCTCACATCATCGTCACTCACAGATATATCAGAGGTCTTAATATGAGATTCATCTGATCCTCTAGTCCTTTTTAGCGAGGGGAGGGGGTACCTAACATATATTTTACACCATAATTTCGGAATCACATGATTTTTTAGTTTACTATAATAACCCAGATGCGAGTAGAAATAATCTTGATTTACGTCATTAAAAATTCAAAATTCAGTCAAAGTAATATCATATTTGAAATCTACATGTAAAATTACATCTAGAAATGTGGTTTTAAAAAGTGTTTATCAACTTTGAAAAATTAATTTTCTTTGAAAATGTGACTTCTAGCTCGGGGAAATTCCCCATAGACCCCATGCTATAAAATCACAAAAATGAAATATCTTTTCTTTTAGTGGACAGATAATATTTTGCTTTACTGGACATATTTTCATTAGTATAAGTATCAGACACATAAGGGTTATATGAAAATTGAGCAACTTAAATTGATAATATTCAAGTTTAAGGGAACTTTCTTATATACCTGCCATGTTAATTGACCCGAATCAGCCACCTGGTGGTGAAACTGGTAACTACCTACTCGCATTTGGGTAATTACATATGCAAATTATCTATTAATATATACGCATCTTGCCGTGAATATGTCATTTTCTTTCTACACATGTATGTACCGTGTACATCAGAACAAGAAGTTTGTGAGGCACTGCATTATTTTCGAAAATTGCAGACTAATTTTAATGCGTTTCCAAAGTTTTGTGATCTACAAGATGATCATAATGAGGTGAATATTACTCTTTTAAACAGTTAAAGGGGCAACAAGGACTGTAGAGAGAAAATTTGATTTTTTTTAATTTTTTCTAGCTATCAGGTCAATATTTGGCTTAACATCTTCTTTGACATATCTATTTTCCTAAAATGTATGGATAAACTATCAATTTCAGAATTAAGAAGTGTAAATTCAGTTCATAGCTTCTATAAATGGAGTCCCACTTATGGATTTTTAAGATTCACCACATTTCAAGAGGAATATCAGCTGAAATAATATTCATCCAGGGGCTTTCTTTGTAGATAATAAAAATATATGTTAGTCTTGATGAAATATCCAAACTTAAAGGAATATTCCTTGCCAGACCCTTTCTCTCTTGATATGGTAGCTATAATCATATATATAGTTTCCATATTTAGCAAAACATGGGAAAATGTTTTAATATGGTCAATATTGATCATTTAAAAATCTAGTGCTTATTTCCAGTGAGCTGCCATCTTTTAAGATTTCTTGCATGAAGTGATGTCATCAACTCTCAACTTCTATAACCTTGCCCATAACAGTATAGGAAAGTAGCACAAAATCACTTCTAGACAAGTGATCATTACTTTCTGTGCAAAAATATCTTCAGGGCTTGTCAACTTAGAATAAAATAAGAGATTTTCAGAAGGATTAAATAAGATACAAAGTTGAAAAAGAATATTTAGCTGGTTTTGTAATTCTTAATAGCTCCTCACCTAATGCTATATGCAAAGTTGAGAGTCGTTGACATCACTTCCTGTGTGAAATTTTAAAAGATGGCAGCTTACTGGAATTGAGTATCACATTTCTAAGTGATCAAATTTGACCATATCAAAACATTTTTGCGTGTTTTGCTAAACATGGCAAGCATATATATGGTTATAGCTACCATATGAGGAGAGAGATGGTTTGGCAAGGAATATTCCTTTAAATATATTTTGACACTGGTCGAGGATCGTTGAATCTGCACTAATTGTTGCACCTTTAAAACAGCTACGGATCTGACGATTAAAAAAACATTTCAATTATTTGCTATTAATCACTTGTATTATATGGTTATCATGGTAACGATGTGATGTGATCAATGACTCAGTGTGTAACTTCTCATTAACCTTTTTATCTTTCTGCGAGATCTTAGTTTTTACTGTTCATTTGTAAATGGCAACGTCATAATAGTCTTAGGAGGTCAGTGATGAATTGTGTTCTGATACGCTATGCCATGAGATAAAATCTGAGTTCCGTGCTAATAAGAAATACTAGGACCTCGAGAAAATAAGAAAGAAAATGCCCCAGAATTCATAGATGGACTTATTTGAATTGAAAGAATCCTGGGGGATTTCCTCCTCTTGCATTGAAATATAAGACCTCTTGATATTCCCCCCTTTTATGGCGATAAGTCCACCTCTGAATTCTGAAAAATGATTGTTTCATTTAAGTAGGCAATTCGATTGTTGTATTTTACAATCGACTTTACTAAACTAACTTAGTAAATATTGTCCGGGTGTAATTTCGATTAATAAAGGATAGTCCATCCGTTGGCACAAGGATGCAATTTAATTTTGAAATTGAAAATTAATTAATTAATTGTTAATAAGCCATGCCCACTATGCACACTCCTATACATGTAGTATGCCTGTCCTATTGGCCCTAAAGTGCGAAAGCTAGTATAAAACCCGTAATTAATTTCATCAAAGTATCATTTCGATTTGCACAGTCAAAGTGAGCAAATAAGGTAAGTCCAACAATTATGTCATATTCATGTTGCTCAATTGAAATTTATAAAGATATTGGAGTGTATCGTTTGCCATCAGATGGACATGCCTTTTTTCTTAAATAAAGTTGAGCTACATTTGAAGTGATTTGCCGCACTGAAATAAAAAGTAGTTGTGTCAGAATTTGAAACTCATATCATTGAGATCATGCTACGTTGAATAAAACATTTGTAGACAAGTTAAAATAGTGTTGGATTATTATTCAAGCAAATTACACTACAAATGAATAAAGAGGTATCAATGGTATCAATTGAAATACAAATATACTTATTAGCTGATCTGACGATATGTCATTCAACAATTGTAACATCTGAAACCCAAGTGGGTAAAATTTAAATAACATAATATAATGACCTTTATTTCAGGATCATGTTGAGATTCGCCTGCCTCTTGGCCCTCGTTGCCATAGCAATTGCTGCCCCTCACCACGCCCACAGCTCCCACTCCCATCATGATGACCACCGTAAGTAAAGTTTCACACTTCTAATAAATGATCAAGATGTTCATGTCAATTCATTGTTGAAGCAAATTTAGGATAAAGGATGTGAGCACCAATGCCCATAGACATACATATAGCATATCATTCAATTAAAGATTGAATTTCTCGGATAACCTTCTGAAGTTCTTAACTGGACTTTTACCATTTCTGTATACTGTACTTTGTTATACTTGAGAAAGTGTACTGATTTGTATGAAAGCCCCAATATTTCAGATGAATAAGCCTAATAAGCAATGATGTACTATATAATTTAGAATTAATTTTCACAGTGTTAGTTGGAAAAATACCCCAACATTTATTTCTGTAAACATTTTGTGAGACAATTGCCAGCTTGTCTTTTGGCTAGTTAAGCCCATGGTCATAATTTGAAATTTGATTTTTGATATTTTACAATAAATTCTAGATGATGATCACCACCATGATGATGAGAACCGTGACGGCGTCCCAGATTCCCTTGACCTAAACCGTGATGGCAAGATTGACCACCACCATCATAATCACCATGACAACCACGATCACCACGCTCATGGTCATCACGGACACTCTGGCCACCACGGACACTCTGTCCATCACGGACACTCTGCCCATCATGGACACCCTGCCCATCATGGACACTCTGCCCATCATGGACACTCTGCCCATCATGGACACTCTGCCCATCACGGACACTCTGCCCATCATGGACACCACGCCGTTTCCCACCATGACGATCATCGTAAGTTAAATCATGCTGAAGTCTCTCTGGGTGTTTTCTGTACGGTTTAAAGGAAATACCACTGGGATCAACCCTCAAAATATGATATAATTATATGTGTAATTTTTGGATGTATCAGATTTTAATTGTTTTTTTTTAATGGGAATTGATACTAAGTATGATCTGAAATACATCCACAATACCAAATTTTAGGGGACATCTAATTGAATGATTTTAGTTCATCGATGTTTGCTATGACCGCTTTTTAATACACACATATATACTGTTTTTGATGAGAAATGTACAGGGTTAACATGCATCTATTTAATATTTGTCATACAGATTACAAAAATCCAAGTGCAAAATCAGTTAAAAATAATGCTTGGTACTCTTTCTATATGAATATGTATCTCATCTTGCTTCTTCGGTTATAGGTCCACACTTGTATACCCAATAAATATATATGAGAGTGCATGTTATAAAGTCAAGTTTAAACTAAATAAAACGGAAATTGATTTCAAAATGTTTTATAGATGATGACCATCACCATGACGATGACGAGAACCGTGACGGTGTCCCAGACTTTCTTGATTTGAACCGTGATGGCAAGATTGACCACCACCATCATGATCACCATGACAACCACGCTCACCACGCTCATGGTCATCACGGACACTCTGGCCATCATGGACACTCTGCCCACCATGGACACTCTACCCATCACGGACACTCTGCCCATCATGGACACTCTGCCCATCACGGACTTTCTACCCATCATGGACACTCTGCCCACCACGGACACTCTGCGCATCACGGACATTCTGCCCATCATGGACACTCTGCACATCACGGACATTCTGCCCATCATGGACACTCCGCTCACCACGATTCTCACGCCCATGGACATTCTGCCCACCACGATCATCACGCTCATGGACACTCTGCCCACGCCCACGAACATCACGGTCACCATGACTACACTCCTTTTGGAAATGGACATCCCTATCAAAATGTTGGACCAAATGGTGCCGTCGTCAACTCTCCATCCGGTTTGATCGTCGGTGACAATGGTGGTTACGTCGATGCCCAGACAGGACATGTTGTCGGACCCAGCGGTGAAGTTGCTGGCCATGGACACGGACACTCTGCCCACCATGGACACCATGCTCATGGACACTCTGCCCACCACGATTCTCACGCCCATGGACACTCTGCCCACCACGATTCTCACGCCCATGGACACTCTGCCCACCACGGCCACAATGACCACCACGGACACTCTGTCCATCATGGGCATCATTATTAACAAACGTAAGTATAGTACATCATTATAACACATGAAATTCTATTGCCAACAAGAATGCAACACTTCCAAATATGCCAAATAATTTAAAATGAAATAATAAGAAATAATGAAATGAGAATATCATTTGTCATTTGTACAATGAGTAAATTCTTATTTGGCACATTTAATCAGAGCAAACTATCTTGTCATACACATAATAGGGATAGTAATTCAAGAGGACAAAATTTATATTTTGCCTCATATACCTCAATGTCATGAATTGTTTATTTTCAGTTATGAGGGATAAGTAGAAACATATGGGACACCAGATAACTCAGGCCATTCTATATCATCTACAAAACTCTTCACATATTTGCTGTAAATAAGACTTATATGGAAGTATAACACAAATAAATTATTTTATAGAATAAACTATAATATTGATAGTTTCTGTTATTTTATTTTTTGCAAACGTGAATCTCACACTGACAGATCTTCCATTAGATATCTACAATGGAATGGTGGACCAATTTTCTGTTTCGGCTGGGCAAAATTATATATTCATTATTCAAATATGACTGTTCTCTATTTGAGTTACTCAACCAATCAGAATGCAGCATTGCCGTGCTCTAATTCCCCATACATGAAAGACTGTGCATTTATTCAATGATCCGAGACTCTATGTAATATGTTGTACTGTGTCCTCGCACCTGAGAATGTTGAAATGAATAGCAAGTGTGGTTATTTCATGGACATGTAACGAAAAAACTAAGTCTGAAGCATATTGTTTTTGTCTTATTTTTGGGGAAATTGAAAGATCTGTCATTCAAAATGAAAATGAATGATGCCCCGTGATCCAAGTCCAAGTTTTACATTTGATAATACTTTGTTTAATCCAATTGCACGAATTATATTTAGTTTTAGATATACCCCATCTTATATTATCTTGCAGTTGTAAAAACAATGTCATTAACATATTAAAGTAAATACTTCTCAGATAGGGTTTGTTTAACTTTACTATTCCAATATTACCCATATTATACAGCCAGACAAGTGCCTGGTGCAGGGTTAACAGTATAATGGAGGTGGCAATTTCGTAATATAAACTGTAAAGTGAACATATTGAACAAAGTTTGCATACTTGTAGGATTTAAACTACAGTTATAATGACAAATCATAAAGACCATACAATGCATTAAATGCTTTATTCTATAATCGGATGATTATTTTTGGACCACCCTGTGCATACATTGATTGTGACTCTAAATGCCTATATTGCAAAAGTATAAAATAAACTACTGCACTAAAGTGCATAAACGCAATTGTATGTTTGCAAACAATATATTCATCAACGATAAAAATGAATTAATGGTTGCCAGATGGTGTGTTTAAATATGTTTATTATGTTCCTGTTTTCATCGTTTGAATAAAATTCAACTGAATAATTTAATTGATGAATAAATATAACAATAATATGTAGTTTTTATATTAAGTTAAATTGCACGTTTAATGTTGCTTGTTCTGCATTTCTCTTGAAGTAGTATATAGATGTACAAGATGCTTGCTGTATTGGTAGTAATCTTGCTTCTTGGGCACCAAATACAAGGTAATGAATTCTTAAAGATCTATCACATATGTTTTCTTGGGATCATGGGGATCGTACAGCTTTGACACGTGCTTAAGGACATGTGGAGGAGGGACTCGAACTGGAACACGAAGAAGACAGCAGGTTTATAGTAACATTAGAAGCACCCCTTCATGTAGTGGTTCGGCAACTGATACCATGACCGAGTCATGTGACCTCATCACTTGCCCAAGTTAGTAATGCATAACTTGTCAATTTAAATCCATAAAACCAACAATCCTTATATATTCTTTCTTTCGTTACTGTTATGAAGCAAGAAGAAGGAATATGATGTATTAAAGTAGTTACTTGTGTAATGACCTTCGAAATCAAGTCGCTACTGCAGTCTCAGCTGTAGTGACTAGCCCTTATGGCTCAGGGATGACGTCTGACTCGAGAGCGGGAGGTCCTGGGTTCGATTCCCGTACGGGGCCCTTTGAATTTAGAACATTTTCTTTCGAGTCTAGTATCTGGCTCGGTACACTACAGCGCCCCGACGAGCGTGCCCAAGGGTCGTTACACTTGTGATGAACATTTACTATGGCTTCCACATTTGACGTGCAAATGCAATATATTTTCAGCAACGTGTTCACCATGTGGATCGAACTGCATATACCCATTCAGTATGTGTTGCTCTAATTGCTGTGTTAGTAGATCGTCATCATGCTGCGGAATCCGTGGATATGATACAAAGTTTAGTATGTGTTGCGATGGTAAAATAGTAAGCCGTTTTGGATTGAGCCCAGCTTGCTGTGGAACGAGAGGATATGATACGAAGTTTAGTATGTGTTGCAATGGTAAAATAGTTAGCCGTTCTGGATTGAGCCCATCTTGCTGTGGAACGAGAGGATATGATACAAAGTTTAGTATGTGTTGCGATGGTAAAATAGTAAGCCGTTTTGGATTGAGCCCAGCTTGCTGTGGAACGAGAGGATATGATACGAAGTTTAGTATGTGTTGCAATGGTAAAATAGTAAGCCGTTCTGGATTGAGCCCATCATGCTGCGGAATCCGTGGATATGATACAAAGTTTAGTATGTGTTGCGATGGTAAAATAGTAAGCCGTTTTGGATTGAGCCCAGCTTGCTGTGGAACGAGAGGATATGATACGAAGTTTAGTATGTGTTGCAATGGTAAAATAGTTAGCCGTTCTGGATTGAGCCCATCTTGCTGTGGAACGAGAGGATATGATACAAAGTTTAGTATGTGTTGCGATGGTAAAATAGTAAGCCGTTTTGGATTGAGCCCAGCTTGCTGTGGAACGAGAGGATATGATACGAAGTTTAGTATGTGTTGCAATGGTAAAATAGTTAGCCGTTCTGGATTGAGCCCATCTTGCTGTGGAACGAGAGGATATGATACAAAGTTTAGTATGTGTTGCAATGGTGAAATAGTAAGTCGTTCTGGATTGAGCCCAGCTTGCTGTGGAACGAGAGGATATGATACGAAGTTTAGTATGTGTTGCAATGGTAAAATAGTAAGCCGTTCTGGATTGAGTCCAGCTTGCTGTGGAACGAGAGGATATGATACGAAGTTTAGTATGTGTTGTGATGGAGTGATAAATAGTAGATCGGGTCTGTCGCCTGCATGTTGCTGCACCAAGGCATATGATACCCGTTTCCGAAAATGCTGCAGTGGATGCAGAATTTGTTAATTTGGCCTGAATTATTGAAGCTTTTCAAACACATAGCAAATATAGATGAATGATACACGTGACATTTAAGTTTACTTTCTTATTTTCATTTCTTGGAAGATATATTTTACATTTCAATTTTTATATATGAGAGAGGAATAGAGACCACGTCTCCACTTAGCGTGTGTTCGCGAATGTAACTTTCGGTTGTCGGCTACTGGATTAACCTACTTTATTTATGCCAAACTCATTTAAATATGAATGGAATAGTGGCAGGTACAATTCATATTTAATGAGTTGGTTATAAACGTGTAGGTTAATCCGTCAGCCGACAGCCGGCAGTTGAATTAACAAATACAAGGTAAGTTACCTACGGGTAGTCTGTTTGTACTGTACAGATGAGGAGAATCTTTGACCTTCCATCAGTGACTCACACCCTATTCTCATTATTTTCTTTCAGCTAGGGGGCATAAATACAAAAAACAATAATTGGAGTCCCATCCTGTTGTTTTATATGAACATTGAAACAGGCTTCTGATTCGAAAAATTTGTGTAAAATGGCGTGGACATACTAGTATTCATGAAGAAATATACAAGGCAGGACATTAGTTATTATTTGATTTTCTGATTATTACGCTCATTTTCGCCCATTTTCAGGGGATAGGGCAGTCCTCAGGCTCAACTCCAATACTCTCCATATTTCTGAAGTATCTGTTTAATCCTCCATTTCTTTGAATTACTCGTTACATCCTTGATCGTCCTCAAACTCCTGTTTTATTCAACGTGACAATATCAGTTTTCTTTTCAACGTCTATAATGTTTACATGGAAAGGTGTGGAGCTAACCGTCCATTGCGTGGCATGTGGATAGTTTATGATGTTGATTTTGCAAACTCTTATGTGAGAAATCTACAATTATAGTAAGGGCGAAAAACTAAGTCCAGCATTATAGAATGGAGTATTAGGTCAAATATTCAGTTATAGATGAACTATGAGGACTTTTAGATGTTTTGAATTTATTGAAAATACGTTGCATTGTCCAATGATTTAATTTCCATATTGAACCATCAGGCAAAATCAGGAGATATGTTTTAAATACGAAGGGTGATCCAAAAGTCTTGGACGCCCCGCTCTAACTTTGTTATTTTCTGATATAATTACACGAAACTTTCAGATAATAAAGATCAATGACTTAACAACTTTGTGTATAAGTTTCACCAGAAAATTATATATTTTAGCTACTTTTCGAAATATTTTTTAATATCGGGTCCCTGCCACCCGGAACGGTATTTGAATATAGCAAATCATGTCACAACTGATAATATGGCAAATACATTAGGTGCAGGTGCACAACCTAACACCAGTCATGATATCGGAGAGAATTTCCGATTTTTCAATCTATGTGTCATCTGCCATCATCATCTTCACATATTAAGACCTACTTTTCAACATATTTTCCACGAATTTGAACACATTTTTCGTACCACTTTTACCCATGAATGGTTGCTGTAGTAACATGAGTCGGGGGCAGGCGGAGCAGGCAAAAAAGATCTGTTTTGCTTGAATGTTCACTCCTTCATTTCATTTATTTTACTATCTCAAGTGTATACTAGGTGTTCAAAATAGTGTCCATCAGGTTTATATACCTTTGCTGTCTCACTACACATTCTTCAAAGAGATGGCGGAATCCAGTTGGGAAATTTTTGGTGATTGGTCCTCGCATGGATGCCAGTTCTCCTAATAAGGTAGAATGGGGGATGTCAATGTCATTCGCAAGAAGAGAGTAACGCATGGAGGGCCAAGGGACCCTAGCTTCTATACTTCATAGATACCAGAATTCTGTTTTTCCGCGCCGCAGCAGTAAAAATGCAGAATTTTATTTTTGCAAATATTTGCAGAATATTGAATTTCTGTTGATTTTTGCGGAATTTTCGCTGAATTCATGCTTTGAGAACATAAATTGAATTCAAAGCTTACCTAACATTGTGTCTTGTACTTATTTTAGTGAAATAATCGGATAGAACCGGCTCATATCAAAATGTGCAGCGATTCTAATTTTAGTTTTCACGTGTAGGGCTAATGATCCTAATTATCGCACGATTGTCCTAAATACCTAAAGGAGCAGGTAAGATATGGCAAGCCATTTTCAAAGGGCTATATCTTTAATTCTAAGAATACTTTAACCACAAAAACAAATGGTTCTGTTAGATCCATGTCTTGTCTTCAATAAATGACAGTAGGATAATAATCAAGTTGAATGGATTATCTCTTAAGCTGTTCCTAATCCAACCATCTTCACCAATTTTCCCTAATTCGGACGCAATTTTCACCAAAAATGCAGCATTTTATTTCAGCTTTTATGGCAAAATTACAATTTATTGTAAGGAATGATCTACCTCTAAAAAGGAAAACTTGATTACTTTGGGATTAGGATAATCCAAAAACAATAACTTTTTTAGGCCGAATTTTTTACCTAAAAGTAGCAATTTTTTAATGAGATTAATGCATGAAAACATTGAGCTATGTCACATGATTGATTTCCAAAAAGAAAAAAATGATCTAAATGAGATAAGCATTATCTGATAATCCATTTGTCATTTTTACCTCATAGGCCATGACCTTAGTGTGAAGTGTATGAAAAGATGTCACTTAGAGCGACATTTAGATGTACCCTATTTTATGCAATCATGTTTATAGATAGAGTTATATATGTTCCATAGATGGCATGATATATTCTACATGGGTGAGTGCTAGATACTCTGTGTATTCATTGTTGCATAACTGCGTATTATAGAAATGAGCATGGATATGTCAACATGACTGTGTCGTGTAAAGTATGTACAGTAAAACATAAATATGTTTAACACCTAGTAAAACACATAAGAGGAAATACTTGTTTATATATTTGAATTGTATAGTGTAAATAAATATTTGAAATATTACACATTTGCGATGTTTCAACAAACATGATTCAATACCATCTTATTTGAATTAACTCTTCCCATGTGTATCTTTCTTTATCATCAACCATATTGGGGGTTTCGAAAGTGCCTTATGTAAAGGAGTTTGCTGTAAATGATCTTTCGAATAGTGTTATATGTAGTAGGTATTGATACAGGTACCACTGTATACAGAGTACATGCAAATAATAATTTTTTCTCCAATGGTTTGGCCAAACATTTGTTGCATTTTTTGTTCATTTCAAATTTTATTGGATTGTTTTTGCTGATTGGAATTTTTATGGAATAAACAGTTTAATGCGTTGGGTTTTACCCTTTGACAATATGTATATGGCCGTGTGTAATTATGATCTTGTCACGTACTCGATCACTCTATATTCTCAGTCAATACTTCGGGCTTTGTATGAAAAACCTTATACCTTGTACCCACGTGCCGGTGTAAAAGAAATTATGGTCCCCTGGGGATTATGGTCCCCTTTCCTTACGGGCCTTACTGGCCCTGACTGTGTATAAATAATAAGGAAAATAATTGTAATTAGGTCACCATATAAATCAATAGAGAGTAGGACCAAAATTTGATAGGACCACCTACCCTTTTACACCGGCGTACTTGGGGCATGATACATTCTTTGAAGAGTTCAATTCTAACGTTTCAGATTATTCTGATCATATGAATTGTAGGTGCATTAATGCACTTGTAGACCTACGTGTATGTCTTATAGATCCAACATTTTTCTAGTCATAAATAAGGCCAGAATTGCAAAATTGTTTACCTTTGCTATTTCGATAAATATTGCCTAATTGAAATGCTCGTTCACTATAGAACCAATCTACACTAAAACGTGAATTTACGATTCCTGAGACTACAATTATCTTTAATCATGCTGTGATTAAATAAAATGATACCCTGACACATTTAAAACTTATTTAGAATGGATTTTTCTCTATTGAAAAGTCCTTTGAATGGCGCTATTTTGACAATCAATGAAAAACAAAAGATTAACAATTCTGGCTTTATTTTATGACTCTGTATCTATCTATCTTTCACTAGACGAAGTTCACATCTATGGATACTATGAATGTATTTATACCTCAGGTAGCATTAAAATTGAATAATCTTTTAAAACTTTAAAAATTGAACCCTTCAAAAACTGCATCACCAACCACGTACATGGGTATGAGGTACGAAGCCAATACTTCGTAAAGAAATCATGAAATAACAACATGTAGAACAAGGCATCTGCATCTGCATCTAATATAACACGTACCATTCTTGAGTCGATTTGACCTAGGATGAAGAAACTACATAGGTGACCACGGGCTTTGAAACCCCATTACAAGTAGTAATAGCGAATTCAACTAACAACTGTCAGATCAACCTATACTATTTTATGGCTCATTAAATATAAATAGTACCTGCCACTATTTCATTCATATTAAAATGAATTTGCCATCAAAAGTAGGTTAAATCATCGCCTTTTACCCAACATATAACATCATAAATATAAATACTATCAAAGTGCAGTCTAATACCGAGTGAGCCAAAAATGTAGCCCAAACTAATTCCGCATCTGTTAAAATGTTATTTCGCATAATAAAACCTTGTTTAATGTTCTTTCATTTTACTAAGTTTAAATCGCCCTGCCCCAATAGTCGGGATTTTATGGCTATAAAACGAAACATGGTCCAAAATGCCAGCCTCATCTCATGACTACGGGCTATCTCTGAGATAATGTCAACCCCTACAACAAGTAGGAGAACAATTTCTGTGACCATGAACTTACAACCTCAACCGACCAGTGCAGGTCTGCCTGAAGGGACGAGGCTGAAATTTGTAGAATGGCCATAGAATTGTGACCTTGAGGAATGGACCCATGAAACATGGTAAAATGCAAAAAGATTTTACATGGTAAAATTAACTAAATATGATTTCAACTCATACTGGATGAATGAGTTAATAACATTTCTTTGGATGACATTTTTGCCTCACCCTGTAATTCATTTTATTTTCACACTTATTCATTTCAGCCTGCCCTAATATAACAAAGAATCTAGGTTGAATAGCCAAAACCAGGCACATGTAATTACAAAGAACTATTCAGTATATAAATAGCTATACGTGAATGACACAACTGTTTTATACACAAACAATACAAGGTTAAATACAGGATTATAATCCATAACGCTGAGTAAGTCACTATCTGAGTGTTGTAACAAACAAATTATTTATGGCACTTAGCTGCCCTCTATTTTGTAATTGTATAATATTAGTATGAAGCACTTTAAAATATCAGAAAAAATACGAAAAAATCACGAAAAAATATCAAAAAGTAGGTTTACAATTAACTTTTCCCCTTTACAGTTTAAATCATGTCTTAAAGTTCAATACAACTTTGCACTAAAAATTATTAAAAAGGCCTGCACTTTTGGTGAAAATTGCATCTGAATTAGGGAAAATTGGTGAGGATGGGTGGATTAGGGACAGCTTAAGAGATAATTCAATCAACTTGATTATCATCCTTATGTCATTTATTGAAGATAAGACATGGATCTAACAGAACCATTTGATTTTGTGGTTAACTTATTCTTCGAACTAAAGATATAGCCCTTTGAAAATGGCTTGCCATACCTTACGTGCTCTTTTAAAATGTTTGTTTGTTTGTTGTTTGTTTATCTTTATTTCCTTCTCGAAGAAGAGCTTTTTAAAACTGATTATACAAGCAGTTATTTACAAACAATTATTTACAAAACAAATATATTTACATCAGTAATTTGACTATGTTTGCATACTTTGCCACCAAGATGATTATTTGTTCACATATATTTTCATTTAACTGAATGTCAGTATTTGAACCTAGGAGAGTTTCAACTAGAACTTCTTCATCTCCGTTTAATAATTGACAAGATGGGCTCACGTCTAATACATGCGTTATATTATCAAAAAGACGATCTTAATGATTTATCCATATATTTACAAATATCTCTTCATTCTTTAAAATTGTCTCACTTACGTCAAGCTCCATATTCATCTGACAAGACAGGGTTTCAGACAGAATAAAGAATGATCTTCGTCATACGACCCTCGGAGAACTTATGGCATCCATACGAGGATCAATCGCCAGATATTTCCCAACTGGATTCCGCCAACTCTTTGAGGAATGAGTAGTGAGACAGCAGAGGTGTATAGACCATGATGGACACTAGTTTAAACATATATACCTTAGAAACACTGTCAGTAAAATAAAAAGAACAAAAAATTGAGAACATTCAAACAATAAAAGAGATCCTTATTGCCTACTCCACCTAGTATACATGGTGTCAAATAAGTCCCGTCCCGCCTGCTACAGCTAGGACCTTAATAGATGATACCTAGTGTGATATACCATTGGAAAGATCATCCAAAGTTATGTGAACTCACGAACTCTAGAGTATCTTGGATGAAATTCACCTATATTTTCATGGTTTCCTTTATAGTTAGTGTACCCAGACACCCTCCTTAAGCAGCTTTTATTGCGTCAAAATGAAAAGGATATGACCTCAGAAATACGTCAAAGAGTTAATCTTTTTCGCATTCCACTTGTTACAAAAAGTTTTTCTCCACTTTCCTTGCACCTCTTTTTTCCTCACATCTAACCCTATCCAGAAATTGGTTAAATTTATTGCCATATACATATGTTGTCATCTTCAGGTCATTTCACTTTTCTTATACCTGATTCTTAAAATCCTGCCAAATATGCCAAATTGCCATGTTTCTAGGCCTATGGTCACCCCAATAGATACAATGTAAAAAGTTGTTAGATTGATTGACATATGTCAGATACATGTATATGCCAATCAACGTAACTTTGGAAGACCTTTCCAATGATATATCACACTTGATACCATATATCTTGGTTTTGGCTCTAGAGAACGGGACTTATTTGACACCCTGTATATAACATAATTATATAGTCATATTTATTACTTTTGGGGTTTTAAATTATAGATTCAATGTTGGTATGTTACTTAAACGGCTCTAGAACTGTTCGGCGCAGAGATCCTTATTGCCTGTTCCACTTAACCCTGACTCGTGTTACTATGGCAACCATAAATTTTCTTCAAGGACCAATTCATTATCCCACCGAACGAAGTTCGAGATGCATATAGGAAAGCCGTCCGTCCGTCCGTTGTGATATAAACCAAAACACCCAATACGGTGTGTATTAATGATTAACTTTCCTGTTATCTCAAAATCTGCTTGGAACTGTACAATATTGGATTACTATGGGAAATTCCTCAAAAAGAAAATTCTTGGGATTAAGGAAGGGGTACCATTAGGGGTCACACGGTTAACCGTGGCTTGCGGTTACTGCGGTTCATACCTCCACGACGGTTAGCTCGCACACAATCTTGAAAACCGCGGTTCTTGAAGAACCGTGACATTTTCAGTTTCACTTCAGAAAAATAAAAATGTAAACTCGGAATTAAACTCCATTTCAAGCTTTCGTGTAATACCAATTAACTAAACATCGTCTGGAATCGTTAATCATCATGCAATAATGCGAGCCATACCTGATATTTACGACGATCTTCTGATATAGACGGCAGATAACAAAAACAAAAGGAAAATGTTGATAAATTTCACCGGCATATTGACCCGGAAGTGACCTACGCTAAACATTTCGCGCAATCCTATTGGTTGATAAAACAGTATACTGTAAAAAGCCGAACGCCGAATGCATTGAATTTGCGAACGAGTCACGTTCTGTGTATTACGTTCGCCTTTGATCCATGTTGAGTCCTGACAAAGTGTTGAACTTAAGTTATATTTCTAAAGAAAACATTTATTCAGTTTAGTGAAGTACTGTGCTAATTTTGCCAACAGTTGACAAGTTATTTTATGTGTTGAAAAAACTTGAACATCAAACAAGAAGATCAACACAGTGAACATACAGATATTTTGGGAGGGAGGGAGGGAAAAAAGACTGAACAAGCAAACAAACATTGTGTGAAACTGGATACTTACAATACTGAATACAATAAAACACTGTGACACACTTAGTATGTTTTCTGATTTTCGGATCAATTTCATATATTTTTGCTCATTTCACGAGGCCCATGAGAACCGCAATCAGAACCGAACCGAACTGTGAAATACAATCACCGAACCGAACCGTGAAATCTCAAACCGTGTGACCCCTAGGTACCATTAACACAATTTGAGAAATTATTGGCATACATGAAACCTATTTAAAACAGCATTAATATTATTCAAAAGCAATCGTAATAATGATTCACAGCCCTCTGAAGTTTGAAAAATAACAATACCTGGGTGTTAATTCATAGATAATCATTGATCTTTTTAGTTTTTAGGATTATATGGTGCAATCTTGTAGTCAATAAAACTTTTAAAAGTGTTTTGATGTTTTTTAGATGAAACACACAAGCGAAATGGATGAAAAAGCTCCCCAGATTCATTATACAAACAACTCGCGGTCCTTTTCAGCCAGATTGACTGAGAAACAAAAATTTTAGAGTACTTTTGCATGAACTTTATGAACGTAATATTAATCGACTTACCTTTGAGTTCAACTTGTTTTGAGCGTATTAGCCTATACATTATATATAAATCGCGGTAATCGGTATTGGATCATTTAATATTGTGAGTAGTTACGTAAGTATTTATTGTACATACTCTACCCTTTAAAAGATTAAAGACCTACGAGCATGACTTTTATCCGTGATTACTATAAGAATTTCGCACAATTAAATGTATAAATCAATTCTTCTCTTAGCGGGAATTTTGTAGGAAGTCAGCTCTGATCTGATCTGATGCGAAATTCTTAAAAACGGCGCAGAAGTCCTTCATTCCAAAATACCCATTTTTATATAATTTTTTACTACATTTGCACGAAAGCCTTTAATATTTATCCAGAATGGTTAAGATACTCTTATCGGCCTTAAAACATCTATAATCTCAGCTTAAAGCGTCCTGCTTTGTCTTATTTTTTGAATATTTTTTTGTAAACCACCAGAGCTACTAAATAATTACAGAAGATCAATCGCTCCGTATACAGGCTATATACTCTAAATGAAACCCCGCGCATAAGAATAATATTTCGTATTGAGAATTGTACTTCTTTTTTCTTAGCCTTTTTAGACGCTATAAGCTTATACTGGGCAACAATCAAAATCAAACAAATCAGTAATTCTAAGTCAGGTCATTCAGTCTGCAATAATTTTTTTTATAATTTATTATTTTATTATATTCATTTAGGCATATATTTTTTTAAAATAAAACAGCAGCATTCTAATATGTATATATGTATAAAGTATTAAGATTACAAAAAATCGTACAGCCCTCGGTTTAAAAACTTAACTAAAAATTGTTTGACAATTGACAATGAATTACACTAGACGAAACTATTTAATCAGATCCACTATGCTAAAAAACTACTTGATCCGCATTGTATTGGAATGCTGAATGAAGTTTGATTGATAACACCTAGATATTTATATTATGCACTAATTTCCATCGGATCAGCTTTAACCCAGTGGTGTAAACAATAAGCTAAATGAAACCTGGCGCATAAGAAGATTATTTCGAATGAGAAATTACATGTACATGTACATATAACACCCCATGCAGACAGATCGCCTAGAATTAAATTCGTATGATGTAAGACTCGACATTCACCAAGAAACTTGAAATAAATTGTCACCCATGGAGCAAATTAATTTTTACTGCTTAATAAATGGTGAATGACAGTCAAATTAAGCTCTATAAGTATGAGAATAGCATGACGTCTTGATAGTTCAAGGTATCTCGTTTAAAAAGTGATGACGGTGATTGAAATTACAATGTAAAGATAAAACCGCAACGAAATATTTGTAGATTTGTTTGAAAACTACATGTAAGAATAAATCGTATATCGAATTTTCTGAAACAGAAAACATGTATAAATAGTAAGGCCTGCAGGTCCGATTCCCCCTGGTAGCATTAACATTGGTCTCGTGTATATCCTGCAATTAATGTTTGAAAACAACTATTATTCGAACTTATGATCGGACATAAGTATGATGTGTACTTCAAGGTAATAAAGTAACATCATACTTATGTCCGATCATAAGTTCAAATTTCCCGGTGAATGTCGAGTCTTACATCATACGAATGTAATTTTAGGCGATCTGTCTGCATGGGGCCCGAATTAGTCAAATTGACGGAACATGGAAAGACTGATTGCACTTTGCGTTTTTAAGCATGTTGCGTCTTAAATAATTACATTATCACCCTATGTAATTAATAACTTGACACACATTGTAACAGGCTAGCGCTGTAACACGACAAGGGTGAGTTCTTATTTTATGTTACGACCATAAACGAAAAATAATATTGAATATGGTTATCATGTAATACGAGGTAACTAATATATATGTAATTCCATTTAGCATATGTTTAGGGACTAAATTCATGATTTGGCGTGAACTACGCGTATGCTCTAAATTGATTTCATTTATTGTATTTAACGTGTTTGTAGTTATTATATAATAGTTATTGATTTCTTATACTTTATACATCCGTGGTAAACAACTATCAGGGAAGCTGATTATAAAACGTTGTTTTTGCCGTTGGTTGGTACTTGTTTTCAAACTTAAATTGGTATGTATTAAAGCCATGGTTTAAATAAATACATGTATGTTATCGAATCGCATCGAGTACTTGGCAATGAAAATATTATATATTGCCAAACGGGACAAAAAACCGTAGTCTATAATCTAGGATGAAGAAATTCATTTCTTCTTCGTCATAGCTATAACCTAGGATTATTTATTGCCAAATAAGTGAGGTGATTTCAGGCCAGGATATGAATGGAATACAAATTGGAAACTAAAACTTTTTGAAGTCAAATACTAATACCACGTGGGATCGGAATAGAGACATTACACGGATAGGAAAGGTATCTGGTCAACTTGGACCCCAGTTAACTCGGACCCTAGTCAACTCGGACCTACGTAGATATATTCAAAGTATATTGGAAGTGTATTTATCATATGAAGCCATCGATGTGATAGATATTAAGTATATTAACTTAATCAAATTTAATTTAATTCAATTGTAATTCTGAAAAAATATGTTTGTTTATATATCTAATGACTCAAAATCAATTTTCTAAACACTGTTATCCTCCATTGCATTTACATTTTGTTTTTCGAAATACTATTATAATTACACTTTTTTTAATTCACTACAGTTAAGATTTTCTTTAATTTTTTTAGAGATATCTAAGCACACATGCCAAATATAGAGTAGATTTTTGTTTTCACAAATAAATTCAATTTAGCCTGACTTTCACTAGGAAGCCTAATTATGAAATCTTGAATGGCCTAATAAGCATTTAAGTAGGGTGCTGTCATAAAGATAATGTTGAGCTGTTGTTTTAATTCCAATGTCAGTATTAGTGTAGTGTACTTGTGATTTGACCAATATTATTTAGGCTGACTTTCACTAAGAAACCTAATTATGAAATCTTAAATGGCCTAATAAGCATTTAATTAGGTTGCTGTTATAAAGATAATGTTGAGCTGTTGTTTTAATTCCAGTGTCAGTATTTGCGTACTTGTGATTTGACCAATATTATTTAGCCTGACTTTCACTAGGAAGCCTAATTATGAAATCTTGAATGGCCTAATAAGCATTTAATTAGGTTGCTGTTATAAAGATAATGTTGAGCTGTTGTTTTAATTCCAATGTCAGTATAAGTGTACTTGTGATTTGACCAATATTATTTAGCCTGACTTTCACTAGGGAACCTAATTATGAAATCTTGAATGGCCTAATAAGCATTTAATTAGGTTGCTGTCATAAAGATAATGTTGAGCTGTTGTTTTAATTCCAATGTCAGTATTAGTGTACTGTACTTGTGATTTGACCAATATTATTTAGCCTGACTTTCACTAGGAAGCTTAATTATGAAATCTTGAATGGCCTAATAAGCATTTAAGTAGGGTGCTGTCATAAAGATAATGTTGAGCTGTTGTTTTAATTCCAATGTCAGTATTAGTGTACTGTACTTGTGATTTGACCAATATTATTTAGCCTGACTTTCACTAGGAAGCCTAATTATGAAATCTTGAATGGCCTAATAAGCATTTAATTAGGTTGCTGTCATAAAGATAATGTTGAGCTGTTGTTTTAATTCCAGTGTCAGTATTAGTGTACTTGTGATTTGACCAATATTATTTAGCCTGACTTTCACTAGGGAACCTAATTATGAAATCTTGAATGGCCTAATAAGCATTTAATTAGGTTGCTGTCATAAAGATAATGTTGAGCTGTTGTTTTAATTCCAGTGTCAGTATTAGTGTAGTGTACTTGTGATTTGACCAATATTATTTAGCCTGACTTTCACTAGGAAACCTAATTATGAAATCTTGAATGGCCTAATAAGCATTTAATTCGGTTGCTGTCATAAAGATAATGTTGAGCTGTTGTTTTAATTCCAATGACAGTATTAGTGTACTTGTGATTTGACCAATATTATTTCGCCTGACTTTCACTAGGAAGCCTAATTATGAAATCTTGAATGGCCTAATAAGCATTTAATTCGGTTGCTGTCATAAAGAAAATGTTGAGCTGTTGTTTTAATTCCAATGTCAGAATTAGTGTACTTGTGATTTGACCAATATTATTATCAAAACCTATTTTGTAGCATAGGCGTTAGTGGGGGGGGGGGGGGGGGAGTGCGATGGGAGCGATACTCCATAACCAATAAGAATAAAACCATGATAAAGAAGAAGAAAGAGCTTTAAACTGCTTCTTATTTGAAGGTTCTAGCTCATTAATTTTGAAGGAAAATCTGCATCAATTTTTGTAAAATTCAAAATAAATCTTATCTTTTTAGCTTGTTTGTACCATAATCGCACCCCCTGACTGAAAGACTGAAAGCTGGCTACGCCCGTGTGGTCCGAGTTAATTAGGGTTCGAGTTGATTAGAAGCCATATGAAAAGGTCGAAGTATGTCAGATGGCGGTTAAAATACAATAAAAGTACATTCTACCCAGAGGGCTTTAAGTTGAAGGTCAAAACCAATGAATGATTAGTACATTAAGTGTATCTAAAGCTTAAACCACTTTGGCTTACACGTAACCCAAGGCTATCAAATGTGAAACTTTCATCGTAAAGGATTGGTATCGATATGGTGAACTGAATTCAACAACGCTTTTTTCTTAAACCAATTATTGAAATCATTCTGTAAAAAAAACTTGTCCTATATGTAATGTTGTCTGATTAACAACAATTTAATGCGAAAATTGTTTATATATATTTTATAAAACTTTTTTTGTTCACTTTTTTTTCAGTGCAATAGACTAGATGCGAGTAGAAATAATCTTGATTTACGTCATTAAACCTTCATAATTCAGTCAGAGTGATATCATATTTGAAATCTACATGTAAAAGTACATCTAGAAATATGGTTTTGAAAATTGTTTACCAACTTTGAAAAATTTAATTTTTTTTAAAAATGTGACTTCTAGTTCGGGTTGATTCCCCATAGACCCCATATTATAAATCACAAAAAGTGAAATATCTTTACTTGTATTGGGCAGATATCATTTTCTTTTACTGGACATATTTTAATTCGCATAACTATTTGATTCATAAAGGTTATATGAAAACTGAACCACTATAAAGGGAACTTTCTACTATACCCCGTCATGCTATCTGACCCGAACGAGCCACCTGGTGGTGAAACTGGTAACTTCCTACTTGCATTTGCGTTATTGACGATGACGATGTGTAAAATTTTCAGAATTTTTTGACACCAATCCTTTATTTAAAACTAATTTCTTTGTAAATCCAAACTGTTAAACTTTTGCTATAAGAATGACTTAGTGAAAAAGAATAGCAGTTGAGATATTCAAAGGAGGTTTTATACTTAACGATACCGTAGGCTTATTCATTTCGCGATTTACTTATCAGCTTTCCCATGAAAAGTAAAAACATCTTGTATAGTTGATGAATTTTCTCGTACTATCCCGACTCCACGCATTTTATGTTTTGAAGCGGGGGCCATTCGGAAAAAATAATTTTACATTCAACCAATTCAAGCCCGGGTATTCAAGTTACCGTAACACATATTTTTACCAAATATGAAGAAAATCGGTCCACTAGTATTTGAGTTATTCTGAAGAAAGACAGCGACAGACTGACAGACAGAGGGCTTCATATAATTTCTAATCAAATATCCCGTGATCTGCATAATTGGTGAAATAGAGCTAATATTTATAACAAACTTAGCAGTTTGCATCAACAACCGTATTAAACTTTTACAGTTTTGAAGTTCACGAAAACACACAGACAAATACACAACAATATTAAAATTGTATCTAAATGTAGTAGATAAAACTATGAAATGTAATTTTCAAGATTTTAAAGGTAATTCAGTATGGTAAGTGAATATTGTAGATATTTTTTATAAACAAATTAGTTTGGAACAAAACACTATAGTTCCATAATACTAGATAGCAGAGAAAGTATACAAGTAAAGTGCGTACTTAATCTAAACGTGAGATATACCAAAAATTAAAGATAGTATTGGAACTTGTCATATGTTTAAACTAATACTTATGAGTTATGCCTCAGTCACATTTGATCTTCAGCAACCGTACTGCGGCCGTAGCTTACCAAAATAGAGATAAATATGCAGCATAAAATATAGGGATAAGCAGTACGATGTATATTTTCTATATCGATTTTGTGAAGCTACGCCCGCCGTAGAGCAAATGTGACTGAGGCTTTAGTTAAATAATACATATATACCTCGATTTTAAACATACCAAGCGTCGAAAGAAAAGTATGACTCGGCGTATTCATGGATGTAATTGTAGAGAACTATTTAAGAAGTTGCTAACAGAGCAAGATAATTTAATGATGAATACGTTCAAAGACTCAATAGGAGACCCAGGCCAGTAACACAATATAAAATGTTTTGAATGTCGCCAAATTATGATATGAAGTGTTCTGCATGTTATTTCAATATGATGTTGTCAGTAAAAGACGTAGACGAATCGTGGATATATTGATAAAAACGACCTTAAAATAGTTGTTTACTACATTCCTAAATAATAAGTTTCACTTCATTGATCAATTCCAGGATATGCCAAGGGGGGGGGGGGGTTGAAAAATTCCAGGGGGTTCGCTCTTGACAATTTTGGTCGAAAATGGCCAAAATCACTTAAAAAGTGCTAAGGATAGTGAAAAACTACTTGATTTTGAAATAATTTTTGAACAGGGAGGGTGCGAGGGAGGGGGGATTCGCTCGAACCTAACGACCCCCCTGGCTACGGGCCTGTCAAGATGTCCTTAACGAGTGCTGTCGAGTGTCCTTGTTTTCACTTTATTAGACCTCAATACATATACTTGCTTATAAATCTGGAATATCGGTGGAATAGCGTGGAATAAAAAACAGCACATGTGCCTTAGAAAACTGATATGTGGCCACTTTTTCATATTGTTCATATTGTTCTAATAAATTCCAAATTGCCGACTTTTGATTATATGGGCCCATCAAATACAGATGTACAATGTACCAATTCACAGATTTTTGGATTAATTCTAAGATCAATCCCATGATGCATCATTATCATTAATAATGAAAATTATCCGGACAGGATTCCGGATCGTACCAATTCTCGACCCCTGTTTAAATTGAGGCCTATTATTCAATTCATCACAATATCTTATTCATATCATTTGCTTTCAGGCGGCAGCGAACAATTTATAAACTCGGGACAGTGGTTTAAAATGGAAAAATTCGCCTTTATAATGATTCCCGGAATATTACTCTTTCTAAGTCTCGTCATCACATGTGACGCTGTCATAACCAATAAGGTAACACCTGCTTCAGATGAGAACCAATCAACGGTCGAGTTTTACCTGGTCATTGAGCATAAGTTTACCATGACTAAAAAGGTCGGCGAAAGGACGCTCCCTGTTGTTGTTATGCCTAATGGAACCCTTTGGTACAGGACAGCATCGTGTGACGATCTAATACAAATAGATGAAGATGGTAAGCATATTTTTAATCAAAATGTACATGTACAAAGGGCAACATTTGGACATATAACATCCCAACCCCCTCACTAAAATGTATCGTTCCGTAAAACTTGATGCAGTAAAGACTGTAGTACATGTTCGTAGTGTTGTCAGAATTGTTAGTTACAGCAAATTGAAATTTAGTAGACCTGCTCCTAATACCTAAATATTCATATCCAATTGTTTGGTATTACAAAAAAACTGATTCTTTCCATTTGTTCCAGATTCTAATGACATTATATATGCCGATGGACGTTATAAGTTAGTCAATGCAATTAATGGGTCCATACCAGGTCCTCCAATTGTCGTTTATGAGGGACAACAGGTACTTTATGATCCATTATATATTGTTATGTTTAATCCGAACCTTAAATCGAAGAGTGTACTGGCCTTCTTTCTATTTCAAGTCACGCATTGTTTTAACACTTTTTACCAAACACTTCAGTAAAAACGAGTTAATTGTAACTTTTTCAAAAATGTCATTTTTTAAATGCTTGTTTCCAACAACATTAAAAACTACCTGTTTTTAACATCCTTCTTTTCAGTTCTGATTTTAGACTGCATCTCAAATCTTCCATAGATGATCTGATACCATTATTCATAAATTTCAGATAATAGGATTTAGATGGTAAGGGAAAATTTCCTTTCAACGTTTTATACTCTTCTTTCTTTGGTGGCGTTTTAGGTTGTGGTTCACGTGACGAATAAGCTAACAAACGAGGGAACGACGATACACTGGCATGGTATGACGCAAAGGAACTCACCGTGGATGGACGGGGTAGGGTCAGTCTCACAATGCCCCATTAATCCTCATGAAACCTTCACATACAGGTAATGCATCAAAATAACACAAATACCAGGTATTGTACTTTAACAACATATATACTGGGTGATAATATACAGGGTGATAATATACAGGGTGATAATATACAGGTTGATAATATACAGGTGATAATATACAGGTTGATAATATACAGTTTGATAATATACAGTTTGATAATATGCAGGTTGATAATATACAGGGTGATAATAAACAGGTTGATAATATACAGTTTTATAATATACAGGTTGATAATATACAGTTTGATAATATACAGGTTGATAACATACAGGGTGATAATATACAGGTTGATAATATACAGGGTGATAATATACAGGTTGATAATATACTGGTTGATAATATACAGGGTGATAATATACAGGGTGATAATATACAGGTTGATAACATACAGGGTGATAATATACAGGTTGATAATATACAGGTGATAATATACAGGGTGATAATATACAGGGTGATAATATACAGGGTGATAATATACAGGGTGATAATATACAGGGTGATAATATACAGGTGATAATATACAGGGTGATAATATACAGGGTGATATTAGAGGGAGAATTTACAGGGAGTGACAAAATTGCAAGGAACTTGAATTGACCTTCCAATCTATTCCTTACTATCTCAATATAATATTTCCCAAAAGACACACGATATGTCAATTGGTGAAATTGTTTAAGTGTTTAAGTACAAAAATGGGGAAAATGTTTAAATTCTCCCTAATAAGGAAAATGGTAACCACAAAAATAGAAAAATGAATGGATAATTGTTAACATAATTTTCCTTAAATAAAGTATAATCGTTGACCATTTTTAGAAAATAGACTTGAAAAGTAATGATATGAGCAGAACGTATTTGAATTGCCAACATTTTTGCTTGAAAACCATTATGGAAATATAACTTATTTGAGCTAGATATTTTTTTCCAAAAATATCTTTCCTCGTAAAAATTTTAGTTTGCTTTAATATATGAATTTAATCTCCAAAATTAATGAATTAGAGTAATTATAATGTGCGTGATTTTAGGTTCATAGCTGATGACCCAGGAACCCACTGGTACCATGCCCATGTTGGTACGCAGAGGACCGAGGGGATCTACGGGGCACTAACAGTACTGGAAAGGAAAGCCGATGAAAATGAAAGAAGGGTAGGTTGTACATGATTGGCACCAAATCAAAATTTATTTATGAATGGTTAGACTATAGTAACGTGTTTATTTAATCATCCGATTTCTAATCGGATCTGTCGGTCATAAGCAAATACACAAGGAAAGTCTCGACAGTGACCTTTTGATCCTAGAAACCTCCCAGGTACCCTGCAGGTTGTTATATAGAATTATATGATATGATATAATAATCGTAGTAGCCGACTTTGGGATTGCTTTTTAAGGTTAGTTTCAGTATTGGCTCCAAATGGCATCCTTAGTGCATAAAGGGATTCAACTTCTTAGTTAGTTCAACAAGTTAAACCCAATACCACGGCTTTCATTTACACCCCAGTCACATTTCCTACGGCGACCCTGCGGTCTATCATTTCTGCGCCCAGTAACATTTCTACGCTCGCCGTGGAATTTCTGCGCTCTCGTACTTTTGCAGTCACATTTCCCACGGCAGCCGCACGGTGAATTTTAAATTTCTGTTGATAAATGATACTTTTTTCATTTTATTTACATCGGGACAAGTTATAAATGGTATTTATAGTGCTAGGATGTAATATCAAATGCAAAGTGATCGTGAAACATTGACAAATAATGATTCAATCTTGCTGAGCCATTTGATTTCTACGGGGACCTCAGAAATGAACAAATATTATATTATTATATATTATAACTCCGAGTCATAATTTCTACGGCGACCCTGCGGCCTGTAAAAAACTGGATACGCCGTACGGAGGCCGCAAGGCGAGCGTAGTTTTCCTACGCTCGCCGCAGAAATACACTGATTTAATTGATCTGCGGTCAATTTCACGTCCGTGCTACGCTTTCATTGGTAGCAAATTCTCGCTATCAGTTATTATTACTTAAACGCGCATTGGATTCCATGCGTTGCTAAAGGCCACCATTAATTCTTTTTGCATAAAGAGGCGAATAGGAACGGACGTTAAACCTGGGGCGGGCCACAAGATATGTCAGATAAGAAAAATCACCATATGATTGTCCTTCATGTTTTAATTGATAGGGTGGTGATAAGCTTCCCCAGTTTGGTAGCCATCAAAATATGATTGCCTTTTATGTTTTAATTAATAGGGTGGTGATATGTATGTATGTATCTTTTATTCCCGATTTTAAATCGGATTTCATATAAACTAATTACATTGTTTGATTAATACAATAAACATAAAACATAAACATAAACAAGGTGACAACATATTTACAATCTTTAAAAGTAGTATAAAAATTTCAGATTACAAGATCTTCTGCAAGTTTATGCAAATAAGGGTACGAGACTAATCCCTGAGTCTGATATGACTATATGAATGTATCTCAGGATGAGCTCTAAATTATGTATCTCAAATGACTCCGAGGCAGGGCCGCATACAGAAGCACAGATTTCTCTTGGATCGAACGCTGGGTGGTTGTTGGGTAACGCAATGTCAATAATGAGTTTATTCCTCAAGTGATGTTTGGTAGCGATCACCATATGATTGTCCTTTATGTTTCATTTATAGGGCACTGATAGGTTTCCCTTGTTTGGTAGCGATTACCATATGACGATCGTGTAATTTTTAATTTATAGGGCGGTGATAAACTTCTCCTGTTTGGTAGCAATCACCATATGATTGTCCTTTATGCTTTCATTTATAGGGCGGTGATAAGGCTTCCCATATTTGGTAGCGATCACCATATGATTGTCCTTTCTGTTTTAATTGATAGAGCAGTGATAAACTTCCGATGTTTGGTACCGATCACCATATGAATTCCTTTATGTTTCATTTATAGGCCAGTGATAGGTTTCCCTTGTTTGGTAGCGATTACCATATGACGATCGTGTAATTTTTAATTTATGGGGCTGTGATAAACTTCTCCTGTTTGGTAGCAATCACCATATGATTGTCCTTTATGCTTTCATTTATAGGGCGGTGATAAGCTTCCCATATTTGGTAGCGATCACCATATGATTGTCCTTTCTGTTTTAATTGATAGAGCAGTGATAAACTTCCGATGTTTGGTACCGATCACCATATGAATTCTTTTATGTTTCATTTATAGGGCAGTGATAGATTTCCCTTGTTTGGTAGCGATTACCATATGACGATCGTGTAATTTTTAATTTATAGGGCGGTGATAAACTTCTCCTGTTTGGTAGCAATCACCATACGATTGTCCTTTATGCTTTCATTTATAGGGCGGTGATAAACTTCGCATATTTGGTAGCGATCACCATATGATGGTCCTTTATGTTTTAATTTAAAGGGCAGTGATAAACTTCCTGTGTTTGGTAGTGATCGCCATATGATTGTCCTTTGTGTTTTAATTTAAAGGGCAGTGATAAACTTCCTGTGTTTGGTAGTGATCACCATATGATGGTCCTTTGTGTTTTAATTTAAAGGGCAGTGATAAACTTCCTGTGTTTGGTAGTGATCACCATATGATTGTCCTTTGTGTTTTAATTGATAGGGCAGTGATAAACTTCCTGTGTTTGGTAGTGATCACCATATGATTGCCCTTTGTGTTTTAATTTAAAGGGCAGTGATAAACTTCCTTTGTTTGGTAGTGATCACCATATGATTGCCCTTTGTGTTTTAATTTAAAGGGCAGTGATAAACTTCCTGTGTTTGGTAGTGATCACCATATGATTGTCCTTTGTGTTTTTAATTTAAAGGGCAGTGATAAACTTCCTGTGTTTGGTAGTGATCACCATATGATTGTCCTTTGTGTTTTTAATTTAAAGGGCAGTGATAAACTTCCTGTGTTTGGTAGTGATCACCATATGATTGTCCTTTGTGTTTTTAATTTAAAGGGCAGCGATAAACTTCCTGTGTTTGGTAGCGATCACCATATGATGGTCCAGGACTGGTTGAAAGAGAGCTCCATCTATACGGCTTCCTTACTAAAATTTGATGATGTCAGGTATGTTCAATACTTTATAATACCTGTTATGTTTTTATTAAAATCCTCAAAGTGCATACATCATTCTAGGAAAAATAGATATTACGATGTCATATTATTTAAATATTTTTATGGTTATCAATTTTGTAATTTGGTAAAAGTTTCCAAATTTTGGGTTGCTACTAGATTATAAGGAAAATAACGGTAGGCCTATTACAGGCATCCTGGACTTTCACTAACGCGATCATCAGTTCCGACCTCGCAAACCACGGTTCTCACAACGCAAATATCGATTCTTTCGGGAGAGAGGAACTGGTGGTTCGCGACTTAAGGATCGATATTTGGGTTTGGGTGGAAGAAACAAAGTTGCGAGGTCGGAACCGATGATTGCACTAGTGGAAGTCTAGGAGGCCTGAATTGTACATGTTAATTACAATTTTGTAGCCCCCTATATAGAAATCTGCAAAATGAAAACGCCTTTCTTCTTGTTTTAGCTTTGCAACTGGTTTTGACAACCCACACTGCTTCGATTCATCCAAACAGGTAGATGGGATAGATGCTGGTGTCTTGCCATTTGAAGCAGGAATAATAAACGGGAAAGGTACGTTACAACTAGTCCTAAAATCATTATCTCACATCTGTGATCAACATCAATCATAATCCATTTGATTTCATCGAATTATACCATTCTTTCGTTGCCCCTCTTTTTCTCTTTCTTTCTTTCTTTCTTTTTTTCTTTCTCTCTTTATTTCAAAATCTTTCTCTTTCTTTCTTTCATTCTTTCTTTTTTTCTTTCTTTCTTTCTTTCTTTCCTTATTTAATCGTTCATTATTTCTTGACTGTATATCAATAAAAATGAATGAAAGCAGGTGTATGTCCGGATGATTAAATAAACAAGAAATCAGTTTAAAATCTTCATTTCCCTGGTTTTAATTCGATTTACTTTTATTATACGATATTAACTATATTATATTATATTATATTATATTATATTATATTATATTATATTATATTATATTATATTATATTATATCATATCATATTATATTATATTATATTATATTATATTATATTACATTACATTATATACTATATTATATTATATTATATTATATCATACTATATCCATACCAAGGTTTATTATATTAAAACTTCAGGTAACCAGCACATCATCCCACCTGGCAAAACTATCAAGGAAGGTCTACCCATGGAAACATTTGTTGTGGAAAATCCAGCACCTGATGGAGTTGCAATGCGATTCCGCCTCGTGAATGCAGCTATGCATTTCGCCTTCAGAGTGTCCATTGATCATCATCCTCTGAATATTATTGCTACTGACGGTAACCATGTGAATACAATGACAGTAGAGTCTGTCATTATATATGGGGGTGAAAGATATGATTTCTGGATCAATGCAACTGATCCACTTGGTACTGGAGTATATTGTATACGATTCGAAACTCTAGAGAGAGAAAGAACTGGCAAGGTAGTGAATATGTTTTCAATCTTAACAATATAGAGCATTCGTCTTTTGTCTTTTGCTAATTTGAAAAAAAAATAAACTGTACAATTCACGGAAACCTCATTAGCAGATAAAGCTAAAAATCTAAATTAAGCCACTAAACATTCCAAAATGACTATAGAGTCAATAGAGTCAGATAAACACATGGAATTAAAATGCAAACATGAAATGCCAAAAAAACACAAGGGTACAATCATGTCAATGTCGCAAGTGTAGGTCAAATCTACAAACTAAAATCCTAACCTTAGAAAGCCCTAGTCATATTTGTGACTATTTACTTACTTTACTGCAACCCCTGACCACAACCAAGTGAACTGTCCTTATAAAATTTATATTTCAGCGTCCCAAAGCAACCTTTTTTAGACTTGTTTTCTGTTCCTTTGTCTAGTACACAAAGAACACACCTTGCCGTCAATGAGAACTCAAAATGTCAATAATACAAAATAAATTTGTTTTCAGAGAATAAAACCAGGAAAGGTTCATGGATTACTGAGATATCAAAATGTTAAACCAAACAGAATCAATGAATTCAAAGTATGCAATGAGAGCAGAAACACGTGTACAGCTGAAAAACCATGTCTAGTTTTGAACTGCCCATATAGGTACAGTATATAAGGGTTATGCACTGGGAGGTTTGGGATGCAGGGAATATCCCGAGGGATATACAATATATCTTCCCGAGGGACCGAGGGAAGATGTATTGTATATCCCAAGGGATATTCCATGTATCCAAACCGACCGTGCATAACTGGTGTATCTCATACTTTTTTTAAACGTTTTAAAACTTTTGAAAAATTCCCGGGAGCGGGATGGATATATTATATCTGCCCGCATTTGGCCTGGAGCTCCTCAGATATGATATATATTCCCGAGTGATATCTACCCCAAACCCACTTAAGTATGAGATACATAAATATATATTATATTTACATGTTACATATTTACATATTTACACACGTGTTCAAGTGTTAACATGTGTATTTTATTTTATAAATCATAGAGTGAAATTAAGAAAAGCATAGAAAATGTTTATTCAATAGTTGAATACAGTTACTTTGATAATAGTTAATAGTTACTATGAAAATATTACTATGAATATAGAAAATAGTTACTATAATATATCACATTTTAAAGGATATTTGGCATATGCTTTTGGTACATTTTTACATTAAATTTAAAGTAATTTTCAATCTTCTTTCTACATTTGTATTTCTTATCTTTTCTCTAGGTTTTATCCTGTAGAAGAACATACGATGTGTATTCCTCTCACAGACCTTAGATCTCCATTGATGGAACCCACATACAGCTCAGACCCTGATCATTTCACTGAAATGTTTTTAAATTATCATTTCTCTGGCTTTAATACCCTCCGCCAATGGTTCCCTACAGTGAATGGAAGGAGACACCAACCATTCATCCGACCACCCCAGGTAATTCCTATGATGATGGTCATATATGGCATGCAATGCAGAGGGTTGTTCTCTATACATTACAGTGATACAACATTACATTCTCACTAAGGAGCAAAAAAAGTACAGTATTAACTCAGAAAAAGATGTACAGGAAATAAGCAGCTGATTTATACAATATGTATCAGGCCCGTAGCCAGGATTTGCCAAGGGGGGGGGGGAGGGTCACTTTTTGAAAAACTCTAGGGGAGGTTCACTTGTAACAGTTTTGGTCCAAAAATGGCCCAAATCACTTTAAAAGTGTACAGAGTGGTGAAAAACTGCATGATTTTGAAAGATTTTTTGGCTGGGGGGGGGGGGGGTCGCTCAAACCCATCGAACCCCCCCCCCCCCTCCCTGGCTACGGGCCTCTGTATGATAGTGATTCTGCTTTTATTCTTCAGGTGTACCCAAAATCACTTGATTCAAGGCACGGCATTTGTAAACTAGGAAAAACTAATCCTGATGTAGAAGAGTGTACTCACATGGTTGAGCTTCCTTTGGGAAACACTATACAATTAGTTATAATGACGACAATATCACCAGCAATCAGTAAGTCAGAGTTTTCATAATATGTTTCCATCATGCCACAATTTATAACAGTATAAAAGGCATTGAAAGCCAGGATGCCAAAAAGGGGACACCAGAAGAAGTGATAAGGTTAAATAATTATTTGCCATTTTGGCTACTGTCGATTATTGATTCATAATAATGATGACTCCCTACTAGGCCATACATGTCTTTTATGAAACTATCACACGATTTAGACAATTTTTAACTTTTCTCATTCAAAATCCATCTTTGATATGAATAGTGGCGTTTTACTCAACTGATGAACTTCAAGGTACCAGCAAAATGAAATTAACCCTAATTGTTTATATACAATCAAATAATGTTATATTGAAGAAATGAAAGAAACGACACATTGCTCTATCGAGTGACCTACTTTGCCTTCCATGATCTCAATGGCAAATATCAATTTATAGAAATCTGGTACCAAAATTTACAAAGATATGCAGCTTGTAAAACAAGTGCATACAAGTAAAAGATGGAACATTTAAGAGAAAGATCAACTTGAAAAACGTCAGTGTCTTAAAACTGCAATTCACATATTTAATGACTTCAATTTCCACTGGAATATTTCTTCAAGCTTCAATAATTACAGAACATAAGGTTTTCTCCAAGTCTGTTGATTCATTAAGTTACATATGATTCTCAATTAAAAATATCCTTTAGATACCCTTAAGTATTATTCATTTTGTATCCTTTTCTTTCATGGATAATGCACACGGAATAAGATTTGCTTCATAAGAAATTGTGAGACAAAATGTTGTCACAGGTGGTAACTGTAGTAACAATGACATTCTCACTCTTTATTTAAATCATTTCCAGTAAGATCAATCTTATTTTCAATATTTCCGACACTATTGCAACATGCTACATCTTAATTCCAGATGGAGTTCTTAATGGAAATTCACATCCAATTCACATACATGGGCATCGCTTCCAAGTGATCAAAGTAGGCTGGCCGGAATACAATAATACGACTGGGAGATACATGCATCAAAATAGTGACTTCGAATGTCCATCAGGCTTATGTCACGATGATACAAAGTGGAGGGACCCAAGCTGGTATAATGGAAGCATTCCTGGTATCGTGAATCGGGGAGCCCCTCTTAAGGATACTGTTGTTGTACCTGCAGGGGGATATGTCGTTATCCGATTCAAAGCAGACAATCCAGGTAGGATATAGCTTGTGTACTAACTAATGGTCACACACATACCTGGTAGAAGACTTTTGGCCATTTTGATACTCATTACACCCGTGTCTTTTTCAACAAGAAATTAAGATGACATAGTTTCATCATGATAATTTTGGGATTTGCATAATGCTTGCCAGTTATAGATACAACACACAAAAATAATCACAAAGCCAAATGAACCATACATACACGAACTCTTAAAACCAAAAGGGAAATCAGAAAAAATACTGTACACTGTAATATAAAACAATAACTTGTAAAAACACTACAAAGAATCAACTCCATCTATTGAATTCAGGTTTCTGGTATTCTCATTGTCACATCGAGTTTCACAATGGCGAAGGAATGGGGATTATCTTTAAAGAAGGAGCCATTTCAGACATGAATGCTGCCCCGCCTGGTATGCAAAGATGTGGAGATTTTAGTGTCTCTGAAGATGCATTCAACGAGCTGATGGCTAAGCCTATTCAAACAGGTATGTCAAATTATATACTAGATATGTTATTGTCTGACGAATCAATATCCCAGATGCGAGTAGAAATAATCGTGATTTACGTCATTAAAATTCACTATTCAGTCAAATTGATGTCATATTTGGAATCTACATGTAAAATTACATTTAAATATGTGGTTTTGAAAAGAGTTTATCAACTTTGACAATTTAATTTTCTTTAAAAATATGACTTCTAGGTTGGGGAGATTCCCCATAGACCCCATGTTGTAAAACCACAAAAAGTGAAATATCTTTTCTTGTGTTGGGCAGATAATATTTTCTTTTACTGGACATATTTTAATTTGTATAACTATCAGATACATAAGGGTAAAACTGATGCATATTCAAATTTAAGGGAATTTTGTATTACCCTGCCATGTTAATTCCCCCGAATCAGCCACCTGGTGGCGAAACTGGTAACTACCTACTCGCATCTGAGTCATTATAAAAGAGAAATCGAATATGTGCAGGTGATTCATTTCCATTGGTCCTGTAGTTTTAGATTGTACTATTGTTTCCTGATTTGTTATGGCACGGTTTATTTAGTCTAAGATATAATATTAGATTTCTAGTTAGCAAGTGCAATTCATTGTTTATATTCTGACAGACTATGAGTATAAATGATACTAAAAATATATATATGCATACCGCTTGTACTATATATTGTCCATTTCTATATAATAAAGTACATGTCCTATAAGTAAAGTATATTATGAACTATGTATTGTGGCAAATAAACACAGGCCGAGAAGGACTAGAACAAATGTCAGTTGTACTATCACACTTTTTAAATTATAGAATAGCTTCAAAAATACCCTGTAGTGCACAACTTCCAAAAGCATATGACAAACTCTAGTCTATGAGTGGAGTGATATCTTAACCCATTTCTTATGGCTCTACGGGTTAATCAGTATACACAGCCATGTATATATAATTATTTGCCTTAATAAATAAGCATAAACACAATTTTCATTCACATATATTTGTTGTACTTATAGGACAAGCAGACACAACTAGGGGAGATTTTGAAAATGAAAAGCGGTACAATGGAGTACTTGTAGTAGCAATGATGGCTGTCTCTGCCCTTCTTGTCTTATGTATCATATATCTTACACATAAAATATGTGTCAGGAAAATAAAAGAACAGGGTTATCAAAGGATTTCATCAGATGATGCAAGTTCTAGACAACACATTGATTTTGATAGGACAAATAACAGACCCTACAAATATTACCATGAATGAAAGTTGCATCAATTATCCTTAAACCATATTAGGGAGATACTGTACACAGATTTTGATGTTGTATAGACAGGACTTGAGCTAGGGAATTCGGAGCAACTCATCAAATGCATTATGAACATGATTGATATACTTCCTTATTAATCAGACATGATGTAATGTAAAGTAACATGCCAATAGCCAGCAGGCCCCTGAGCTCAGTATTTTGTTTTATTGCATGTGTATAATATGTAGACTATTTTGTATACTTTATTTGATGTACCTGAGTGATGCATGCTGGGACTCTAATGGATATACAGCTTTTCGGAGACATGTTATATATTTTTAAGGTCAGTCTGTACGATCGGACTTTTGATGCAATCCTCAAGAGAGTCATATGTAATTTTCCAATATCAATCAGATCAAATAAGTGTAAAGAATATTTTTTTCATAAAATGTATAAAAATAAGAAAATCTATTGTCACTGAATTTTTCTTGTTTTTTATACATTTTATAAAAAGAATTTCATTACATTCTTTTCTAGGTAGACCTACACAGTGCACTCTTTGTGCAAAACTGAAAGATGTAGACAATGTGGGGAAAGAGTGAAAGTGACTCTGTAGAGGATTGCATCAAAATTTCGAACATGCAGGGCAACCTTAACCAAAGTATTCAGCACAAGGCTTAAGATTCACAAACTCAAATAATGGCTCGAGACTTATACAATTATTTTTAAGAATGTATATATTTATTTTATTTTATCATGTCTATAATATGTATACATTATTTTATATCACCTTATATAACTTATTGCTTGTTTCAGTCAGATTGGTATATAATTTTGAAACATTATATACATTCAGCATGACTATTGTTTGCATTATATGTTTTTGTATTTTTATTAATCAGGACTAATCAAAGATTTCAAAAAGGCCTAAGTTTAGCTTTAATGTTCTGTTGAAGAACCCCTATTCTTACAATTGAAAATAGATTCTATCAATTCTATCCCACATGAAGTCCTCTGAGGTCCTCTGAGAAAATGAGGATTTCAGCAAGGGTGCATTGACTCACCATGGTGGCATATTTGATAGTCCCCCTTCATTTTTCACATCACAACCTTCGGCACACGCTGTTATCAGTCAGAATGATAATTGTATTTTTCCACTAAGATCAACTCTGTATTATTTAATGACATTTGTAATGTGATGTACTTGGTGATATAGAAATATTTTCGCACTTCATTTCATTTTATTACTCCCATAGTGCATCATTATGCACATATATGTGTTGTACTTATAGGACAAATAGACACAACTCAAGAAGATTTTGAAAACGCGAAGCAATACAATGTTGTACTAGTAGTGGCTTTAGGGACTGCCTCTGCCTTTCTTGTCTTATGTCTCATATATGTGTCTATCAGGCAGATAAAAAATTCAAAGGATCTAGACCACATGTAACTTGTCCTAAACATACTACCTTGAATGAATATTGTATCCATTATCATGCTATCAATATGGACAAATGTTTTATCAACTTTAGGCAGAAATTTCATTTATTATAGGCAGGACTCGAGCAAAAAATTTGATGATATTGTCAAAATTGTAATATCATGTCCCATTGCAAATAATAATTCTTATATCTTTATTTGTTTTCAAAAACATGTGATATATTCTTTAACTAAAATATTCAGTTCAAGGCACAAGACACACATCTTCTTACTCAAATAATAGAAGAGGGACTTTTGTAAATGCTGTTTAGATTTGATTAGTTTTATTTTATCATATTTATTATACATTATTGTATATAGCGCTATTCTTTAATTGCTTGTTTCAGTCAGATTGGTCTTTTTAATGATATACGAGGCCCGATCAGAGTTTCTTACCAAGTGCTCTCATTTTTTGTTTCTTGAGATTTCAACATTGCTTGTGAAATGACATAAATTAAAAAGTAGGTTATGCTCAGCTACAAAATACAGCTGCTCCACCCTTCCATGAATTTGGTTACTATGGCAACCTCTAAGTCAACAGTAAACATCGATTACCCAAAATAATATGTGTAAACTAAAGGTAAATGGTGTACGTATATTCTTTAAAAAATGCAGGTTAAAATGTCAAGAAATAAAAAAATGAGAGCATTTGGTAAGAAACCTTCTGATCGGGCCTCGTACATATAGTATAGCTATATCAAAAGTATATGTATTTTTATAAATATAATGCTTATAAAGATTTAGTCAGGTATCAGACATTTTAAAATGTATACTGTATAGTTTTTTTTCTTATTTTGTAAATGGTCTATATCACGACCTGTAAAGCTGGATTTGGTCAGATATGATACTTATTAATTTGTACTATTAAATCATTTTAGGGCCAATTATTTTGGCTTATGTGATTTAAAACCATGAATTCGAACCATGAATGTCTTATATTCTAGTTTTACATTATACAGGATACAAAATATATATTTTATTGTTTAAAGGGATGGTGTGAACTGTAATCTGCAACAGTTAACCATTAGTTCACTGTAATCTGCCACAGTTAACCATTAGTTCACATTTGTATGATATTAATACTGTATGCTTATATTTTAATACATGATTGTCTCCGATCTTAATTTTTCACATTATAACTCTGGGTTCGTGCTGCCGTCAGTCAGAATTGTAATTGCACAAATTTTGCGTTTTTGCACCCACATTAACTTGTAACATTTACAAACCTTTGTAATGTGATACTTTCGATGATATAATAATAAACACATTATTTTTACATTTGGTTTTGTTTTCTTAGTAACTCTATTGACAAAAATATTTACATCACGTTTTTGACGCCCCCCTCCCAAAAAACACATTTAGATACATACGTATAAGTCATTTGGCGTCAAAATTAAGTTCTTCAAGCTGACACCCCCTCTCCACTTATTACACCCACCTATAAATTATACCATTACAACAACACATCCATCTCTAACCATACGCCACGTCATTAAATTCATTGATAAGTGACTTCCCCAGTTTTAACCAACTGACGAAGCGACACCTTAACATTAAAACCAAAATTCTATATTCCTTTTCACTCGGGAAACAAATCAGCGTGTATTGAATTAAAAGATGATAGAAAATTAAAAATTGAAAGTTAATTAATTACACACTCCTATACATGTATTATGCCTGTCCTATTGGCCCTAAAGTGCGAAAGCTAGTATAAAACCCGTAATTAATTTCGACAAAGTATCATTTCGATTTGCACAATTGAAGTGAACAAACAGGGTAAGTCTTACAATTAATATAATCACATTCATGTCTTTCAATTGAGGATTTGAAATACATTGCATCATTTACCCCACATGACCAAATGATGTTGAAATTAAATATGAGTGAATTGGAGACCTTTGCAGATTTTAAAAAAAGTAGTTGCGTATTCAAAACTCATATTACAAGACATTTATAACCGAAACATTATTAAAAATCAAATATAAAAAATATTGTGGGAGCAATGATATCCGTTGAAATACAATAATTAAGTAATGCAGATATTATTTTATCGTTCAACAATATTTTAAACCTAAGACGGTAAAAATATTAAAACTAGTTAAACGTAATAACCATTGTTTCAGGATCATGTTGAGATTCGCATGCCTCTTGGCCCTCGTTGCCATAGCAATTGCTGCCCCTCACCACGCACACAGCTCCCACGTCCATCACGATGAGCATCGTAAGTAAAGTTTCACACTTCTCATTAATTACTAATAATATGATGTAAAATGATTGATACGATTCCTCTCTCACCTTGAACACCAGGCTTTAGAAGAAATTATGATCTTGGACGACTGTCTCAAATGTTCCCACTGTATAATTTAAAAGTTTTGACATTTTACGATGTATTCTATAGATGATGATCACCACCATGATGATGAGAACCGTGACGGCGTCCCTGATTCTCTTGACCTGAACCGTGATGGCAAGATTGACCACCACCATCATGATCACCATGTCAACAACGATCACCACGCTCATAGTCATCACGGACAATCTGCCCACCACGGAGACTCTGCCCACCATGGACACTCTGCCCACCACGGAGACTCTGCCCATCACGGACACTCTGCCCATCACGGACACTCTGCCCACCACGGAGACTCTGCCCACCATGGACACTCTGCCCATCACGGACACTCTGCCCATCACGGACACTCTGCCCACCATGGACACTCTGCCCATCACGGACACTCTGCCCATCATGGACACTCTGCCCATCACGGACACTCTGCCCACCACGGACACTCTGCCCATCATGCACACTCTGCCCACCATGGACACTCTGCCCATCACGGACACTCTGCCCATCACGAACACCACGCCGTTTCCCACCATGACGATCATCGTAAGTTACATCACATTGAGATATTCGTTATATTGAAATCCAGGTGTTGTCTTTTCTTGCTGAAACTTGGTATTTATATGAGAGTGCATATTAATTGTAAAGAAAACGCAAAACAATATAAAACGAAATTATTTTATTTCTATGTATTCTAGATGATGATCAACACCATGATGATGAGAACCGTGATGGCGTACCTGATTCTCTTGACTTGAACCGTGATGGCAAGATTGACCACCACCATCATGATCACCATGACAGCCACGGACACGTTGCCCACCATGGACACTCTGCCAATCACGGACACTCTGCCCACAAGGGACATTCTGCCCATCATGGACACTCCGCCCATCACGGACACTCTGCCCATCACGGACATTCTGCCCATCAGGGACATTCTGCCCATCATGGACACTCCGCCAACCACAATTCTCACGCTCATGGACACTCTGCCCACGTCCACGAACACCACGGTCACCATGACTACACTCCTTTCGGAAATGGATACCCTTATCAAAATGTTGGACCAAACGGAGCCGTCATCAACTCCCCATCTGGTTTGATCATCGGTGACAATGGTGGTTACGTCGATGCCCAGACAGGACATGTTGTCGGACCCAGCGGTGAAGTTGCTGGCCATGGACACAGACACTCTGCCCACCATGGACACTCTGCTCACCATGATTCTCACGCCCATGGACACTCTGCCCACCACGATTCTCACGCCCATGGACACTCTACCCACCACGGCCACAATGACCACCACGGACACTCTGCCCATCATGGACACCACGCCCACCACAGCCACCATGATTACACTCCTTTCGGAAATGGATACCCCCACCACAACGTTGGACCAAATGGTGCCGTCGTCAACTCTCCATCCGGTTTGATCGTCGGTGACAATGGTGGTTACGTCGATTCCCAGAGCGGTCATATTGTTGGACCAAACGGCCATGTTTCCCCCCATTCTCACCATCATGGTCATCATTATTAACAAACGTAAGTATAGTAAATTATGGTCAAAACTCAAGTTCTATTCCCAACAAATTATGCAACACATTTCAATAAATGTCAAATAATTTAAAATAGTGAAATATAGAAATAATGAAATGAGAATAGGTATCATTTGTGATTTGTACAATAATTAAATTGTTTTACATTCAATCAACAAAATAAATAACCATACTTAATAAGGATATTACTTCCAGAGAAAACGATTTCATATTTCACATCCTATGACATTACTAATATTGTTTTATATGGTTTTTCAGTTATGAGGGACAAGTAGAAATATATGGAACACCAGATAGCTCAGGCCATTCTATATCATCTACAAAACTTCATATATTTGCTGTAAATAAGATCTTTATGGAAATGTAATACACAAATAAATTATTTTATAGAATAAACTATAAATAATGATGTTTTCTGTCATTTTATTTCTTTCATGCAATCACATAAAGATCACACAATTAATTAATTTCTTGGAATTATATTATCCTATCTGTCTTCGTTAATATTTTGTGAAAACAACATAATATTAACCCTGGCGACATGATACTTTCAAGGTAACCCGATTATTACATTCATTTGATTCCATGCCGCTTAGTTATTCACTTAAACGCCTAACAGAAAACCACATTTGTTATATGCCTATTCTGGAAATATCAGAAACTGATATTGGATGATGAGTTGGTGATACGATGACTTTTCCCGTGAAATAACTTTTATTAACAGAATACAACTTTAGATGCTCAATTTAGTAAAATTAGATGACAGAGATCATTTCTAAACATTTTAAAACAATTTTTGTGTGAATTGAATGAAAATTGTTCAAATAAGAGCAATTTTAATGATCAATTTTGTGACGGATTTTCTCGTCACTCCTGGGTTTCAATGTAATTTCTGAGGTGACGAGGAAGCTTGTCAATCCAGGTAGTCAAGAGGTTAAAGGAAAAGTAACAATCAATCATTCTGAGGAACTGTCAAAATGGCGTCTACTGGTTTATGTTATGTTGATAAATTGAAACAATAATGGTCAGGTCTGAGGACATGTATTTCTTATTGTTTGACCTACTCTATTGTAACCAGCATCACTATTGAAGTCAGAATCTAAACAGATACTGTGCTTTCCTTTAGAAGTCTAATTCAACGAGATTTGGTAAATGAATAGCTACAGCGTTTGTCAAGTTTGGGTAACGCTTGATGAAGTAGGTCCTGGAGCAGTTCTCTTTTGGCCACATATTCCGAGGATCTTCCAACAGAAATTCCTGTACCCATCACTAAAAGCTTTATTACTGAATCCGTACACAAAGCAATTAACGCCTGATCCATTGGCGTGCATGAGCTGAACAACCAATGTCCAGATCACAGTCGGAAAAATATCACCAACGTCGATGATAAGTGCTAGACCATATGGTAAGTTCATCAACAGAAATACAACAAATAGACCAAACAAGACTTTGGCCAGTTTGATTTCTTTGGCCATGTTCGTCTGTTTTCCATTTTTATTCTGATCAGAAACTTTTTTCTTCGATGTGTATACCCTGACAAAGATGAGTACATAAGCGACGGTCACGATCCCAACAGGAAAAAATACTCCTAGAAGAAAGAAAACGGTGAACAGTCGATTAGCGTCTCTATCCCATATACATCCCAGCATTTTCTTATCGTATGTGAATTTTCCAAACCCATTAAAAGCGCCAATATTTAGCCAACAACTATAGACCCACATCACGATGATCATGATTGCGGTGTTTAGTTTAGTGTAAATCTTATGATAAATTGACTTTCTGCATATGCAAACATAGCGGTTCACGGCGATTGCAGCAACGGTGGCTAATGAGCATAAACACGCGCTCAAGCAGAAGAAACTCACAATATCACACAGCGCTTTACGGTCCAAGAACCACTTTTCTCCCAAAAATGCTCCCGCTATGAAAAAGGCGTTCACCCAACTGGCCAGGATAATATCGCAGATTGCGAGGTTCACAACGAATACATTCGCTACTGTCCGCAAGCCTTTGGTAACACACACTGCTCCAATAATCAGAACATTCCCAAAGAGTCCTATAGTTGTGAGAACAAGCAGGATGGCTATAAGGATGGATGTCTCTGCAGGATGAGATTGCAGATAGTCGACGAAAACTTCCGGAGTACTTGTTCCCGTCATCATGATTTCAACGTGGTTCTTTTTTATAACTAAATCACTAGTGTCGGCATCACCTCTCTTTTATAGTCGATCTTCTTTTAGCGAAATCTAATTAAAAACATCCGATTCTTTATATTGTTAAGGCTAGGTCATTTTGACATTATTAGCCATCTTTACTGAATGGATGAGCATCTGAAATTAAGATCATAAAATTACTTTGGTAATCAAGTTGATGTTTTCTTGTTGATCGATTTCACAAAATATAAATTGCATCAGAAACCAAATTTTATCTGATGTATCTCTAAGTTGGTGTATCCATACCCGCGACATGTCTTCATCAAGAACGTCCCAATCAATAGAGTAAATAACTTGTATTTGCCGGTAACACATGAACGTTCGACTTATAGTGATTGGAAATGTTCACGTGTCAACCACAATTTGCCGAATTAGATCGTCTCAAGTGTATCCTCATAAATAATAGAGAGCTTTCGATATGTTTTTTAGCCAAACTTATACTGCAACTTTAACTTTTAAACGACGTAAACACCACTGGGGAGGAAAGTTTCTCGAAGAAACCAGGAAAGTACATTTCGTTAGAACAATTTTTCTCGTTTCCTAATTCATTTGTGAATATCCCAGCACCAATGACAGTTTTAATTTCTAATCATTTTGAGACCGGAACTCATGAAGTACATACCTAACAAATATTTTGTTGTAATTTGAAGGATGAAAGCACCCTATCTTCATTTCCAGAGTTCCTCCCCAGTGCTATACCTGCGTATACGTATTCCAAATAACTAACAAATATATCGAAAGCTCTCCAATATGCATGATTTCTTCGTTCTCTCTCTTTGACTTCCAAAACACGTCGACTATACGAGATGAATTCAGTTGCATTGAAACATTCTGAAACATCTTCCCCTGATTGCAGATTCACTGCCACAAGAACTCCCGTATACGTACTATCCCCCAACAGTATGATCTGATTGTAAGCATGAACAATGCCCGTATAGATCCTATACAATACTTATAGAAGTTATGACAACCATGTCAATTAGCTTCATTTTTCGCAGGTCGTGTTCCAATTAGCAATGATTAGTCTATTGTTTATTACCTATTATATAGATTATCATAGCATAGGATTCTGACCTGTACAATCTCGGCAATATATGTTACGATATAATTCTCATGACTACGAGGGTTGTCCCAGAAGTAATGTACTATATGGTCTAACTTTATTAATACTAGTGCATTACTTCTGGGACAACCCTCGTACATCTATTAATGATAATTAACCCACTAGAGACCTACATTGTAGACCTTGCTATTGTACAGGATGGGCCAAAAAACCGACTATATTTTCAATTTGCTCAAATTATCCACTGCGAATTTCAAAATTGTGGGATTGGAGGAAAATTTGTATTTTTGCACTTTCGAAAGAGGCAAATCAGTACAAGTTTAGTGCAAAATTCACCCATAATAATTATAATATTAACTATTACTCTTAAATAAATTGATGATGATTCAGTCAAGCATATTGAGTGCAGTTGTGACTGCAATAAAGAGGAAACATTTGGAATTTTCACTTTTTGAATTTTGCCTGGTGTCAATTTTAGCCTTTAACTTCACAAGAGAAGGACGTTTTTTAAATCGGAAGGTATCATATTGTTAGGAAATGATTTCTCATTGAAATAATATGTAATACATGGCATATGGTTTAACATATATCATATAATATTCATCTTTATACTTGTGAAATATTTCTTTTGTAACTCTCAGTTGCTATAAGAGCACCTTAAAAGTGAGATGTTTATTGACCGGAATTAGTAACCCGTACGTATCTTGAATTTTCTTTTGAATTTTTACATATACTTCATTACTGTTGGAATAGCTATTGACGCATTCGTTTTTTATTCCACATGTAGTTTCTCGAGAGGTTATACAATTTACTTCATTAAGTAAAACGTTGACCAAGTTAATAACATTTTGACCTTTTTTCTTCTCGTTACAATACAAAGATTTTAACATTGATATATGTGCATACTTTCCCATCTCAAATGCATTGCGTTTACTATTATCTTAATAGTCCAGCGTTGATGTTTTGGAGATTAACTTTCATAATTAACAAATGCAACTGAAAGTTTTCAATTATGATAGGCGGGTTAAAGAATGATATATCGCAAATTGATACAAATTGTCTAAACATTTTTTTTGTCAAATACACTATTTGTAGAATAAACTTCATATCATATTATGGAAAACGAGTATGTCAAAATAAAAAAATAAATAAATAGGGGTTGAGTTTCTTGGGGTGACGATTTACAGGGTTGGGTTGACTTAGGGCTAAGATGACCTGGAAGCAATCACGCGAAGATCACAAAATTAATCATTTTTGGAATTATATGATACTATCTGTCTTCATTAATATGTTGAGTAAACATCGTTTCCCCAACGACCTGATACTTTTCAAGAAACCTAGTAATAACATTGATTAAGTTCCGCTGGCTTATTTGTTTCATTATAAAATTGTCACATCTATCAGACCTAACAGAAAACCACATTCGTTATACAAGGTGGGCAAAAAAGTAACCCAAACAAATCGTAATAACTCAGTCATCCGGAATGGATTTTAAGTTATATTTCGAAATCTTAAATCTTGTTCAACGTTCTTTATTTCCACCAATTTTCACTGGTCTTGTTCCAAATGGTGACTATTTTATGATCATTCTACAAAACATGCTCAAAATGTGGATCTTGTCTTTAGAGGGAGACATGAATGTATCAGGTGAAGTTTTCTGACTACACGCTCACAGATATCTTGTGTAATAGCTCTCATTTTCCTTTTAATATATTTTTTAACTCTCTCATGCTTTTAGGGTTGTTAGTGTACACATTCTCTTTGTCCCGGTGATAAAAATTCTTGGGTTCAAATTGAGTGGTTTTGGCATGTTTTGACCATATTTTGTAGAAACCGAAATAGAGTTAACACACATTGGCAGCCACAACCCACCACCACTAGCCATAAGTTAGATGCATACATATGCTATCAATATGTATAGTTATTATTGAATTTTCATTTTTGTCACTAAAACAACTTCATACACTTGTTAAAGTGTCAGTTGATGTATAATTTATGTATCATAGTTTGACAATAAAGTATGTAGCTAACTAAAAAACTAAAAAAAAAAAACAAGGTTCAATTGTACAGATAGTGACTGCCATTGAGGGACATTCGTTCAAATATTTTTCAGAGATAATATCCTGTCCACTTACATGTTCCCGAGATTGCAGGGGAATATTTTTACACTTTTCCCCGAAAATGTGGCAGTCACTATTTGTTTCATTATATACCCAATGTGTACTCAAAAACAAAAACAAATAAGAATTAATTTGAACATTTAATGCTTACAGATTCTTATAGGCATTTAAAGGCATTTTGCCGTTCAACTCCTATAATCCCAGCTAGCAGGGAAGATAAAAAGAAGTAATGACTGGTCACATGACCTAGCTGCATGGACCTGATGATTAATACTTTTCATCTTCCCTGTATGAATGTAACAAAAAAGGATATAAAAAAAATCAAATTTAACATCAAAAAAAAATCTTCCCTGTTAACGGGGATTTATGACTTTCAAGGGAATTAGTTCATCTGTTTCATATCATGTAAGCGTGAATAAGCTAATGAGCATCTAGAATACCTATGTGCGTGGTATATAATAAAAATAAATACTGTTGCATTCCTTTGGATGTTTGTTAAACTTAACGAGACTAGGAAGTCCCAGAGTATGTCAAGTTTGAGAAACGTTTTCCGAAATAGGTCCTACAGCAGGTCTGTTTACACCACATATTCCGAGGATCTTCCAACAGAAATTCTTGTACCCATTACTAAAAGCTTTATTACTAAAGCCATACACGAAGCAATTCACGCCCGATCCGTTGGCGTGCATGAGCTGAACAACCAATGTCCAGATCACAGTCGGAAAAATATCACCCACGTCGATGATAAGTGCTAGACCATATGGTAAGTTCATCAACAGAAATACAACAAATAGACCGAACAAGACTTTGGCTAGTTTGATTTCTTTGGCCATATTTGTCTGAGTTCCGTTTTTATTCTGATCAGAGACTTTTTTCTTCGATTTGTAGACCTTGGAAAAGGTGAGAGCATAAATGACGGCCACGATCCCCACGGGAACAAATACTCCTAGAAGAAAGAAAACGGTGAACAGTCGATTAGCGTTTCTATCCCATATACAACCCAGCATTTTCTTATCGTATGTGAATTTTCCAAATCCATTAAAAGCGCCGATATTTAACCAACAACTGTAGACCCATATTACTATGATCATGATTGCGGTGTTCAGTTTGGTGTACATCTTAGGATAGATTGATGGTCTACAGATGCAAACATAGCGATTCACGGCGATTGCAGCAACGTTGGCTAATTGGCACAAACAAGCACTCAAGCAGAAGAAGCTCACAACATCACATAGCGCTTTACGGTCCAGGAACCACTTCTCCCCCAAAAATGCTCCGGCTGCGAAAAAGGCGTTCACCCAACTGGCCAGGATAATATCGCAGATTGCTAGGTTCACAACGAATACGTTTGTAATTGTCCGCAAACCTTTAGTGACAGAAACTGCTCCTATAATCAGAACATTCCCAATGAGCCCAATTGTTGTAAGAACCAGCAGAATGGCTATGAGAATGGACGTCTCTATGGGATGAGTCTGTAAAAAATGCACATATTCTTCCGGAGGACTTGTTCCATTCGTCATGCTTTCAATTTGATCGTCGGCATATTCGCTTCCTTCAGTGGATTTTTGTTAAAAAAACCATCTGATTAATTTACCTAAATCCTATTGTTATAGGTAGGCCATTTTGATATTGTTAACCTTTTTAAAAGTCATCATAATTTGAAGTCTTGTTACACTAGTGACAGTGTATATGCGGAGCTCGTACAACAATAAGGCTTGTTAGTGGTGCTCCAATAAAGGCAAGGAATTAGCAGTTGGAAAATTCTTTAATAAGATATTCAGCAAATGATTCTTTAAATGGATTAACATCTGAAATTAAGCGGTAATCACATAATTAATTTCTTTTGAGTTCATGTTTAAGTGTTAACTGATTTCACAAATTATAGATTGCATCAATTACTGGATTTTCTCTTATGTATCTTATGCTGTGGTCCCAATCTCGCGACATGTCTTCATCCGGGAAGTCCCAATCAACACAGTAAAATGACTTGTATGAGCAATTTCGCTAGCCATATACATCAAAGCTCGGTTAATATAATGAGCCTTAATTTTCAGGTAGGTCAATCATAATTTATCAAATATATTGATCGTCCAAAACGTTTCCTTATAGATAATTTTTTCGTTCTCTCTCTCTACTCCCAATACACTACTATACAAGGGGGATTTTAGTTGCATTGAAGCATTCTAAAACATCTTCCTCCTCCTACCTGTAATATCCCTAACAAGTAACTTGATCTGATTACAAATAGCTATAATGAAGGTGTATTCTATGCAATACCTATAGAAAGAATGTCTATTAGTTTCGTTTTCGCGGGTCGTGTTCCAATTAGCAATGATAAGTCTTTTGTTTATTGCCTACAATATGTTATAGTGTATGCTATCTGGCATGTACAACCTCGTCATTACATATTATATTCTATTGGATATCTCTTTTATGATGATTGGCCCAATTAGAGACGCTATTTTACAGGGGGGGGGGGGGGCGAACACGTCAAATTAATTTTTTTGCTATAACTTAAGATTAAAACGACCGATTCGATATCAATAAAAACGGAAATGATACGGGTAAAAAATGAGCCAGTCAAATGTTTTGTCAAGAACATTATAAATGAATTTATAAATCTGAGTTCCAAAGATCATCGATAATTTGGGGGCTCAATCTCGAACACTAATGATTTTTCTTACCTCAAAGGAGAATCTAGAAAGGTTTCTCCGTAAAGGCATATTCTCTCAAACATCATTTTTAATACCTTGATGATGAATCAGTTTTTCTTCATCTTACGATTCCTTTTGATACTTCATGTATGACATGCCATAATTTTCTGGAAATAATTTCAGAATATACTTAACGCCCTGCCCTATATGTCTCTCCGACAGACTGTAAAATATGTCAGCCTGGAACTGAGACACGATCATAATGTCACTTTTATAGTTTGTTGCTACAAATATCATCCTGACAATAGTATTTCCTTTAGGAATCCTAGTATCTGTTAACCTTTTTTATAAAGACCCCTGAAGATTTATATAACCCATTTCAGGTACAATTACAAGAGTGATTCCCACCAAATAAAAAATATGGACGTTTTTGGCCCAACATGTATACTTTCCCCAAAATGCTGGCTATCGGATATATCCTGGACCACATTTTAAAACATGTCTATTGTTGGTAGTTTGAATTTCCAGCGGCCCGAAAATGGTTTAATTTTGACAAAAAACCATCAACACTAATTGTATCGTACAAAGCAAGCTCACACAATGTGAATACATCCAATAGTACAATAACGTCATTTCTAAGGGCAATATAGTGAAATATTGGACCGAGGGCCGAAGGCCCAATATTTCACTATATTGCTCGCAGAAATGACGTTATTAGTATTATTACCACCGTTAACGACCAGGACTGAAACAGCAAGAAAATCTTACGCATTGAACGATATCTAATTTCCCGGGGAAAATTGCCGGTCCAGAATATATTCTAGACCGGACCATATGGACCACCACTATGACGTCACACATTTCACAGGTCGATATAGTAAAATGAACGCCTTCTAAACTAGCACTAAAACCCCTAGAACTGGCCCGGCAAGGTGGTAATAATACGCACTTGTATTCTTAGTATTAGTTGACATTAATAACTAACCTAAAAAGGTTAAATATGTTTCACAGATGCCATAATTGTCCTCATTACTAATACACTGTTAACTTCCATGATGCCAGGTATTATGAATCGGTTTATCTGTGTACGTTTCTTTTTTTTCCGTTGTCAGGGAGAGCATTATATGACACATTTTACGTTCATAATAATTTTTAATCTATTAGCTGAGCAAAACAAGGACGTTATGATACGTAAATTGTCTCCGGTTCGTGTTGTTTTATTCAGTGAATAGCTCAGGGTAAACCATTTGCATACTAGTAGTAATAAACTTTATTTCAAGGTCTTAACTATACTGAACTCGATCAATGCTTGCTTCGTCTGTAAAATATATCACTAGTTCCTTAAATCAATAAAGCATTGATTTCAGTGCTTAAATCCGTTTCACACATCGCAAAACCTGAAAAGAGATTTATAAAAAAGGAAAGATTTCAACCGCAGGTAGCTGAGGCAGGCCATTTTGACATACATCCGTTCCGAATCAGTGGCGAATTAACAAAGGGAGGGGCACACCGAGTCAGAAAAAAGAGATTTTGGACCTAAAACCCTTGTTTTTTTTAAAAAGACCCATTAATTAAACCTTCATGAACAAGAATGGAAGGGGGGAGCGTCTCAGCCAACTTGAAATTACAAAATTGATGAAATCTAAAAATATAATCATAATCTATATAGCCAGGGTTGTAATTTCAAGAATGAAGATATTTAAAATACTTGGATTGCATTGGTTGGAATTTGACATATCAGGTCAAGCTGGCCTAGAATGAATTGAAGCTATTGTTGAACCGTAATAACCAGGCGCTACATGGATTTCTATTTTAACATGTAATAAAAGTTCCCATCTTACCGCTATATCAAGGAGGTTTTAAAATAATATTGGAACGTTAATGCAGTTGAAGTCATTTAGCGCACTTAGAGGCTCTATCTTACGCCAAGTAACGATTCAATATAATATCGGATCTCTCCAAAATAGTTCATGACTTCTCTACTCTCAGCTTTCCAACGGTGTATTGGAATCTTAGTGCAGATGAGGTCATCTATTTGACCCTAGTTTGCACTACTACTATTGTGTATTGCCTTGTCATTCTATATATGAGCGCAAAACTACAGTATTAAAGAACCCATTCCGATGCCATCGTTATTCACAAGGTTTCAGTTGTTATTATACCTTGGAAGTCGTAGATGATCCGATGTACTGTCATAACAATTAAGAATATTTTTCCTCTTATTTCTATATATCTAACTAAACACAGATCGATTACCATGCCATCTTTATTTAGAAATTACTATATCAGCCTTAGCCTATGGAAATATCTACACCTCTTCAGAGAGGCTTCCGTGAAACTGACCAGTGTTATTAATTATTAAGTGGGCTGTTGACAACTCAAGCAGGTACCGGGAATGAAACTTTATCTCTCGTGCATTTATTTAATTATATTCTGTCCATTTACACGACACCTTTGCTGTTTTGGTAAGGTGAATAACGTCATAGTAATTAGTAGCTCTAGTGTTCTTTCAACAAGCATGAAGTTGAAACGCAAGATAGAGAAAATAATTGAGAGTAGATTACCGACGCACAAAAGTGGCGCAGACAGCTATGTACGCAGTTACAGATTTTAGTATAGTTACACATTTGATGACTGTAACGAGGGTTGATTTGACAAGTATCTATTTTTATTATTAAATTCCACATTGTAATCTAGAAAAATTATAATATATATTCGTTTAAGACACACATTCAATAAAGGACGCACGCGACACTCTTGTCTAATAAGACCTATTGGATAACAAAAATAAGCTTTTTAATCCAAATTACATTTGATGAAATATGATGTTGTTAACTATTGGAGTACAATTACCTCATTTATTTTTTCCTTTTTATTGGATTTCATGTTTCCGAACTATGGCCCTCCGGGATTTAAAATCTGCAACCAAATAAAGATTAAGAATTTGACTTCTGATTGACCTGCCATGAGGTTTTAAAAAAATTGAGTTTGAATAGTAAATAAGTTAACTTTTATTAATTCTGCGCGCAATTTGGGTTGTATTTGCGAATGCAGCTTTTAGCTTGTAATTGCAATTATTTGTTTTCAGAATTAAAACTAACGAAATTTACAAACAATGAAAAAGTCGATAGATAGATTCTAGAAGTAATCACATATCAATAAAAACATAACATAAGTCCCAAGAACAATTCAGTTAAAAGCCGCATTTTACAAACTTGGTCTAGTTATACCGATACTTAAAAAAAAACTAGAATCAAGCAGTTAAATCCGATGACGAATGGAACAAGTCCTCCGGAAGAATATGTGCATTTTCTACAGACTCATCCCGTAGGGACGTCCATCCATCCTGATAGCCATTCTGCTGGTTCTATCTACAATCGGACTCGTTGGGAATGTTTTCATCATCGGAGCTGTGTCTGTCACTAAAAGCTTGCGGAAAATTGCGAACGTGTTCGTCGTGAACCTCGCAGTCTGCGATATCATTTTGGCCAGTTGGGTAAACGCCTTTTTTGCAGCGGGGGCATTTCTGGGAGAAAAGTGGTTTTTGAACCGTAAAGCGCTATGTGATGTTGTGAGCTTCTTCTGCTTGAGCGCGTGTTTGTGCCAGTTAGCCACCGTTGCTGCAATCGCCGTGAATCGCTATGTTTGCATCTGTAGGCCATCAATGTATCCTAAGATGTACACTAAACTGAACACCGCAATCATCATCATGTAGGTCTATAGCTGCTGGCTAAACATCGGCGCTCTCAATGGGTTCGGAAAGTTCACATACGATAAGAAGATGCTGGGATGTATATGGGATAGAAACGCAAATCGACTGTTCACAATTTTCTTTCTTCTGGGAGTATTTATTCCTATTGGGATCATGGCTGTTATATATATGCTCATCTTCGCCAAGGTGTACAAATCGAAGAACGTGTCTGGCCAGAAAAAGAACGGAGGGGAGTCGAAAATGACCAAACAAATCAAGCTAGCTGAAGTCTTGTTCAGCCAGTTCGTTTTGTTTCTTTTGATGAATTTGCCATACGGGATAACCCTGATTTTCGACATAGGTGATGTTATCCCGACGGTTATCTGGGTAATGGTTGTTCAGCTCATGCACGCCAACGGATCAGGGGTAAATTGCTTTGTGTACGGTACGGTACGGTAACAAAGCATTCAAAAATGGATACAAAATATTGTATTGGAAGATACTTGGAACATGTGGTACAAAGAGACCTGCGGTTGGCCCTACTCCTTGAGAGTTGCCCTTGGACCCCGCCTTGGACCAAGGATGAGGCAGGTCGCCATTCGTATCATCTACTCTGCGCACAGAGTCTAGTTATCACGCGGTACTAACTTCGACCGTTAATTTGAATATTTGACCTACCAGATGTTTGAAAATCAAGGATTGCGAGTCTCATACTCTGCCGTTTTTCTTCAACCCTGTTCCATTCAATGCATAACAAAAATGCCTTTCTGATGATATATTATTCTGTTATACAGAATCCCTACTTTCTGCGGCATTTGGGTCCCCAGCTGTGAGACGAGCTTCTCAACTTGGGACCAAAACGCTGCTAAAACGAGGGACTCTTTACAATAAAGCAATACACCGACAGAACGGAAATTTTGTTTTGCTTTGAATGGAAGAAGTTTGAAGAAAAACGATGCAGCATGATACAAAGGCTACAAGTAGGGCTGAAGTGGCAACAGGATTTGAGTATTCCCCAGAAAGACTATTGTTTCTGGACCATTATGGCGTGTCACTACGTACAGAGTTTAGTAAATAACACTTTCATAAATAGGGGGGAATTTTTATCGTTCACTACGTACAGAGATTAGTAAATAACACTTTCATAAATAGGGGGGAATTTCGTTCTGATGGGTTAATGAATCTTTTAATGACCTTGACTTGAAAAATTGAGCTCAAATATTTTTTAGTTAAATATATATGATGTTGACTTAGGACAATAACATGGAGATCAGTGTAGAGTATAGGGCAGTATTGCCAAATACACAGAGGTTATTTATTAAGAGAGATGAAATATAAATTTTATTCCGAGGGCCAATATCATATTTTCTCAACGAAAAATTCATATCCCATCATAACCATCAATTAATTTGTACCATAATATTTTTTCTGAAACATATTCATTTTCAAATTTGATTTGTCATCACCCGATGATGGTGAAAAAGAATGATACGATTTGATTTATCATGAAATATTTTCAACTTTTATTCACAGTTTTAAAAATAACGAAAATATAAAAATCAAGAGACAAGATTTTGGTTGATACGGGATCTATTTTCTATATCTATCCCACTATTGCTGAGGTCCGAGAAATACAGGTTGTATCCATCTTGTAAAGTTTTAAAACATAAATACTTTAACTGTTTAAAAAAATGTCGAAAATTGAAGCTAATGTTACAAAAATCAACTTTAGAGTTTGGAAATCTTAGACGGTAGAAATATACCAAGAACCTCATTGGAACGGAATACATGTGTCAAGTACGGTCGCTGCGAAAAGAATTATCAAAACACAAGATATACAATACAACGAAAATGAAGAAATCTGACCTATGGCAGAACTCCGGTGACACTTCATTGATATGATGCCAGTTCACATAAGGTAATAATATAGGGTGATTCCATGAGGGTCTGGGAAATTCTCCCTGTGGAGAAAACACAAAATAAACACACATTTTGAAACATTTACTGGACATTTTTGACCAATCCTCATCACTTGTTTGCATAATTTTGCAAATATGTACCTAAAGGGCCAATATTATCACATTGTCCTTATAAGTCAGAGTTTGCAAATATTTAAAGGGACAATATTATGAGAATCATCAGATTATTCATCATATTATTTATATTGCCACAAAACAGTATTAAAATATCTGTTTTATATTTCAATAATTTAAATCGATTGATTACACTGAAAGGTATCCTAAATTAATATTGTTATCTTTTTAGCACTTTAATAAACGCATCTCTTGGAACATCAATGTTTCCAATCTTTCTCATTCTCTTTTTCCCCTCACTCTGCCTTTTTAACAGTTTCTGTCTACGTGTGACGTCACCACCATACTGCAATATAATAACACAGATGCAGTTAAAGTTTGTCTACAAATTGGATATAAAAGATGTACATCTGGATGTAGATTTGTGGACATTATCCTTGTAACTTTGGGGATTTCATGTCCATATATGGAATTGAAATACAATTAACCTACTTTTCAATAACATGTGTTTTGGACACAGCCATCAATAAAAATATGAAACAGGGGTTTAACATGCAAAATGTCACCACCTGCCATTTGTCACTGACGCTGAACAGTAACTACCAAACACTGACTGACTAACACCATCCACAAAAATCTGGAGACTATAAGAATATGGTTGTGACATAACAAACCAATTTTTAAAGTATGATCTATGGGAGATTGAACATGGAATAAACAACCTATTTTTGAATAAATTGTTTTTGACACATATATTCGTCAGCAAAAACCAGGGAAAGGCCAATTCCGCAATTATACTCAAAGTAAGACTGGGCAGACAGCTACAAGTTAAAAACTTTCTCACCAATTTAGCAGTGACATCTTTCCTATAAGGTTTAATATCCTCTCTAGCTATAATCTTTCCTCCATCGTTAACTGTGGCTTGAATGGCTATCAGAAACTGTTGTTGGGGTATTGTTTCTTTTAACTTATTGCAAATTTTCTTTGCAAAAGTCCTCACATTTGATATATGAGCTATGCATGTTAGCTCCTCACAGCGTTGCCCATTGAGCTGAAAGTCTATTTTCTCTAATGATGTCTCTTCAAAACCACTGTCTTCGTAATCAAAACTGGAACAAAAAAGGTAAACGCTATAAGTGAATAAACATGAACATTCCGTGCAACAAGCCAGACACAGACATGAGAGTTAAGTGTGCTAAAGTCAACAGGAAATATGACCCAGGAACCATGTGAACATTTTAATATTTAATTGAAGACAGGATCAATCCTGTGTGAATATTTGGCTGTCACAATCTTAGTTATATTCCAATTTTTCAAAGTGCAATAGAAATTACACATGTTTGATCTTGTGAAGATTGCATATCTCACCTAGCATAACCTGATGTCATTCCCTTGAGTGTGTCATAGAAGTCTATCACAATCTCATTTAGAGGTAATATGGCTCACCTAGCATAACCTGATGTCATTCCCTTGAGTGTGTCATAGAAGTCTATCACAATCTCATTTAGAGGTAATATGGCTCACCTAGCATAACCTGATGCCATTCCCTTGAGTGTGTCATAGAAGTCTATCACAATCTCATTTAGAGGTAATATGGCTCACCTAGCATAACCTGATGTCATTCCCTTGAGTGTGTCATAGAAGTCTATCACAATCTCATTTAGAAGTAATATGGCTCACCTAGCATAACCTGATGTCATTCCCTTGAGTGTGTCATAGAAGTCTATTACAATCTCATTTAGAGGTAATATGGCTCACCTAGCATAACCTGATGTCATTCCCTTGAGTGTGTCATAGAAGTCTATCACAATCTCATTTAGAGGTAATATGGCTCACCTAGCATAACCTGATGTCATTCCCTTGAGTGTGTCATAGAAGTCTATCACAATCTCATTTAGACGTAATATGGCTCACCTAGCATAATCTGATGCCATTCCCTTGAGTGTGTCATAGAAGTCTATCACAATCTCATTTAGAGGTAATATGGCTCACCTAGCATAACCTGATGTCATTCCCTTGAGTGTGTCATAGAAGTCTATCACAATCTCATTTAGAGGTAATAGGGCTCACCTAGCATAATCTGATGCCATTCCCTTGAGTGTGTCATAGAAGTCTATCACAATCTCATTTAGAGGTAATATGGCTCACCTAGCATAACCTGATGCCATTCCCTTGAGTGTGTCATAGAAGTCTATCACAATCTCATTTAGAGGTAATATGGCTCACCTAGCATAACCTGATGTCATTCCCTTGAGTGTGTCATAGAAGTCTATCACAATCTCATTTAGAGGTAATATGGCTCACCTAGCATAACCTGATGTCATTCCCTTGAGTGTGTCATAGAAGTCTATCACAATCTCATTTAGAGGTAATATGGCTCACCTAGCATAATCTGATGCCATTCCCTTGAGTGTGTCATAGAAGTCTATCACAATCTCATTTAGAGGTAATATGGCTCACCTAGCATAACCTGATGTCATTCCCTTGAGTGTGTCATAGAAGTCTATCACAATCTCATTTAGAGGTAATATGGCTCACCTAGCATAACCTGATGTCATTCCCTTGAGTGTGTCATAGAAGTCTATCACAATCTCATTTAGAGGTAATATGGCTCACCTAGCATAACCTGATGTCATTCCCTTGAGTGTGTCATAGAAGTCTATCACAATCTCATTTAGAGGTAATATGGCTCACCTAGCATAACCTGATGCCATTCCCTTGAGTGTGTCATAGAAGTCTATCACAATCTCATTTAGAGGTAATATGGCTCACCTAGCATAACCTGATGTCATTCCCTTGAGTGTGTCATAGAAGTCTATCACAATCTCATTTAGAAGTAATATGGCTCACCTAGCATAACCTGATGTCATTCCCTTGAGTGTGTCATAGAAGTCTATCACAATCTCATTTAATGGTAATATAGCTCACCTAGCATAACCTAATGTCATTCCCTTGAGTGTGTCATAGAAGTCTATCACAATCTCATTTAGAGGTAATATGGCTCACCTAGCATAACCTGATGTCATTCCCTTGAGTGTGTCATAGAAGTCTATCACAATCTCATTTAGAGGTAATATGGCTCACCTAGCATAACCTGATGTCATTCCCTTGAGTGTGTCATAGAAGTCTATCACAATCTCATTTAGAGGTAATATAGCTCACCTAGCATAACCTGATGTCATTCCCTTGAGTGTGTCATAGAAGTCTATCACAATCTCATTTAATGGTAATATGGCTTTGAGCATGACTCTGCTGTCATCTATATAAATCTGCTCTTTGAATACTCCTCTTCTTCCCTGGAATATAGTCAACAGTTGTTTATGGTTTACATGGGTTCTTTTGATTTTTCCCACTATTTCTTTCCTTTCCAGTTCTCGTTTCAACTTAATATTTTCTCCATTGGTAATGTATAAACAGCCTCTGACAACTAATTTACAAACTGTTCTTTCAGGGTTTTAACCTCTTGACAACTCAGATTGACAAGATTTCTTGTCACTTACTAAAACACCAACAAACCCAGAGTGAGCAGATAATCTGTCACTAGATTTCTCACTAATATTGCTCTAATTTGAACAATTTTCAACCAATTAACACAAAATATGTTTTAAAAACTAATTTTACTAGGTTTTAAAGTTTCATACAAAATATTGAAAAAACGGAAGCATTTTTGAATGAACTTGCATTGAACAATCTGTCATATTACACATACAGTATGTATGTACAGAACCCGAACCATGAGTATTAACTTTTCTTATTACACTACCTGAAAATCTTGATGTTTTGGGGTAGTGTAATTAGACCCATTGAGATATGGATTAAATAACCTGCCTCATAAATCTCTATTAAGTGAGAAACCTTGTACCATAAATAACCCCATATTTATCCTCACCATGACTAGCTTCATAATATCTCCAATATACTCATCTGGCGTAATTATAGTCCCATTCACCATTGGTTCATAGCACATTGTAATCATTTGTTTATCAGGGAAATGAACTGGATTTAAAATTGTCAATTCGGCGCCACCGTATTGTTTAATGTTTTTAGCGCCATGGATTGTGACCTTATAAGGCACATTGGGTGCTGTGATTATGACGTTTGCATTGTGTTCTTGGTCCAATCGTTGGCAGAATACATCCATATGTAGTAATCCAAGGAAACCAAGTCTCCAACCTTGACCTAGCGCTGGACTAAAACAAAGAATACAACATTTATTCAAAGGTGACATAGAATACAACATTTATTCAAAGGTGACATAGAATACAACATTTATTCAAAGGTGACAAAGAATACAACATTTATCCAAAGGTGACATAGAATACACCAATTATTCAAAGGTGACAAAGAATACAACATTTATTCAAAGGTGACATAGAACAAAACATTTATTTAGTAAATTCAAAGGTGACAATGAATACTACATTACAACAACTGTACATTCAGGTGTGACAAATATGTACATGAAACCGAATCAGTTCCAAATTTTATTGATTGCCCCCTGTAACATACAGATTGACTACACATTTCCTCATATGGAGAATACAAAGGTATGTCCATGCCAAGTCCTCTCTTGGAGCTATCCTCTTCAATGTCAAATCATTAGACAACCATGATACAATCTAATTATATGCATATGGATTTAGAGACTTAAAAAGATGGCAGCATTGGTTTTATTTCTGTATACTTTTTATAGATGGCAGTTCTACCAATTGTGTGTTGTATTAAGAGGGAGAATAACCCCAGGGTTCAGAGATGACATATGTCTATAATGTCAATGTGTATCGAGAAGATATTGGCCCTGATTGGTCAAATTGACAGACAAATGACATCATTCAATTGTGATTTCAAAATTTTCTTAAAAATGCTTCGAATAATATTATGTTAACATCTGGCGTGTTAACTTATATCATAGCTTGTTATTTCACAAAAGGATAAAGATGTAAGAAATGTGGTTGCATCGATTAAAACATCACAAAGATATACAGACGTGTCATCCGAAAACTAACTGGTGAAAATTCGGTCAAATGAAGGTGGTAAGCAAAAGACAAAATTATGTCTGACATCTCTAAGCTCTGGGATTTTTCCTCCTCTTCATTGTAGTGTTGGTGTTGTGTCGGTTGCTATGGCAACCAAATAAATGGTTGTTCAGCTCATCATTGTGTGTTGAGTTGATTCTTTCAATTCAAAAGTATCTAACAAGTTCACAACTGCTTACCTTGAATCTTTGATGACAGTAACACTGGAGTCATTCAGTATCAGCCTCTCTATGGCCTGACGTAAAGCATTGAACTCTGATTGGTCAGTTGGATAAATACCCGCAAACACCTAAAAATCACAATCACTCATCAATAACAGATTCTGTTTCAAAACAATTTCTCAAAAAATTATGTATATCATAATATAAGACTTCACAGCTTACCATATACATGTAGTTTTTGATAACAGACTTTATAGCTTACCATAGTTTGTGATTATATACTTCACAGCTTACCATCGCTTTTGATTATAGACTTCATTACTTACCATAGCGTTTGATAACAGAGGTTATTGCTTACCATAGCTTTTGATTTAGAATTTATAGCTTACCATAGCTTTTGCAGGCTTGAAACCTGGGAGAGGCTCTACTGGGGAATTTAGATGAAACAAAGTGTCCCCAACTTGAGCCTCTTTAGTAGTTTTCATGTTGGCTATAATGTAACCCACTTGTCCAGCAAGTCTGAAAAAAATCACAGGTGTTAATTATCAAAATGATGAAGCCACATGGTATGATACCAAAGTAAGGAGGGGGGGGGGGGTTGTTGTCCAAATTTATAAAGTGCTATAAAGTAAGAATTTAATTTTGTTACTAGAGGGGGGGGTAATGATGATTCTATTTCCTGAATGAAGAATGTTGATTTTTTTGAAGAGTTCAAGTGATAGGCAAATAAATGCTTCTTAAAGGAAGAAGATTACTTCTTTCATCAATATCGAGGTGAGGGATTTTTTCAGGCTCTGGTATTTTGACAAAAGTAAGTTGGGGTCATAGTCATTATATTAAGGGCAGGTTGAGGCACCAACGATTTGTTTTTCTAAGGAATCAACCTTGAGTTATCACTATTCCACCTTCAGGCCATCCAACTGTCACGCAATTTGCGTATTAGTCACACATTTGTTGAAAAATTTGAAGTCACACCAGTTTTTTTGCGTAACAGGATATGTCACGCAAATACGCATTTTACCTGATTATTGTCCAGCAAAAATATTCCTGTAGAAAACCTCAAAAAATGTGTACAAAATGTCCCCACCAATGGGTGATCCCGTCAAATGGTTATCCTGAAAATCAGTAGACAAGACTTTACCAGCACAATCTGAGGACGGAAAATCTAGAAAACATGTAAACAAGACTTTACAGACAAGATTTTAGGATGGAAAATCCAAAATGGCTGCCTTGACATTTACCAAAATGTCAAAAAACTTATCTGTTTCTAGATTTTCATACTAAGAATCATCCCTGAAAATTTGAAATTAATCTACCAAACAGTTCACCATATAAACGTGTAGACAAGACTTTACTGGCTAGATTTTAAGACGGAAAATCCAAAATGGCTGCCTTGACATTTATCCAGAATGCCAAAAAACTAATCAGTTGTAGATTTTCATACTAAGGATCATGCCTGAAAATTTGAAATTGATTTACCAAACGGTTCATCCTGAAAACGTGTAGACAAGACTTTACAGACAAGATTTTAGGACGGAAAATCCAAAATGGCTGCCTTGGCATTTACCCAGAATGCCAAAAAACTAATCAGATCTAAATTTTTATACTAAGAATCATCCCTGAAAATTTGAAATTGATCCACCAAACGGTTCACCTGAAAACGCGCAGACAAGACTTCACAGACAAGATTTTAGGACGGAAAAATCCAAAATGGCTGACAATAAAAAAGTGATTATAAGTTTTTGCTGATTTCATTTTACAAAATTATCACATATAACTACTGTTTACAATAACATAGGCTTTTACAAGAAAGTACATCTGAAATTATTTATAAAGCTACTAAATAGCTAAAGTATGAAAACTCAAAAACACCATTCAATATGATACAAAGTATTGTCACGCGCTAACTTTTCTTAAGACATTCAAAATGGCTGCCATGAATGAGCTAACAGGTCCAAAACCTAATCAGATCTAGAATGAAGTGAGCTGGACAAGATTTTAAAGTTTTAAAAGCAACTGTGAAGGCGTTTTTCTTAAAGTTTGCAGACAAGGATTTTAGCATTTGACTTCAAAATGGCCGACAGGAAGTAGGTTTCGAATTAAATTTTTTTCATCCACATCTGTATGCACTCATAAGTTATCCCTGAAAATTTGAAGGTGATATCTGTAGCGGTTTTGGAGAAAACTCCCCGATGTACGGACGGACAGACGGATGGACGGACGCGCCTAGTGATCGCCGATACAGCACAAAACCGAACGCCGTAAAAAAATGAACGCATTTCGTTCGTTTGATATGCAAAATGTCACCACCTGCCATTTGTTACAGATGCTGAACACCAACTGCCAAACACCAAACACAGTCCACTAAAAAGTTGGAGAATATAAAAGAATGTAACCACTTCTGGTTAGGACAAAATAAAATTAAGTTTATTCCAATAATTCCTATTTGGATACCATTCCTATATATTTTATTTTGCTCTTATTTGCACTGTAAAACACAATGTAAAAGCAGATATCAAATGTATAATGAGTGAAAGGTCAAATTTTTTAAAATTCAAAATACAGTAAGTATGATTAAAGTCTAGCTAACCTTTTCAAAGTCAAACAAATACAAACATTTTGAGAAATATTTACGATGAGTTTCATTTTATTTGGTTAAAATAAGGTCAGTGACTAAGTAAAAACATTTGAATTAATGGAGCCATAAATTAAGAACATTAATTAAAAAAGTTTACATTTACACCTCATATACGAGGGGTGATCAATAAGTAATGGACGCTTTTTTACGATACTTTTTATAGACCAATCTCTTTAATTATATCAACACGCGCTACATATCTTGTCCTCAAATTTTCAGAGTTGATAGGTAATTGAATGATGTATCACTGGTGAAAAAATCAAAGAGATTTGTCCATAAAAAGTATCTGTGTAAAAAAGCATCCATTACTTATTGATCACCCCTCGTATGGACCACGTTTTAGCTTCAAGTAGGTCAATATACTACCGCAGTGACACAGACAGCAATAATAATGCTCTTAAACAACCTCTGTAAAGGGAAAAGGTTGGGGAAGGCAGGAAAAAAAAACACAATGCATTTAGGTCAACCAAAATCAATCTCACTAATATAATAAATACTCATATTAAAAGGATGTTTTCAAACAGTTTGAGTCATTAGTGGCAACGAGGGATAAAATGAGACGACAAAAATGAAAAATGGTTTCTAAGGTGACAATTTAACAAACCATTCAAGAGGAGCAGAAATTTCTTTTTATGTTGACTCCCTATAATTATTCAAAATATAAAATGTTTATTTGCTGTTGTCAAGGCGCCACATTGATGTAACCAAATCAAACATCAAATTATAATGTTGTCTCCCTAGTTGTATGATTTATAACTTTATTTGATTAAAAGAAATAAGGAATTTGAGAAGGTTTGATATGATATCTACTCCCTTCTAAGGTCAAGCAGGATAAATAATTTTTTTTATATTCCTTAGATAATCTTTTTAAAACCTACATCATAATTTTTGCTTCAAACATGACAACTTACAGCTAAAGTGTACAACCGCATATTTTGTCACTGTACATTGTCGATGGTTAGGCGTGTTAAATCGCGTACGATTCAAAATACATAAACTTACAGGATGTTTGTTGGGGTTTGGTCGGGATATAGGATCCCCGTCTCTTGTATTTCATATTGTTTCATGGAATGTGCTGCAATAATCTTGTCTCCTGAAAATACATAGAAACAATGCATAAGTCATGGAATATTCTACCAATTTCAATAGTTGGATTTTGCCTCTAAAAGTGAGCTTCATCTTCACTCTCTGAATAAGAGACAAGCAAACGTAGGCTTGTTTCTCCATATTCATGTCTCATTATATTTATTGTATTATTGTATATTTATTGTATTATTGTATATTTCTTGTATTATTGTATATTTATTGTATTATTGTATGTCATAATGGTTCATGTATGGAAATAAAATAATCCTAAAAGAAGAGACAACCATTTAATTCCTTACCCTATCATATTTTAGATACCAAGAAACTGACAGTAAACTATCACAATATTGTTTCCCTTTTCAAAAGTTTAATGGGATATTTTGATTTCATTTTTACAAAAGACGAGTCTGAGTTATTATCATTAGCCCCTGGGGTTGAGACTACTTTGAATGTATTAGTTTTCATGTACCATCAGATATTATGTACCATCCCCTTTGGTAATTTTCAAAAGGTTGAAGAGTGGTAGCGATATAAATTACTAATGATGATGTACTTTTGAAATCTTTAACTTCTTTGTGATCATTCATAACATCCTCAGGGATTAAAATAACTTTCGCAATTATCTATGTTACAACCGCCTCTGATGATGATATTAAAAAGTCAATATTTATTATCAAAAATATTTTAGTCTACGTTTTCATTACATTATCTTACATTTTAATGATTAATATGTGGTTTTAACATAATGAAAAGGACTGGTCGGGACGTTATTACATTTTCGACGTCTTCATTTTGCTTTAAAACAAAAATGATATAACTCATGTTATTCAACGTATAATTGATGGAGTATCAAATTTGGAATGATCGTTAAATAACATCGTTACACCCTGATATACATCTTAGATGTCAAATAATGATCCAGTACCATGCACTGCTTTAGTAGACACAGGGCATTTCTCTTTGTATTTGACTTCTCAAAAGAGAGCTTCATCTTCAGTTCATAAGTAGACTTTACAGGCAGAGTAATAGGGGCAAGCGTATTAAACAAAATATCGACAGTAGACATATGGCGTAGACTAAATATAAGAGAATTTATTGAATTCAAAAAAGAGACAAAATTATAATGAAAATTAAGGACATACCAAGACATACCAAGACATTTGAATTCTAAAAATGATCCATTTGTAAAATGATCAAAAAAATATAACATCCGGAATGTGCGCTAAAAAGTGACATATCAAACGAAAAGCAGGACTGAGTCGAAACTCATAGGGGAAAAAAGAAAAATTATAATGAAAATTAAGGGCATAGACTTACAATAAGATATTTGAATTCTTGAAAACGATGCATAAATACTGACATCAATAAGAAAAGAAAAACTGATCATGATTTCAATAAAGAGTAAAAATATCAAACACAATATCATCAACATTTTTTATGGTAACCATCAGACCAAAGAGTATCTTTTACACTTTATAAGGACAGTGTTTACATTAACGGAGGTAAATAATTTTCATCAAAGGTCAACTTTATCACAGATCTTCATACAAAAGAATGTGTTGTAAAAAGAATATAAAAAATGCAGTAAAAGTAGTTTTGTTCTGTTATCTATGAAATAAAATGGGAAATGTGCCCTTTTAGTCAAAAGCATAGAATATACGGACATATCATTAAAATAGTCAAAGTAGAGTGTTACATAGACACACCCAGGATGCAACAGAAATATTGCGAAAAAACATCTTTTGACCTTTAGTACTTCATAATGAAGAAAATCAAGATGTCTTGATGCACAGATTTGAAAGTTAAAAATGGAGCATCTCTGAACAATAAAGCCTTGCAGGATATTAAGGTAAGCTTGACCAAATATAATTTAAAGGCAGAATCAGATCTATAGGTATTGTAAAAATCTTTTCCTGAAATAGAATGTGGGGATTTTTAGAAAAAATACATGACAAGGAATGACATGAAATATTCTAAAATTGAAACATTTTTTTGTTAGCCTGCTCGCTAGATCTAATTCACTTTAAATATTGCTTTGTTACCTTAGGACGAGATCTCTACTTTCCTATTCATGCTAAACCAGAACAACGGCAACGCCAAAGCGTAGCGAATCCCATCGAACAGCCATGGATGGCATTTTTACAAACAAAGTATATAGCAAAAATGGCAGCCATTTTTCAAAATGGCCGCCTTCTACCAAAAGTGTCATTAGACCATGTGCCATGCTTATAGTATTCACATACCAAATATGAACAAAATCGCTCTACTACTTTTCAAGTTATAGTAAAATACGTTAAAATGGCGGCCATTTTTCAAAATGGCCACCTTCTATCAAAAGTGCCATTAGACAGTATGCCTTGCTTATAGTATTCACATACCAAATATGAACAAAATCGCTTCACGGCGGCCATTTTTCAAAATGTTTTTCAAAATGGCCGCCTTCTACCAAAAGTGTCATAGGACAGTGTGTCATGCTTATAGTATTCACATACCAAATATGAACAAAATCGCTCCACTACTTTTCGAGTTACAGTAAAATATGTTAAAATGGTGGCCATTTTTCAAAATGGCGGCCATTTTTCAAAATGGCCGCCTTCTACCAAAAGTGTCTTTAAGCAGTGTGCAATGTTTATAGTATTCACATACCAAATATGAACAAAATCGCTCCACTACTTTTCAAGTTACAGCAAAAATCGTAAAATAACGAGTAAAGGCCGCCATTTTTCAAGATGGCTGCCATGTGCTTCTTTAATATCTACATTTCTAGCTTTATTAATGTCCTATATAATTTTTTTACATCTCAAACATATTGCTATTACAGTTTTACATATTGCACCTAAATTACTGTAAATTCGGCACTAAAATGGCCGCCATTTCGAAATGAGCGGCCATTTTGAAAATCGGCTTTGGAGCAGAACTTCTATCCCCATAGGGTATATGTGTACAAAATATGAACAAAATCGGGCCAACGGTATTTGAGTTATTGCCCGGACGGACGGAGGCGTTCCCTATATCCCTCCGAACTTCGTTCGATGGGATAATCATTCAATTTTACTTTACATATTTCCTGTTATAATACTAGTACTATACTGAGCGCCCAACTGATAAAACTTAATTTCATAAGGTAGAGAGGGGAGTAAATGAAAATCTCAGAGGTGAAGAGTATTGATATTTTGTAAGGTCAGGTTAAAGTGAATTGATATCTGTGTAATGGGGAAAGGGAAGGAGGGGGATGATATCATAAAGTAATTACATATTACTTCATTTTTCCACAACTGTCAAACCATTTTGACTGTATCCCTTATATTCAAATTCATTACAGTTTAGTATACAGTGCATTGATGAGCTCATTCACTTATCATTGTACTTCATATGAATTACAGAGTGTGCAGAAATGAAATCATTTCATTTTAAAATACATGCAAGGACGAGGGAGAAGATCGGCTTTGATATATTACATTAATGTTATATGCTCAGATAAATCAAGATGAGGATGTTTGAATCCCCAAAATTCAAACATGTTTTCGCAAAAATAATTAATTAAAAGTGCAGATCTTCATAACTTAAATATGTCTCAAAATTCATAATTAATTCCAAGTCAATAATTTAAAATTTCAAAAAGATCAAATTGATTACAAATCAAGGTTTTATATCTGTCTATAAAGGAATGAAGGCTGTCTTCTCTAATAGCAGTCCCTTCTACAGGGGCGGATCCAGGATTTTGTGTTAGGGGGGGGGTGTGATGATAACTGAGAGCAAATTAAACAAAACACGAATTTCCGTGCGCCCCCCACGCCCCCGTCTAGATCCGCTGGTGTTTTACATTTTGCCCTAAATGTGCATAAAATAATCTAAGAGAACCATTTTTTAACAAATGGAGAGGAAATATTATAGACACTCATCCTATTATAATTACCATACACTTAAACCAGTGTGTGCCTCCATTCATGTAATGAATAAAGATGTCCTTCTACATTTACATTGATAAAACGGATTTACTGTACATCTACTTAATTTGGTGCTATTAATTTTGGCAGTTTTGAACATTTTATGGTGACTACTTACTTTGGTGGACTTTGGCAATATTGAAATATAAAGCATACAAATTTAAAACTGAAATAAAAACTATTGAATTTGGCAGTTAATTCAGCAGACTTAAACAATTTTGTGGATCCATCAAATTAAAAGGGCCCCCAAATTAAGTAGAAGTACAGAAACTTATTTGAACAGTCTCAATATACTACAGGTATACTATAGTCAATCTACTATACCTAACCCCTAGAAATGCATATAGTATATAGTAGAGTGATAGTATCATCTCTGAAGAGCAACAAAACCAATACAAAATAAATTAAATCTTCTCAATTCTTTTATATCAAATGTTCACCAGGTTTTTTTGCATAAATTAATTTCAAGAATGTTGAATATTGAAAAGTAACAAGAAAGAAATTTCAGATCAATATACATTCAGACTGAAGGAACGGACATTTCTTTTCAATTAAAGTCAAACGTGTCAATCAAATTCAATTTGTATCCCCAAGCAAAGTAATGTGTTTTCAGTGAGTCTGTGATAGAATATAGTGCGAGAGGAAATACAGAACTGAAGGAATATAACATCTTAAAATCCTCCAATTAGTGAGAAATAAAGTAAAATATGCATGTAACATTTTGATCATGGGTGTCCTCAATCTAGAAAAGTTTAAAACAAAATCATGTGTCAATCAAACTTTTCTATGTGACAGCAAGGATCTTTTACAGGTCAGATTTATTAGTGGCTAGTTTAAGTTTAAGTGGCCAAATACAAGTGAATTCACAAGTCTTATTTTCCCATGCTACAAAATAGTTTTTGATTGACAGATTGCAAAGATAGGACTTATGATGGGTGGTCAAGAGGGGAGGGGGATAACCCAGAATTCATAGATGGACCAATCTTCAAGTGAAGATCATCCCCAGGTTCATATTTGAGTTTTGGGTAATATCCTCCTCTCCTCAAAACTAATTCATTTA